AATTTAAACCTTATATGAAATTAAAAGACCAAATTTATATTTTAGTCGGAAAAATTTTAGTGCTAGCACGAGACTCTTTTCGTATGTCCTCTATATACAGCTAAGAATCGAAGCTTAAGGGTGTGTTTGGGTGACACCCCAAACCATGGTTTGGGGTGTCAATCACCCAAACACCCTCTCTAAAAACCAAAACCATGGTTTTGGGTCAAGACTATGGTTTTGGAAAAAGTAAAAAAATTTTGCTTTTGGAGAAAAAAGGGAGAGTGTGAGAGCCTATATGATATATATCTTGTTATTTTTTTAATAAACATATTTTTTGATAAACATATTTAATCTTATATTTTATAAATATATATACACATTAATTATTTATTAATTATATTATCTTATGTATTATTAATTATGTTGGTAAAAAATATATTATTAACAATTTTATTCCTTCAAATTAAAATATATCATAAAATCTATTTTTTCTGTAATTATCATATTAACTTATGTTTTTGTTTTAGTAATTTGTATATATAAAAAGTGCTTCTGATAACAACTATCCAAACACTCTCACTTCTCAGAATCACTTTTTTACAAAATCTGTTTTTCACAGAATCTATTCTCCCCAAAATCTATTATCCAGAATCACTTTTTCAAACCACGGTTTGGTTTCATCCAAACACACTCTAAATCTTATTTGTCAAATCCCATACTTAACCACATCCTATCTCTTCTTTTTATCCAGATCAGAGGGTCAGCTTTAACAATCCAAAATCATAAATTACAAATACCTGGAACCTACAAACCCCTCACTTATAAAATGTTTTTAGAGTCGTCATGCCGCAGGACCATTCGCACAATCCTTTCTTATTGCTCTTGAAAGGGGACCTTTCTGAAGCTAGAACCAAACAGAAAACAAAGTAATTAAATTACAAGCCCCTTAAATTAACTTGAGCTCATTCCAATTAGGCGTACATCTTGTGAACGTGAAGGAGGAAAGTGAAAGCTCAAAAACGCGGGGAGGCAGTAAAAGGGCAAAATGATATACGGACGAGAAAGGCGATATGGGTACGACGGAGTCGGAAGGTGAAAATGAAACAGCCAATCAGACGGCCACAAGTATTTAGGTACTCGTGACCCCATTTTGTTGCTGTCGTTGTGTGTTTTTAATTGTATTGTCGGTTGTCGGTACCATGACTTGAGCTCCACCCCAACAACAATAACACCCCCTCCTCTAATTTCCCGAAACAAAAGGATGAATAAAATCTGAAGACAGCCGGTCAGTTATTTTGACCAAAACAGATTAACTGACGTGGTGGAGTGGCAATTTGTTCGTTGTTCGTTACTAAACGGCATCGCGTAGGGTCATTAGAAAATACTAATTTTGTTGTGTTTGGATGCTGTTATAATGAGGGCCGTCAGATCACAGGACTGAGAGAAAATGAAAGCCCAATGATGTGATTTGAATATGAAGTGCGACGTCTGAGATGTTCGGCCATCGGCGAGGTAATGGCAAAGCGGCGAGGAGGAGGAAAAAGGAAAAGGGGAAGGAAAGGGACCCACATAAGGGACCCACTTTAGACTCAGGCTCACAGCTTCATAAGCACGTCGCCACGCCACCCCCCACTAATCAAAACCAAACAGCTTTTGATTCCTAAGCAACGTTGACTGATTCTTCCTCCCTTCGTCCACGTGGCGCTTCCCCATTTCCCACGTTTCTTCCGCACCTGGCCCGGTTCTTTCCTTCCATGCTCACGACCCCCCTTGAATCATTGGAAAAATTATTGTCCGGTGACATATAAGCAGTGTAATTTTTAAAGAATCCCACAATAAATAAATCAGCAGTATATATCTATTGTCACTTTATGTGCTGGAAATTATCTTAGATATTACTCAATTGTTGTGAAATTTTTTAGTGATTAAATTGTATAATAATTTTTTTCTGAATCATGATTATATGTACATTTTAAAGGCTTTTCTTGTCACCGTATGTGCTCAAATGTTTTTGGCCAACATGTGTGTCAAGAGGATGATGATTAGGTGGTATTTTATGTGTGTAAAACGCCAAGAAAAGGGATGCGCGTTTCAAAAGTTCAAAAATGGCGAATATGGAAGTAATTATTGGTAATCTCTCACTAAACATGGAAAATGACAGTTCCGTTAATCCATATATACGGAGTGGTGGAACGGTGGAAATGGAAAAAGATGTCCCGTGAAAGAAGAGAATGGATCTTTTATCGAAATTTAGAAGATAGAGTGCAATTTCATGTGAAAGCTGACTATTAACTGTTGCATTAAAAACGCTAATACCTTTTTAATAGTCAATTTCCACGTACCGAACTTTAGGGCACGACTCACTTGCAAAAATTCAAGGCATAGCAGGCGGCGCAGTGTGGTCCGTGATGACAGGAGTGATGTGATGAACTGCGAGGTCTCTGGTTTCAGTTCCACTACGGCAATTCCTGGCTTTCGGAATATGTAAGCAACAACGACTATTTTTCCCAAAGCTCACAACTTTCCTTCTTAACTATGAACACCGTTTAGAAATAAATTAGACCACAGTCACTCGCAAGTTGATTACAAGAGAAGCTTACTTGGTCAGCCCAGTTAGTTAAATTACTGTTTTCCATCACTAATAATAAGGCATCGTCTCTCACAAAGAAAATTTAATGAGACGCTGGATTTCAGTTTTTTTTTTTTTCTTGATCTGACTTTTCCAATTATTACACGTGTCCATTCTATGAACGCGCACTATCTTGCCACGTTGTTTCCTTTCTATATTTGCATGCTCCGTGTTGAAGCCATGTTTTAGTTTCCGATTCACTTCGTTTCAACTCGGGCCGCATTAGGTTGACTTGCATGAACAAGAAGAAGAAGAAGAAAAAAGGGTGGCATATGAAGAAATTGGAGATTGTGGGCCGTTAAGAATTTCCCTTCAAATCCTACATTTAGAAGAGCACCAATGAAAATTAGGTCTAATAAAAAAATTAAGTATCTCATAACATGATGAACCCAAGTTTAAATCTTATTAAGAGGGACGTTTATATTTAGTATCTGACATTACCTTCTCGAATAGAATTAACTCCATTAGAAGGGTACTTGTCCCTGTAAAAAGTAGAAATTGGAGATTGTCGGCTGTTAAAAATTTCCCTTCAAATCCCATGTTGAGAAGAGGACTAATAGAATGAGTTAGTTTTTCATAACATGATGAATTAAGATTTAAATTCTAATTAAAAGAAATACTCATATTTAGTATTCAACATTATCTACTGTAGGATTATATTTCTATTAGGAAGATACTTTACTTGTTTTAAAAAAAAAAAGAACTGGAGAAGAGGGTGTCCCATCCCACTTATGACTGACTTGTCTGTCGTTAATGGAGGTGGCAATGACATGTCATAATCCAATTCTCCCTCTGGACAATGTAAAAGCATGCCCCGCAGAGAACGTTAATGGGGACCATTTGATCTAAAAATGATCATGATCACATGAGAAAGAGCTTTCCCGAAAATATGACAATTTCCTTCTTCAATAAAACCATTTTGTCATTTCCATGTTCTAACCACACCCGTTGTGGGGAGATGAAGAAGATGGATCCAACCGTGGAAACACCCTGTGATATCTGAAGGTCATAAAGGGCATCTGCGTAAAAGACTCGAAACAATCTGAAATAGGTTTAGCTTAGCTTTTCCCATATATGTTTCAAAATTCTTAGGCTCACCGATAATCACTGAAACTCGCAGATGCCCACTTGCTGCGGCTACTATTGGCAGAGCTAGAATTTAGGATTTTAAATGGAGACACTGAATTAGTACGAAGGTCTGCATGTTCAATTTCATTAACATGAAGCGTGCTATATTAAACATTCTATATAAAGACTAAGGAAGACAGTAAAAGGTGATGAAACTGACGATCGTAACGCTAGTTTCGCACCTTAAGATATGAGTGAGGTTCGGACGGCTTTATGGGACCTCTACTGAGAGGGTTTTATTGCACAGGCAAAGGGTTGCTTTTGAAATCCAGGATAATAGTAAAGAGCAGGTAATGAGATGATTACTTAATTGGCATTGACAGCATCCCATTCCACCGAACACCAACAGTTTGAAAGGATTATCCCCCAAACATGAAAATTCAAAACTCCTCGGCGAAGTAGCAGCCCCCTTTTAGTTTTTTTTTTTTTTTAACGCGTAATTACAATTCCATGCCTAAAATGGTAACCAATAGTTAACAGGACGAAGTAGAAGAGTGCGTAAAAGAATGTGGCCTTAACCTGAACGGCACCAAACCTCTGACTGATAAGTTGCTTCTGATGTCTCTTTCGTGCTTTCATCTTTGGTCAGACGTAATAAAATGCAGAAATAAAATGTGATACGTTGTTTCATAAAACAACCATGATACCTCCGCATCATCAACAACAACAAGCCTTATCCCACTAAATATGATCAACTATATAGATCACACTATGTTAATGTGCTCTACCAACTGGTACCTCAATGTGTAGGTCCAAGAAAACGTGATACCACCCTAACTCAAACCATACAGGATGAAAATGTTATTTTCCTACTAGTCCTCAATTTCTGAAGCTGGAATAAACCAATTCTGGAAAATAGTGGGCTACAACAGCGTTTGTTACCGAATGATGACTCTTTTCTATGCAATCATACAACAAATATAATCATATGGGGCAGGACAAATCTTCCCCGTCAACGTCGTTTCATGTCCATTCCGCCTATATAAATTTTGAAGTGCAAGATAGGCAACAAAGATGTTAAAAAGAAAGCATTATTACCAGAAATTGAGCTGAAAATTTTAAGCCACCCTCTTAAAAGCACTATCAACAGTATGATGTGATTCTAAACACATAAACAAAATGTCTGGAAGAGGTCAGAATGTCGGAGCACTGAGTTAATCTCTTCCCTCCCATCCCTATTTCGACTTCCGGATACTTTCCTCTGAAGGAAGTTCAAGCATCGCTCCTGCGTGCTCTTGGTCCGGCTTCACTACTGCAGCAACTCAGTTGGTTAAAAGGTGGAAAGGAAATGACTGATCAAATACAACTTCTATTGAACAAATCACTTGCCTCTCGAAACAGGAAAGGAAAAAAAAAAAACAAGAATAATAAGAAGGAACTAGAAAGGAGATGCCAAATCATTAATATTTAAAATCATAATAAAAGTAAAAAGCTACTATCACTTTTGTTTAGCGATCCGCCTGTGCTAGTTCGCACATGAAATAGCATGCATACATCCGGGCGAGTTTGGGTTAAAACAAGAAATGAACGGTCAAATAAGAAAATTCAGAACAAGCAGACAAGGTAATTCTCTTATACCAGATAAATTAGCCCAAGAACTGAATCTGGTGACAAAACTCAGAGGCATTTATTGACACTTCATTGAAAGGTTATTGTAGACTATTTAATTTACATTGGAAGGCTGACAATGATTCACGACCAATTCATGGATGTCATTTTTCTTTCGGTGAATTATTTCATATACCGTTTTGTCTTAGGTGGGATGAAGTGTTTGTCAAATTTGGAAATCTCATGGTCCAGTCAATCAGACACCCACAGACTGCGGCACTAAATAGCATGTATATGTCCATATATAATATAAAATCTAAGAACTATTTATAAACCCTGATACCGTTGTTCACTTAAGACTCTGTATAAGCACAGTCCCGCAGTCTAGTTAGATTTTGAACTCTTCATGAGTAAAAAATAGATTTCGCTTACTTTCTACCTAAGTCCACATAATTAAGTGCAAATATGTTATTGCACAACATATTCACCCCAAAAAAAAAAAGTCATTGCACAACATTATTCTAATTCTTCTACGATATAACAACTATTCCTTAAATATTTCAGAAGTAGAGTCTCCCACAGAAGGGAAACCTTAAACTGTTTTTTAAAGTACCCCCTTGAACTATTTGAAAGCCAGCCTATAGAGCAGTATAGCGTTTTCATGTTAAAATATCATACAGTAAGACATTTTTATATACAGTTATGAAAGATGTGAGTGTTTCTACTCCTATAACCAAGAGCAGTGAAACTTCAAGTTCAAGCAATAGCAAAGTACCAATGTTGACATGTGGATTAAAAAAATGCTACATCATTCTAATCTCAAGGTTTTGTAGTGTATAACAATATCTTTGATGCCCAGAGCATAATAAAAAGGCTATGTTTAAACATTTTGGGATGGCTTTAGATGAGTAGGACTACGGCAAGTGCACATTCGACGTTCCTGGTAGCAACTAACAGCTGTGAGATAGAAGCACGTTTTGAGCTGCCAGTGAAAAGTCCGTAGACACGAGAAACAGAAGTAACAGTTGGTGAGTGAAAAATCTAAATCCCAGTAAAGTATAAACTACTAAACATTAGGAAAAGTTCGGTAGCAGTATGTTGAAAACAATTTTCTTAAACAAAAGTATGTAATGGATGTTACATGTATAGCTCCACGCAACGAAAGAAAAAGGAACAACAGAGTAGATGCGATTCAAGAAATTAAAAAAAAATGATATGGAAATCAAACTATCAAACAGATAGGGTGCACAAAGAAGTAGCACCAGAATTGTCAGTCTCATAACAAAGAGAAATGAAAGACTTTGGTGGTGCGGATGAAAGAAAGAGGATCACATACCGTAACTTCCGGCGTTAGAATTAAGCTTTGCCTGGACAATCATGTGGGTAATAAAATGAGAGGCCTCGCTAGCATCTTGAAGTAGCCTCTGGATCTCGGAGTCAGAGGTCACGTTCCTGTTCTCCTCGAATTTTTTACGCACCTCCATAGCCGACTCCTTCAGCATGAGTGTGTCACCGACAAAAGTTTTCCGAGTAGCTCTCAGAAGTGCTCGGTACGCACTCAACACTTCCCCTCTCGCCATCCCCTCCTTCTTCAGCTTGACCCCGCTTTTCCGCAGACGAACCTCATGCGGCGTGATGTAAAGTGGGCGGGGTGAAACGAGGCCATACGGCGTCGTTCTGTCTCGGTTCTTTTGTTCTTTTGTTTTTTCCCCCCCCGGCCTGTTAAAAATGTTTATGAGATGCTTTGTGAAGGGCTTCACTGAAAGCAAAAATCTTTGGTGGCTTTATTGTCCAATATTCCAACGTACCAAATCCTTTCATAAATGTGAGATTGTTCATGCGCTGGGAGAAAGATGGGCCCAAAAAAAAAAAATTCCTGTCCCAGTTTTGTTGCTTTCTCAGGTCTCGAGTTGCTTCATGTCATTCTTTTTTTTTTTTTTTTTACCGGCTCATGTCATTCTATTTTACTCCCACGGAGGTAATATTATTGAATGGTTGAATAAATTATTATGATTTTTCATACATTACTTAATCCCACTTAAATATCATTTCAAATTTAATTAACATCTTCTTGCCAAAAAACAACTTATCATCTCCCATGAGGAAGAATATACATAATATGATTTAACATTAGTTCTGAATGTTCAATGATCAATGTTATCCTACCAAACACCAAACAGAAGTCTACTCAGTTACTTAATTTTGAGTATAATAGGCATCAACTACACACGATGACAAAATCATAAAGCAAAGCATATAATCTTCTTTGCCAGAATAGACTCTTTCTTTGTTAATTGACGAAATCATATGATCTTTCTGTCTATTTTTGATAATTATATTCACTCTCCAAGTCCCAAAACCTTGAGAGAAAAAAATACATGACGCTTGTCTTCTTTCCAATAACTGATAAATTATAATGGCATTTTATTTTAACGTGGAAATTCTTACACAATCACACCCATACGTTTATGCTCACCGAAATATTAAATACATACATGAACATCATAAAACAATCGCTTTTCCAGGACACCCATGCACGCATGCACATAATTTACAAAAATCAAGCCGCATCGCACCCAGATCCTCCTTGTGTATCTGCAGAAATCGATGGGATATTTGACTTGGCGAATTGGCCAAAAATGAAAATAAGAAAAAGAGGCATCAAATGGACACTCTGAAGCCAACCTTCAAAATCAAACCAGCAAGGCAGCATAACATTGAACATCAGAAGGCAAGGTCACTTCAATGCATCAGCCATTCTGCAATCATGCTTCCTCCGGCGGCACCTATGATGAGATTTCTGATCTAACAACGTGTTCTTCTCCCCAGCCGTCTCCACTTTTGAATGTGCAGCCGCTGCAATCATGCTCAAGTCAGTGTCTCAGATTTTACACTACCAATACCAATTATTAATTTTACACAGAACCAACAGCTGTATTCTCACTTACATTCAACATCTGTATGGTTGAAATCAAACCAATCCCACAGAACAGGCCAATAAACGCGAAAACTTGCATCTTGTGCGCAAAACATCCCGAAAAAAAAGATAACTGTGTCCGTGTCCAAACACACCCTATACTCACTGAACACGATACAATATTATGAGACATGTATCTATTAAATTGAGATTGTCTGCATCTCTCATGTTTGTGCCACTACTCACTCTTCCAAAGCCACAATCTTTTCCTTGCTTCCCTACGATGTTGCTATCAACACAGCAATGGCATCTCAATAAGAAACCCCCCCCCCCCAAAAAAAGAAGTCAAGTAAGTGAGATTTTCGGTCAGGTATGTCATATAACATGCATCATATTATCACTTCCCCTGAAAATTTATCACGTATCCCAATACTGCTAGTCCGCTACAACAACTGGGCTTCCACGGTAAAAGATCAGTCTACTCTCTGCATGTTAGACGGCCGTAAATCGGTTCCATTCATTCACTTGTGTTCGCTTATGCAAGGCCACTGTTTCTACATTCAATAAGGCTTCCATCTCTTCAAGCAATGCGTGTTCGTTTTATAATTAGGTCTATCTGAGGAAGCCTCGAGAATCAGCAAACTTCCTTTGGTGTATTTCGAAAACAAATCACTGAACAGCTGAAAAATAAGAATCAACATTGCCTAAACCTTTTAAGAATAATTGAAGCCATTTTATCAAAGGAAAAATTGTTGACAAAAAAAATCTTATTGATTAGCCTCCCGGTCCAGACACGCAGTTTACTTTTGAACAGGAGAAGAAGCACTTTGAGGATTAGTGTTGCGTTGCCAACAACTTGGCAGGCAGATTTCGATCCACCTTTATCTACGTCTCAACAAAACAAAAGTTCGTCAAATTCCGAAGACATGCTATCATGGAAACAAGTAGCCTTCACCATGTTTCCACCACTTACGACGTCATCAAATCATTATGAAAAAACATCATCCAGTGTGTGTTACTTGACAAAATTGTTCCGGCAATCACCCGTCAAGAAGAGTTTGCATTAGCAATACTCTTTTAAACTCTAGGAGCTCTTTTAGTTAAGAATCACCTCCCCAAACAAAGGACCAAATCCGTAATCGCACCGCATATCGTCAGCAAGAATTTTCAAGCAGAAATAATCCCATCAGATATTAATCAGGCCTCTGGAAGGGACAAAAGCAGAAAGGCTGAAATTTCAAGGAAACGTCGCCGGCTACAAAGGAGACGCGAGAACTAACAGACTAATTCAGGAACTAAATCAGAAGCAGGGGAAAAATGGACCTGCTAGTTGATCGCCGCAGAATAACATTCGCGCATCGTCATCTTCCTCATCAGGCTCGTCCCCATATCCAACCTCGGCATCCCCGCGATAACCTGGTTCACTCTCGTACCCCGATTCATTTCCGTTAACATCAGAAACCCCACTTGCCCCAAATCCAATGCCCAGATTCTCCTTCTCTGCACTCCCACCATCTCTCTCCTTGTCCCTCTTAGAATTCTTCGCTTCACTCATATCCAATGACCAATTCGCATCCCCATTCCCGAACAACTCCCCGCTCGAATCTGTTTCCATTGCCACTGGGAAGTCAGAACACGTCCCATGTGCAGCGGATGCCCCGACAGAGCAGCACCTACGGGTTCCGCTCCGATCGCTGCTCCGACCCGACACAGACCTGGAGCCGCGGCGGCCCCTCTTCTTCCGAGCGATGAGGCTGTAGCTTCCAATTTTATATCGGTCGGCTCCAATGGGCTTATCAGCATCGAACAAGGTCAATCTGGACATGTCGATCGCGTCGAGGGTGAATGGGGCGGTGGCGCGGTCGGAGAGACAGGGTCGCTTGGAGTGCATGCCATTGGAAGAGTAGTGATGGGGCCTTCGGTTAGCGCTGAGATGAGGTTCGGAGTCTATGGTTTTAGAGGTGCTGGTTTGGAAGTGAAGAGGCCTCCAACTATGGAGCTGCAACAAGCAGGAGTCCATAAGGTGGCGTGAATCTGACTGATGAGACATGGATTTGATCATTAAAATCTGTATCAACGGCGTTCTGATGCAGCACGGGCAATCGGAGACAAGATGCCGTGGTCTACAAATCTAGAATCTAGAACCCTACATGTCGATGGAACTGCCAGAGAATGTCGGGGGGCGTGAAAGCGGTTGATCCGTAACCATGGAAGAAGCAGCATCGGACGCTCCCTATACTAAGTAATTGCGGGAGGATAATTAATTGAGTTCATTATTTATATAATTAAAAATGTACATGGACCAGTGAATTTAGGATACAAGGTAGATTTGTTTACTCGTGAGAGAAAAACATTTTTATATGTGATAATCATGATACAAATCACAGATTCACTTATCCTACTATCTATTTTAAGTATCAGATTTCCAACATTACTCATTAAATCGTATATCTAGGATCAAAGATAATCTGGTTCTAAATATAAGAGTTAGTTAATTAATTCGAGTAGATTAGAGAAAGAAGTTAAGTTAATTATTTGTAACAAATAGATATTGTCTTTTCTAAAATATCTCTACTAATCAAGTGTATTAGTTAGAACTATCATTATTAAAAAGACTATCTTAGAAAAACATGCATTAAATATAAGAAATAAAGTACATTAAAATCTTATATTTAAGACCAAAATAAAATCAAATGAGATTTTATATTAAAGACTAGAAGTAATATTATAAAAATCATATAAAATAATTATTTATTGTCGATATCGTGACTAATTAGGCCACCATACCTACCCTAATCCATATAATCATATAATAATTAAGGACTTAGTTGGATTCAGATTCATGAGAATTTTCACATAAGCCGATACAAAACTCTTTTCGTATTTTTACCTCGTATTTAATAAATCACTATTAAAAAAATTGTTTATAAGTTATTTATAAGTATTTCCAAACGAGTCCTAAACTAAATGGAAGAATGACAGTCAAGTTTCAAAGAAAAAATAATTATTAAAAAGTCTTAATAACCACTTAAACAGCCGGTAATGACGAGTTTCATAATAAAAAATAACAACTTTTGAATAATTATTTTTTTCTAAGAATCTAATTATAATTCTCTCAAATTAGTTTATCCAATAAAACCCTGTTAGGCCATACAGCTGGTCAATGATTGTTCCAACACTTATATGAGGTGCGGAAAATTGAGAACTACATTTAAGGGTTAATTTTAAAATTCTCTACAAGTCAAGTCAGCAACCCCTTGCGAGCGAAAAACATTCAAGCGGGCGAGCACTCTCTTTGATCCCCTGCTTTTTTGACCTACTAATGAATGTACTACTATTTTGAATGAATTTTATTAGAGGGTGTTTTATAGGAAAAATATGGGGAAAACTAATATTGCAGTCCTTATACTTTCATCTAGTTTTGAATCAGGTTCCTACAGCTTTTTTTCTTTTTATTTCATCCTTCCGTTTTGCTTTGTTATCTGTGCCAACCCTTCCGTTTACTTATGTTGTTAGTTTGAGTTGGATAGTAGTGATCTGACTGAGGAGCTACTGACATGAAAAGAGGAAAAGATTGACTGTGGAAGAAAGAGATCTTGCAAAAAATAAAAAGCTTTTCTTAAATTTCCTTCCCCATGCTCTCTTCTCTATCCCCACTCACTGCTCCCCTTACTCTTCCTCCTCCTCCCCCACCTCCCATTTTTCCCCGTGATTAAACTATTTATTATTATAATTGATGGATGCTCGTGAAAATTCCCCACATCCCATGTTTTATGGATGTAGTTTGGATGAGGGAAGGAAGGAAGAAACCGAGCCCAATCTCATTTGCCTCTTCTCACTACTGTAAATATCGTTAGGCATGTCGACCATGGCAAGACAACTCTCACTGCTGTTCTCACCATGGCTTTAGCGGCTTTCAAAAACAATTCCCCAAAGAAGCATGACTACGTCGACTGTTCGACCCCGCGGATTATGTCAAGAACACGATTGCTAGACCTGCTCAATAGATGTTTCCATCGCCGACGGTCTAAGGCCGCAGACTGAGAAGCATATGCTATTGGGTAAGCAAGTGGGTGTTTGAAATATATAGGGTCGTGTTTCTAAATAAGCAAGACTAGGTTGATGACGAGGAGCTTTTCTACATCTATGAAATTGGGGGTTCATGAGCTTCTTTAGCTTGTGAATTCCCAGTAATGATGTTCCTTGCCTCTCTTGCTTTTGCCATCTCTGTCATTTTCATTTTTATCTTGTCATGCTAGCAAGTGCTTAGATAGCCACATCACTCTCAGTCAACTCAAACTAACGGCATATGTATGTTTTAGTGACAGGAGGACTGGCACATAAAACGGAATAAACGATAAGGATGAGATAAAAAAAAAAAAATCACAAGGACTTGATTCAAAACCCCTTAAAACCATAAGGACCCCCATATTAGTTTTCCTGAAAATATCCGCGTCATATAAATCCACACGTGACTAGACCGTGCATGTGCGGCATCTCATATTTTCCCATGGGGGTCATGACGATTTTAATTTATATCTCTTCTGGTGCCGAGAAGAGCCTATCTCCCGTCCTCTGAAGCCAAAACCCTAAATTCCACCTGCTCACTTCAATACGAGGCATCCCAGTTCGTTTCAAAGGTAAGGTGATGCTAGGCAATGGAATTTCCGGAGTTCTCTTGTATTTTTGACGGGGCGGATAAAAATCAATTTTTGGGTTTTCTTACATCATGCTGATTTTGTTTTTACATGTTGAATTAGTTCAACTGCGAGTTTTAAATCTGAACACGGTCGATGCATTGTTCACCATGGGATGATCCCCTTTTTACTTTCCATCCTATATCTGAGCGACCTTGATGATTGTCGAGAGTTTTGTTTGTAGTTTCTTTCGCCTATTATGAAGTTCTTGGACTTATTACCTCGTAATCTTTTTACATTTCATAGGAAAAATGAGTAGACGTGCGAGCAGAACTGTGTACGTTGGGAATTTGCCGGGCGATATACGTGAAAGAGAAGTGGAAGATCTGTTTCTCAAGGTAGTTTGGCGCTTTTTCTTGTTTTTCAACGCCTTCTCGATCTATCCTCTTGGTGTTTAGTGCTACGGGATTTTATATCTTCCTCGGGTCATTTTCTATCATTTACAGTTGTTGTTCTGAATTAGCGTGATTGAGTGTACGTATTTAAATAGGAAAGCTGGGGAGCGGCTAATCTTCAATATACGAGGGTTGGTTTTCGTAAATGTTTCATAATAAATGTGATCAAGTGTGCGAATCTTGATGCATATTTCATGTTTTAGGAAGGATCTAGCTAAATAGCTAATTCTTGATGACTGGGCAAATTATTGGCGGCTTGTAATTGAAAAGGGACTGTCCTGCATTTTTAATTCCAGTATTTCTGCTCTGGATTGGCAAATGTGAACCAGACATTTAATTGGCCTGTTGGGGTGCAAGGCAGCTGGCCACCATGAAATAGTGCAGGCCTCTGCGAGACTGCAATTCTACTGAAATGAGACGGATATAGTGGGAGTAACGGAAGATAGAATGGCCAAATTCTGTTGGTCGTAACTTGGAACTAAGAGAGTATCCTATTGTTCTTTCAAGTTTGATTGATAATCTCTCGGTGTTAAGATATCATACATCTGAATCCCGCCAACCAAATACTCTTTTCCTAGGTGTTGTGATCCGATTGGCTTATAGACTAATTATACCCCATGTATTGCAAGTCTTGCAAAATCTTTATAATAAGGCACCCTGGTTGGGTCCCTTTTTGGATTGAAAAAGTGTTGGGTCTTACTTTGATCAAAGCCATCTGAAGCCTTAAAACCTGATATTGAAAACCGTTAGAACATACCTCGGCCTAGGTTTCCTTCCAATACTTATTTGTGAATTTTAGTGCATCCGAATTCTAGACTAGTAAAGGGGATTGTGGAAAACTAATATATTATTGATGATATGTTCGAAAGAGTAGAATCACTTATTTCTCTTGTGGAGTAATGTGCTTGCACTGATTAAGATTCCTTTCTTACAAATCTCTACCCTGCAGTATGGACACATAACTCACATTGACTTGAAGGTTCCACCCAGACCCCCTGGGTATGCATTTGTAGAGGTGAGTTTGTTTTGCCAGGTTGGTATTACTTTTCTCGTTTTACCCTATCCTAATTATTTAGTGATTTTTGCAGTTTGAGGATGCTCAAGATGCCGAAGATGCAATTCGTGGTCGTGATGGCTATGATTTTGATGGGCATCGGTTACGGGTTGGTTATATCTTACTTGCTATGGGTTACATGATAGGTGCAGCACCTTGCCTGTAGGTTAAGTTTATATCTTTGTAGGTAGAGCCTGCACATGGTGGACGTGGTCATTCATCATCCAGAGATCGACATAGTAGTCACAGTAATGGTCGAGGTGGACGTGGGGTTTCTCGGCGTTCCGAGTACCGTGGTTTGTGATTTTTCTGTTGAAGCACTTGCAGTTTGTTGCGAGAAACGCTTTGATTTGTTTCCTGAATTTTTGTTTTTCGTTTTGCAGTACTAGTCACTGGGTTGCCCTCTTCTGCTTCCTGGCAGGATCTTAAAGTGAGATACTGAGATGTAGTATTTATTTAATTATTTTGGAAAATTTTTCTGGGATGGTACATGAATGTCATAAAAATGATTTTCTAAATTCAGGATCACATGCGGAAAGCAGGAGATGTTTGTTTTTCTCAGGTTTTTCATGATGGCAGAGGTGAGATATATTCGACTTGATTTTTTTTGTTTTAAATTTTGCTCAATTATGTGGATGTCAGCGAATAGAAGTTTATGTAGTCAAATTAGTAGTTTTTTTTGTTATTCTTTCTTGCCTTCATTTATCCTGTTAATCTTTTTTGTGGGAGGGTGGAGTTTGGGGCTGTTAAAAAGTTTGGTGTGATCTGTTATTTTTCCTGCTTTTATTTGCGTTTGATATTATTTCTGTGAAACTCCTATGTATTATCATCGTCTTCTGTAGGAACAACTGGGATTGTTGACTACACAAACTATGATGACATGAAATATGCTGTAAGTTGCTTCAATCTTTGTATAATTTTATTTATTTCTGTGTAACATGGCACAGAACTTTCCATTTTGCTTCATGTTTTCAATATGAAATTTGGGATTTTATACCTCTTCAGATCAAGAAGCTTGATGACTCTGAGTTCCGAAATGCATTTTCCAGAGCATATGTTCGTGTAAGAACCAAGCCTGTTATTTAGAGAAGTTGCATTTGGTTTAGCGAGTTGTACTTATCAGTTTTCTTTGTTATTATAGGTGAGGGAATATGATTCAAGGCGGGACTCCTCTAGAAGTCCTAGTCGTGGCCGATCTTATTCCAGGGGGCGAAGTTATAGCCGCAGCCGCAGCCGCAGCCGTAGTTATAGTCGAGGCCGTAGTCAGAGGTCTAGGAACGTTGGTTTGAAATCAGTGCTGATCCTTATGCGAGATTTTTTGTTAACTTATGTTTGTGCCTTTTATTTTATCTTGCAGCAAATCGCCAAAGGGTAAATCTTCACAGCGTTCACCTGCTAGATCTCCTTCAAGATCTGTTTCGCGCTCACGCTCAAAGTCAAGGTCCCGTTCTTTGTCAGGGTATGAAATATAAGTTTCAGTATGTTTTATCCATGTGTTTGTTATTGGTCATTGCTGCAGTTTACTCTTTGAAACATTGCTTCCTGTGATAGATAGCATTATTCTCTATCTCAGTGGATGGTTTACTAGTGTTATTTAGACTTTTTTATGGTGTTCAAAGGGATCAAAAGAGCCCTTCCTGAAAAGATGTTTAAGATGGAATTGGAAAAACATTTAGAGAATGAGTGCTGGTGGTGAATAGGATCCAAGTAATGTACAAGTAGTAAATTATCAGTCTTTTACCAATAATTTATTTTAATGTGAATGGTTCTGAATTTCGGTTGCTTCATTGCTAGTGATATCAATTATGCACGTTTTATTGGGCTTCTTAGGACCGGAGGTAGTATTAAAGAATCTGAATTGCTTTTTTTTTTTTTGGGGTTGGCCATAAGACTGTTTCATTTATCACCCTTCCCTTCCAAAAATAAAATGGATATAAAGGAACTTACTGTTGGCAGTAAGTTTCTGTGAATGTAAATACAATATTGTCACAAGTTTTTCATTGTCAATTAAGATATAATCATTATTTTGGACACCCAACTATTGCTTTCTCCCTGCCCCTCCTATCATCTCTCTCCCCAGTTTTTCATGTGCGGGGGATCTGGGGCAAAAGATGCTGCCTTGTCAGAGTGCTCGGTTTCTCTTTCCTTTTGTTTTGTGAAAAAATTCCTTTGTTTTTGTCCTTAGATATGGATACTTGGAGCAAACTGGGAATTGGAAATTAGGAACTTGGTGTGATTTGGTTCAATTGCCTGCAACTCAATTTGTTGTGGAGGTATGATATTTTTAAGATGGGCGACTTTGGATACCTTCAAAGTACATTTGTTCTAATGCCTTTAGCATGTGGATGTCCATGGGTGCTAGATTGGGAATCAAGGAGATCATGGATTGCTATTTTAGAGCGGGATGTCTTGTGTGCTAAAGCAAGTGGGATTTGGAAATCACCATCAATGAGAATAATAAAGAGAATTTCATTACAATTGTCAGCTCCAAGATTTGCCAAGCTAATAGGATGCACTATATGGATTCTCTGGATTGTTATGGTGCTGTAGGGAAGAATTCTTCTCTCCAATTCTGGTGTCCTAATATTACCTTATAATGCTTTATTTTTACTGGCATCTTATCCTATTTATAGAAGTAAAATGTCTATAAGTTTGTCTTTATGTTCTTTTCTAATTAAGGCTTTTGTAGTTTAATTATCTCTGGATGTACCTCTTTATCGTGATAACTGACCTGGGAGAGGCATCAAGGCCAGTTGGATCAAATTTGATTGAAGGAACTTGTGGAATTTAAATTATGTTGTTTCTGGAACTTTTGCAGATCACGATCAAGATCGAGATCTCCATTACCTTTGGTGAGTGAATTTGCAACTCTAATCAAATGTGGATTTTGTTTGTTTTAAGTGCAACATTGAATGGGGTTCTTGGCTTTTTGTTTTAACCCATGAATTATGATAAAGCATGGGGATTTCAAGGTATAAATAGAATTTGATTATTGATTACCGTCTTTGATTTTTAAACCATTGTTTTGGCACTTGCGTTTGACAATTATAAGATCAAGTTTGTTTCAAGGGAAATTTGAAGTTTGACCTACGATTCAGTTAAGTTAGACTCCTTTGCCGCTCCTGTGTTTGATCGTGTATCTTTGGCAGCGTAATAAAAGCCCAAAAAAGAACAGCACCAGCAGAAGCCCTAGCAGGAGCCGGAGCCGGAGCCGGAGCAAGAGTTTGTCTCGGTCTCTCTCATATTTCACATTTATCTTGATGATAGCCTTTCATTCCCTCATTAATTATTTCACACTCTCCAATTGAACATCTCTGTCGATATGGTCATCTAAATTCTAGTATGCTTTTAGGCTTTTCTTCTTGGCTGATTGGTTCTTGGTCTGGCAGGTGAGCTCTGATTGTTGTCGATCTTTCAGTTTATGAGGTTGTGAATGATGGTGAGTTCTATAAAATTTGTGCCGTAAACTGACATCGGCCGAGTAAAACAGCTAATTGGCTTAAAGTTGTTGATTAAACTTTTTGAATTGAACACACTTCGACTTGTAACTTGTCGTTTCCATCTAGTCCATGAGAATTAGTTGGTTTTAGCTTTCTGTATGATTCTGTGGAGGGTTTATGCTATTCGGTCGGATATAGTTGGACATGCTTTTAGCTGTTGTATCGTACTTATGAAAAGCTTCGTTATAGCTAGAGTGTTGCATTCATTTTATTTCTCTCTCATTTGCCATTTCCAATTAGAAGAGAATAGGACATGGGATGCTCGTGATGACGTGGCATGGAAGGTTTTTATTACATGTTAAATATATATTCAATCACGCTTATTCCATCGCTACATGTAACGGAAACTCCGTCAAGTCATAAGGTTTACAAGTGATGAATAGTGATCTGTTTTCTTAGGCTTTTTGTGATCCATGGGATCCAAATAATTTTTTTATAAAAAAAAAGTCTGAGCAAGTAATGCGTTGTGCACTTTGAATTTGGGGAAGCGTGTCAATCAATTCTTTTGTGAAGTTTAAATTTTATCGTATAAATTTAAAGGTATTTTCACGACAGTGTGAATAAGAGCTTATTTTCTCGGAGTTTTAATTTTAGTGTAGTTTTGGAAGTTCGTAATAGCCCAATATCAAAGGGAAAGGGGCTCTGGAGCCTTTGGGTGATCAACTAAGCTTCCAAATTCATTTATAAATGGTAAAAAATGTATTTTTGGGATTATAACTTCATTTACGGTTTCGGTTTTCAGTTGTCCTTTAATTTGAAAAATTATCATTTTTAGCCTTATGATTTTAATACTAAATGATGATTTTTGTTGTAATTATTATTTTGTAAAATAAGCTCAATATGCCAACAAATGGGAGCATTTTGTTAACATTTAAAATTTTAAAATCAGTATGTTTTGTTGACGGAATTAGAGTAAAAAGATACCTTCTTAAGACTAAAGTTTGCACGTGGGCCGAGAAAGGATCAAATTTTGCAGTACTGAAAACTATAAAACGACTAATATCCCGAAAGTAATATTGCTCCGCGGCCCGACATCTCTCTCCCCGTCGCATCGGTTTTAAGTAAGCGTGGGATGGGGCGGATAACAAGTGGAAGTGATTAAATTATACTGTGAAGCTCCTATTTTAAGCGAGTGGAATAAAGTGAAAGTGATTAAATAGTAGTCGTAATGGCATAATATTGTGTATGCAAGCGGGAAAGGATAATGCTATAATTGACAAGGGAATTATTCGGGAGAATGGGATAAGAGGGCAATGGATGAGGATGGGCAACGTGGAGGTACGGAGCGATTGAAATGTGTGGTGCAGACTGCAGAGTGAGGGGGCGACACATCAATTATTCAATTAGCGATCTCAACTGATCGACAACGGCCAAACAAACCCCCCCCCCCCCCCCCAAAAAAAAACACTCTTCTTGTGTTGTATGCTTGTGCTTTCTAGTTTCTACTCACCCACCCACCCACCCACGATGGCGACCCTTCTTCCTCCCTTTCTTTTCCAGTCGGTCCCACCTTGTCCCTTACTCTTCACTCTCTTCACCCTCATCATTCACAGTGCTGATTTTACAGATGCGAATCCTTCGCTGTGGCTTTTCTTACCACTTTTAGGCCTTGGCCCTTCATCAGCTTCCCACAGTAGTTTTGCTTTTCCCCATGAGTTAAAAAGGGCTTTCTAATTTTTTCCCCCTATTTTGTATTGTCCAAATCTCATCTGAAAAAAATCTAACAGTGCAGGCACATGGCGGAGATATTACGGACACATTGCGATAAAAATAGGAATTGACTTGTGGTGAGGGGCGACGTGATTTATTGCAATTGGCAGTGTCTGGTGGGAAACAGTCCGGTAGTCAGCATTGGTGGTGCTGTTTCTGATATACAAAGCAACAAGCCTCTCCAGTTGTAGATTCCATTCACCTCCCCAGATTCTTCTTGTATTTTTTCCTAATTCCACCGCTTCATCGTCCACCTCCGTATTGCATACTCTTTGATCAGACATGGCCGACACCGCCTTCTCATTGCTCACCGACGATCTTGTTCTCAACATTTTTCTTAAGCTCGACGACGATCCCCGCCATTGGGCTCGTCTCGCCTGCGTCTGCACCAAATTCTCCTCTCTCATACGCAATTTCTGCTGGAAAAACAAGTGCTCCCAGAACATCCCTTCCGTTGTATCCGATCTCCTCTCTGATTCCTCCTCTCCGCCCGGCGGTTGGGCTTCCTTGCATAAGCTCGCCGTGTGCTGTCCAGGCCTCCTTCACGCCGGGGTCCTCCTAGAGAGCTCCGATTTCGGGCTTGAGCTTGAGCTCGGCCCGGAGGAGAATTATCAGAAGTTGTGCTCACCGAAAACGACGGGAACACACCCTGAGATTTGCTCGGGTCGGTTGGATAATAACTCAGATGTGGGTGCTTCCCAGTCCGATTGTTGTTGGTCCCTTTTCGATGATCTATATTTTGATACTGTCTACGATACTTCTGAATCCCAGCACAATTCTGAACCTCAAATCCATGAAGAGGTTGAGAAAGGCGTCGTCAAAGTCGGTGGCGAATTCTCTTCGTGTAAGAAGAGGAAGGTTCTTGGATCACCGAGGTCGCATTTGGCTTCTAGAATCTGGAATCTGAGCAGAGAGGAGGGGAACAAGCTGCTTGCCAGACAATTTCGGGATGACTGTCTGTACATTTGCGATTGGCCTGGCTGTGTGCACGTGGAGGAGAAGAGGAACTACATGCTCTTCAGAGGCATTTTCAAGAACTTTAAGCGGTCCCGTGTGTGGCGAACTATCAACGATGGCAATCGGAGGAAGATTGATATGCACTGCGCGTTTTGCCTGTGTAAGGAAACTTGGGATTTGCACTCTGCATTCTGTTTAAGGCGAATTTTCGGGTACCACGACGATGGCGAACCAGTTGTTCGAGCCTATGTTTGTGAAAATGGTCATGTCTCCGGGGCGTGGACGGATTTGCCGTTGTACACTTAATCCAGATATTAGGTTTTATGTGAACTTGCTCGTTAGTCCTTCCAGATTATGTGAGAATCCATTCTGCTTGGCTGTGTTACTACTTTTCCTGCAGTTATCATGCATTGTTTTCTCTACTGAAGCTCAGGCTTTCCGATGTGTTGTTTTTATGGGGCTTGTGTTGAGTTCCATGAGAGGACACCCGACTATGGCAATTATTTATCATCATGAAAACATAACTGAAACTGTATTCACCTTCCTGGAATTCGATTTTCTTATGGCGGCATGAATGTTTTCCTGACTTAATTGCTGTTTGGTATAAGTATGTCTCCGAGCATATCTGCATGCGGGAAGATGGTAGTGCAGGGCTTGTTTTGCCTTCCCCTATTTGGTATCTTGGAATATTTTATCAGTTTAATAATCTCGGTGTCAATATTTTAATGGTTCTTTCTGTCCCGAATCCCAGAAACGGGCCCTGGTGGAAAAAGGTGTCTAACATGTCGATTTTGTTTTGGAATAAATTATTGTGCACTACCTTCTTCATGAAGTTGGTCATCCGTCCTTGTCAGTTCAGAATCCGGATGGTGCTTCAACAACTTCAAGAGGTGTCGAAGGAGGGTAAGATTGCAGACCCAGCTCTGAGCAATAGATGAACTTTATTTTGTCCGTATGCTTGGATTTAATGGTTATTACTCTGCCCGTTTTATAGATCCTTTGTGGATCAAGACTTTAACAATTATCATAATATTTTTTTTTTCTTGTCAACCAATCTTTCTTTTTCTTTCTGTTACTTTTATCCGCCTGATTTTATTCCTCCTTGACTTAGACTTACAATATGGTCCTGTGTGATACAGAGCATTGAGAATGAGAGGCTAAAATTAGGATTGAGATTAATAAAGTTTATTAAAAAAAAGTATTTACTATGTGATTTTTTTTTTTTGGACATGAGTGATTGTTTGCTAGGAATATCATGAAATGAAGTAATATTTTTTCATCTCACTTATATGAGTTTGTTTAATTCCAAGTAGTAAGTGATTCCTCATGTAAAATAGTTTTTTTAATGTATTTTCTCAATCTTAATCACAATTCTTACCTATATATTATTTCGTTGGTTTTATTTGAGTGAGACAGTTAAGTTGTTTCTGTTTGCATTTTCTAATGCTCATTTGCCTTTTGTATTTTTATATTATGTAATCATTCGGTACGGATTTTTTTCCACAGGCAAAAGTGGAACTTTTGCTGCTACTAACAAAATTAATAATTTAAAGTACTTTTAATAGTTTTATTTTCAACGAACCAAGAATATGACAGATGAACGAGGGGATGGTTATGAGCCATGCACGCACGCACACACTTTCTTGAGAATAATAATCGGGGGGAGTGCTTCACCATCATTAAAATGAATCCCCAGTCTCTTATAAACTATTTTAACTAGCAACCGCGCCCCTTAGCTGATAAGCGGCAATGCAATGTGTAACCTTAATTAACGATTTTCAGTTTGAGCTTTGAACATGCAGTTAAGTACATGTTTAGGGAGACTCGCGTTCTTGTGGTCTATCTGTCTCGGTACAAAATCGATTCTCGGGGTCTGAGGAACTTTGGATATTGCCGCTTCATGTTGGATGATGCTTTTGGCAAGCTGGCCAAACGGCCAGGCTGTTGAGGCCGTGTTTTCAGTTTTAATACTGGCAGGATTTTCTTTTGTTTTCTTAAATAAGAGACAAAATGCCATTACTAGAAATTAGTTAGTTTAAATACAAGCAGCAGGGAAAGCAGAAAGAAAATCGAGATATAAATTTGGAAGAGAAGAATATGAAATACAGTGTAAATGAACATAGTTAAACAGAGAGGAGATCTTCAGAATGTCATGCACCACATATGCAGACATAACATTCTTATTGCAGATTACTTAGCCAGGATAGCAAATAATAGGGCTGATTATTTTTGTATCCTTGATCAACCTCTAACTTTAGCTCTTGAGGTGGAGATTGATGAAGGAAGATAGATTTTTTGTTCTTTGGTGTTTTGTTGTTTAGTTTATTAAAGTACTTCATTCAAAAAAATAAAGTCTTGCACCATTGGCATCCGAAGCTGTGGAAGGATTTTCTTTTGTTTTTTTTTTCTCAAGGAAAAAATTACAGAGAGGAACCAGATCGCAGCTAGCAAGTGGGCACCAATCGGAGACAAGAGATTCATATGGGAAGACATAAGTAAATGAGTTTCTGCTTGAGTTTTTAAAGATAAAAACACATGAACAGTCATTTGACCCCACCAAAGTCCGCATCGAACCTGTTACGAACCAGTGAATGTAGACAAATAGTACGCCCTTCCTCTAAAATGGGTTGGAATGTGTGTATGCCTAATTTATGTAGAGTTGGCGGGATGCCCTTACATAACCTCTTGAAGTATTTGCCATGCAATTAGTTTTTTTGCCCCAATTAACAGTTAGCATAACAGTGCCTATCTGCATGGCAGGTAAAACGTAAAAGCTCCCTCAGCCTGAAGCCTGGAGCTCAAAATCACGTTTGAGTACTGGGGCAAATGGGCCTTCGGAGCTTCCGAAATTGACTTTTCTTCAATAAAAACGACTCTTCACATATGCCTTTTTCAATGATATTTTAAATTTCTATATTATTTTTTAATTTTGTATTTATATTTTTATTCATTAAATACATTTAATTACCTTTTTAGTATTTATAATTTTTTATTTTCAAATAAATTCTTTTATTTTTATAATTTCAATTTTAATATTTCTATTAAAGTTATTAAATTATTTAATATGATCCATGCGTACTTTAGCCTATATTTTTTTAAAATAAAATAAAATCATGTGTTTCATGAAATTTATGAACTAAAATTTTAAATGGTTAGAATTATAGGGACTAAGTTAAATTTTGTGTAATGAGTGACAATAAATTAAGATTATAGGGATTGGATTGTACCCAATTAAAATTTAGGTACTAAATTATAATTAAGCCAAACATATAGGAACTAAGAAAAAAACAAATTTTCCAATATATTGAGAAATCTGGCAAAAAAGAAAAGGCATGTGAGGAGGAGAGAAGACGGAGCATCCGATCCTTCAAGTGCCTTGTAAAAAAAAAAAAAAAATCATCCTAAAAGTAAATGGTGATTAAAGTTGGGAAAAAAAAGTTAAATGGTTATTAAAGACTATATTTTAATTTTATTCTCATTAAAAAATGATAGTGATTCTAATCATACACAGAATTTTTTTTAATAAAACTAAATTTTAAAATTTTTATCAATTAAAACATAAAAAATACCCTAGTTATCATTTCTTAATATGTACTACAGTGATCCTTTTTATTTGTTATTTGTAGGAGTTTATTATATAATAATAAGAGCATTAAATAAATGAAATTTTTTACCTTTATCTTTATTAAATAGATAGTATATTTTCTCTTACTCATTCTCTCTCTTCATCTTTATAATTAATATGGACAAAATTGAAAATAAGATATTAAAAAGAATAAGTGACAAATATATAAGGAGATAATCAACTATGGTAGTAATAATTAATAAGCTATAAGTGATAAATAATAAACTCTTGAAAGGTGCTGTCTTTTAGGACGCCATTGTTACTTATTAGCATACTACTGTATGTTAAGAGAGCAAGACAGTAAGCAGTAAGGTAGCCTGGGATTACTTGAATGGAAACTGAATTATGTTTTAAAAATAATTTTATAACATATGGAGTAAATATGTGATGGATTTTAATTTATGAAAAAATATTTTTTTAAAACATTTTTATTTAACGCCAAGCACTCCCTTGCTCGCAACAGCTTGTCAGCAGGCGAGGAGTGGTTTTCTAGGAAGCATTTATCATATCGGGCGATAAACTGAAGCGAACCAAAACAATAACACCAAAGTTCGGCTAACACGGAGCGCTCTCCAAATTAGGCGCGGCTTGCGGTGACTTCCAGACGCATTAAGGGTGTGTTTGGATAGAAATCAAATCATGGTTTCAGAAATATTTTTACGAATTACGAAGTAAATATATGGAGGAGATTATCTTGTTTTGTGGAAAAAATGCTTCTGAAACTACAGTTTTAGGATACCCAAACAGGCTCTAAGACTAAGAAAAATCTTTTAATCATCATTTCCTTTTATTATTTTATATCAGTTTGAAATAGTTTATAAGTAATTTTTTAATTATAATTTACAGGATATAAAATAAGTACGCGAGAAAAATTCTGTTGTGATTTATACTAGTATAAAATATGTTTATAAGTATTTTTGAACGCTATCCTAAACAGGACTTGAGGAGATCCTTCTAAAATAACGACGTCTTTAGTGAGTTAATTGTGTGGATGTTTGGTTTCCTTGCAAATTGAGATAAAATCTTTTTGGTTAAAGTATACTTTAGTCTTTTAATTTTACATAAGATTTTATTTTGATTCTTTAACTTTAAAAAATATACTTTTAGTCTTTTAATTCTAAAATTATTAGTCTGAAATAATGATTTTTTATAACAATCATGATTGTTTTAAATGTTTTATCAATAAGAACTTAATATCATCATTTTTTGTTAACAGTTTTAGGATTAAAAAACTAAAAATTGATTTTTTAAAATTAAGAGACTAAAATAAAACCTTATATAAAGTTAAAGGACTAAAAGTATATTTTAGTTAACTCTTTTCATATACTACTTCCGATCCTTAATATAAGACTCCGTTTGAATTTTTGTTTGGTCCTAATTATACGACCCGAATCTATTTTGTCTCTCATATTTATACATTTTTTTTTCAAGATAGTCCTTCTAATAATGATAGTTCTAACTAATACACTTAATTAGCAAGGATATTTTAGGAATGACAACATTTATTTATTACAAATAACTAACTTAATTTACTTCCTTAATCTCTTCAAATAAGTCAATTGGGTTTTATAATTAGGACCGGAGGTAGTATTTACTTTATAAAATTATTTTTAAAATTGTAATTTAATTTTTACTCAAACAAACAACGCAAGCGGTGACGTAGGGAAGCCGAAATGTTCACGAAATCAAAATGGATGGCCCACGTACCTGGACCTAACCCTTCCTCCACCGAATGAGCATGTTTCTCCCCTGTACAGAATATCGAATATAAAATAAAACAAGCTTCGATAAGAGGTCCTGACCCAGCCAAAAAGAAAGAAAGCAACACGGCGAGGAAGATGCAGCTAGACCCAGATGCTTCATCTCTGACGCTTGCTTTCTTGCTTATCCTAATGCTCTTGAGCTTCGGAGAAGAAGTGCGTAGTGCTGATAACTATACCATAAACGATTTCCCAGCTAACTTCATTTTTGGATCGGGCTCCACTGCTTATCAGGTTCCTTCCTTCTGTTTGTTTTGCCCTTCTTTCTCTGCTTCTTTCTTTACGACTCTGACAGATGATATGTGAAGGTGGAAGGAGCCGCGAATGAAGATGGAAGAACTCCTAGTATCTGGGACACCTTTGCTCATGCTGGTTTACTTCTTCTCGCTCTTGCTTTTATTCATCGTATCATATACCCAAAGGCGAACCCTCGTTATAATATTATACCGTTTCTTATAATAAGGGAATGCGGATGGGGCCACTGGAGATGTAGCCTGCGACGAGTATCACAAATACAAGGTCTATACCCACACTTCCCCTCTTTCTCTCTCTGTTGATTTTGTTTTTCCGTGAAAAAGTTTTGCCGCTAACGCAATTCCGCTATATATGTCTGGACGATCCTTAATGCCCAAAGGGAGGTGTGGAGGATGTGTTTTGTTGTCGTGAAATTTGAATATCTTGTACAATACAGGAAGATGTGCAACTCATGGTTGAAACAGGGCTTGACGCCTATAGATTTTCCATTTCCTGGTCCAGACTGGTACCAAGTACAGTTCCCATCCCGAACTCCATGGTTATTTTATTTTATTTATTTATATTCAAACTTTATAACGGTAACCGAGTCACTTTTTATCTAGATGGCAGAGGACCCACCAACCCAAAAGGGTTACAGTACTACAACAATCTCATCGATGAACTTCTCAGCAATGGTTGAGCTCCGCCCTTTTTTTTAAAAGAAAGCATTCATTTTTTGGGCTAAAAAAAAACTCAGTACATGTTTCTTTGGTGAAGAAACCGTGGGTCGAAATCTCTTTAGGTTCTTCAATTGATACAATATTTTACTCCCGTGAGCAGGAATCCAACCGCATGTAACACTACATAACTTCGATCTCCCGCAGGCACTTGAAGATGCATATGGAGGTTGGGTGAGTCGTGACATCATGTACGTCCCAGATCTTTTGTACCTTTCTTTGTGTGTTATCCTGTGGTTTGGATACGTTGCCCTGATAGGATTCAATTAATGACACGAATCATGAATGTGAATGCAGAAAAGACTTCAGAGACTATGCTGATGTGTGCTTTAGGGAGTTTGGTGACAGAGTGAAGTACTGGAACACTGTTAACGAACCCAACGTCTTCGCTTTAGGAGGTTATGATCAAGGAGCCCTACCACCTCAGCGATGTTCGCCACCATTTGGTTTAGTGAACTGTACTAAGGGCAACTCAACGACTGAGCCCTACTTGGTAGTTCATCATGTTATGCTGGCACATTCTTCGGCTGTCAGGTTGTATAGGAGAAAATATAGGGTATATTCCTTTCATTTCCTCAATGAATTAGATTACTTAGAACCCTTATTTTGGATCTCAGCCCTTTTTCTTTTTTTGTGATTCTGGACTTGTTATTCTGGTTATAAGGAAGACATTTAGTGGCAGGGATAACTTTAATGACACCGCACATATTATTATCACATTGCAGAACAAACAGCAAGGATTTGTGGGTATCAGTGTTTATACATATGCGTGTATTCCTCAAACTAAAACAGAAAAAGATGTGTTGGCAGTTAAAAGAGCCGATGATTTTCTCGTTGGCTGGTAAGTTGCTGAGCCTGTAATTGGTCGTTTTTAACTTGTATGCCGTCTCACTTAAGCTCTTTGCTTACTCCATCCTTGAGCTTTGTTTTGGGGCAATGATTTGAGGATTTTTAGGATGCCACTTACTTTTATTGCAGGGTTCTAGAGCCCTTGGTGTACGGAGATTATCCTGCTTCCATGAAAGCCAACGCAGGAGCAAGGATTCCTGCCTTCACAGATCGTGAATCCAAGCAAGTTAGGGGTTCATGTGATTTTATTGGCCTTATCTACTACACCACTGCTAATGTATCAGACAATCAAGATTCACTGAAGCAGGAGTTTAGAGACATCGGTAGAGATATGGCTGCAAATATAATCTGTAAGTTCTTTTGCTATTTTCAACTATTTAAGGACAGTGCAAGTTTCTGTAAAAGTGGTGGGGGCAATGTACTAACCGCCTTCTTGGTTTGACAGTTGAAGCGGATCTGTTTACAGAAGAAGAGGTAAGAGTTGAATCGTAAATAATGAATTGGTTCGGTGATGTGGATCAGCTCAACGTATAAGTAATTGGCTTCATTTTTACTCAGTACCCAATCAAACCATGGGGTATACGGCACGTGCTGGAAACATTCAAGCTCCTCTACGGGAATCCTCCTGTATTCATTTATGAAAACGGTAAATCATATTATTAAGAATCTGTGGTGCCAGCCAGAGTATGCATCAGAATATATAACTTGGGATGGCATGTGTTGGTAGGTCAAAGGACGGCTCGCAATACATCACTCGAAGACGTTTCAAGGGTGAAATACCTGCACGCACACATTGGAGGCGTGCTTGATGCCTTGAGGTAAGCAGTCTCGACTTTTGATTGCTCAGGTTTGTTATGTAGGAATGAATATTACCATGAATTGGGAATAAGTTGGGCGTGGTCATACGGCAGAAACAAGTTCGTGACCTTTTTAAAAAGAATAAGGAAGTCACTGGTTTGTACTATGGCAAACGTTGGTTAAATGGTTATGCGTGTTTTTGATATGTTCTGTGACTCTGAAAATATTGGCAGGAATGGGTCAAACACGAGAGGGTATTTTGCGTGGTCTTTCCTTGACCTGTTGGAGTTACTTGACGGATACAAATCCGGCTTCGGCCTCTACTATGTTGATCTGGATGACCCTCACCTCAAAAGATACCCAAAGCTCTCCGCCAAGTGGTACTCTCGGTTTTTGAGGGCTAGAAATGCCTCCTCCATCGTCTCACCTACCCATCTTCATCGCGACGAGGATCCATCTCTTCTACGTGTCGCGCATTTATTTCAGTAGGAGAAGGGTGGGGGTGTTGAGTTTGTTCGCATTATTGTTATCACCATGGTTGCTTCCCCGTCCCCCCGGATGTAACTTTCATTTCTCGATGATACTTTTTTAGTAATCAGATTCTACCCAAAAATTAAAAAAAAAGTAATTTATTGTATCGCGACTTGTTATTACAAAGAAGTCTGACTTGCTTCCCTAATTATGAGGCTTTTTCCCACGGCCAACAGACACAAAATATGTGCGCGTATGGTGTTCAATGTTCATGTCTTATCCTACTCGCCTGCTCCTGAGTCCTCTCCACTCTTCCTTCTCATCTTCAATACTCGCCCGTGTTCTGAACTGAAGCCCCCCCAACCCCCCTCCTTCTCTTTTTGCTCTCCCTCTTTTCTCTTGCTCACACACGACAAAGAATAACTTCGCAGCTTAATTTGTATTTTAAGGGAAAACAAGCAAACTGATGGAATCGTATTTCGAAACCAATTTGACACTTCCATAGTCGAGAAATTTGCTCATAAATTATTTGCAACTGGAAATCACATCTTATTCAAGAATTTCCCGGTAGACAATGAAATCAAAGCAAAACATCTATCGGGTAAGGGGGCATATTTTATAATTATATAATACAAGGTAGTTTTATCATTAATTAGATTAAACATATAATAACACAAAATAAAAGTACACAGTCGACACACCACAACAACATAGCTTTAAATTTCTAAGAAAACTTTATTGATGTACGCTGCTGCTGCAAACACTTTATTGCTCTCCGCTGGTAATGCAGATTAATGTTTTGTTTTTGGCTTCTTCACTATCATCACAGTGCAGTGAGCATGATGTGCACAATAGTCACTCACACTACCTAATACCGCCCTGCATATAAAAGAATCGTCAAAATACAGTATTTTGGAAGATTTCCACGTGCTGGCTTCTGTATGAATGTTTAAACACTTACAATTCAATGATGAATTGAACAAAGAGAGCCAAATAAAAGGAGAGAGGAGAGCACATAATTTAATCATGAGTGATAATAAGCACGTGAAACCGTCAACAGATGGACAGAAGCACAAATAATGCAGTCTAACATTAATTTATGAGGGGACCAAATGAGCATATTTGGGCTTTGCCAATACTTCTCATGAATTTAATAAAGTGGCAAATGCATCACATTTATGGTAAAATATAGAAATAGAAAGTTCCATAATGCTAGGACTAGTTCACTATATTCATGGTATTCTCCACAATCATTAGTGACATCATTGTGACGGCAGGATGATTGATAATCACCAGCAGGTGGATCTTACCTCTTTATAGCTCCATAACCATGACTACCCACGACCAGCATTGAAGCATGATGCCTTTCAACTGCATCGCAAAGTACATTTCTTGCATCACCTTCCACAACTTCCACCATAGCATCATTCACCTGAGCGAAAGTTGGTAATCGGATAATCAGAGCAGAGTTTATTACGCGCCTATCTTAAAATCACTGAGAGTCGAGACTTAACAACATCAGAACTTGGCTCAATAACTTGACTGTATAATTTATCTGGTCATAAGCATGAAAAAGGAAAATCACAATCATACAAACGCCACATCCTCCAAGCCTATCCCGAGGAGGAAAAAAATAGAAAGATGGAAACACGAGGCACCACAAGACAGTTATAAAAAATTTCGTATTCAAAGAAGAACAATCACATGCAGAGCGCAGCACCACAAAAAGTCGGCAGGGACATATCAAACAAATATTTGGGACCAAAACCTATACCGTCAGCATGAATTCAAGTAATAAATTTAAATATTCATCTCTCTCCCAGTTATAAGCCTGTGACTAGATTTGTTCCTTCGATTTCTTTTCTATTTCCAACAAGACATTTCATCAGAATTAATAGATTAGGAACATTAGTTTTGAGTGGCCTAAACAATCACATATATATCATCCATGAATAACTGAAAGGATAACTTGGAAAAAAATGACAAATTACCGATTTGCCGGTGCAGAGTTCTTTTGCCTTTTCAACAACTCTGGCAGCAATCTGTCTCAGATCGGCATCAACAATGGGCAAAACATCAGCGGCTCCTGCAAGCTAATCATCGTATCAAATCCCACGTAGTCAGAGGTAAGGCAATTCGGAATCAGTAAGTTGGGAGTAGAGTAACAGCGTACCAGGGCCAGCAAGGCCAACGACGGAAGTAGCGGAAGGCTTGGCATGGACAAGAACGAGCCTGAAGAGAGGATTAGGACCGGATGCGAAGAAATGATCAAGAGTCCATTGGAGGGCGTAGATGCTATGATCGTAGTCATCGATTCCCACCACCATCACTTGCTTCTCTGAAGTAGCCATGGAAACCTCTGGTCTTTGGTTGGAAGCCAGATGAACCGAAGGCTGGGACTTGGGGCGCGAACAGTGAACGGGACGTCCTCAATTTATGGAAGATGGGCTTCGGATATGGGATGCCATGTGGATATAAAACGTCGTCGCATTGGTCTCTTCATGATTACTTCGATTCTATTCTATGCGACCCGCTGTTGCCACACTGATGCATCTTTCTCTACGTCCTTTAAACCATCTTGTAATCTAATCTAGTTTATTGTTCCCTTGTGATTCACGAGGTGCAAAATCTAGATTCCTCAGAGTTGTGAACAAAAATAAGAGACCAAACAAGTTGTGAACAAAAATGAGCCTGCAAAACATCGTGCCGTGTTTGCATACGACACTGTCGGTGTCATGCTTCGTCCAAAAACGGGTTTCCTTCTTCTATGATGTTTGCATCAATGAAGTCACATGTGAGTGTTGCATTGGTCCCCAGTAGTTAGAGAAAGCTGTTGTGAATTTATTTTCTGTTTTGACCGTTGTTTACATTAAATGTATATTCTTTTGGGTCCAGAAAAAAAAAAAAAGAAACACAAGTTAGAAGCTTAGCGGTCGGAGTTGGAGAGAAAGGAATTGTCCGTTTGCAGAGCGTTAACGAGCTTTATTCCCAAACAAGGGAACCGTAGATGCCAGGAGATTACTACTTGATGTCATCTAAGTTAAATACTACTTCAGATTCCTCAATTCTAAAACTAATTCAAATTTAATGGCTTGGCATTAATTGAGTTTTTCTTTTCCCCTAGCGAGATGAGAGTCACGAGACTGGCTACTTGTTGATGAAATTATTCGAGTTTTTTCCCGGGAAAAATGGATTGATTTTGTTGACCCCGTCTTGCTGCCTATCATATCATTGTTCTTCTGGCAAAATAAAAACCATATTTTTACTTCATCTGCAGCTTGAGCCTTGAAATTTTAGAGGGTGTTTGGATAGAAACCAAACCATGATTTCAAAGTGCTTTTACGATTTACGAAGTAAATATGTGGAGGAGTTTGTTTCGTTTTGCAGAAAAGTGCTTCTGAAACTATGGTTTAAAAGTTGCTAAACACCCCCTTATTTTATTCGAGGCTTTGCCACCAGATGATAAAATTAAAATAAAGTAGGTATTGGAAAGGGAAACTATCCAGCACCTGCGTAACAACTAGTAGTCTTCTATAATAGTTTAAATTAAGAATACAACAATACGGAGTGAAATTATACTGCACACACGCCACTACAAATATTTTCATGAAATTCCTGAAACCACTCTATCGCCGATCGATGCCAGCGTGAGCTCTTTATTGTCGTCTGCTGCTATAATGCAGATCATCAGTGTTTCGTTTTTGGTTTCTTCACTATCATCACAGAGCAGTGAGCATGATGTGCACAATAGTCGCTTACACTACCTAGAACCGCCCTGCATGCCAATAGAAAAGGCGTCAAAATATTCAAAATATGCAATGCTTTGGGAAAATTCTGACGTGCAAAAGTTTTGGCTTCTGTATTAATGTTTAAATACTTGCAATTCCATGATGAATTAAAGAAAGCTAAATGAAAATGGAGAAGGCAGGTGTTATTTAAGCATTTAAGTTATGACAAGAACCTAAAATCGTCACCGATGAACTGGAGCACATAATAAGCTGTGATGGAACCAAAGTTATTTAGACTTTACCTCTTTATAGTTCCATAACCATGACTACCCACCACCAGCATTGAAGCATGATGTCTTTCTACAGCATCACAGAGAACATTCCTTGCATCACCTTCTACTACTTCCACTGCAGCATCATTCAACTGGGCGAAAATTGGTAATCAGATAATTATGGCACAATTTATACACACCTATCAAGAAAGCATTGAGGCTTGAGACTTCTCAACATCAGAACTTAGCGCTGTAGCCTGACAAATTTCTTTGGTCATAAACATATGAACAGGGGAAATCACAAAACGCCGCACGCTAAAAAGAACAACTATGTGCTGCATAGCATGACTGTGAAATTCGAATATCAGGCTATATACAGTCAACAAAATTCATCGATGAATAACAGACCGCATAATTTGGAAAACGACGATGAATTACCGATTTACTATTGAAGATTTCTTTAGCTTTTTCGACAACTCTGGCAGCAATCTTCCTCAAATCGGCATCGACGACAGGCAGAACGTCAGCAGCTCCTGCAAACTAAGCGCTATATCAAATCCCACGGAGGCGAAGGCATCGCATTTCGGAATCTAGGAGCAGAGTAAGAGCGTACCAGGGCCTGCAAGGCCAACAGCGGAACCAGCAGTAGGTTTAGCATGAACAAGGACGAGCCTGAATATAGGATTGGGACCGTTCGCGAAGAAATGATCGAGAGTCCATTGGAGGGCGTAGATGCTGTGATCGTACTCGTCAATTCCCGCCACCATGACTTGCTTCTCTGAAGTCGCCATGAGAACCACTGCTCTTTGATTGTAAACAACGCTAGTGCCAAGACGAAGCGAGGGACTCGGGCAGTGACGACGGACTGGATGTCACGAATTTATGGGAAACGTTGCACTTCAGAATTGGATGCCGCATGGATAAAACGTCGTCGCACTGGTCACTCCATGGACCATGATGACGTGGATTCTATCCTGCGCGACCCCCTTTCAGTCTTGCTAGGATGATAGATCTTCGTTCGCGACTTTCTGCTAAAGTTGTGAACAGTAAAACCCACAAAGCAGCGTCTTTAATTACTTTGGCGTTTTGTGGAGAGTGTATCCTATTTGAATACGAAGCTCTTATTGTTTCACGCTTCTTCGAGAAAATGGATTTCCTTTTCTATTAAATGTTGGCATCAATGATTAGTTGCGAGGCTATAATGTGGAGGAGTAAAGATGTACAGTGAACTGATTCGCGATCGCTAAATGAACACAGTTTAGCTGATTCCTCAAGCAATTGGCACGAAAAGTATCCAAAAGCATGAGTGCTAACATTTCATCGCATCTTTTCAAAAGAGGCCTCAGTGGAGTGCTGAATAAAGGACCTTTTTGGGTTTTGTCCCTTTTGGTGCAAGTAGAGTGATCAATTGGTGCGTAAGGCCAGTGGTCTTGTAAGACGATCAGCTGGTGTTTCTTTGTGCATGCTTTTTTTTTTTGGCTGCTAAAACATAAGTATCTTTCTATTGAAGATAATCTTATTTAAAACACTGTCAAGTACTAAATGTGAGCACCTCTTCTAGAGGGGATTCGAACCTTGATTCGTCACGTTGTGAGAAACTAGCCCCTTTCACTAGACCCAATTCTCATTGGTTTTGTGTATACTTTTTTGGTGCTGCAACTCGCCGCTTGCCCATGATACGGGCCAGGCCCAATTAATTGGAAGCATATGGCCCAAATGTGAGCTGCTCTTGATGTCGATGTAACAACTTAATTTATCTTTTCTTTTAAAGTTATATTTTTTAAAAAGCTACTCATGTTAGTGCACAAATCAAGATGACATTTATTTATTTTTTTGCTACAAAGTTGACATTTATATTAATAAGATATTTCCCTCAGTACACATCATGCGAGAGAAAAATACAATGTAGGTTTAAATTATAAAATTTGGGATTTTCTACAGCAAGGGGCTCACTAGTCCCGTTTTTATTATGACAAGAGGAGAGGATGCTGAGCTTCTCTTCTACCCCCTCTTCTTAGTAAGAGCTTGAGACTCTCTCCCCGTGAGAGTGCGGAGTTTCGGAGGCTAACGAGGGATCCATACGTGGTTTATGATGGTCGGAAAAGAGAGTTAACGTTGACAGCAGTGAAGAAGCATGAATTATTTATCAAATTAATATATCAATAAAACTTGATAAAATTGTTAAGATGTAAATTCTTTGATATGAAATTGTATATGCTAAAAATATCAACAAGAATTAGTCCAGTTAGTAAGGAGTCGGTTCATAACCTACAAAGTTGTGAGTTTGAATCTCGCTGTTGATGTGAAGACTTTGTTGGTGGGCGATTTATAAATATTTCTGTAAGCACTCTCTGAGCATGCTTTAGTTCTAGTGAGCTTCTGGGACTCATCTCACCTAAATTTTTTTCCCAAACCAAAGTACATGCTAAAAATTATATGATCTCTCTATATATTATATTAAACATCATATTAATTTAAATAGTTTATTTCATGATCTCCTAAAATAACTTCGTTGTAATTTTTCTCGTACAAACAACCAGATTAACGAAAGACCTTGTCTATTTTATGGGGGAGCTGTATTTTCATAAAAAGCAGAAAGTAAAGATAAGAGAATATTAATTTGCTGTGAAAATTTTTCCTTTTATAACGAATGTAATATTAGTTTCCCTGAAAAATCTTCCTTTTATAATGAATGTAATAAGAGTTTTTTCCCATATGTAGTTACAGGGGTGAAATGGAATTCTCCCTGAGTCCTTTCCACGTTATTGTTACTCAATTTTGCAAACTTTTCAACCGCAAAATTTTGTAAAAATAAATTTAACAATAAAATATGAGAGTTGTTTTTCAGAATTTTAAGAAATATTTTTCATCATGTGCGCCAAAAACATATGTTGATAATGAAATAAATTTTAATTATTTGACATTAAATTAGTGTGCCAGCAAAGTTTTCAGTATACTTGAAAGGGATTAAAAGGTTTTAATAAAAAGGCAAAATAGATGAAAATAAATAAATATATTTTAAATTATATTTTTATTCAACGAAATTTAAACTTCTTTTGATATTTCTTGATATTCAAGAAATATTCTTCTTTCAGGCGGCAAAAAGAAATCCATTTCATTCAGTCAGTTGATTCCAACGGTCATAAAATTGGGAAAACGATGACCAATTGAAATCCTAGCTTGGGTATAGCGCGCCGACAGTTTCGCGCTAGGTTAACTTCCGTATTCCTACACTTGCCTCCGCTCCCGCCCTTTCTCTGATGCGAGTCCTCTCTGTTATCTTCTATTTGGTTGATAACTGCCCCCACTTAACCCCACTACCTCTTTCTCCTCTCTTCCCCACTTCTCGCTTCTTTCCCGCGAGAGCACGGTGCCTTCAAAACCAGAGCCTTTTCCTTCTTCTGGGATTTGGTCGTTCGTCCCCCTCTCTTGCAAGTCTCGAAAACAACTGTATTGTACGCGCCCTGAGCCCGCGCAGACAACTTCGGGGCAGCCACGCCAGTAGTTGGCACCGTCACGGCCGCAAACGGTGTCGGTCCGGAAGCACTTTACAGAACCCAATCGGGATTTTGTGAAGTGGGCAGCGGGAGTTCGGTCTCTCTTCCCGGTCAGGCGCTTCTTTTGGTGCGCATTGTCCGGCTCATTGTTCGGTCTCTTTTGATTGCCCACTGACGCCTAAAACTAATGATCCTAGCCTCTTAATTCCAACGAAACCTCTTGGAGGAAACGAAAATGAAATCGAATGAACAAATCTATTCACAGACCGATAACAGGGGGATAGGTATTTAAATCTGATACTTGACTATATCCTGATGATATATGTTTCGGTTCAAATTCTTTGTTTGATATGTGCCTGCCGATTTTTGTGGAGCTGGGAAAGTGAAATTTTATTGACTGTTTATGGCCTGGTGTTCGTATTTAGCAGTCATGCTATGCTGCACATGGTCGTTCTCTTTAGCGTGTGGCCTTTTGTGATTTTCTCTGTTCATATGTCTAAATTATAATGTCAGGCTACGGTGCTAAATTCTGATGTTGAGAAGTCTCAAGCCTCAATGCTTTCTGGATAGGTGTGTACACATTGTGCCATAATTATCTGATTACCAATTTTCATCCAGTTGAATGATGTTGCAGTGGAAGTAGTGGAAGGTGATGCAAGGAATGTTCTCTGTGATGCTGTAGAAAGACATCGTGCTTCAATGCTGGTCGTGGGTAGTTATGATTATGGCACTATAAAGAGGTAAAGTCAAAATTCCTTCGGTTCCCTCACAACTTAAACTGCAATAGTACGTGCTTCAGTTCATCGTTGGGCAGTTTTAGGTGCAAATCTTCACTTGTATGGTTAAATAACGTTTTCTTTCTCCATTTTCATCTGGGTTTCTTTAATTCATCCTGGTCTATGGGCATACTTTTAGGGAATCTTTATTTGGCTGTTGTGCGGTTGTGCGCCCGTTGCTTTGTACGCAAAAGAGGGACCTCTAGGTGTTGATCTTATTTGCGTTGTTATTCTTTTGCTAAATACTGACCAGAAATTCTTGTACTCTGTATATCAGTTGTTCTCACTGACAAGGGGAATTCTTGTATTATTTGCTGCGGGTTTTCTTAATTTCGGATTAAGTATGTCACGGGGAATTTTGGGTTTTCTGCTACCAGAAAGAAAATGGCAATGGAATCATTCTGCGAAAACAAAAAAGAACTCAGTAGAAGCTAATAACAAAGATACATTAAATAATTAAACTTTTGAGGAGAGATAACTACTGAGTCTTTCTTTTTTCTATTTTTGAGGCTTATCCATATTTGCCCATTTATGATTTCTGGTCTCTTCTGATTTGTGGTATGCTTGTCGTTGTTTTTTTTCTTTTTCTTTTTGGGGCTGTCTTCTTGTTCATAAATTTGTTCTTAAGCCAATAGCTTGTATATATATTTGATCCTCTAAAACCTCTACTGTGTATTGACTGTGTGTAAGGATTTTAGCTACTTATACAAGGTTCCAACTGGATTCTATTAATAGTGAAATTGAATGCTTTATATGTTCTTCATATGCCTCATCTCATGATCCCAAAAGAGGTTTATACATTTAATAACCATCAAATTCTTTTTCTAGTTCATATATATCTTAGTTAATACTTGAAGATACTTTTGAAGAGGATAAGATGGTATGATATAGCCACACTAGCATGTTATGATAATCTACTCATGGAAAATTAGATGTTGTATGATATTAGGAGTGCAAGGAAGTATTAAGTGTTACTTGGACCTTTGATCTTTTTGTATTGGGGAGGGGTTAATGCATTTCACAGCATCGAGTGGATTAAGTTTTTGAAGAGGTGAAAGCGAAGTAGGAGCAGCTTATTATGAAATTCAAGACAAGTGGAAAGGTGTGAGCATGCTGGGTGATCCTATCTTTGTCTAAGAACCTATTGTCCGTTAAGGTAATGATTAGTCTATGACTGGTGGAGGTCAAGGGTTCTGCGTTTAATTTGGGATGATGCGCATTCAAGTAGGTGATGAACTGATTAATTCTACTTAAACAAAGGAGATGCAATGACTGGTTAGGGAGTATCCTTCCAGTTTTTCATAGATAGCGGTGTAATCCTAAAGCAATTCTTAAATTGCTAACGGGGTTTTGAGATCTGTGAGTACCTTTGTTGTCATTTCCCAAATTTCTCAAGGAACCCTACCTCCCTTGTTTATGGAGTGCTTCATTAGCCGTACGGACATTGTGGCTATTGACAGGTAAGTTCGCCTTTCAGGCACATCATCTTCTCCTTTGTCTGACTTTTCACATCTTGCTGCCCCTAATTCACAACACCAAAAAAATTGAACTACTTAATACCACGATTTGAGTTTTCTCCCCCTAACTTGGAAAGTTATAAGTTGGAGATACATAAAGTCCACGAACATGGGATGTGGGATTTCAGCTATGTGGTGAGGTTGGCACTGCCAAGTGAGCAGCCAAATGGATATTGCGTCCTATGGGGTTCAAGGAACAAACATCATTGAAGTGCAAGCTGCTTTATCATAAAGATTGGGTGTTATTTGTAGGTTTAATCTTTTCGCGTTGGGGAGGGTTTAATGCATTTCATGGCATTGAGTGGATTAAGTCTTTAAAGAGGTGAAAGCAAACTAGCAGCAACTGCTTATGAAATTCAAGGAAAATGGAAAGATGTGAGCGTGTTAGGTGATACTATCTTGTCTAAGAACCTACTGTCCGTTAAGATTATGATTAGTCTATGATAGGTGGAGGTCAAGGATTCTGTGTTTAATTTGGGATAGTGACGATTCAAGTGGGCGATGAACTGATTAATCATACTTGAACAAAGGAGCTGCAATTGCTGGATAAGGAGTAGTCCTTCCGATTTCTGACAGATTTCCTTGTAATCCTAGGGCAATTCTTAAATGGGATTTCGAGATCTGAGTTCCTTTACTGTCATTTCCCAAATTTCTCATGGAACTCTACCTCCCTTATTTATAGAGTACTTCATTGGCCGTACGGACACTGGTTATTGATGGGGTTAGTATACCTTTCAGGCACTTCATCTTCTCCTTTGTTTGACTTTTCATGCCTTGTTGCCCTTCTTTCACTACACCAAAGGATTTGGATCACTCAATGCCAAGGCTTGATACCCCCCCCCCCAAAAAAAAAAAAAAAAACTTGGAAAGGTACAAGGTTGGAGGTATACAAGGTTTCAACTGGATTCCATTAATAGTGAAATTGAATGCTTTATATGTTCTTCATATGCTTCATCTCATGATCCCAAAAGAGGTTTATACGTCTAATAACCATCGAATTCTTTTTCTAGTTCATATATATCTTAGTTAATACTTGAAGATACTTTTGAAGAGGATAAGATGGTATGATATAGCCACACTAGCATGTTATGATAATCTACTCATGGAAAATTAGATGTTGTATGATATTAGGAGTGCAAGGAACAAACATCATTGAAGTGCCAATTGCTTTATTGTAAGTATTAAGTGTTACTTGGACCTTTGATCTTTTTGTATTGGGGAGGGGTTAATGCATTTCACAGCATCGAGTGGATTAAGTTTTTGAAGAGGTGAAAGCGAAGTAGGAGCAGCTTATTATGAAATTCAAGACAAGTGGAAAGGTGTGAGCATGCTGGGTGATCCTATCTTTGTCTAAGAACCTATTGTCCGTTAAGGCAATGATTAGTCTATGACTGGTGGAGGTCAAGGGTTCTGCGTTTAATTTGGGATGATGCGCATTCAAGTAGGTGATGAACTGATTAATTCTACTTAAACAAAGGAGATGCAATGACTGGTTAGGGAGTATCCTTCTGGTTTTTCATAGATAATGGTGTAATCCTAAAGCAATTCTTAAATTGCTAGCGGGTTTTTATGATCTGTGAGTACCTTTGTTGTCATTTCCCAAATTTCTCTAGGAACCCTACCTCCCTTGTTTTTGGAGTACTTCATTAGCCGTACGGACATTGTGGTTATTGACAGGTAAGTTCGCCTTTCAGGCACATCATCTTCTCCTTTGTCTGACTTTTCACATCTTGCTGCCCCTAATTCACAACACCAAAAAAATTGAACTACTTAATACCACGATTTGAGTTTTCTCCCCCTAACTTGGAAAGTTATAAGTTGGAGATACATAAAGTCCACGAACATGGGATGTGGGATTTCATCTATGTGGTGAGGTTGGCACTGCCAAGTGAGCAGCCAAATGGATATTGCGTCCTATGGGGTTCAAGGAACAAACATCATTGAAGTGCAAGCTGCTTTATCATAAAGATTGGGTGTTATTTGTAGGTTTAATCTTTTCGCGTTGGGGAGGGTTTAATGCATTTCATTGCATTGAGTGGATTAAGTCTTTAAAGAGGTGAAAGCAAACTAGCAGCAACTGCTTATGAAATTCAAGGAAAATGGAAAGATGTGAGCGTGTTAGGTGATACTATCTTGTCTAAGAACCTACTGTCCGTTAAGATTATGATTAGTCTATGATAGATGGAGGTCAAGGGTTCTGTGTTTAATTTGGGATAATGACCATTCAAGTAGGCGATGAACTGATTAATCATACTTGAACAAAGGAGCTGCAATTGCTGGATAAGGAGTAGTCCTTCCGATTTCTGACAGATTTCCTTGTAATCCTAGGGCAATTCTTAAATTGCTAATGGGATTTCGAGATCTGAGTTCCTTTACTGTCATTTCCCAAATTTCTCATGGAACTCTACCTCCCTTATTTATAGAGTACTTCATTGGCCGTACGGACACTGGTTATTGATGGGGTTAGTATACCTTTCAGGCACTTCATCTTCTCCTTTGTTTGACTTTTCATGCCTTGTTGCCCTTCTTTCACTACACCAAAGGATTTGGATCACTCCATGCCAAGGCTTGATAACCCCCCCCCCCCCCAAAAAAAAAAAAACTTGGAAAGGTATAATGTTGGAGGTAGATAAATGTTTTGTGTCCTATGTGATGTAAGGAACAGATATCATTGAAGTACAATCGTTTTATCATAAGAATTTGGCATTACTTTGAGGTTTTGAACATGAATTGTGACAACTATTAGTGTCAAGTACTATTGACCATTTCACATTTGAGTATTGTTTCCTAAAAAACCAGTTGAAGAAATTGTCCCTTCCTTCTCAAATGGTGGAAACACTAAAGTCAAAATACAACATTTAAATTTATCTCAGGATAAAAAGATTACATTTAGAATTGATTTGTAAACCTAGCAGATTATGGGATCTTTGAGATTGAAGTCTTCTTGATTTTTATGGTTTCTTCCGTTTTGCTTTAACATCTTGTATTTCACTTATACAGAAATAATCTTCCTGCATTTTTTAAATCTAAAATTTGGTCTGGGAACTCAGTCTTTGCTGTTAATTTTAAGTGACTATAAGGTGATTATAGAAATTAGGATCCTATTCCTATGCTATCTTATAACAAATTTGCTGCCTTAGAAAATGAATAAATGAAGATGGTAAAAATATAAGAAAACAATGATGTGTGACTTTGTAGTGCCCCTTTCCTGGCCTAGACATATTGTTTATATTTCTTGTACGGACATCATGTTATTCAGTCCAGGTAGCTTTTGAATATGATAATGTTTGCAGGTTGATATTCCGTTGGACACTAATATTAAAGTTGGCTAGACATGTGGGATAATTGGAGTTTCACACTTCCCTGGGGAAGAAATCACATCCACCACTAAAACAAAATGGATTTCAAATAATTAACCAACATGCCTAGGGACGATTGATGTCAAAGTAAGCTCCATCTACTAGCAAGCCTTGGGGTTTTTAAAATCTCATTTCTTTGTTCAATATCATAGGATTGATGCGTATGATCTTCCTTTCATCTTCAAACCGAAAAATGCAATAGCAATGTACAACATGTTTTTCATCGTTTAACTTAACATCACATTAGAGGTGTATGCACATTTGTACAAATTTACTTTGGATCTCTCATAGCATGCAAATCTCAACTTTGGATTTCTTTCTTTGATACAATCAACTTTGAATTTCAGAAGTTCTTCTTGGCTTGGTGTCATAGGATTTTGGCTTGAGATTTCATCTGCAGGTTTTTGGGCAAAGGGAAACAATGTTGTCACCAAGGAACAATAGCAAAAGTATCCACGATCTTAATGTGAAACTGCTATGGAAAAGCTTTCATCTCTTATTACTTGCCAAAGTCATTTAGAGAAGCCATCTATAGCTGATAAATTGAAGAGAGTTACAATTTATCTTAGGATATTACTGAAATATTTTCCTAGCATGTTTGAATGACGTGAAATAATATGTAGCTTCATGATTATATCACGGTATAGTTTCGTCTTGATTCTTAGGGTGTAATCCCATTTCCTCCATCCCACTCTTTGAAACCAGAAGGGAAGAAAAGAGATTGAAAAAGTAGAACTGGTCATGAGATCAAAACTCATCAACCCGATAGCTGCTTATAAGTGGCCTTGCAGTTGCAGGAAACTTTCTTGGAAAATAACATTTGAGTCTTGTTTGCTGTACAGTTATTAGATCTGAAAGAAGATATAGACGTGATCAAAATCATTCATGTAACAGGAATCAAGGGAGAAGGTACCTTTTTATCATTCATCATGTTCGTTAAATTCATTTTATTAGTGTCTTTTGGAAAGTAAATTTTGCTTCCTGTCTAATGATGCAAGAACATGTTATTGTTATGGATTGTGTCTTTTTAGTAAAGGAAGAAGCATGTATTAGTGGTTAATGGATGATTTACCATTATTATGCTGTCTAATTTGCTAGGTATCTAACATGATTCATCGTTGAAAGGGCAGCCCTAACATCCATGTTTATCGTGCATCAGTGATCAGATTACTGCGTGTTAAAATTGGATTTTTCTTTTAATTTCATTTTAGCTTTTACGTGGTTTTCCCCCTCTTTAGTTCTAACCATTTTATCTGTAAAGGTTCAACATGCATATTTTGCGCGCAATCTTACGGGAATGTGGTTTCTGCACTGGATTTTTTCACTTCCCCTTACTTGATTCTTGATGGTCATGTGGTTTTTGCAAGCAACTCATTAATGCTGGTCTTGTAATTTCCAGATCTCTGAAACTGGGAAGGTAAATTTCTGCTCTCGCTTACTGTTATGCATAGAAGCCTTGCAATTATAAATGCATTAAAGATAATTATGACGACGGTAGTTGTGTGTTTGTTCATTAGAATTTTGGTTGGTTTCTTGCTTTTTATTCTAACATAGATGAAGTCACTCAATTTGCATAGTTAGTTAGGATTCGGGAAAAATTGGACAGGATTTTCATAATTACTAAAGTTTAGTTAAATTTCAATAGTTTATGGGGTGGGTGGGTTACAAAATGATATGATTTTCGAGAAAAACCGTGTGGGTGAAGTTTATTGAACAGTTTGACAAGTCAGATAATTTAATAAGAAACAATGTTGGTACCATTTTCTTTCTATATATTTTGACTATTTGTGCTCTTTAATAACTTTTTTGTACTTTTGTAGCATGCATGTTCTAAAGCGTTCAAGGTGTGCTATTCTTTTCTTTTCTTTTTTTTTTTGACCAGAAAGATGTGCTGTTTTTTAACTTTAGGTATTCATTTCCCAAGCATGCCAAAATATAACAAGGGAGTCCGGTGGTTCCAATCTCTCAGGCATATACCTGTCATGGCAATTTACACTCCAAAAAATCTGGGAAAAGATTTTATACATAAAAGGTTCGATGCTTTCAACTTGCATTCTTCATTATTTAAGAATTCTTTCTTGTTTTTTTCCCCAAGTCACTCTATATGTGGTTGCTTTGGCAGCATAATTTTTGTTCTCCTTGAAAGCTGTTCGTTGTCATGAGCGAATTTTATGTAAGATGAAACATATAATAATTTTTCTTTGAACAAAAAAAATATATTTTTCAATATAGAATTTTCCTATAAGTAGTTATAGTTTTTATTATTAATTCTTCATTTAAGATGTAAAAGATATGTGTGTGTGTATTTTATACTACTTTCGGTCCTTAATATAGGATTCAATTAACTGATTTAAAGAGATTAAATGAATTATTAAATTACTTAGCTATAGTAAATATTATATGATTTTTCTAAAATACTTATATGAATAATTAGATTATATATCAATTTATAAGTTAAGTAAATAAGTTTAAAAAAATAAATATAAATAGTTTAAAGTAATTTAATTACTTCTTTAATTTTTTTCAAATTAATTAATTGGGTTTGAGGCAGTATTAATTTACATGTTTGATTTAGCATACAGATTTAAACCTTTAGATTGATATATTTATTAGTAAATCTAAAAAATAAGTTGTTTATTTTTTTAATATGATATATGATAAAATATGAACTTTTTTAAATTACGGGCTATTATTCAGTTAAAAATTTATGGGATATTGTTGGTTTTTATTCAATTCATTCAAATAATTAGAAGGGTTAATATAATTTTTTATTCTTTAATTTTGGTCTTATTTTGGTTTTTGTCCTTCAAGTTTCAAATTATAGATTTTATTTTTTCAAGAGACAAAATAATTTAGGTTTTTATTGAATTATAAGACTAATATTTTAAATTAAAAAAAATCTCTAGTTTAAAATTTAAGATACTAAGAATAAAATGAAAACAGCAAAAATTATATTAATTCTAAGGTCAAGATGTTATACATATCACAATAGGGAGTAGAGTTGTCTGTAGGCTAGGTCCGGGTCCCGGGGAATGGATTATCATGTGAAGTACTGGGTTATCTTATTGGTCCAACGGGCTTTCCATTGAAGTCGGTGGGTCCCAATGAACGCGTCAAGACCATGGGGCGTTTTATCAAAGTGGCTTTTTTTTGGTTGGTTAAGGCGGATTCCGGAGCTCGAAATGTTTTGTCAATTACATTCAACATTTTAAAATATTTCATAATATATTTAATATCTTAAAATATTTTTTAGATATATTTAATACTCTGAAGTATTTTTTATTTTAGCATTAGATGTACTAAAAAATATTTTTAGGTACTTGACACACCTAAAAAAGTTATTTTGAGGTGTTGGATGCATCAAAAAATATTTTACGGTATTAAACGTATCCAAAAAAATATCTTGGTATTAGATGTGTTACAAAATATTTTATAATACTGAATGTGCCTAACAAAATATTTCAGGTTACTGAATACATTTTAATTTTTTTTTAATACAAGTGCAACGTATTTTTAACGCAACCATTAGCGGAGTCTTCTTTAGCCCCCCAAAAATAGCGTAATCTTCAAGCTTTCAGGAAAAAGAAAGGTATATATATTTTATCTAAACTTCTATATCAATGTATGAAATATAGATATGCATATATATTGCAACTTTTACGGGAACATTTTCCTAACTAATATATCGACGGGAGATTGAAACTAGAAAGCCTAGTGGCCAAGATTAAGCATCATGTTTCTTTGATTTTTAATATAAAACCTAATTATTAAGTTAATTTTGATCCTCAATATAAAATTTATTTTTTATTTTTGTTAATTTTTTTAAATTATTCTTATAGATACTCTCTCAACTATAATCAAATAAATGAGGGAGGGAGGATATTAAGAAAGATGATTATAATATTTTAGGAAAAACATGTTATACTATCTCTGGTCCTAATTATAAGAGTCAGTTGACTAATTTGAGGAAATTAAGAAAGTAAGTTGAGTTAGTTATTTATTCTAAATAGGTGTTGTTTTTCCTAAAATATTCTTGTTAATCAAGTGTATTGACTAGAGTTATTATTGTTAAAAGGGTTATTTTGAAAAACATGTATAAATATGAGAGACAAAGTGGATTGGGGTCTTATATTTAAGATCAAAATAAAAGTCAAATAAGATCTTATATTAAAGACCAGAGGTAGTATTTTTTATAATTAACTAACTTAACTAATTTTTTTAATTTAATCAAATTATTTAAATAAATTTTATATTAAGAATCAGGAGAGGATTTATTATTATCAACTATTACCTCCAATTCTTAATATAAGACCCCGTTTGACTTTTAGTTTGGTCCTACTTATAAGACCTCAATTCATTTTGTCTCTCATATTTATGTATTTTTTTTTAAGATAATTCTTCTAATAATAATAGTTCTAACCAATATACTTAATTAGCAAGGATATTTTAAGAATGACAACACTTATTTATTACAAATAACTAATTTAACTTACTTCTTTAATCTCTTCAAATTAGTTAATTATATTTTATAATTAGAAGTGGAGGTAATATTTAAGTTAGAGTGGTGCCGATTATAATTACGTCCGCCTGGATGAAAGGTACGGAACACATTTTTCTTATATCCCCTTTTATAAGTTATTTTTAACTTTGTAAGAAGTGAAGTTTTTCCCCACAAATATGCTTTTATTTAATAAAGGGCAGAGAAATACTACGAGAATGTAGTATTAGAAAAACATAATAGAAAATTAATTAAAGGCAAAATTGGTAAAGATATGTTCCGATTCTCTTATAATCTCTCCCCCCCATTTTCCTCTTTGAATCTCACGAGAGGGATTTTGAGAGAATTTCTTTCCTGAAAACACATGATTTTATAAAAGAGATCAAACTAATTTGAATGTTGGGATCTTCTAAAAAGGGCTGCATACTTGTGAACAATTATTATTCATTTGATTGACTTGGGGGAAAACATTTTCTTTTAAATTATGATAGTATTTATTTTTCACAGCAAATAGAAAAAGTGTTCCATTTAAAGCTTTTAAATGATAAAAATGAAAATAATTATTCTTCGTTTCATTGATTAGTTAAAAATATAATTACTTTTACCTTTTTAATCTACATGTTCTCTTTAATATGCATTATTTTTAAAAATTTGCCCAGTGGAAAAACATTTTTTTCAAGAAAATGTCTGACGTGTTACTAATAAAAATATTCAACGAATGATTTCGAAGTCATGTTAAAAGGTCTTTTAAGACTCGTTAACACTGGGGAGCGATGCTAATGAAAATTGCTTTGGATTTATAATTTTGGAAAAAATGAATGGTAATTTCTAAATATATAAATGTTATCTTCGATTATTTACGGTTCTTTTTAATCGAGATCTTTCTCTAACATTATTGCATTTTCGGGGGCCCTTTTTAGTCGTTTTCTTTTAAATTAATTCATCCATTCTAACTTTTTTCGGATCAGAGACTGAAGGAAAAACCACCTAACGTGGGTGGTACCCAAACAGCCCCAATGTCTTACTTATATTCATCCATTCTAACTGAAAAAATTAATTCGTCCCCACACAATTATATTCAATTTTATTGAAAATTAAAATAAGAAACCATACTTGAACCTATGGCAAAGCTAGCATAACAGTGTTGTTATTTGTTGCCTGCAAAAATTTAAAAATGATCAAATGAAATAGAGGATTGGAAAGTTTTGTGGCCTATAAAACATGTACTTTATGTTTCTACTTGGATTTGATTTTCCAGATTACAAACTGATCGATTAATAAAATAATCAAACAATTAATAAAAACAATATCAGTTAATATTAATATAATATAATATTTATAAGAAATTACACATATTTTTTCTTGCCTATTGGACTAAACGAAAGCATATGGTTGATGACATGTAATGGTATCTTGCCTTGTGCCCTCCTACACCAGTGCCCTCTGTTACAACCCGGGAACAAAGCTCCATGAGCAAGGACAAAGCTAACCTCTGCATGGCAGACCTCGACCTAACCAATGCGTGCTTTTGAGAATTTGAATTTCATAGGACTTTCCTGGAGAGATTCATAGTCAACAGAAGCCACCACCAATATGGAGGTGTTTGGATAGAAATCAAACCATGGTTTCAGAAGTGTTTTTACGGATTACGAAGTAAATATGTGAAGGAGGTTATCTCGTTTTGCGGAAAAGTAATTCTGAAACCTAGTTTTTAGTTTTACCAAACACCCCTTCAATTAATGAGAAGTTGAGCTATAATGCATAAAATTTCAAATCATGCTATTGATGTAAGGATTTTGTTATTAGGTAGTTTATAAATACCTCTATAGATGTTTTTGGAATTGGGAGTTGGCAGGGCAACTCTAGAACCTAAACACAAAAAATGTTGTATTAACCTTTGATGCGGAGCGCTATGATATATATTACCTCCGGTCTTAAATATAAAAGTTAGTTAACTAATTTGAGTAGATTAAGAAAATAAGTTGAGTTAGTTATTTACAATAGATATATGTTATCTTTTCTAAAATATTCTTGTTAATCATATTTATTGGCTAGAAATACTATTATCAGAAAGACCACTTTAAAAAAAAGAATAAATATAAGAGACAAAATAGATTGAGATCTTATATTTAGAATTAAAATAAAAACCAAATGAGATCTTTTTATCGGAGGTAATAGTAAAAGAAGGAGTCTAGGGGCCCAAAACTAAGTACATACCACCACACCCGTCACCCCCTTCCCCCACCGAACAAGGGAAAAAAAGAAGAAGGAAAAACTAGACCACTCACTATAATTAGCATGCCCGATGCTCATCTTTAAAACGTAAACAGAATCTGATTCTTTAATCATTTCGAACCATTAAATATGAAATTTTCGACTAGGCAAAGTTGTCACCGCATGTAGGCGCGTCCTCCATTTTTGAAAGAGGACCATGGTCTCTCAACTCTATTCTAATATTCCATATGATAAAGTGGAGACAAGAAAAAATGGGTCAGTCTTCGTCTGTTGTGGTGAGCTCATTCCGACGGGAAGGAATAGCCTCTCTTCACGAGTGGAGCTGCTGCAATACCAGGAATATGATGAATGCGCACACAGATTAGCGAACACTGAGTAATTAAAAGCAAAAGTTCAATTGATTGAAAGATTCGTCGGCACAAAACATAAATCATACCATCTTTTTTCTTGCAATTTCTGCCCAGGATTGGTCCACAATTCTCAGTGGACCTTCCACTAGCGATAGTCGTAAAGGAATAAAAGAGCGATTGGATATTTTGCAACGTAAGAAAAGCATTATTTTTTTTTTCAGAGGATGATCATGTTGGGACTGAGCAATAGCGATTATATTATGAATTTATGTCGTCATCTTCGAGCAGTGATGGGATTTTAGTTGAAACCATCAATCAAGATTTGTGATTGTGGCATTGTGCGCGGGTGAGGAGGGGGCCATGGGTCCGGTAATTGAATTATCTTTTCGATTTGTTAAGCCACCACCTGCCTCCACCAGTTCAAGGGATAAAGTTTAATAACAAACACCTTTCACTTTTTCAACTCTTAGATTATGGATCATTTGAGATTTGACGACTACCAGAGATTTTTTTTCCCTCCACCCCCCCTTTTCTGGGTGAGAATTAGTTGATTCATCACGTGAATAATGAAAAATGTTGATGCAGAAATGATAATAGAGGGAAAGTGTTACAGGACAAATTAGAAGACGAAAATGCATGTGTGCATGTGAACATACAAGTACACCTACGAAAAAGAAGAGGTTGGGATGTAGATGGGGAAGGCGGGGAAAGGAAAAGAAGGCCACGAAAAGGAGGGGTACTACTTGCGTAGACGCAACAGCGTTTGTGTTTTGGGAAGTCTCATTCACAAATATTTTGGGGCCATCTTTTGTTGTTTGCTCCCACTGTTTCATTTAATGATCGGTTTTGGCTCCGAACCATTCGGGGCTAAATTACTAATGTTTCCACCATATTTTTATTAAAAAGTTAGAAAAAGAGGCGAAAGAAAGGAAAGCATCGTATATTTGCTCCCGTTAAATTGGCCTTTACACGGATATATTCATTGCGGGTAATGTAACTAAATCGACACAGAAATTGGCAAGACGGTGATCTTCTTGGCTATAAAATATTTGATTGATGATATCATTGATGTTTCTTTATTTGCACGTTCGCGAATCGGCGGTGCTGCTTGTCTTGACTTTTAATGGGAAGCGGACGATCTTTTGACCTTTTCACAGAGGCTCAAGGAATACGTCACCCCCGTCTTTATCCTTTACAGTTTGTACGCGTCAGATCCTGGAGATATAAACTCCATCCAATTCAAAAACAAAGAAAGTTGCGCGAGAGCTTTTGCCCTCAGTACAAATCATAAAATCGAATCACATTCTCATTCAGAATAATTTGCGTCTTGTTTTCCATCCTAGGTTTTCTAAAGCGTTAGGGGATTGATGCTTCTGAGAAAAGATGAAGTTCTGCAAGACGTACCAGGAGTACATGCAAGGGCAGGAGAAGAAACTACCTGGGGTTGGCTTTAAGAAGCTCAAGAAGATCTTGAAGAAATGCAGAGTGGACTATCAACCCCAGAATCAGGATGCCCTCATTGACGAAGCCCACGCCCACGTCGTCGGAACGTGCCCCGATCATTGCCCCGGTAATCAAAATCTCCTCTTTTTTTCCCCCTCTCCTTGGTTTCTCCATGGTTTTGATCCCTCGGTTTCTATTGCTATTGCATCTGTCTTCCTTTTACTTGTTTTCCAGTACTTTCCATTGGAAAGGAATCTATTCCTAGACGCTAATGACTGTATCTTGCCAAGGAAACCAACGAAGGATTTTCCGAATGGGTGTTTCTAGAATAACCAAAATGACAACTTGTTTTCTCTCTGTTTGTCCTTCCCAAGGTCTTCCTCCTTCCATCATCCCTTCTTTCTTTTATCCCCTTCACAGTTACGTGTTCGACATCTGAATATTATTAATGAATAACTTTTCCTCTGTTCGTTGCTCTTAATGCATAATTTCTTGTGTACTCAACATATGAACTCCAGAGGATTTTTGAACCGATTCTGAAATATTTCCTGACGGAAGTCATATTTTTAAAAGGTGATGGGGAGAGATTTATGCTTCCATGTTTCAAGTCTTATCAACTAGCTCCCAGCTAATTCAATATATTTATGCAGTGTGCGATGGGACGTTCTTCCCTTCACTTCTCAATGAAATGTCAGAAGTAGTAGGCTGCTTTAATCAGCGAGCGCAGAAATTACTGGAGCTACACCTTGCTTCTGGCTTCAGAAAGTACTTGTTTTGGATCAAAGGAAAATTGCGAGGAAACCACACCGCTCTCATTCAAGAAGGCAGAGATCTGGTTACCTATGCACTGATCAATGCCGTTGCTATTCGAAAAATACTCAAAAAATATGACAAGGTACGTCTTTCCTGCTTCACGAGACAAAACTTATAAGTCTTCTCATTACTTAGTCTCGAAGACCCAGAAGAAACAATGACTATTTTTGTTCACACACACTACAAATATGACCGCAGGTTCATTATTCGAAGCAAGGCCAATTGTTCAAGTCTCAGGTCCAGAGTATGCATATGGAAATTCTTCAGAGTCCTTGGTTTTGTGAGCTGATGGCCTTGCACATCAATCTAAGGGAAACGAAGCCTCAGCCCAGGCACGCAGCTGTATTGTTTGATGGATGTTCTCTTACATTCAAGGATGGAAAACCATCAATCACTTGTGAGCTCTTTGATTCAATCAAACTTGATATCGATTTGACTTGTTCTATATGCTTGGTAAGTTACTGGGTTTCACTAGCCTGCTCATATTCTCTGCATTAATCCGATCATGGATTTTTTGACAAGATTTTCTTTTGTAATATCATGTAGTCCTTCAATTTTATTGATCACTGGTGAACTTATACGGCTCTTGTGTAACAGGACACGGTATTTGATCCGGTTTCTCTTGCCTGTGGCCACCTATTCTGCTACATGTGTGCTTGCTCAGCTGCATCAGTCACTATTGTTGATGGACTCAAGGAAGCCAATCCTAAAGCAAAATGTCCTCTTTGCCGAGAGGTATGGTACTATATCATGTCCTCACTTATCATATTACATCTGCATTGGACGCATAACGCAAACAGGGTGATTTCCAATCCACAACAACCCCCCCCCCAAAAAAAATAAAATTCTGATATTCAATGCATCAAACCAATGCACATCAGATTCGTTAGTAACTCAGCTATTTCACTCTTTTAGAGTCAGCAGACTAAGTTGTTGTGATGATACTAAATCGAATTGCTGATTTTGGATCTAATCATTCCTGTTCATGACATGAGATATAGGATTCTTGCCATTCTTAGGCATTGATGGATAAACTAATCAGATATTTATTGATCACTTATCTACGGACACTTATTTTTGTTGATTGCAGAGTGGTGTTTATGAAGGTGCTATCCACTTGGAAGAATTGAATATTCTGTTAGGGCGAAGGTATGGTAGCATCATCATATTAAATTTTTTAGTCATATTGATGACTTTTTCAATGCATCATTTTATGATCTTCACAACCTATTCTGATTTACATACGTGTTTTTCAAAGGTGTCAAGAATACTGGGAAGAAAGACTTCAGGCGGAGAGGGCAGAGAGGCTTAAGCAGATAAAGGAGCATTGGGAATCAGAGTGCAGGGCTGTATTGGGCGTCTAAGCTTCTGGCTTTGGTTGGGTTAAACAATAGTTTTAGGCGAAATTATGTAAATGCCCATTCAACCAATTTGCTGAATTTCATTTAATGTGGATCTTCAGTTTGTTCAGCATTGTGTCTTGGAAATAATGTCGTCTTCTTTACCTTGGAAATAAGGCACAGAGGAGGCAGGTTCCATGGCATCGATGTAGCTCAAATCATTGGTCGAGAACCTGCCAAGTTAAAGCCTTTTTTTTTCCGGCCTGAACCAAGTTAAATCCTTGCTTCATGCTTATTGGCATACTGAATTGTTCTCCTCTTTCGTTGCAGCTTGACTTATAATTACCTAGTGAAATGTTGTCCTTAATTGGAAGAATTACCATGTGGTTTCAATGCAAGAAAATAACTACTAAAAAGTCCTCATTGAGAAGTTATCATTTACTATATTGAAACTACTTGTTATATTTTTAACAGCAGTTATGTTCATTCCTTGGGATTTTATAACAATTCTCCTTTAATTGCTTTAATTTTATATTAATAGAATATGATTTGCTTCTATTCAGCTCTCCATAGTTCGATTGTAAACTAGATTCTAATAATAAGACCTAGATGGCCTTAATTATTCCAAGACTGCTAATTAATTCTCTCCGGTATCAATCCCTGTTATTAGGTTTGATAGCATGCCCATTTCTTGTGAAAGAAAAATTGATATATGGAAGGAAAATCCATTTGTTATTAGAAAAGTGATAAGATCTAAGATTCCGTTTGGTATGAAAAATTAAAAATAAAAGATAAGGATTGAGATTGAAAGTGAAAAATTATATTAAAAGAGTGTTTAACAAAAGTAATTATTTGATACTTGGGATTAAACAAATCTATATATGTGAGATTGGGGAATATCATGAGGAAATATGATATTCTCCAATCTCATCTACATAAGATTGCCTAATCCTAATAAGAAATCACTCATGCTAAACATCTTTTTAACATATGTTTTCAATCCCAATTCCAATCTTCACTCCTCATTTTTAATATTTCGTACCAAATGGGACGAGAACCAATGAGAACCGAGTTTATTAGGCGTTAACGCCCACTGCATCTTCAAGTTACAATGTTCAAGGCTCTGTACTGATAAAGCAGTGGATCTGTTTCACTCACGGGCATTGAATTACTTATTTATTTTTAAATATATTTTTATCATCTAATATTACATTAAGAAAATTGTGAAAAAGTTTCTAATTGAACATTTTATTGGTGACAAAAACTTGATGAATTTTTATACGCAAAAAGTGCTAGTTCTCTGCAAATCTTGGAGTATATAGAGTATCGGTTTCTAATTTATTAGTTCTTTCTCGCTAATAAAAGTTTTAATAAGGGAGTTTTTCCTTATTTTCTCTAGTAAACTTCACAACCAAACACAATATTAAGACAGTTTATCATCGTTTGTCTCCTAAAGTCAAAGTAAAAGGGAAAGAAAAAGAGGCAAAAACAGGTCCATCGGGAAGCAAATAGACGCGCATTCTATCACAAAGTGAAGAGGCGCCACCACTCGTCAGGCGCTCATTTCCATTCTTCAAAGATCGATCTTGCCTATCAATGGGCCGATCGAACCACATGTGGGCCTCCTCTCTTGTCAGGCCCGTTTCTATGGGCCTCAAAATAATGAAGCCCATATGGGCCCACATATAAAGGAACAGCCTGAGCCTGCCTAAAGTCGAGCCCTAATGATTCAAGCTTGCGCCCTGTTTCGAGCCGCATCCCAAACTCTTGGGCCGTACAATTCCAGAGGCACTTAAAAAAGTTTGATATTCATTTGAGTGCGTTGGAGCCTTGGAGGTGCTATTTAATTGTCGGCCAACATCCCTAATTTCTAAATCTTGAAAAGAGAGGGTGGAATCCGTGCAAACTTAACTAGGGTTTTAGCTTTGCAGAATCCTTCGCTCTATATCTAATATGAGGTAAGACCTGCATTCTTTGATCTATTTTTTGAATCATTCCTTCTCTATTTACTGTTTTCGTCACAATCTTTTGGAATCTTTTTCCCATTATCATAAATTTCATTGTGCATTTTCCTGTGATTCCAGACCTGTATGGTCTTGGTCTGGATGTAAACTTCTATTTCATCCATGCGAAAATTGGGAAAAAGTTAGACAAATGATTCTGATTTATCATAACCTTTGTACGGGTGGAAATACAGGTTTTGATTTTAGATATGTATTGATTTCTCTGAGCTAATCCAAATGATATTTTTAATAATGGCTTTTCTGTGTTCGAAATTTAGCTTCATTTCCATTCTCACACTTTCTAGGCGATCAAATTTACTGTTTTTCCTTATGTATTATCGTGTCGTGGCATGATTGTTCCAGACCCGGCCAGTGTGGATGGTCGAAACTCGGGATTAGACTATGTGCTATGAAGAAATTATTGTTCTGTATCGACCACATATGCATCATATAGAGTGGTTTTGTCGATAATATTATAACTTAGTGGGCACGTTGGAGTTAAATTTTAAGGTTTTGGCGCTGGTAAAGGTGGGCTCTAAACTGATCTGACTTAGGTATATCTGACAGCTGATACGAAGCAGACTGCATTAATTAATTAATGACGGTTGACCAATTTGATATGTGAGACACTCTTATTTTATGTTTTCCTTTGGGGTGCGTCTTACTTTCTTTCTGGGAGAATGGAATTTTCGAAGGTGGAAATTATCATAATTTGATGACTTGTGACGTGACTAACAAATGTGAAAGCCAAAATGTAGACAAGTGAAAAGCAAAAAAGGGAATTGAAAGTGAATTTTGAATTTTTAATGTCTTAACAGTTTTTATGTTGAGTGTTTCCCCTGCTTTTCTGTGTGCTCGCATTTGTTTTATCGTTCATTTGCTCATATCTGCTCTCTGTTATGCAGTCGTCATCCTGAGGTTAAGTGGGCTCAGAGGGTTGACAAGGTCTATATAACAGTGCAATTGCCAGATGCCAAGAATGCGAAAGTAGATCTAACTCCTGATGGCATTTTCACTTTCTCTGCTAGTGCTGGTGCCAAAGACCAGCTGTATGAGTCAAAATTGGAGCTTTTTGACAAGGTGAATGTAGAGGTGAGAAGAAGCATTGCCAACGTTTGGTTAGCATTAGCTGCATCACGGTCTTTGATTAATTATTGTTTTCTTCCCTGACGAGCTAAGTAAAGATGTGTGCCTTTTACTATTTCCCACCATCAATACACGTCCTTGCATTGGCTTTTCTTGTCCAATGCAATTACAATTTGCTTTTTATTGGCCTCTCCGCTTCAATTTTTTTTTAATAGAACATTAAACTATTTTGTGTGATATGATTTCTAAACGTGATTCACTTGCTCTTTAATGGTGTGCCCTAACTTATATTTAGTATATTTTCGTGACTAATTTATGATATTATTTCAGGAGAGCAAAATTAATGTAGGAGTCAGGAACATATTCTGTGTTGTGCAAAAGGCAGAAAATGGATGGTGGAAAAAGTTACTGCGTGGAGAAGGCAAAGTTCCACATTACATAAAAGTAGATTGGGACAAATGGGTGGATGAGGATGATGATAATGGTATGCACAACCGTAAATCATGTTATTTTACTTGAATTCCTGAAATATAGGTCATGAAAAGATACTTTATTTGGAAGCACCATCCTTATGACTCGTTACTTTGTGATCAGGAGGAGGACTTGGTGACTTGGACTTGGGAGGGATGGACTTCTCGGTATGCAATTTTCTTTTGTAATTTGCAAGTTCAACCCCTCTTTCACTGAGATTACTTGTGCTAATTTTAATTGTGTGCTGCAGAAATTTGGCGGGATGGGTGATGATGCTATGGGTGAAGATTTTGAAGACAGTGATGATGAAGGTAACTGTCCTTGATTTTCTGGCTGACATACATTGTATCTGCCGCTAGTCAGGATAGTTCAGTGGATCTTAAGAGTGTTTATGTGTGTTAAAATAATTCTTAGTTGAGCGATAGATCATTGTTTTTATTTAGAAAATAGGATTTGATGGAAAGCTTATTACATTTGAGATGATGGCATTCTATCTTATTTTTAAATAAAACATGATTTATGTTATATAAAATCTATAGGAAACTGTACTGGTTACAAGTCATGAATGGTAACTCAACGGCTACTCATTAGCGTAGGTTTTTTAAATAAAAAACGAGTGTTTTACCGGGCTAACTGAAATAATTCCTTTGCATGTGATAATAGAGCAAGAAGTGTCAAAGCCTAGTGGCGAACACGAGACTGACAAGGCCGGGGAGGAAGGCTCTAAGGGAGGAGATCCCGCGGAGAAACATGAAGCTGCTTCAAGCACATAAAGCTCTCGCTGCTGCGGATGCAGATAACTCTTTCAAGTTTGTGGAGTGGGGGTTTCAGCTGCTAATTATTATTGGTTGGTTGTTGTTTAAGAGACACGCATGTCTCTCATCGTGTTAACAAAAAATTGACTCGTGCTATTCAGCAGCTAAAGCTTCTAGTTGAATTAGGATGATGTCCATTTGGAGAATCTTAATTTGATGGATGAATGGCAGTATCAGGCTTTCTCGTTTGGCGGCACATTCCGTGCGTTTCAGAGCGTAATCAGAATACATTACGGGGTTTGTTGGATTACATTCCGACCTTCATTTTACAGAAGTCAAATTAACCCAGATTGCAAATTTTACGAGCGACCTGCTCTACACAAAAATCATGTCTTAGAATGAAGCACAAATTTATTTCTAACATATTAAACCATTCGTCAAATATAATGCATTGCTTAGCGGATGTTGGTTAATACATATGCTTTAAGTAATTTGACCAGTCTGCAAAATGATTCAGATTCTTGGTGTTCCAGTAATTTTGTGAATTTCATTTTTATTTCAAGCGAAGCAAGTCTGAACAGTCTTTATCAGCCCCCATGGTGTTATTAGCCTCTTTGACCTTGATTAATGTCATTGTCAGCCGGTATTTTGGCCAAGACAAGTAACGAGTGGCTAAAACGTACTCGATATTTTATCGAAATTTAAACGAACATTCACAATATTTTATCCAATAAATAACATTATATTCTACAATATTCGAATATGCATGTAAGTACGCATTATATGGTGAGTCACGACAAATGTGTGATGTCGCGCACTTGGTGCCACGACAGATATGTATAATAAAATGTTTAAATATTAATAAAACTGTTAAAAATTAAAAGGCAATAACTCAATGCCATTGCTAACAATAGTCTGTTTGGTTGCAAAATGTCCCGCAGGTAAGTCAGTGGAAGCACATTTTTGATAAATTAGCAAAAATAAGATTTGCAATTGCTTTTAAATATATGGGATATACATAGAGCCCAGAACAGGGCAACCTTACATTCCGGAGTCGTTCAAGGGAAGGGTTTGATAGGGCAAAGGAGGAGACCTAAAAGTAAGATATTATTTCATGGCAATGAAACTGCAATAATCTACTCAACGAAGGTTGAAAACTTTTGGGCACAGAATAAAATACAGAGGATTGGGGAGAGAACTGAGAGAAAGAAGGGTAAAAACTATAGATATGATACAATGGAGGCAGGACCAATTAAGGAACTTGAATTTATTGGTCGCTCACCTCGTTGCAGCATTTTGGGAGATAAAAGAGAAGAATAATCTAAGCAAGGTATGCTATACAGAGCTTTACATGAAATAGCTCAGAGATCTCATTTTTCTGGACCCACCTTCTCCATAAAGGTCATTCCATTGGAGTAGCTCATTCATATTTGTTGACTCCGATGACACACTGGCACACACCTGCATGCACAAGACGTCACTCTTGCAAGTCATAACAAGATCAATTGAAAGGAACAGAACAGACCTCATTTTCCATTGCCAAAAGGGAAAAAAAAAAGGTTGAAAATCAAGACAACTTGGACAACAAAATTAATATACCTGCTCGTGTGCATACTTGAAATCTTCCATCTTTAAGGGTCGAATGTCGGCACTGCTACATAATGCAGGTAAAGGTCTGTTCTCAGACAACGCCAAACCTCTCTCCTGAAAGATTAGTTGCTGTCCAAGTGAGGAACAACATATAACCAAGAAAATAAACAGCATGTGATCCCCAGCCAAGAAACTTTCTACCAAACGATATAGAGAAAACCAGCACTACGAACTAACCTTCTTTTCCTTCTCCAAGATTTCTCTGATTGGACAGTGAGCTGCTGTAACACACAGATTCTGCCGCCAAAAGCAAAACACAATGAGGATATATGAACAGAAAGACTTCAGATCCAAGAATTAAAGAAAACAAAGAACAGAAAGACAACCTTTAGGTCACTTCCTGAATATCCATCAGTCATATTTGCAATTGCTTCCAACTCAACATCAGGTGCCAAGTCTTCTTTTGCCAAGATGACTCGGAGAATTTTCTCTCTGTTCAGAGCATCTGGCAAATTAACCATCAATCTGTACATTGAATGAAAATCACAAGTTAGGAGTATCCAAACCGTAAAACATATATAACAAGAATCAAATAAAACATATGTTTACCTTCGGGGGAGCCTCCTAATAACAGCCTCATCAAGGTCAAAAGGTCTATTTGTCGCAGCAAGAACAAGTATGCGCTCTTTATCTTTTGTACGCAATCCATCCCAGTTCACCATAAACTCATTCTTCATCTTACGCATAGCCTCATGCTCACCAGGATTCTCACGTCTTCCTAGCATGCTATCAACCTGCCAGACGCCAAAACAAGCCAAACATGATCAGCAAGAACATAGAAGGAGCATGACAACTCCCATCACACAAGAGGCAAGCAGCATAAGATTTCACAAGATACATGTGATGCATAATACTGACCTCATCAACGAAAATAACACTTGGAGCAATTTTGCTTGCTAGAGAAAAGACTGCTTTGACATACTTCTCTCCTTCACCAAACCACTGCAATGAACTCATGGTGATCTCTGTCTCTAAGATAGTAAAAGAAAATAAAACAACAGCACAAAGAACAGTTCATTGGTAAGATTAATACCTTTGAAGTGATACTCGACATTGAGATGTTGATGAAATTTGCTCCAGCCTCAGTTGCTACAGCTTTTGCAAGCATTGTTTTCCCGGTACCAGGGGGCCCAAAGAGCAATATCCCCTTGCAAGGCTGCAATCATTCAAAATTGCAGTGAGAAGCTAAACACATGGCATGAACAACTTCAGACCAGTTCAGATGGCCTAAAAAGAGAGACTTCCCACCTTAGTCAACTGTCCCTTGCAGAACAATTCAGGCCTCTGAAGAGGAAGCATGACCAATTCCTTCAAGGTGTCCTTTACATTTTCTAAGGCTCCAATATCATCAAAAGTGACCCCAATATCAGTGGGTGGAATAACATCAGCAAGAAGTTTTTTCTCGAACTCATTCTCAGTAACCACGTCCTGCAACAAAAATTGATAAATAAAACAGATCCAAGTACAGTGCCCATAAACTTGAGCCGAAAAGAGAATGAAAATCTGGGCAGACAAATGACTCAGAATTTCACTACATGCTCATCAACAGCAAATTTGCCCTATAAAATTGAAAGGTATTAATTACATGATTCAATCTATGCAATGCAAACAAACTAGATGGAACCAAAAAAAATGTAAGAATTTCATGTAATTAATACCTTTGTAATTATTTTAAGAATTACGGGAGTGTATAGCAGAAAAAGATAAAATTACCTTGAGTGATTTCTTTAAGTTTTTGTTTTCACTCAGAATGCCCTGTAGAATGTTCAGCCCATACTTAATGCTGTAGCAATGAAAGACAAAACACTATTAAAAACATGTTCAAGGCCAAAACAACTATATTTTGTCGCTCAATTTTTTTATATACAGTAGGACAAAGATGACCAGAAATGAGTACAACCTCTCAGTAGATATCACAAGCTTAGTGTCCTTGATTGAATCTTCAGATTGATGCATAAAATGATGGCTTATAGCCCAGCCAATGACTTTTTCCACAGCTGGTGAAAGAATATGAGATGTCAACAAAAGCACCACAGAAAAACTCAATACTGTAAGTATAATTGAAGTACCACATTTAGAGATACTGACTTTCAGTTGTTAGGGCTTGATCTTTAATGCAAAGAGTCTCAAGGTCAGGGCAATCCAATCCAAACCTGTTGAGAACCTGAAATCATTGAAGGAACTAATAAGGTGCTTTACAAAACACACACACACACACACACACACACACACACACTCAATAAATTATAAACCCAAGTGAAGTCTACAAAATAACAGAAAACACCGGATCAAACAAAACTTGAAAAGGTCATTTTATTACTTCAACATAAGCTTCTCATATTTTACCCAGAAAAACCCAGCCCTAGTGTGAAGGCAATGCATGCCAAAAAACAAAAGCCAAAACAAGATAAAAACAAGTGGGCTTGCAAAGAAGAGAGTATCACAAAGCATCTCCATTTATAAATTTTCAGAAGGAAAGTAAGAATTATTCGTCCCATCCACAGAATAAACACGTCACGCCACATACTCTAGTTCAAACCAACTTATACTAAGTGGTTTCATCCAGAACCAAGCAAATAATACACAAAATGCAACAACAGAAGGAAACAAAGTAAGGTAGAGGCACAAGAAAATCAGTAGGAGAAACTGCTATACTTACTGTACGAATACTGACAACATTTGATTGAGCTTTCATAGTTTCAACATCACGTTCCAACTGCTGTTTCCAATCAGAAAGCAAAGCCTCATCCTGCACAATGGCACAAGTTGCAGGTGTTACTGCATACATGAATCGCAGATAGCCACAAAATGAATGTACAATAAACTTCAAACATGATACCTGAGGCAGTTGTATTGTGACTTTGTTGGGGAAAAGGCGACTAAGTTGCTTCATCGTTTTGGGGGTTTCTTTGCTTCTATCATGAAGTCTACTAAAATTATCCTGTGTAGATGAAATTTGCTGTTACTTAACTCCTCACAGGAGGAAAACTAAAGACCATAATATCAAGTTATTAATGTTCCAGAAAGAAATCAATCATTTTGCATTCAAAACAACAGGACAACATACGAACTTTTCTAGTGGGCAGGATAAGGTGCAAGAATCAAGCAAAGCACAAAAATATAAGCACTCGTATGTGACCTTTAAGGTTCCATTTCAGCTTTACAACAATCTCCAAATCAAATTAGATTAGTCCATCTAATGGATGTACCATAGTAAAATTATCCTAAAATTCTAGGAAATTAATAAAAACCTATGAGCATCACAACATCTGGAGTCATCCGATCACCTGGAGGGTTTATCCTACCAGTCAGATATCCCACCTCCATTGACATTCAAAGTAACTAGAAAAATGAAAAATAGGTTGCCTTTCTCCTTCTCTGCTTTTTTTTTTTTTTAAAGCCAAACTCTGACTATTACTATCACTGCCCGAACCCAAATTTGCAAATAATGCATCTGGGTAATGTAAGCAAATGCACCTCCGATAATCAAACGACTTTGCAACTTGAAAAACACATAATTATCACCAAACAAATCAATGCAACTTGAGATTAGAAGATAATGGTCAAGAGAAATATTCAATGTCACAAGACGCAAAGCATTTGTCATGTCAAAGCAAAAGGAAAATGATTAAAAAAAAGTAAAACATGGATCAAATCCTGCATACAAGTGGACAAATGACAAATTAGCATCATAGTTCAGCAGACAAAATATGCAGTTGCAGGCAATGAAAAGGAACACGTCTTGCATATAGAAGTATATCGTGTTTAGAAGCAAGGTAGATGATTGTACCGGAAATGCAAGGTCAAGTAGTGCAGTCTGATTGCTCCCGAACTTTGTAAACAGAAGGCCACCTGGGTGGGTCTGCAAGCATAAAGATGGCAGCATTAAAATTAGCAGCAGCGACCTCTCTTAAATTGTAAAGTCCCACCAATCAAAAGATGATAGAATATAATCATTAAACCACCTTCTCCTTGCGATTGTCTGGCTGGGTATGCGAGCCAATTACAACAACATTCTGTTGCAAACTTTCCAATTTACTCTTCAAAACTTCAGTGTTTCCAACCATTGCCTTCTCTATATCTTTCATGAACAACACTAGCGAACCACTTTTGCTTTGATTGGAGACCACCTGTGTACATAAACAACACAGGAGCATGATAAATATACTTCAGCAAGAATAGAGGCAGATATTTATAACAAATAAAAACATTGTAGCCACCTCAAAAATTTCATTTATGGCAAGCTTGTCATTGTCATCCACTCCGGAACCATCAACTCGTAGTAAATGATTAGCTGCAGTGTAAAGCATAACAGTTTCAAATTTTTAATATAAAATAGCAAACTGCAGAGGAGGTATATGCAGACGCACGAGTGCAAACAGAATAAATATAAAAGTGAATTACCAGAACAAAAGAAACCCCGATCATCTTCACAAAGGCCTCCAAGATCATTGCCATCTGGAATTGACTTATCAAACCTGACTCCAATTTTTGATGACCCATTTTCTTCAAAAGCAAGAAGAACTTTTCCACGGGAGCCATAACTCGGGCCCCTGCCCAATAAATTAGAAGTATAAAAACAACAAGATTTAAATTTCCACAAGAACAAATACGAAAAGGCAAAGATCCCGAGCATCTGACCCAAGCAATTGATAGTATGTGTATGCAATTTCTTTAAAGAAATATACGCATTTCACCCAGTTACAGAAACAAAAATTCCTTGCTAGTCTCTAAAGGTGTATGTATTAGAATTTAGAATCGCTTGCAAACCCATCCTACTGAAAAATGACTCGAAAGAAATGTCACACGTCTACAAAAATATTGATACTCAGCTCTTTCATAACACATTACCTAGAAGGATAATTCGTTAGCGATACACTGGTTGAAGGAACATTACCAACGAATTTAACTCTGTCACCTGCAAGTTGTGTCAAGTATAATCTCATTAATGTGTTCAAACTGCCACCTAACAAAATTATAAATGGTAATAGATAGTTAACATGAAGATTATGGCCAATTATACTGACATAAAAGCATACCTGTTTTTATGGTAGAGCCCTTGGATGACGCAGTAGACACCTCTTGCTTCAGCATGGCCTGAGAACTTAATGTCGATCCACCTACAATCTCAGCATCAACACTAGAAGTCGGCTTCTTATGCTGTAATGGGGCAGCCTGTGCACTTCGCTTTGTAAACATAGATGCTCTCTCAGGCCTAGAACTTTCTTTAGTGGAATCAGATTCTTTTGGTGTTGTCCCCTGCACAATTAGTTGCACAGTAAAAACAATCATTCAACTATTATCTTGATGCACACTGAGATGAAGCCATGTCTCAACAAAAGCAACAAAGCAATCTCAGGTAAAAATACGCTGAGTAGAGCATAAAATTCTTAATTTAGTAATCTATCTTTCCACAAAACCTCCAACAAATTAAAAAAAAACAAAATTAATGCCTGACGGAACATACACCAGGCAACGAAAGAGAATCCACAATCAGCAGCCTGGCACCAAAATGCTTTGCCAGGGCCTTCGATAAAGTTTCTTGATATATCTCCGAACCTACAGAAGATTAATATAGAATTAAATTGTGACTCCAGTGAAAAGGAAAAAAAGAATATGAACAAAAATGACATCACCACCTGCAGGACCAGATAACAATATTCTTGGGCACACTGAAGGGAGATCTGAAGCATACTTTGCAAAACCATTGCACTTCAAATGAATGTGTGTAGAAGCAATCAAAACATTCTTTGTTGTATCGCTGTAGCAAGAAAAGACGCCATGACACAAATGTCATATAGTTATATTTAAATGTCTGACAAGAATTAACTACTAGCACTAGCACTTCCACATGGAAAATATGTTTGCACCTTAGAAAGTATGGGAAACTTTCAAATGAGACATCAATATCATCAGGATTTAGAATTCCTTCTTGTAAACTCTCCTTAAATGCTTGCCTCCTCGTTGATGCCAAGATTGTGGGGGGGTCAAAATCCTTAAGGAGTTCTCTTAAATCCCTCCGCTCTTCCAATATTTTGGAAATGCTACTGCCCAAATCAAATTCAGTACTAGAACCAGCAAGCATGCGCAACAATGGCCTTAATTCATAGGCAGTCCCATTTACCTTCCCAACATCTGCATCCACAACAGCATCTACTCCCATGGTGTCAAGACTAGGATTTTCATTGGCCGCAGCAGCAGAGGATGCAAGAACAGTTTTCTCAGATAAAATACCTTCAGTTGAATCATCATTTTTGGTGGCATCCTTCATTTCATTGTCCACACTATCATCCCTATGGCCAGAAGTTACAGACAAAACCTCAGCATTCTGGGTGGCATTCTCGCCAGTTTTAGCAGGAGGTGGAAGGAGAGATAAATCTTTGTGAAGGTTAGATAAAGACGCTAATATTGATGCTCCTGCAACAGCTGAAGAGTCCCCAGATCCTTCAATTCGCATTCCCTTAATTTGGGCACTTCGGGCTTCCAATATACTTACAGAAGGGGGTACCCCTGCTGTGGTTAGATTATTACTGGTAAGCTGTTGAAAAATCTATGTTCCAAGCTAAGGAACCCCAAAATTTTCCATAATAGAAATTTGAGAACAATATAGGCACTAAAATGAAAAATGGAACTAGACAGAATGCATTACTAACGGCTTTCCTCCTACAGGCGCACAAAGAAGCTTGCACAGAAGAAAGAACAAAGAAGCAAATAAAAACCTAAAAATGGAAGCAGACAAGTTCTCCTACAGGTGGCACATGAAACCTTTGTAAAAGGATACATAAGCATGCTTGCCAGAAGAACTGAAGACCACCTCATCACCACCACTTAAGATCACACGGGAATTTTTATGGTGGTTCCTGCCATTAACTTGGACAACACCTTTACCTCCTATAACTTCCAGTAATGCAACAGATGAACCTCCACGCTACACAGAGTTAAAATAACAATCATGGTCAGAAGTAAAGTAAAGACATTAAGCAATGTTCATTAGATGGCGCAAAAGTAGGACCCAGTCATTGAAGCTGAACAAGTATTGATCATTCATAACTTATAAAAATTAACATCTGATCTTCCAGCAGCAAATATAAAAAATATATATAACTGCTTTTATCAGTTTTTTATGGTAAACTTGACAGAAGATAGACCCTAAGTTATTGAGCTGCCTAACTCACATTCCAGGAGATAAAGGAGGGAGCTCTACCTCTATGTGCCTCAATTTGCACAAAACATTACTAACAGCAGGATCTTTAAGACACAAATCACACAGACGTCCTTGACCAACAGTGAAGAGCCCGCGCATGGGCAGATGCGGATTCTGGAAAAGCATAAGAGGAAAAATATACAAAGGATTAAATCTCAAAGCTATGCAAGCACCAAGTGATGTGACCAGGAAAAAATCCATCATTGAAAAGTTAGCACAAAGTGAAATTTAAAGAAGGGGAATTGAAATGCCAGACCTTCTTACTTTCAATCTATTTTATGACCACATACAAGAAATGATCGAGGTATTGGAATAAAAGAAATAATCATCTATATACCAAAATTGTCAACCGAGCATCATTTATATTGTTCCAATCAACGGGACAAAAGCATAAATATTTAAACTTTTCAATTCTCTTGATAAGCAAGACCGTATTAAAAAAGATGTTTGCGCAAAGGAACATTAAATACAAAGGGCGTTGTGTGTGCGCGTTTTAATCACATTGAACAGAAAGAACTTTCAAGTTTCAATTTGACAGGACAGCCAACCAATGGATGAAAAGGTATAAATGAATTCCTCTATGCCGTTCAAGCATTCCATCCTTGTCCGTACTTGATTTCCCAATGACAATTTGACATCAACTACACAAAATTTAAGCCCTTGCATAAAATATTAAAAGAAATTAGCGGCTCAGACTGCAACAGAGTCTATCAAAATTCCAAGTCCCAAGAAACAAATTCTCGTCCTCAAATTAGATCCATGAATCTAAACAAGAACCATCGGGATACAATTCTTTACACTAAGAATAAGTAATATTAAATTCTTGCACGGAGTTGAGAATGTATCCTAACGGCTGAAATGCTAATTATCAGATATAATAGGAGTTTCAAATGAGTCAATTGATAGCAAAAAGAAAGATGCCAAAGCTGCGTCTTTAAGTCATTAATTTCTGTATACCACTTCACTCCTCCAGGGCAGATTGAAACCTACTAAGCAATTTTAAGCACTGCAATGTGACCATCAACTCATGCCCACGATGTTAATAGGCAAGCTTCACAACAACTAAAAGGGTATTACGCCGGCTGAAGCATGCAGCATTGGACATCTAAGAGTCGAGACCAAACTCAATTCATTAGGCTTGAAAATTTAAAATTAAGAGAATACATCTTGAGCATGATTTCCCCTTGCATCTGTGAGATGGAATTATCTTTCAGGGAGAAGAGAGAGAGAGAGACTAAAATCAAATGAGATAAAAATCTTGAACGGAGTGGAAAACACACCTGAGAGCACTGAGAAAGAAGCTTTCCCCAGGCAGCCTTGGCGCTCGATTTTGTGGATTTCGTTGGGCGTTTCTTAGACCGCCCATGAGCCGCCACACTAGCTGACTTTGATTTCTCCGCTTCCACCGCAGTTCCATCTGAGCTTGCCATATTATAGGACTAATCAGCAAAAACAGCATGCATGCACCCCAACAACAATCAATACTACAAATCACGAAAAACAGAAAAAAGAAGCCACTTTCGCACCTGAAGACCTCGGCGACACCAGAGCCTCGCCTTCGACAGCCGCTGCAGGGGATTTCTCAGGTAACCTCGCGTCACTCAGGTCTACAGCCTTCAAAGAATCGGCATCTGGCAGATCAGATGGCCGTAGCTCCGGCTCTCGAGATTCATTCCCAGATTCGTTGACCTGACCAAAAATTTCAGCCGATGGGAGACTGGTTGACGATGCGTCCTCGGACACCTAGGTTTTGAATAGCCATGAATCAAGCCCAGAAGAAATCGATGAAGGATAACTCGAATTGGGACAAAAACCACATACCCAGACAACCCATGAGGAAATCCACAACAACACATGCTAGAAACCCCAAAAGGAAAAAAGCCAAAAATACCTTAGATCGTTTGGCGTTGGAAGGAGGGGGGGAAGAGAGAGAGCGCTTGGCAGAAGAGGAGCTGCGCCTGGTCTCAACCATGATGTCGGCCCAGTTCTCGTCGTTTTCAGTCCCTCCTGGTATCTGATCCGACAAGACTAAGCCGGAGGCAGAGAATCAAAGAGCCGCGGAGAGAGACGGGAATGAATGATTGCGGAAGATCCGTTGTGAAGGTTCCTGCGTATGTTGTTTTTATATGGAAGGAATACAAAATAGAGAAGGGGAATATTTTTACAAAAGGAAGCAGAAAAGGAAAGAGGTAAAGAAGGGGTGTGAAGCGGTGATGACTGGTGAGTGAGAAAAATGAAAGGATTTTTCAGCTAACGCCTCCTGCGATGAGATTGGGAAATGCCGGTTACGTTTTTATGGTGTGAGCAGTACACCAAGCAAAGCAGAGCGAGCGACAAACACAGAGCGCCAGCCAGCCAACCATCCTCACTGAGCGATGGTTTCTATCAGGTTTGGTCAACTCATTTTAGGGTGTGTTTGGATGAAACCAACCATAGTTTAAAAAGTGATTCTGGAAATAGATTTGAGAAGAATAGATTCTGAAAGAATAAATATTATGAAAAAATGATTTTGAGAAGTGAAAATGTTTGGATAGTTGTTATCAGAAGCACTTTTTATATATACAAATTACTAAAAAAAAGACATAAGTTAATATGATAATTACAGAAAAAATAGATTTTATGATATATTTTAATTTGAAGGAATAAAATTGTTAATAATATATTTTTTATTAACATAATTAATAATACATAAGATAATATAATTAATAATAATTAATATGTATATATATTTATAAAATATAAGATTAAATATGTTTATAAAAAAATATGTTTATAAAAAAAATAATAAGATACATATCCTATAGGCTCTCACACTCTCCCTTTTTTCTCCAAAAGCAAAAAATTTTGCTTTTTCCAAAACCATGGTTTTGTTTGTACAAATTGGATGGGTGTTTGGGTGACTTATCACCCAAACCATAGTTTGAGGTGTCACCCAAACGGTGCCTTAGTAAACAAAAATATTACTTCCAGTTTTTAATATAAGATTTTATTTAATTTTTATTTTGATCCTAAATATAAGAATTTAATTCACTTTATCTCTCATATTTATATATTTTTTTAAGATAATCTTTCTAACAATAATAGTTCTAATCAACACAGTTGATTAGCAAGGATATTTTAAGAAAGACAACACATATTTATTACAAATTACTCCGGTCCTTAATATAAGACCCAATTATTGAGTTAGTTTTGGTCTTAAATATAAGACCCATTTCTCATATTTATTAATACTCCCTCAACCATAATCAAGTAGAAGACAGAAATGGGATATTAAGAAAGATGATTATAGTGTTTTAGAAAAAACGTGTCACATTTCTTATAATTAACGAATTTACCCAACTTCCTTGATCTAATCAAATTAGTTAAATAGGTCTTATATTAAGAACCGGAGGATTACTAACTTAACTTTTTTTGTAATCTCCTCAAATTAGTCAACTAGTTCTTATAATTAGGACCGGAAGTAGTAGTTATCTTTGCCACTAATGCTCTAAATATTTTTTATAATATATGTAATTAAATATTTTTGCCCACATAATTATTCTTGTGATTTAAACATGCATCTTTTCATAATAGTATAACTTTCTCATCGATTTTATATTTTACACTCATTAATTTTAATATGTATATATATACAATAATTATGTATGTGCTCGGGACGTGAAAGTCTCGACCCTCTGTTTAATGTCTGGTGAACAGGAAGTTTTACGTCTATAATTAATACTATCCCAATTTTTAATATAAAAATTTATTTAACATTTAATTTAATCCTGAATATAAGATTTAAATCCAATTTATCTCTAATGTTTATTCATTTTTTTCAAAATAATCCTTGTAATAATTACACATATTAAATATTTTATTAAATGGTAATTCTAGCTAATACATGTAATTAATAAGGATATTTTAAAAAAAAATAACATATATTTATTACAAACAACTAATTTAACAAATTTTTTAATTTATTTCAATTAACCAACTAGCTCTTAATAATTTATCTACATTTTATACTATACGTTCAAAATATAAATAATTCTAACCCATCACACTGACGCGGTGCAGAAGCGAATGCGTTCAGTGATGTACGCATGCGAATATATTTGCCAAGTTAATGTTATTGGAATTATAGAAACTCAATATGTGGGGCTGTTCATTGCACAGAACCTGATGAATGAGATTTTTTACGTCTCAGGTGGCATGCCTTCCGATGATTTTTTCATGGTATGCTAATGGCAATAATACATTGCGCTCCAGTGTGAATAGTCATTTATGGTCCCGAATTTGCTAAAAACAAAAAAACAAAAGTTTCATTGCTGGGCGTGGGGTGCGTGCGGGCCTGCCCATTGCCGAGACATGTTTTCCTTTTCGTCTTGAGATTGCTTTACACGTGAAAGTCGAGGCTGTGAACTGTGGTGAGGTTAAAAAAAAGGTTTAAGTGGACTCGAATTAAAAAATTATAAAAACGGGATTATGTTATAAATAAAGAAAAAAATAGAGAAGAATAATAGAAAAGATCAATAAGAGAAAGTACTTCTCATTCAATTTAAGAGTTACTAAATACATGATACATAACCTCTATTTATAGACACAGCTTTACATATTTGATAGAATCTACATATTACATAATAATAAGAGATAACTATGGGATATAGAGATAATGGGAGATATTGGAGATTATATGAGATATATGGACATCCACAAAAATAATATTATATTCATAACAGGTAAAAAAATTATTATTTTTTTACTCTTTTATTTTATATTTTATTTTTATCTAAATTTATAATCCTATTTTTCTAATTTTTTAAATCAAACTCATTAAAATTTTGTCCCTTCTTCTACATTTCCGTCATATCAAATGCAGGGTTAAGGAATAGAGTGTGGATGACTTTTCTATAAATCTTATAATTTATCATTGATGACCAGATAAAAGTGTATTTCTTATTTCATGATATTTTATATGCTTTAAATTCTTTCTTTTAATTTTATGAACTATATTATTAATCACCTGATATTAATATTATTATTTTCGAATGATGATGTCTCGTGTTGATGATTATTATTTTTAAAATGGTTAATATAATATTTGGTTTCTCAAGTTTATTCTTATTTTAGTTTTGATCCTTTAATTTTTAAATCATAGGTTTTGGTCTCTTAATAGGCAAAATAGTGTACATTTTTATTATATTATAGGAAAGAATGTCATAAATAAAAATAAACTTGATGGATCAAAACTTATGGTTTAAAATTAAGAAATCAAAAACCAAAATGAGGGCAAACTTGAAAGATCAAAAATTATATTAACCTTTTTCTAAAATTAAACTCTCCATGTTATTGTTTGATAATATTTCACGAGCACTAAGATTTTGATATTAATATTTTTATTGATGAGACTGAAAGTAGAGTTAGATTACTAAAAAAAAAAAATACTTGAATGAATTAAGAGATTAAAATAAAACCTCATAAATATAAAGGATCAAGGACCAGGATAATCAGGCAAGTCAACGATTCAGCTGGTTTTTTTTTTTTTTACTAAATAACACGTCAATGGTTCAGCTGTTTAATACTTCTCTTTTTTTAAAAATGCTGTTTGGTGCAAAATAGCATTGTTTTGTGCGACAGATTATTGTTCCTGCTTTATTCTTTCTTGTACTACAGGTATGTTGTTTGTTATATATCTGCTTTATGAATTTATGAATATTAATATACTAATTTCAATCATAATTATAAAACCTTATTTATAATCTATGAATAAAATCAGTATACGTTAAATGATAAATATGCGTGTATTAATCATTGAAGTTTGATCACAGCAGAGCTGGTTAATTTTGAACGAATTGAAATCACAAAAGTGGAGACACCCGTTAAACGTAAATTAGACAACAAGAGTAAAAGGGTGTTTGACAACACCAATAAGTATTTTTCTGCAAAACAAGACAATTTCGACAGCATATTTACTTCGTATATTATAAAAATATTATTAAAATCATAATTTGATTTTTATCCAGACACTCCTTAAATAGTCATGCTCAGTACGTTGGCTTTGAGATTTTGCGACGCGACGTTTGGTTATTGACTGAAATAAGTGATAAATTCATCGATTAAAATTTTTATATCCGCTGGAATTGCCTTTTTTCTTTTTCTTTTTTCCGTTGGCATTGCCTCGCCAGAATGTGTTAGCCTCGATCACCCCTAAGCCATAATATACGAGCCGCAGCCGACGTATGAAACGCTTAGCAATCACGTTGTGTATATTCCGACCCGATCAGTCCTTGTGCACGGGGCCGACATGGGCTGGTGCTTGCATTCCTTCTGTCATGTGAGAGTAGGAACAATGACAACACCAAGGATTGAATTCAGGTAGCCTCTTACAATCAGTCAAAGTTTAAATTTATATTAAGAAAGATGTTTATATTTAGTGTGCAATAATGTTGTGAATAAAAGACGTTTAAAAAAAACAATAATAATAACAACCCATCCCCCCAATTAACGGCTTTCTTTTCTGATTAGTTTAATTTGCTGTTGGGATGCTCAGGGAAGAATTCTAGATTTGGAAGTGCCTAGTTAAACATGTGAGGTCTATTTTGCTTGATATGGTATGACTTGGGATAAATTAGATCAAGCATTTTATTCTTGACTTAAGTTGAGCTCGAATCCCACCCAGAATTTGATTATCAAAACAATAACAACAACATAAAATTTAATTATGTTGACTTGGATTGAGTTGAGTCCAGATCCCTATTTAAAATTTAATTATCAAAACAACAACAAAAATGTTGCACAAAAAAAAAACAATGGCAATAAATCATTGAAAAAATGACGATAACAATGTCAATAAAATAATAATGCTTTTCTCTTTCAGGCTCGTGCTTATCCATTACCTGTCTTCCCACTGTTTGCGGGTTCTGCATGAGCATCCATCGCTGTCTCCCCCCTCAAGAACGCTACAAGTTTCCGGAAATCTACCGTTTACGTATTTCCATCTTGTGTTTTAATCACCCAGCCTCTGTTTTCCTTTTTTTTTTCACTGCTGAGTCATGAAATCTTTTAACTTATGCTAAAAGTTTTCTTCTGTTCGTTCACTTTTAATCATGGTTGAATATCTTAAAACCCGCGCTCCGGATTTTTTTCTCTTTTGATTACGAGAAAAGTTTTCTTTTTCTTGGGTCAATATTACGAGAAAAGTTTGTTTCCGTATAGCAGATTTTTTTTAAAAAAAAAAAAATCCAGAACAACAAGGACAATGAACCCCGTCATTAATTTTATTTTAATTTAATGGAAGCACTAATCATCACCCACGTGCCATGGATCCCTCAAAAAGCGAAGGAGGCGCGCGGGTCTCATTACAAGCAGCACCTAATCATTGCCCGCGTTTATTTGGACCTCACATTGCTACTACTTCCGATCCGGTTGTAATTATAAGTTACTCCATCCGTTCCTTATTATAACAGACATTTGATGCTTATGGCATGTTCCTATATATAAGAGACACTTACAAGTTGTCTCTACTTTTTTGTGTTGATTTACTATTTACTCATATTTATTATCTCCAACTCACACACTCTCTCTCCCTCCCGCTTCTCTTTTTTTTAATAATTTAATTATTCTCTCTCATGCTCTCTCTCCTTATTAATGAGGGCATTTTTGAAAAAAAGTTATACTTTTTACATATTAATTGTTCTTAACTAATTTTAACTGTTTTTTTGATCAACGTACTTCGGTTATTTGTCTCTTATAATAAGAAATGAATGGAGTATTATTTATAAATTATAAATAAAATATTATAATTATAATAAATAAGATCTTACTATAATTAGAACCGGATGTAGTATTTCTCAATATTATTAACCACTCAATACTCTATTAACCACTTCATCCATTTATGCTATATTTCTCAATTAGTAGTTAATACACTTATCTTATTTATAAGACATTTTTAACATATTTTTTACAAACAAAATTTTTTAAACTGGATTAACTCTTCATTAAAATATAACAAGTTTTTAATTTTATTCTTAATAACTAGATTAAAAAGTTAACTAAATTACTTAATTATAACAAATATAACACTATTTTTAGAATATTCCTATTTATTACATATTGGCTTATAAATTAGACAGATAAGTATTTAAAATACAAATTTCTGCTAAAAAAAGTATAAAATATGATAAATAAAATAAATTGAGATGCTACATTTTAAGGAAAAAAATAACTTCCTGAGCAACTCCTAAGTTTATGATAAAAGGGGTATAAATTAAGAAATATTAACTGACATAGAATATTGTTACACACCGGTGATTAAAATGCATCACTCTGAAAAATGAAATGAAATAAAAAAGTGAAAAGAAAAAGTAACGAGAGAGATATAGCTGTGAAATGGGTGTGCAACAGGCAACCAAAAAGGAAAAAAATAATCAGGCGTTAGATTTAAAAACAGTGATTGCTCTCTGTTACCTAATATTTCATCCAATCTACCATAAAATAAAAACCTGGACCAAACCGGTGAACTAGTTAGTAGTTTAGGCATTGAATCGGTAAAGAGTTAAATTGATATCAAACTGGTCAAACTGGTATGAACCAGTTTGAATGATTATATTGTTATTAGTTTTATTTTTTCTATTTAGTTCTTAATATCTCAGTCACTATAGATTTGAATAAATTTTAGCGATAATTTTGGTATTAATGATTATTAATTTTAGCTATTGATGAATTATGAAGATCAAAATTATTAATATTATTGTACTTTGTTACTGTCATTTTTCTTGTATTTTGTTATCAGTGATTATTAATGATGTTGTATTTTGTTATTTTCAATTAAATTGTTTTATTTTAATATGATCGGTTCGATCTCGAGTTGATCACGGTCCAATACCCCTAAACTTCTTTCCTAACAGGCTTAGTGTCCAGTCCCTCTTTTGTTCATTGCCATTTATAGTACAAGTCATTTTAATTAATTTATTAAAATAAAACAAATGATAGTTAACTCATTAAATCTATATTAAATTGAAAATTTTTGTATAACTTTACCTATATCAAACGAGGTCACGAAATAAAGAGAAAGTATAAAGAATTGCATTCAAGTATTAATTGCGTAGATAAAATTAATAAACAAGCATTAATTACGCTCTGAACAACTTATATCTTATACCAAATCATTTTTATAGAGGGGACTTATACCCCGGACTATAAGGAGTATGAGCACTGAGCAATAAAATGGGAGAAACTTTTATTACTCTGTACAGGATAATTTATAAGTATTTTTATAAATACTTTCTGAATCTGGAAGTATCTTATAGTTCTAGCGAGTCCTGTAACTCAACTCACCTAAATATTCTGTTATCGAACAAAAACAATATTTCAAACTTCAATTACAGTGTTTACTACTAAAAACCCTCCTAATCATGCATTTTACTATTTATTGTCCTTTATTGGTGGCAAAACTGTGAAAATAAATTTTTTAAGACATCAAATTATTTCTTAATGAACAGAATTTAAAGGCGACAAGTTGAAAAAATAAATCTTAAAACGTCGCACGTAAGAACTAAATATTTGACTTTTTCTTGCATTTAAATTATTTCGGAGCATTTTAAGAATTAAGATAAATATTTACAGTATACAAGAATAGTACCATACTTCCCCGAATCATCGCTGTAAGTAAAAAGGTTTTAGCCAAACAAGGGTTCTCCCTGGACCCATTTTTTAATGAATCAAAGAAGGGTCGCCCTCCTTCATTTACTCTTCCTCCCAACCCCCTACCCAAACACGACTCACTGTTTATTTATAGATTCCTCCTAGTTAGAAGTTCGTCTGTTAAACCCGCGATCTTTGATTCTTTTCCCTTGTTCCCCTCGCCGGAGAAGAAACGGCTGAGATTCGAGGCCAGCTGATGGCTGATCACAAGGTTATTTTCGAGCAAGTCTTCGGCCTATCATCCGATAGCGAAGCCGAAAATTCAACGCACGAAGATGATCAATCGCTGCATGTGCTGATACAGAACCCGATCTTCCAATCTGTACTTCAAATTAATGGCCTTTGGTTCTGCAGAGACTTTCTCTCTTCTGATCAACAACATATCTTGCTGTCAGCTATCCAAAACGGTTCGTTTCCGTACTTCGTGCGCCCAATGTTTCCTCCAATCTTCTAGCTGTACATATCTTCAGGATTCCAAATATCGCGAACTCTCGGATATACTATAATTTATGCACCGATGGTGACTTTTTCCGCTTTGAATAATTCCGGGTTCTGGTGTACATGCGCATTCTTTTTGTTATTCACTGATTGATGCTGGAATCTCACGCTACGTGCTTTCAAATTTGTGGTCGCAGAAGGGTGGTTCAAGGAAGCCTCAAGGAATCAGGTTAGTCAATCATTCTGCTTTTTAATCACTAGACACTGGAACATGGCATTACGGGTGTTTTATGGGATGTGATTCTTCACACATCATGTGAGTTCCTTTAGTAGGTGACGCGCGGTAGTGCTGAGGATCCGATTAAATGAAATCTGGACACATTCCATTAATGCAGGGCTTTGACTTTATTAGAAGTAGAATTGATGGAGATATATCATGATTGGAGGGTTAAGGTGCTAAGGATATGGCGGGTTCTCGGTTTGAGCGACTCTGAAATTAAGGAATTTGAGCCCCTTTGTTCGTGCAAATGTTCTTCATTAGGTTTTTTTTTTTTTTCCATCTGTTGTGTAATAGGCACTAGCAAGGTTAGAGGGAAGGTAACACTGCGAGTCTGCGACAACAGAGATATCACCATGTCAACATCCCCCACAAAGTTTAGACGCTTTAATTCCCCGTAGCTTATAACCATGGCTTCTCTGCGGCATGTTCTCAGATTTAATACACAGAAGGCATCACTAAAAATTTTCAGGTTCATAATTTTTATGGAATAATGCCTTGGCTGCCGAATTGGTGGTGGGATTTTCACTTTCTTGAGTCAAGTTCTCCTAATAATTTATGGTAAATGTCTCCCGAGTTATGTCTCTGAGAGAACCTAATGATCCAAATTATAGATTTGCTAGCATTGTAACAAGAAAATGGATGTTTTACCGATAAATTATAAAGAAATAACAGAAGAAAGTATAGTTGCTTATCGTGGTGAATAATCTATTTGTTGCCAACCACTTTTTGCTGTGCGCTAGACTGTCTATATTCTCTAGTTTGATAACTTCCATGGTTTACAATATTCATTTGACCATTCTTCAAGATCAGGCCATGAGGTTCGGTGATCTTCCAGCTTGGTCCACCAAACTATCAGACTCTATTCGCGAATTGGTGCTTTTTGGTGATGATGGTTTTCAAGGAGACGGGCAAACAAGTGCACTGCCATGGGACTTACTCTGGCGAGAGCCGCTTTTTAACCAACTGATTGTAAATGTGTACGAGCCGGGTGAGGTGTGACATGATTAATCCTATGTAGATAGTGTCTTACTGTTATTTGTATTGAACCCCCCTCCTCCTCTCTTTTTCACAATAGATGAGTTGTTACGTTTATCAGGGTAGCGGGGAAGTGATTTAACTCAGCACGCCCGTTCAAGTGGCTGTTCTCTACCCGATAACTTATCCCTTAGCTGCAGTGAAGCTTGGTTATTCTGGAAACTCTTAACACTCTTTCCATATGCTTATTTTCAGACTTGATTCTACAATTTTCTTGTAAAAATTCTTCGTTTTGCGCAATCTATCAGTGTGGCTGTGATCTTACGTTTGGTTAATGAACTGATTTATCCTTGCTAGATTGTGATATTAGTCTTGTTTTTCTTCTTTATTTATTGACTTAGACTCACAAGTTCCAAATGGGTTGTATTTCTAGCACCATAGCCTTCTCCACTATAAATGTACGTGACACTAGCCTCCCGTAGCATCAAGGCTTTTTAACGCCTTTTTTATTGGGTCCAGTCTCCTTCACCTTTGTGTATCTGGGGCATGTATGGAAAGGGAGCGTACTCTATTTTCCATTAACTTGCGGTAAGGATGCTGTAATGCATATATTTGCAGGGTATATGTGCACATGTCGACCTTTTGCGCTTTGAAGATGGAATTGCAATCGTCTCGTTAGAGTCTTCTTGCGTCATGCATTTTACAAGGGTTGAATCAACAGTTGATGGCATTGAAAATGAAGGAAAATCAAATTCATCCTCTGCCAGGGTTCCCATTTTACTTCCACCGGGCTCATTGGTTTTAATGTCAGGGGAGGCTCGTTATAACTGGAGGCACGAGATCAATCGCAATCCCGGCTTTCAAATATGGGAAGGACGTGAATTAGATCAAATGAGGCGGACCTCTATTACACTCAGGAAGCTTTGCCCGTCAGAGTAGGTTCCTATGTATATATTTTGGTGAAACTTTTTGTGTATTTTGACCGACTTATTAAAACACAGATGTCCAGACTCCAGTGTGTTTCGATGAAACATACGAGTAATTTTTATTCAATGGCTGAGCCTGCTTTCAGTTCGTTTTCAAGTTATTTGCAGAAAGATGTGGAAGAACAATCCGAATTAGCTGGTTCTGCTGCTCGATCAAAATTATACTTTTTTAATTAAAAAAAATTAACTAGCTTTATATAGACATCAAACCCCTCTGCCCCATCAGGCGATAAATGCTCGTGATTTACAAGTGAGTCAAGTTTGATTTGAACAGTGTAATTTTAATTCGCTCATTGCCACCCTTCGCCCATGGTTCATGCAGCGCCTATTCCTTTGTGGACGTCTCGGCCAAAAATCAGTTTTGATCAACAAGAATGGGGTGGACTGCATAAACCAGCGATTAATGTTTCGCTTTTTTTTGGGAGGCAATAATCAATTTTTCTAAAAAGATACAAACTCTCCGCATTAATCATCACCCGAAGCGTCCCATATTTCTCAATTTCAGCAGCAGGACCAAGCAATGTCGTATAAATACCATTAATAGTCACTGTGGCCTACGGTCACAGATAACAATACGAAGTCTCAACAAGGAGGGACACAAACCAATGGAAAAGGCAATCCATAAGGACAAACCGCCTCTCACTGTCTCACATGAAGGGGGCGTAACATACAAAACACTGGCAAATATTCACATCGCGTGGCGTATACACTGTAAGCTGACCCTTTGACACCGCATTAATTTCTACACCTGCTTCACACTGCTTCGCTCGGTTTTCACAAGAAGGTTGGAACTTGGAATGACTTCAAACAAAAACGAGCCTAAGATTTACAAGAGAGAGGAAAGCGGTCCATGCCAAACAGGGCTTTATCAAATCACCTGAGATGGGATTCACCTGCCCAAACAGACGATAACACCCGACCATGGCTCCGAACATTCCGAAACACAGAATCAATCCGGTCCGCGTCGCCCCCACCCCGAACACCAGCGGATCCCAGAGCAGAGTCAAGAAAAGCTGGGTCAAGTAAAACAAGAGAGCGTTGGGGTACCTATGAAAGCCCCCGTTGGCCCACACCATCCAAGCGGCGAGGCCCATCAAGAAGCACGACGCCGGACACGTCAGATGTAGGGCCCACATGGGCGGGAACCAGAAGGGCTTTCCGTAAGCTATAGGGGCGACGCTGGCGTGACTTGTGCTGGAGCCCACGTAGGCGCTGAGCAGGGAAAGGGAGAGAGGAACGGCCACTGCTATGGTGAGCGATCTGAGGCCTCGTTTGGCCATGGCCATTTTCTTGTCTTTGATTTTACCACCCATATTTCTCTGGCCGTCCGTGGTGGTGGCGGTGGCTGTGGCGGTGTTGTTTGGGTCGTCTTTGAATCGCCGTTTGAGTTCCTGGGAAGCCATATTTTTGGAAAGAGAGAGAGCAGCGAATGTCATGGGAGGTGTTTTAATTCAGGCTGGGGAGCTTTATAAGGGAGAGCGAGTCTTTCTGGGGAGTCTGTTTGGGGTTGACAGGTGGATGGAGGAGATTCAATGTTGTTGACCGCCAAGGACTACGCGGCTGTAACTCAGTAGTTACAACTTACAAGAGACGCTGTCCGCATGGGATCGAGGTCGTTATTTTAGTTTGCGACTAATCTTTGCCGACGCAGCAGAATTATGTTTGAGATGCAGGAGGTGGCACCTCCGTCAAATGACACGTCACGGGGTGATGTTTAAAATGTCTCCTTTGTCATGAGAGTGTGGATAAGGGCAAATGGGCCCTATCCATTGCCATACCCTGACACCTGTTGAATTGCCCTGCCGACTGCGTGTCTCTATCGTTGTGTTTTCTCGTTTGGTCGATTCTCTATCGGCCTGTTTTGAGTCCGAGTGTTCCAACCTCAAATGATAACATATACACGTCCGCTAATGCGAAAATAAAAAGGTCACTAATACAGTGTTATCAAGAAAGTATCTCCGGTTTTTAATATATAAACTTATTTGATTTTTATTTTAATTATAAATATGAGATTTTAATTTATTTTATTTTTATATTTATCTATTTTTAAGATAATTCTTGTAATAATGCTAATTTTACATAATATACTTGATTAGCAATGATATTTTAAAAAAAAACAACACCTATTTATTATAAATAACTAGTTTAATTAATTTTTTTAATCTATTTAAATTAATCAACTAACTCTTGTATTAAAGAGCGTATATAATTAATTAGTTAAAGATACATGCTACCTCTGGAGATTATATTTGATTTTAAATACAATATTTTAATTTAATTTATCTCTCAAATTTATAATGATTTTTGTAAAGTATTCTTATTAACGGTAAGTGTTCCCATCAATGGATAATTTTATTGAACATGATTAAAGAGGGTAGTTTAAAAAAATAAACACATTTGTACCAATTTAACTAGCTATCTTAATATTTCTAAATTAATTACCCAGTTCCTATATTAAGGATTAAATGTAGTATATCATCAAAAATATCTCATACTGCATTAATAATATATATATATAGATAGATAGATGACTTATTAGATCATCAGTCCTAAGGACGAGGAAACATTAATGCAGGTGAAGGGGGCCATGAGGTTAATGAGAGCATAAGCATTCCCTGTATTCTTTGACAACCCGTCAATAAGCCACTATTCTAATCTCACTTGTTAAATACTTCATGATTTATAATATAAGAAGTAAGTTGAAAAAAATTATTGTTCAAAATATAAGATGTTGTTAAGATAATTAATATAATTTTCCCTATTAAATATATGAGAAAGAGAAGAGAGATTAGAAATAATAAAATATAATATTAAAGACAATTTTATTATTTCATGACATATTTAATGACTAAGCTCTTATTTCTCTTGGTTTATACCATTAACACGTGTGTGCATTTCTCATGCCTGACCAAGGATGCGATCATGCGATGTGATTGAGAGATTGATTCACTTAATCCCCGCATAAAATTTCAAGGCAGAATAAGGCCGCCACCATTCAAAACAATAGAACCTGACCAGCCGGGGGGCAGGTGTTGTGCTGCGATGGACTGCGCGGGTGAGAAAAGTGGGAGCTAAATAAGGGAATCCAGAGGACGATATTGACAAGAATGCCCCCCGTAGAGCAGACCAACCATTAGTTTAAGCATGTGGGCGCTCTCAATCCACTTCGTTCGGTGCAGAGGCAGAGCAGGCCTGAATTGCATCCGCTAAAGCATTGCATCCCAAATCACCTCACGCCCCACCTCACCACAAGATGCCTTCATCCCCACGGCACGCACCGTCGCTCTGCGCTCTGCGCTCTGCCTCTTTGCAATAACCGCTTGTGTAATCTTCATCCTACACGTGTCTCAATCATATTTTTTCACCCAACGAATTTGGTCACCATTTCGCCGCATGTTAGTATTTCTTAAGTCCCCAGTAACAAACCTCCTAGCCAGCTGTGAGAAAGCTATCGTAGCAAACGCCATGGAGTCCGGCGACGCCAGCAGTGCCGTTTCCGCTGCTGGAAATGCTTCACCTCTGTCAAGTATGCAGAAAAACACTCCTCCGTCTTTGTTCAGCCCTCTCCTCCTAACGTGCTCTGTGAAGTTGGACACAGGCAATTATCTGCTTTGGCGGTCAGTGATTCTTCCTCTCATTAGGGGCCACAATCTTGAAGGACACATCACGGACGTCACTTCTTGTCCGCTTGAATTCCTTTCTGAAGACGAAGGAAGTAAGATTAACCCAGCCTTTGAAGAGTGGATTGCTACTGATCAATTGCTCCTGGCATGGTTATACAGCACAATGACGGTTGGTATGGCCTCTCAAATGCCGAACCGCAATACATCCAAGGAGCTCTGGAAGGCTGCCGAAGACCTATCAAAGGTTTATGCTAAGTCCAGGATTCCGCTCTATATGAGTGACCTGCGCCAGCCCCGAAAAGGGGCGATGAAGATGGAGGAATATTTAGCCAAGATGAAATCCATTTCTGACAATCTTGCTTTCGTTCGGAGACCATTCCCTCTCGATGATTTAATAGCTCGAACCCTTGCAGGTTTGGATGCAGATTATGATGCCATTGTGTGCAACCTGGCACTAAAGAAGAATCTTACGTGGATCGATTTTCTGGCCTCACTGCTCACTTTTGAGAATCAATTGGAACTATGTAAAGCAGAAAGGTCACATGCAGATGAAAGCGGTGAAACCTGTCAGCTTTGCGGGGAAGATGGAAATGCCGCAGACATTTGCTACTTCAGGTATGACCCGAACTACATTAGCATTGAACCTAAGGATTATTGAAAGCCTTCGGACTCTTCCGTGTTTGAAGCAAATCATCATGTTTTGTGCTGGTGAAACTGCTCTTTGACTTCCCAAGTTTACGGGTCTTCTATCGTTTTCCCTGTTTCAGTATTTCTAGTCATGAATCTGAATTGTAACCGTGATCAAATGCCTTCAGTTTTAATTCGCATACGAACTAATCAACTCAAGCGTCACGTTTTGTAGTTGAGTGGAGAAGGTGGAAAAATCCCACTGCGTTGGTCATGGCTATGGTTTCTTTTTCTTGATTGAATTGGTTAGCCCGTTATCATATTCGTTCGCGCCTTTATCACTGTGAACTTGTTCTACCACATGAATTGGTGTTTTTACCATTTAACTCTAATTGAACACCGGTCCGGGTCAAATTGTAACTGCTAAGGCATTGGTTGTGCTTGGTATTTGAAAGATATCAATTGCGTGAGCTTGCTGAGGAATTAACTCTAATTTCAGTAACAGGTGATTTCTGTTTTTGAACGTGGTCTAATTGATTCAGAAATATTTTCCACTCTTATCTAGGAACAACTTTCTTCCAGTCTGGTGGTAGAATTTTGAGCCTGGTCATCAATGATATTTTTAGGGTCTTAGTAGCTAGGCCATTCAGGTCCTGTTATTAATTGTTCGCAATTAGGAAGTTGGTATATTTAGGGGGGAAAGGAAAAAGGAAAAGGAACAGGAATTGTGTTTTTCATTTTAAAGTTTTGGCTCATAATCTGGTTCCTTTCTATTGGCTAGGAGATTTTACATTGCATATTTGCGTTCTTTCACTGTGGTAAGTATTGTCCTAATCTAGTCTTTATTCCCATCACCTCTCTGGTATGTCGTCAACGTTTCAAATGGTCAAATGTTCTCCTCTTTGGTTGCAATTTGCATCTGTTCATTTCAAATTTTCAGAGCACAGTTGTGATTTTATTGATATAAATCTCTCTCGCTTCTATTTCTCACGAGTGATTTTATGACGCCCGACGCTAGTCAATAACGTGATGCCAATTCCAAGAATGGACGTCCTTTTTGGATAGTGATGCTGCTAGGCTACCACCATTTGATGTTGTAATGTCTTGCGGGCTTCCCTCGTACAATGGTCAGTTTTGACAACAGTTGGGCTGCCCAACCCGATCCAGTGGAGAGTTGTTCAAAATATTACGACTTTTTTTTCTCTTAAAAATTTACAACTGCGTCTATTTACTTTTTTCAAAACTAAACTCGTTAAAATTTATTCATCCTTTCTCGCCATTCTCCTCAGACCAAGTAAAGGCTTAATATCTTGTGCACGTAACAGAGTACAGAAGCTAGTTTACAGTAATTTCATTACGACCGCCGTTGTCACAACCCAAAATAAGCATCGCTCCTGTCTCTGTTATAACACAGTAACACACCCTCAACCATTTCAACAAAACCAAGTTATTAAATTTGTTTAAAAATGATTTTTTTAAGTCATATTTGAAACCATTAATTACATCCTATCTAACAAAAATTGCATAAAACTTTGAATAATATTTAAAAAATGTAATTAATACCGTATTTTCACCACTTATAATAAACCACCTGCATTCCTCTAAGAAAGTGACTCATAGTAGAAACTAGACTCTGTAATCTATCAATTTCTATATTTGGTGGGGTGAAACTAAAAGCGCCCCGCGGATAGCTTGAAAGAAGAAGTTTGGCTCACATCCCCATGGAGAAAAGTGCATCCCCCATAGCCGTAGTTCCTAAACCCAAGACTATTATCTAACTTGACGCGCAGTTAGTTTCAAATGATTGCCCGAGCTAGATATTCTAAACTACTCATAATCCCACGTGAGCCGCCGGAGATGATGACACAACGTGAATTTTCATGTAGTTTGATGAACCTAATAAACTATCCACTTCACTTACTTCCGTAGCTCATGTCCCAAAGATCTAATTTACTATCGGCAATAAAAGCTATGTACGAACATATCTGAGTAAATAACTTTATACATATGGCATCGCTTGCATCTGGTATATGCAAACCATGAGCCAAATTAAAGCGCACAATAAGTTCACATCTTTTACACAAGCAAGTAGGAATAACGAAAGAGAAACACTAGAAACGAACACCACCACAAGCCTTACTCAGAATAGACGTCGAATATAATACTAATTAGTGCGGCAACGAGTGATGGCGGCGCAGCCTCGGGTGTAAGGGTTAGCTGCCGCACCTGGTTGGCAGTTGTAGTAGGACGCACCTTTCTGAGAGCACGGCACCGTGTTCCTCTGCAGCGCCCTATAGCTTATATACTGTGACGTCGCTAAGATGCGCCGGCTCATCTCCATCTCCATCGTCCCTCCCTCTCCCATGCACTCCTCTATGGAGCCTTCGCACCCGCCTCTCACTGGCACCCACCGCAGCCGGTAGTCGCCGACTGTGGCCGCCGTGACAGGATATGTGACGAAGGAGGCCACCATGAACAACAAGGCGAGGAGACCCGAAAAGCTTGCCGCTGCCATTGCTTGCTTCTCCTTGTTGCTGCTTCTTCACTGCTCTATTTCTATCGGGACAGTCTTTTAATTTTGCCCGATGTATTTTAATTTAATTGCTTGGAGAATGTGAGCCAACTGACGTTTAGGCGTTTGGCAACTTCTCTCGAACGAAGCGTCGGGGTTTTATACGGTACAAGGGCGCTTTGCCTTAAGATGATTTTACCAAAATGCCACTCCATCCCCCCCAACCTCCCACGTCAGTCGGAATGGAATATGGGAAGTTCAGAAGTGGGAAGAATTGCAGAGAAGAAAGTAGGGAAGCGTGAGGAGGGAGAGCCCTCAAAACCTACCAAGAAAATGATTGGAGGAAGGAAAGGATGCTTGATTACCTTATTATATGATTAAAGGAAGGTTAAGATTCAAAGCATAGATGCAGAATCAAAGATTGGGCCTCAAAAACCAACTGATTACTGATTGAGCCCTTTGACCAATTCATCCATCATGGGATTGAAACAAAGGCTCTTCTCTAACTACCGAGGTTTCAGGCGTTGCTTGAAATTAAGCGCCGCCTTCTGGAAGCCCCGCCCTCTTGCTTATCCCAGTAACGACTTCGTTTCTCGGACACTACCAAACGGGGAAACCCACCTACCCCAGACAGAATTCATACCATGATAGCCATGCCAGTGCAAGGTGCCTTATACTTCACACAGTTTATTTCAGGCCAAAACACAGTTTATTCCTACCTTCCCCTCCGGAAAAAATTAATTTTATTATCAACAAATTAATTTTATTCTAATTATATGCTGCTACCTGTTTCAAACAGGAAATGTTAAAAAGACAAGAAGTAAATACAGAATTTAAAATATAATATTTTCATAATCAAAATTAATAATGTTTTATAATACATATACTCACCATTAAAAATTTGTAATTTCATTCTACAAATACCTCATCGTAATATTTTGAAAGAGAAGAATTATATGATTACTTATAAAAAACACTATTGCTATATAAACGCACACCGCACAAAACATATCTGATTAAGTTTACAACAATTAGCAAATACGATTTAAAATTTTCACAAAAAAAATGCAATTTAAAAACGTCATGATAAAATGAATAGATTGATAAATAAGCAAAATCGTTTAGCAAATTCAATGAATTTAGTGGGTGCAAGATTTGGTAGAGAGAAAAGGGAAATCCGTCTACATACAGCTGGAACCTAAATTAAACAATACGGATTTCTCGAATAATGCATACAAAGCAATGCTCAAGTCTCCTACTTTTGAGGCCAAAAGAAAAGTATCCTTTTACTTTCTTCATATATAGTATCACCTGTATCATTGTTTTTTCCCCCCCTTTGGACTGAACTGTACTATTCACGTTACAGATTTCAGAAAATAATTTTGCAGAGATAAAATTATCGTCGCAAGTACTAAGTAGCTTTAAGGATCCAGGAAAGGTTCTCTGGTGATCCAGGATGATGCCAACGGGATTAGAACAAAGCTTGGGCAAAAGATAGGAGATTCTTGTAACCACCCAAATTCTCGAAGAAGAACAGGCAACGGAATATTAATACTCCATAATCCTCATCTTTCTAGCTTGCTTAGTATTGCTTCAATTGGTGGCAGCTCTTGCACAATTTGCTGCCAGTCAGGCATACCCTGCGAGCGCATTAGCAGTCATCACTTATAGTGGTAAAGTTTTTTCGGCCACAATTAAGAGGTGAAAAAATCCATGTCTAATTATCCGTCAAATTATTCCCATCGTTGATTACAGCAAGAAAAGACATCCCCATCAATGTGCTGGTTTTAATACTATACTGGAATTCCATATGTTTAATCTTTGTCGTCTAGCAAGTAGATAGAATAAATTTGGCTAGTGGGATAAGGCCTTATTGTTATTGTCCAGCATGCTTGCGAGCACATGGAAATTCTGTATCCAAGGGAAGAAAAGAAAAACGAATTCACTCCAATATTGAACTTACTCTCCCTGATCTTCGAACGCGGCCATCTAACCGCAGTATAATGTAGACATCTTCACCAGGAGTAACTCCTTCAGCCTTCTGCTGATCCCTTATCCACCTAGATAAGTTAAAGTGTGTTAGCATGCAATTATGATGCACAGCATATAGATTATGTCTCCTCTTTCTTTCTGCCTACGTCCAACCAGCAATACTGGTTCGCATCAATCCAACTTTTCATCATCTATATATTGATGCTATTTTCCTGCAATTTCGAAACCAACATTTAAGAGAAAATACAACAGCATGTTACCTTTCCCATTCTGCTGGCGATATAACCTCAGCCTTGAACCTAATTTCAGCTTTCAACTTGGATTTTGCAACTATGGATTGGGTTCGCTCATCAAAATCTTCCTACCATAGTTTTATCAGTTAGCATTCTGATAGAACAAAAAGTTTTTATGAAAAGACGATTCAGACAGCCACGTTAATGTAAATATTCTCCATTCACGTGTTTCATAAATGGTTCCCAAAACACAGGGTGCACCATAATAATATAATCAGTCATTACTTTTCACTTTCTTTTAAAAACAAATTGAGTTGCTTCGTATGTTACTTTTGTAGCACCTCGGAAAAGGGTATCGTTAAGAATATAAATTCAACACCTGCGTGCAGACATGCACAAATAAAAAAGGCAGATAGACACCGCGCTCACTTTATGATAGAAATACTAGCAACAGTTACAGATATAATATGCCGATCTCATAAATACACAAGATAAGAATCGAGTCTCACTCCAATGGACGGGAGAGATGCAGCAGCTTTTGATGGAAGACCAAAACCTTTCTTCTCAATTTTCGCTTCCCTACCTTCTCCCCAAATTATAGGAACCAACAGAACACCACGTCTAAGGAGCTCAGCGCGAAACCTCTCTGCTCTTTGCAAAGCCAGAGATACTGTTTCTTTTTTCCCTGCTAATATAACCTAAAACCCTAGCTTCAGTTAAATAATGGAACATTAATAACCCTATTACTCAGAAAATTATCAAAATAAAGTGAACTCAGAGTTTCAAATAATTAAAAGACAACAATCTCAAGTTGAACTTGTGTGGGCTGTGAAGCAGGGTCACACAGAAACTTAAAAATGTTAAGCAACAATACTGACTGGTCTAACTGTGTCCCGTAGCTGCACGAGTTCTACTATGCGATTAGTTGAAAGGCGCAAAGGCAACCTTGATAGTGTCTCATCTCGTGATATCTGTGCAAGTTGTTCCTCTTCTTTTTTATTATCCCACAAGAATAAAGCCACAAGAACAATGATACCTGCACATTGCTGATTCCAATGTTTAGTCATTTAACGAAGCAACTTAAAAGGATTTTGTGAGGTGGCACATAACACGGTTATCTTCAATGTAAAAACTATCACGTAGTTTGTCATGAGATCTAGTTAGTACAACCTAAACCTGAATTCTCAAATCAGGAATTTAAGATACGTCTCTGTTCACCTCCAATGTTGATGGCGGCATTCCCAGCAGTTTCCCAAAGATCAGGAGCATCATCCCCACCTTTAATAGCACGAAATAGCCTGGGCACAGTAAAGAACATAGAAATTCCTGCAGCTGCAGTAAATGCTATATAGAAGAATCTCCTAATTCCACGGAATGGTGCTTGAACTTCACTAATAAGTTTTAAGTCTCTCCGAAAACTATAGCCAATATCTTCACCGCCTAGCCTGGCCTGTTAATGTAGCACGAAAATACAATTAGTCAACGTCAAAAAATTCCATTCAGGATAAGTTAGGACTCAAAGAAGAGTCTCAAGTTCAACAAATTATTTTTTTTGTCTCATTATCTTCTCACTGATATCCTATTACAGATTATGTAGTGTCCCCGGGACAACATAGATTAAGAATTTCAATCACAGGTTTTATACAATATACTAAGTCTGTAAGTTGTTAAAACAGAATATACAAGACCGGACAACTTGGTATTGCAAAACGCCTAAAGATTGAGTGGGAACTACCTCTTCTTGTAGTTGTTTGAATTCAGGCATAGCCCTGAAAGAGGCCAAGTCTGGATCATTGAGAATGGTACCAAATTTTAGGTTGTATTCCTTCAAAGCTGTACGCAGACAATCAGCTGCTTTATTTCCTTCCCCTCTTCATAAAATTAGTAACAAAACAAAAAATGGATAAATTAAAAAGCATTTACACAGATACTGAAATATATAATAACTTAAGCCTTTATTAAATCACTTGAATTTTAATATTATCAGGATTAGAATATGACTCAGTGAGATGCGGGACTATTTAATGCTACGTGATCTTGCGGCAAAAGGCAAGTCTAAAGTTGCAAGCCTATAAGAAATTGGGGAACCAACTTGTTCATCTTCGTAGTTAGGTATACCTGTATGCATGGCAGCAAGCTTTATTATAAAGCGCAGCTTGGGCTTCCATAGGATTGGGGTCCAAAGAAAGAGCAGTGTCAAACTGGACCAAAGCATCCTTAACCTGAAAAATCCATTCCCAAGAACACTCAGGCATTTTATCGGGAAAAGCCTTAAAAAGGGAAATAAGTTAAGGCAGTGCGCTTTCCCGTCTCCTTTCTACAAAACACTTTTCCCCCCATACTAAACATTGCATTTGCATTAACGGCAACCATCACTAAAGATGTGATTATAGGCCGCGCGGGGCACCGACGACAGAGACCATACGGATTTTAAAAAACGAAGCTATTGCATTTTAGGATTTATTTTGGCAAAAACTCACGCGTCTGGAAACAATTAGCGATTATTGAGCCCAAAATAAAGGTTTGATGATGAATGTCCAGTATTTAGTAAACAACCATATGGTTAAATTCAGCGGAATATAAATGAGCGATCGAATTACAAAATTTGAAGGAAATACCCGTCCTTTGGAGAAGAGTTGGAGTCCGAGATTGACGTGATATTCCGGGGTTTCAGTGTTAGCTTCTGGAGTCTGCGAAGTAGACGACGAGGAAGAAGAGCAGGAAATGAAAAATGATTGAGCCTTCTTTCTCGAACTTAGAAGCACGGGTCTGTGCAGCAAGGCTGAAGTGATGGTCTTCCGTTTAGAGAAGCAGAGCAAGTGGTGGTGCAAAGCAACTGCAACCATAGCCATTGGGAAAATTCACCCCGTCACGCCACTTCTCTTCCGTTGATGTATCCTAACCGTCTCCTTCCACGCCATGTCCAGACAGTGAATCTCCAGCACATTTGTACCAAAAAATTGCTCTAGCCCATTTTCGGCCCAACACCAAAAACCACCCAGGCTTCCCCCTCCCAACGGCCCAACATAGCGCTTGCTGGTACTGACACTTGCGCGTCGTTTGATTCACTTATGAAATATGATTTTTTTTTTTTTTGCAATTAAAAAAAAGATTTTCTTTCCTTTTTGTTTTTTCGATTGAGCACAGGCATTAAAGACATGGCTATTAGGACCGTTGTACTTGTACAGCATAATCATCTTTCTCCTAAGCCTGCGTATTTTTTCTCATGCTCTTTGAAAAAATAAATCATACCAGGTAGTCCTTTAATTCTAATCACAAACCGCATTTCCAAATTCTAACCATATCATTTTCGGAATGAATTGCAACCACCCCAAAAGATGGTTTATTCCAGTCACCTTAAGGGTGAAAGAGCGCTTCTACCGGAACCTGGGCTTCTTCTTTTTTCCTGGCATTAGTAGGTCTGCCATTCCTGTTGCCTTTCCATGTTATCTTTTCTACTTCTTAATAATAATCAAGTAGGAGAGAGAGAAGAAATTAAAAAAGATATTTAGGGTATTTTAAGAAAAACATATCATATTAATTAATTTAACTAACATCATTAATATACTTAAATTAGTTAATTAAACCTTCCATTAAAGACCAGAGGAGTATTATTTATAATTTATGTAAGTTTATTTTTTGCTGGAATAAAAGCTTTATATTTTATATTAATTATTTAATTAAGATTGATCTGTATTTATACCCCTACTATATGCGAAGGGAATCATGAAGCTCCCAAGCCATTATGACAGAAATATTGCAGCAAGGTTTCCAGGAGTTCCCAACACCACTCCAGTCCATCCTAATATGGAAAAATGCACTATAAGTGGCTCGTGGCGGGACTGTTCATTTAAAAAGAAAAAATCAGTCATCATTATTAGTGGCTCACGCTGACGAATCAAACAGTCACTTTCAGGCTATTGAATCATGAAGTCATTGATTAAGTCTTTTTCTGTTCTGAATGATGCCGATGGGAAGTAGGACTGGTGATTGCTCAACTCTGTCAGCTGTGAATAAGAAGTGATTAATACATATTTAAATAGTAGATATTATAAAACTCGAAAGTTTAGAGGTTTTAACCTCAAAATTTCTTATCTTATGATGTCTTCCCTTCTTACTGATAAAAGCACTTAAAACTTCCCTGTAATTAAGGTGGAATAGAGATTTAATGTCACTGTCCATTTTATCCACCAATTTCTGTGGTGGGACATGACGGAGATGGTTTTCGTCAAAATTCCACTAATGTCTGTATTGAGGGACATTGGAATTTATCCTCACTCTCCTTTTCCAAATAACCTTTCGTTTTTTCTTCCCTCCCTGGTTCCCGTCACTAGGTGAGAATGATTCACTCCTCAAATCTAAACTTCCATATCTTCTATTTGTGGAGTTTCAGAAACAAATACTCACACTGCTCGATACAGAGGATTTTGTTATTAATTTTTAAGTTACAGTCGAACAGAAGTTGTGAACTTTACAAAGGTCGATTACTTGAAATAATTGCTCCTGTATTATGCTTTCAACTATCACCAAGAGCAGAACAGGGGAAAGCTTAAAGCGAACTTAAGAGGAATCTTCGTGAGTTGATGCTGAAACGGAAACACAAGGTTTTTAAACCTTACAATGAGGGCGCCATCTGTTTAGCTTTTCATTTCAGTTGTTTGCTGTCGGCATAGAATATAAATAGGAATATTTAATGAAACATGCTAACTTTACGATGTATCGTATACGCCCACTGAAACTACGATGTATTAGGCTCTATTTATTAATTTGATAGGGCTAAAGTATATGGAAAAGAGTTCATCCTAAAAATAGAGAATACCGTTGAAGAGGACTTGAACGGGTAAGTGGAGGTGTGTGCCAGTTTCGATGCGCCACATAAGTTGGTGAAAGGAAGGAAAGGAATTTCACAAAAGAGCAGAGGACACATTGGAATGATGAATTCCACTTAAACCAACCAGATATGCCGAGAACAGTGAAGGTATACGGAAGCAGTGCACGTTCTACTAACAAACAAAGAGTAAAAGCATACAACTGTGTCCATCAACTTTCTCGCTACAATAAGAATCCTGCCTCTACTTTGAGTAATGGTATACGTCATGACACACATAATTCAAAAACCAAAGACTCCTACGTTCTCTCTTATTAAAGATGTCCCTACTTCTCGTTTTGCACATGTTTTCCGTCCATCCCTTGTCTAATAAAGCTTTCCTCCACTGCGGCACTACCCTAGTTGAGGACAAGAATGTAATCTCACTTATCCAAAGCTTATATCTTCCTACTTTGGAGAATGTAATCTTCTTAAGTTATTGAGAGTGCTGCAAAGAGAATATTGCCCCTGGGATGTTAGAAGACACGGAAATCCTGAACCCGACTTTTCATGGAAAATTGAGTCAGTGTAAAATGTCACTTTCTCCTGCATTATTAGAACTTCCCAGTTCAGGGGGAAAAAAAAAACCAACATTGCCTTAGCAACGTTGTCTGGCTGGAATTTTCGGGCGCACAACGAGCAGTGTGCCCCAACGAGCAGTATGACAAAAGGTGCTAACTTGACATGAGAACGGTGTTGTGGTACTCTGTCTTGCTGACATTCACAAAATTGTTGTTCTGGTTAAGGATGAGGATATTTGCAAGCCCTAATCTAAATTTAGTGAAATGTTTAACTAAATCTTTCACAAGTCAAGGGGCTGCTATTCTTTGTAAAGGCAATATAATGTAGCCTGAATGTATGTTATGGAAATGTTTTTATCTCTTTTCTCTGGGAGTCTGGGTGTGGTTGATCTGGGTAATGAATGACAATTTGATACTTGCAACTAAATGCTTCCTAGAATACTGAAAGAATGACGTCTCGGTTTCAATTACTGTTGAAACAGATTGCCTTCATTTTGAAAAGACTGAAAAATTCTCAACTAATCAGGTGCTTTAGCCAAAAAGAAAGTGCAGGAAAGGATCTGTACGGCAATCATGGAATAGAACCAGATCCTTATTTCATCTTAGCTAGTGCTGTCAATATGATTACGTATAATATACGGTTACTGAAACTCTCTGATGTTGTCCTGCTATCAAATTGGTAGAATAGACATGATATTCTGCCTCAGGTCCACTATCAAAGGTACAGATTTGAGCTTCACTTTCAAAAAACATCATTTTCCAATAGATTTTACAGAAACAATTTATACTAATGTTATTTGATGCTTTGCCTCATACATCATATTGTATTTATCTTTCACTAAACTTGCCCAGAAACCCGAACGAAGTTAGTGATTAGCCGCACCATTAATGATGAATTTTCTCAAAGGCATAGCGGTGAAATCAAATGATGAAATAGCCATGATTTGATTGAAAATTTGTGAACAGCACCACATGATCATCATTGCTACTTGGCATTTGCCACCAATGGTTTTAGGAAGATATTCAATATTTTACTAAGCAAATATTTTGCATGGTGGTAAATTGTTTACATGTTACCTCTATATTGAAGTCACTGAGCCGAAATGAAGTAAAGGTTTTATAGGGACCACATCATGGATGGTATCAGCACTAGTTGTTTCCAACGGGGTTGCAATGATGTAGTGACAAGGCATAAAAGGTAAAACTGACAGGCAAAGAAAGAGGATTTTGAGAAGCATTGCCTAGCCGGACCAATAATATACACATACCTATCTCTATATATATGCACTGCGTATTTTCAAAACCATGCGAACAAGAAGAGTAATAAACTCTATTGAGTCAACTTTGCATACTATTTTTTTTTTCCCCAGTTCCCTCCCTTGTGTGAGCATGGACGGAAAGAAGTTGGAGTACAAAGGTAAGGAAGCACTCGAGGAGATTGAGAGGCTGACGATGAAGGCTGGTGAAGTTCAGGAAAGTGTTTTGAAACAGATCTTGACTCAAAATAGGGAAACTGAGTATTTGAGTAAGTATATGAAGGGAGCAACTGATATAACAGACACGGCGGAGTTTAAGCGATGTGTTCCCGTGATCACTTATGAACGAATCTTCCCTTATATCCAGAGAATTGCTAATGGGGAAGACTCTTCTCTCATCACTGGTCAGCCTATAACAGAAATGCTATGCAGGCAATAAACCTCTGCTAGTCATTTGTAAAATTTCTTATTCCTTTACGTTTTTCACTTTGTGATTATGCTAACCTGGAGATATTGGTATGTGCAGTTCAGGGACATCTGCTGGAAAGCCTAAGATGATGCCATCAATTGCTGAAGATCTTGACCGCCGAACCTTTGTTTATAATCTTATCATGCCAATCATTAATCAGTTAAATATACTAATCCATCTGTCTTAAATTTCAAGTGTTCTTCTAGCAGGTTATGCATGGTGACCCTTGTTTTCCCCTTTACCTGCGCTTAGAACGTTCACTTAGTCACTGAACTCAATCACGACCCTCCTTTAAGCATGTACACGAAACAATAGGACGAGATATGACCTCACAATTGATAAAATAGTAGGGGGAGGGCCCATTGCCGTTTAGCAGTAACGTTCATTATTTTGCTTGAAAATTCTGTGCACTCTTTAGACCATACGCGTGTTGTTAACTAGAGCAAAGTTGACACGTATCTGATGTGAACCAATTTGAATTTCAGGTACGTCCCTGGACTTGACGAGGGGATGGCGATGTTTCTGTACTTTGTGAAAGCAGAAATGTCGACTCCTTGTGGCTTGCCAGCCAGGACTGTGTTAACGAGCTACTACAAGAGCAAGCACTTCAAGGGCCGTGCGAGAGATCCATGGAATGATTTCACAAGCCCTGACCAAACCATTCTCTGCAATGACAGCAACCAGAGCATGTATTGTCAGTTGCTAGCCGGTATGGTTCATCGCCATCAAGTCCTAAGGCTCGGAGCCGTCTTTGCCTCCGCACTTCTCCGATCCATTTCCTTCCTTGAACGTAACTGGAAGTACCTATGCGAGGACATCCGAACTGGGAAGCTGAATTCTTCCATAACAGACCCGGGATGCCGCTTATGCATGTCCATGATGCTTTCTCCAGATCCAAATCTTGCTGACGAGGTAAGTGAAATCTGCAGCAGAACATGTTGGAAGGGAATTCTATGTGAGCTGTGGCCTAGGGCCAAGTACATTGATGCTGTGGTCACTGGGTCTATGGCTCAATATGTACCTGCTCTCAGGTATTACAGTGACGGGAAATTGCCTTTGGTTTGTACCATGTATGCTTCCTCTGAGTGTTACTTTGGGGTCAATTTGAAACCTTTATGTAACCCTGCGGACGTTGCTTTTACCCTCTTGCCTAACATGGGTTACTATGAATTCCTTCCCCTTGGACATAACGGGACACTTCTGATGGACTTTGACGATGACGAGGAAGTCCCAAATGACAAGCTCGTGGATTTGGTGCATGTTAAGCTTGGCTGCTTTTATGAGCTAGTCATCACCACCTTTGCCGGTGAGTTCCAACAGAAATAAACAATAGCACATTAAAAAGAGCTGCATTTGAGTTTCGTATTGAAATAAAACACATTTTTAAGGCTCTTCCCATTTGTATTTCTGTTAAAACACATTTTAAAGGCTCTTCCCATTTGTATTTCTGTCTTTAACAAGTACACCACCATGCAGGACTGTACCGTTACCGGATCGGTGATGTGCTTCAGGTGGTTGGATTCCACAACAAAGCTCCACAGTTCCGATTCATATGCAGGAAAAACGTCGTACTCAGCATAGACAGCGACAAAACCAACGAAGGTGATTTGCACAAGAGCGTGACCATGGCTAAGAAAATTTTAGAGCCTCATGATACGATGCTCGTGGAGTACACAAGCTACCCTGACACATCATCAATGCCAGGACACTATGTACTGTACTGGGAAATCCTACGTCATGGCTCAGGGGATCAACTTGATCAACATGTGATGGAGGAATGCTGTATTGCGGTGGAAGAGCAGCTAGACTACGTGTATAGAAGGTGCAGGAGCAATGATAAATCAATAGGGCCACTAGAGATAAGAGTGGTGGAGGCAGGCACATTTGAGGCATTGATGGACTTGTTCATTAGCCAAGGGGCTTCAATCAATCAGTACAAGACACCAAGGTGCATCAAGTCTAAGAAAGTACTCAAGCTGCTCAACTCTAAAGTGGAAGCGTCCTTCTTCAGTCCTAGAGATCCCAAATGGGCCCCCCTTAATAATATGGCTTAATTGAGGGTCTTTCAATACTTTCATCACTTTTTGCTTACTGTTCCTACTCCTATTTTGCTGTAACCGTAAGTTGGTACTTGCAAAAGGATGTAGCCTTTGGTTAATCAAATCCGTTATCATCTGCTTTGTCTTTCTAAAAGCAAAAGCAGCGGCTTTTACCATTACGTAATATACATTTATCTATGCAAATGCCAAACTACTAAATCAAATCTCGGGAAAGTAAGAGAAGTGAGGATAATGGACTCTAGAATTTGTAAGAAAAAATATGGAGATATTTGGTTTTTGGATCATTGAGTGAAGGATCGAGAATACAATATAGGAGTATTTGTGAATTGTGATAGTGGAGTCTAACCAAAAGTAGGTAAGTCTGTGACAAGAGAAAAGCATCGCCAGCTCTAGGTGGTTTCACCAAATAATTTAATCATTTGTACTGGAACAATCTATTTGGATGAGGTTATACAACAAAGCAAGCTACATGCGTGGAGATAGTTCTAGGTTCGGAATGGGTTCTTTCACACAAACTTTTTCTGTTCCCTTGATGGATAGTTTAAAGGTGCAAATTGACAGCAGAGAACATAAATCCTTATGAAGCAGAGGAGCAAGAGAACAGCAAAAGGACAGGAGACTCAAATATTACAAATGTTAGGTCCTGAAGGTGAAACAGTTATTTACTGTTACAGTAACAACTGGGGATACCAAAATTTTCACCAGACTTTCATATGGTTTATGATTGCTTGTGCTGCGATTCTTAGATTGAGATAATATGTCGATTCCTAAACGACAGTCAAATCAACCGGGGCTCATCAATGATAATTGAATATTGGTGTGATAGCTTTTACAAAATTTGTGCAGGTTCACTCACTTTATCGTGGTAATAATCATGTCCCAGCATGCGCATGCAGTTTTGTGCAAAATTTCAAACAAATGGCGGAATATCAGAGCCCCAAAAGGGTTTTGTCTACGTATCAGAGACCACACCAGTTTGAAGTAACGTGTCGAACAAGGAGAGCTTCATGCTGGTCGTAGTGAGGTTTCATCTCTATCCATTAAGACAGATAAGAAAAACATAAAGTGGGGCTTGAAAGGCGGATTCATCAGGTAATAATAAGGAAATTATAGCTAGACTGCTATGATAGATAGAGGGAAATTACAAAGCCCTTTTGAATTACGGGCATTAATTTGTGAATTTTCGTTTGATGTAACACTTGAATATAGCATGCTTCAATTTAATGGCCTAGCAAATTGCGGGCTTCTTGTCGTCTCACAGCTTTATGATCCAAAACAAAACGCACTATCAAGAAAAGTACCCTGTATCTTAATGCGTGAGAAGAGCATGTTTTCGAGAGCACCACCAACAGGCATAAAACGTAGGGGAGCATGGCCCCCTCCTACATCTTCCTTTCAGTCTCATGCCATTGATGGATACGGCGGTCATGAAATCTTCCCACTCAGCAATCTCCTGTGGTGTTAGCCCGACCCACTCAGCAATCTCCTGTGGTGTTAGCCCGACCACATAAAGTGCTGTGCGGTGTAACATCCACTTTCCGTACATTTTGAAATTCCAGAATGAGCGAAAAGAGAAAGGAGAATGCCTTGAAGGTGCTACTGTAGATTTAGTGGCTAGAGAGGAACACATCTATGATCTCATCCAAATTTGATAAGAGGCGGGGCGAGACGTGCATTTATTTGATCTCATTTGTGCTTAATCGAGTTTATAGCTTCTACCGTCCATAATTACAGTCAGTCCTTATCTAGGCTAACTAGGGCCCTTTTTCCAATAAACTTAATATTATATATATATATATATATATATATATATATATATATATATAGGAGGCTTAGATATCTTCCGTATAACAAAAATTCCAGCGAGGAAAAGCTTCAAAGTCAGCCGCATATGATTAAAGCCAAAGTTTATGGGGAGAAAGCAATAGTGAGGATAAAAAGGAATGCAAAGCACTTTCTATCTTTTCATCCAGAAGTGCTATAAAGTTTGACTGTGTTTCTCTCTCCATTTTGCACACAAATACCACTCATTTACCGCGCCAAAGATAGTTTTGGATAAGGTTGTTAGTTGTTACTTACGTGGGTCTACTATGAGAGACATTACAGAGGAACTGAATTAGGTCTATAGGCCAAGACACATAAATCTATAGGGTTTATATTTGCTAGTGCTTCTATCAATTGCAGTACAGCGAAATATTACGGAATCTACTCACGAGAAAGCACAAGTATTGCTTCCAGGCTACAGATTATGCTGCAAAATAGAAGTGTACCTGTGAGCAATAATTCTTATCCTCTAGCTGCAAATCCATTTGGAATGCTCTAGAACATATTATTCCCTGGAACGCTCTCCAGCAAATTCCTGTTTTGGGGAATTCTCATCAACTGCTCCAAATCCCAATCCGATCGAAGCTTTGGTCCCTGCTAGAACCCATCTGCATTCTGCAGCAACAAATTCAGACGAGATATCAACGTTAAATATTATTAATTACACCTCATCCAATGTAAGAATCAGCCAAAAGTTGAATGCAGGAGGACTAAAGGGAAGGTGCCAGGCGAAGCTCCGAGTTATCGGAGATAATTTATAAAGATAAATTTCACAATTATTGAAAATATGCATCCTTTGTCGGCAATATAAAAGAAAGGCGTCATTGTAAGCCAAACCTCAGAATGCCTAGGCCCTGGAACCTTCACAACCAAAATCCTCAATGACAAACACCAATGGGAGGCAGCCAAATTTAGATCCACCAAGACGAGTTTTCAGATTTTGAGAAGCCAAGGGGCAGAACGGAATTGAAAACCATGAGCAATATTTACTGGTACTTGGGAACACCGTGACCAGGAGGAGTGCCAAAGTGCAATATTTGTCTGCTACGTATAAGCAAATGTAAGAATCATGAAATTTGGATGCGTTATGTAGTTAGGGAAAACCATAACAATGTTTTATAGAGGCAATTGACCTCTGAATGAGTGGGACTTGGTTGGATAGGCCTTATCATTATTGTCTCGTGCAATATCTGGCACTGATATGCTAATGTGCAAAGAATGAGGGAAATCCTCGCTGGGAAAGTCAATGAATACTTAGAATGGGAAAAGGCCAAAGGCTGGCCATAATAAGATAAGCATCATCATTGCCCGCGACAATCATTTTGACTTAACAGCTCCAGTGGCAGTACTTAGAAAGCAAGAATATCATGGTAAACGTATACAGGCTTCCCCTTAGAAGATGCTTCCCTTTAGTCTTTACCTGCGTACTGCACTCGGGGAGCTTGGACGTAAAGAAAAGTAGGTGAACTTCAGATTTAATCGATTGAATTTTAGCCTGCGCAATACTCTCTTTTCTTTTCACAGAAATCCTCTTGACGTATCAATTTCTATTTGTCCAACGGATGGAAGCTCTTTAACGCAACCCAATCTTATTATGGCCGGAATCCCCATCTTATTGTTCCGAAGCTAAAGTAGAGTAGGAGAATCTACTGGCAGCTAAATTCCATGCATATCCCGCAAGTCTGTGAGCCTCTGTCGAGGTGCATAAGGCGGTGGCCGGTGCTTAACCAAAACCAGTTACAACAAATCCTTAGGTCACAATGAACCATCCACTCCGTTCGAGATCAATTCTATCAATAAGCCATTAACAGAAACAGAACGATCTCAATTAGTAACGTCTTTGAATGTCTTTCTTGATTTTCATCTCCTCTCTTCATAGGGTACTCACCCATCCCCAAAATCACTGCACCGTCTTGTACAATTTTTTACTAACTAATTTGAATGAATTAAAAAAATAAAATACATCAATTAATTATAATAAATATATGATCATTTTATAAAAATATTTATGTATAACACTAGATTATATATAAATTTATAGACTAAATAAATTGGTTTAAAAAAAAATAATATAAGAGATAAAATGAATTAAATTATTTTTAGACCAAATCCAACTGCCGAACCGATCCCGGGAGTAATTGGGCTTTTTTTTGGGGGGGGGGGGGCGTGGGGAAGGTTGCGGGCTGTGTATAGGGACCATAAGTGGGAAATAGTTAGGAGGTTTTCTAAGGAGAGTGGGCAGATGCAGCGTGGTGGGCGCTTGTTAACCGGTCTTGAGTATCTTCAGAATTTCCGAAGAGGGAAGGTGATTATTGAGCCAGACTCCTCGGTGGACGGTGGTCATGAGGAAACTGGAGGAAATGGGGTACAGTGGGGAAGGTAGCTCTAAGCACATGGGAAAGGTGAAAAAGGTGCTGAATGATGGTTGGGATGTAAAAGTCATGACCCTTTAATTTCAGACCTGATTAGTGTGGGCTCTGGCCTCCTTTCTGTATACATACATACATACATACATACATATATATAAAGATCCAGGGAGTAAGTGTTTTTAAAAATAGATGCCTCACCGACTTATCCGCTTGTATGATTACCGCGTATCTTGTTATGGTATGATTACAAATAAATTCTGTTCTCCTTACGGAACCGCTACACAATGCAATACGGCAATGAAAATTGGGCAGTGAAGGGCAACATGAAGATAAAATGAGAAATGACGCCATTCATGGTTATGAACAGTTCAGTTTCCTTCAAATTTTGTGTTTATCCACTATCTAATTGAGCAGGGGAATGAAAGAATCAGAATCTTGTTTTGCTTTAACAAAACCCAAGGATTCGTAAAATTAATGTCATAATTATTCTCACATGATTGTCCGCTAATTCGGAGGGGGGAGGGGGTCTCAAACTAAAGGGTGTTGATGAGTTCTCAAGTCAATTACTCAGCGCAAACTTGCGCTTGGCTCCCTCCAGGGTATTTTGGAGCAACATTGTGACTGTCATTGGACCCACCCCACCAGGAACAGGAGTAATCCATCCAGCTACTTTAGATGCTTCCTCAAAATCTACATCTCCAACAAGCCTGTAACCTGACTTCTTAGTTGGGTCATCAACCGCATTTGTGCCAACATCAATGACTGCAGCTCCAGGTTTGATCCAGCTGCCCTTGACCTGAGAAGTACAGAATTTTATGAGACAAACTCTCCATCAGGAATGATGGACAAAAAGATAAGGGGAAAAAAAACTCCCCATGAGGAGAAAGAAAGCAAACAGCAGCAGATCGATGATAATAAACGAGGCCCTTGACCAAAATTTTTTGCCGAATACTACTAAGGTGTTGCCACCAATTACCCTTCTTGCAGCGTCTAGAGCAATAAGAGAGTGACAGATAAAGAATCTTCTATTTATTTTTATTCTTTCTGTGTGCATGCAATAACATATCGTCTTTATCGAACCCTTGACTTGGAAGGGGAAACCAACTTCAGGCCTGGTTACATTTGACAACTGCTGCCCGTATGCAACTGTAACTATTTTTATGTTGTATATCTAGGATGAAAGTAACCGACTTGAAACTCATGTAACCCGTCACATTTTGTAGCAAGAACCATTCCAGTGCTGAAATTTGAAAACTAATTTTATTTGTGTGATGGATATTTGAATGGAAATGAAATTGTGAGAAAGGAGATGCAAATATAGGAAATATTTTTGCGAGCTACCATCATTGGTTGCCCGGCAGCTGCAATTATAATATCTGCTTCGCGGATGATTCTTTCAGGTTCACTTGTGTGTGAATGAACAATGGTAACTGTAGCATCTGCTTTAAGAAGAAGCATTGAAACTGGCAATCCAACTATGTTACTGCGACCAACCACAACTGCCTTCTTGCCCTTTATACTCACACCACTTCGGTGGAGAAGTTCAAGACATCCCTGCGTACATTTAGTATAATACAAATTAAGTACTCAAGATAAAGAGAAAGTTTTCCCCAGGCTAATCATGCTCACGAATGTGCCGCAAAAGGTGGAATTGTTTGATTAAAAACCAAAAAGAAGCACAAAATTAAAAAACCTAGAGATTCAGATTAAACAGAGAGTGAAATAATTGAAAATAAATCCTCTGTTTCTAATAAAAACAAAAATCTGTTTCAATTTCATGTAGCTGTTTTATATGAGTTCAAACTACTGTCAATTTCAGAGGATCTCTATCTTCATCTCTTTAGTTAGTTTAAAATTTGTGAAACAAAGGTCTCAAGAGACTTCCATCATCTATCTAAAACTTATGGGATACATCGAATATTAATGCCACCGCTGGAGCAGTCTCACAAAGCTTCAGCAAAAAGTTTTACAATGTGTTGATTGAAATCGACATATTTGTCAATGTGATTCAGTCCATTCAAAAGGTTTTTCAAAAGCATAAGTATTTGCCTTGGGAGTGCAAGGGACAAATAGCGGTTCTCTGCCTTTCATGGCAAGCTTGCCAATGTTCAAAGGATGAAAGCCATCCACATCCTTCTCAAGGCTGATCTCCGTCAAAACTTTCTCTTCATTTATATGCCTTGGTAACGGAAGTTGAACCAATATACCTGTGAATAGAAAAACCCAAACCTTTTAAAGAAAACGAGCAACAAGAACATCCGTATTTCACAGAAACCAGCCCACATCCAAACTATCATCAGCGGTCTAGAAATCATTCACATATTCTTGACCCACATGAAAAGAATTCTGCATCAGGGCTTCATTCAACTAAATTATTGTTGGAAGTAGTAGATATTTAGACACCCTATTTACTATCAATCAATTCAACAAGCATCAAGTACTAAACAGATTTCAGGCGTTTCTCTTACAGACATGCACAGGAATTGGCAAGGTAAACTTAGTTTATTCGTCTTTCCCCTTCTGTCTGGCTTCTGTTTGCTCCTGTTTCTTTTAGGACGATATGCCATCATCCACCATTACACCTCTTTACCGTCCATCTACAGTAACATTTATTTCGCTCCTTTTCCCCTTAGAGGCCTTAAGAAAATATTGGCAAGACCGGGATAAATACAAATATATGTCAATGCATGTCTTATCCTCTCGCTGATACTGTCATTCGAAGAGTTTTGCAATTAATTATTTGTTCAGACCGCTACTAAATTGCTCAACAGAGTAGCGAAATATTCTAAGAGCATCTCCTAGTTACTCCTTTCCACTGAAGAACTCAAAACTTAATTCTGCACCATCATTAATGGCAAACACTGGACATAAAACAACGATAACATAAGCAGAGCTGATACCAAGAACAAATAACGTTTTGGTAAGAAATTGACCAACCATGTACATCAGGATTGGCATTTAACATGTGGACTTGTTTGACTAGATCCGCCTCGGATACTTGCTCAGGAAGATCTACGTCAAAGGACTTGATTCCAACTTCAGCACAAGCCTTTCGCTTCATACCCACATAGCTTTGTGAATCCTTCCTGTTCCCTACAATCACTACTGCCAGTCCCGGAACCTACGCGAAGCAATGAATTAAAAAATTGGCCTGGCATAAGATCTATCCAGTTTAAAATAACATTTTCAAATTATTTCCCACAATGATACTAAAAAGTTTCTAAGTTACGTGGTTCCATCCGGAAACAGGGAAGAGTTTACCTGGCCATATTTTTGAGAGAGAAGGCGAACTTCGCCGGAAATTTCAGATCGGATGGCTTGGGAGACGGCTTTGCCGTCGATGACGGTGGCTACCATGTGATCGACGCTTGTGGATGAGACGGAGCGAGAGATTGTCCACGCCGGGTGCCAGGCAGTGAAGTCTGTGACTGCGAAAAAATAAAACGCATGAATCGTAATATCGTATCCTCGGCTCCCCGCCCCTATGTCACGTTTGGTCGACTTTTTTTTTTTTTTTTCCTTAAATATTTTGTTCAATATTTTAAATTTAATTTTTTTTATGTATATGACACTCTAAAATATTTTTCTAACAGCATTAACTGCCCTAAAATAATGTTTAGTTCAATTTTAGGAGTAGAAATAGGCACTCTAAATTTAAGATACTGAGCTTTACTAAAATAATATTTTAGATGCTCAAACACTAAAAGTTACTGTAAAGTTTAAAATATTAGATATTACTTAAAAATATTTTAAGATGTTGAGTATATTAAAAATTAAGTTAAAATATTAGGTGTAATTATAAAAATACGTCAGACACTGGATCCTTAACCTTTTTTTTTAGAACATAATTTGGTCGAGTTATTACTATGATTTGTCTGAGATTGAAGTGCGGTTTATTTGAGGCTTCCTACCAAAGCAAATCTTTTTTTTTTTTTTCCGGGATATTGAGAATAAAATTTATATTTGTTATTTATATCATTATTTATTTTATTTAGATATGAATACAATATCATTATCTCTGTAAACACTATATTCTTATATTATTATGAAAATATTATATTTATCGAAATTAAATTTAAAGTTATGATTTTTTGCCAGCTAAAATTGTAACATGATATACTATATAACATTCTGTCTGAATCTGTCTTTCTAAATGTTATATATTACTCTCAAGGGCTCGCGATTCCTTTATAACAGCCATTAAAAAAAATTTAAAAAAAAAAACCTACCCTACGGAATTATCATTTCAACAAGCGAAGTGTAAAAAAGCAATATAATCATCCTCTTACAGATAATAGAAGAATCTTCATTGACTCAACCGAATTATAATGCGAGACACTCCTCTCTTTCATGAATGCCAATCCAAAGTCACCCTGCTGTTCCCCATGCACAAAATAAACACAAGCGCACGACAGTGCTATAGTTAATGCTAAATACACTAAAAGCAGACAGGGCTAATTATTAAATCCATCATCTTAAGATACCTATGAGCACGTGACACAGGTTAGAACAGCTGATTAATGATCATGGATAACTAGAAGACGAGACAAATCCTCACACCCAAATGTCTCGGGGTGAAAAAAAGGGAATGAATATCTTGCGATATGCACAAGTAGCTTACTAAAGAGCAAATGCTAGAAAACGCCCACAATGGATGTTACTGACGCTGATAGTCATTTTAGTTTGTACTCCCTGCGTTGCACGGGAAGCACGGCCAGTCCAGAATACAAACTGAGATAATAATGCGCATTCGGTTTTCATCCCCATGATTCATGAAGAAGAGAAACCCACTCATAAGCAATGCTCATTCAAGGAAAACTGAGCATATATGTAAGATTTCCGGAAATGACATACAGGAAGGAAATTATGAAATACAAAGACGAAACTCACGTGATCAGGAAGCAGTTTCTCGAAAATCTTTGGAATAATAGTCCGTCTCGTGCCGCCGTCAAGGCAAAGACCGGCCTATTCAGGCGTATCATGAGCTGGCAGATGCAGCGAAAAAGCCGAGTAAGTAGGCATCGCGAACCATTTCTCCCTTTTCTCATACGCCGCATCGACTTCATGTGCTGAGCCCTTCCCACGCTCGCATCTGCGGAAATTCAATATGCTTTAGGTGCTTCCACGTGATTGGGAGAGAACCCGGACCAAGCGGATAGGGACCCATGGCGAGTTTCTTCCCGGCAGAGGCCTCGACGGAGAGCCGACGTCCAACGGCGGCGTCGAGTTTTCAGAGACCCCTTGCTTCCAAGTAGCGGCGTGGGCCACCGCACAAACGCTATTTATATTGATCGACGCTGGTTCCCCTTCGAAGTCGGCTTCTTCATTTTTTTGGGCCGGGGATTCGGTTTCTTACTTGGCCCAAAAGTTAAGTCGGTCTCTTATTTTTTGGGCCGTGGAGTGGTTTCTTAGCTGGCAAAAAACGGGTAAAGTCGGTTTCTTGTTTTTTTTGGGCCGCGGAGTCGGTTTCTTAGCTGGCAAAAAGAAGGTAAAGTCAGTTTCTTGATTGAAGAAAATCAGGATTCGTATCCTTCCAATCAATCAATTTAATCACTGTAACAATCACTTGCTCAGTAATCATAAATATTATTAGCATTGATTTTCTTGGAAAAATTCAGTTCCTTAGTTGAAAAAATTAGAACTCACTCGCTGTCATTAATCAATTTAATCATAATCAGTCACAGTTATTAACCAATTAAAAAAATCAATCACGATTAATATCCATATTGTTCATAATAATCATAAATGATTAATTTTCATGTGAATTTAGCATCAATATCAATAGTATGATATAAACACTCAAACTGTTATTCATAAATTATAAATATTTTGAGTAATTTGTGTTTGATGGAGATGGGTGTATTCAGGTCCAAAAAACATCTATATGGGTGCTGAAAGGTTGAATTCGGCATGATGTTGGCCCAAAACTAATTGGAACAGATCCAGGTTGTATTGGATTTTATATCAGGGTTTGCGATTCAAAAGAAGTATTAATTTAAGTTTTTTAAATATATGTAGGGAATTTTTAAGCAAGAAACGTTATTTAAATTCAAGTTTCTGCAATTGTTTTGGTTATGTTTAATTGATTTATTTTTTATTGAAGGATTACTTTTAAGGGCTATCAGAGATAAAATCTACAATCATGGATTTTTCGTATCACTAATTGTTAGTACATTTTTCAGAATAGAAAAAAGAACAAATAAGTGAAAATCATCTCAGCATTACGCACCAATAAATAGTTTCGCCATTAAAAAATGCGGACATCTGAATATATATATATATATATATACTCCTCCGGTCCTTAATATAAGACTCATTTAACTAATTTGATTAAATTAAGGAAGTTAGGTAAGTTAGTTAATTATAGGAAAAATGCCACATTTTTCCTAAAACATCATAATCATCTTTCTTAATACCCCTTCTCCCTCTTCTACTTGATCATGGTTGAGAGAGTATCTATAAGGGTATTTTAGAGAAAATTGATAAATATGAGAAATGGGTCTTATATTTAGGATCAAAACCAACACAAGAATTGAGTCCTATATTAAGGATCGGAGGAGTATATCGAATGTCAGTTTTGTTGGAAAAAAATAGAAGCGACAAATGCGGGATGGCCTTTTTTTCTCCCTCTCCACAGAAAAAGAAAAACAACGCCAGCCAATAGGAGGGCCTATTAAGCCTCGAAATGCTACAAAAGTTAACCTCAAAGAGAATATATCTCAGTAACAGGGTTTTGTAAAGCCTTGAAATTCTACCAACCTAATCATTGCACAAATTTTTTTTATCACAATTAAAAAAATTAAAAGTTGTTTAATAATCAAACTTGTTAGAAAATCAATAATTTTCATTAAATTTTAACATCGGCAAAAAAACAAGTGTGTGTGTATATTAAATTTTAACATCATATTAACTATCATAATTGCAGAATAAATAGAAGCAAATGACTGTTGGCAAAAAAAAAAAAAAGAATATGAGTGAATGACTAATGAAGCAGATACATTCCAAAATACTATTTTCTATTTTTAATGTAAAAGTTAGTTTAATATTTAATTTAATCTTAAATATAAGACTCTTAATCTACTTTATCTAGTATATTTATCTATTTTTTCTAATATAATCCTCGTAATAGTTGCACATATTAAAAATTTTATCAAATTGTAGTTCTAGCTAATATACATAATTAGCAATGGCAGTTTAAGAAAAATAACACCTATTTATTATAAATATCAAATTCAACTAATTTTCTTAATCTAATCAAATTAATTAACTAACTCTTATATTAAGGGTTGATGATGGTAACTTAGATATGACATTAAAAGAATATATGATATTAATGCTAATCCAAGCATGATATACTTAATCACACTCAATTAATTTTAATAAAGTGCGAGGCATAATTGCTCACTTCGCAAAAAAAAAAAATCATTAGTTAATATTATGATGAATTAATTAATGCTGGTTCGGGTTAAAATTATTCCAAAGGTTTATTTTATTGGAGTAGATATGGAACCCAAAAACTCAAAAATAAATGAATGAATTGAACGTTGGCCCTCAAGTCATCCGTGATGGAAAGGGATGCTGTATGGGGACTCTGTTGTGACTGAACGAGGAACAAAGGCGGGACTTTTCTAGATTCTAAATAAATCATAGCAAGGCAAGAGGGACCCAATAAAATCATATCATATATTTCATCTTTTGCATCTAAAGCGTCCATGGAAGACAACTTTTTCAAAATATCATGAACTATTCTAATTAATCATTCTTTGATCTAATCAACTTTCTTTGAATCATCATCCAGCAGGACTTCCAAGCCAAAAACTTAGCCGGGAAGGGGAAAAAATTGTCGCCACTGAAACGGAAAATTTGCAAACCAAGATGGAGATTAGTTCTATAGTGTTGAAATGTGACCGTGACGGTAACATCCTGCGAACCCTGTGAAGTTCTGACCAATTGATTAAGCAAAGGAAGTTAGTGAAAAAATGAATAAAAAGCAGGAACTAGCTGATTACCAGGATGCATGAAAATTAAGTACTCATCATCTGCTAAAGAAGACAGAGTTTTAGCACAAAGATGTCTATTTTACATATAAGATCACGAGAGTCTCAGATACTGCAATGAAATTACAGAGCAATACTATAAGTATTGGCTTTTGTTAAGCAAACCCAAAAGCTGCCTAGCTGAATAATATAGGACAAGGCATTAAAGAAACCCCATACCCTGCAAAGTATCCTCTTGTGATTTGTGATTTTGTCCGCAGCCTTTTCAACAAAGTTATATTCCCTCACATTACATAAAAACATATGAACCCACCCGTTTGCCCTCGGTGATAAGATACTACATAATGGAGCATATAGCTCCAGACTCATCATGGTCTACATGACGGTGGCTGAAGGGATCCGACGGTAGAGGCTGCGGCAGCGGCGGCGGCAGGCGGGAGTAGGGATAGTTATAGTGAGAATGCATGATATCAGGGGCATGATAGGAAGAACTCGAGATTGGATAGGCCGTGTTATAGCTTAACCCATATTGATATGGCTGAGGTTGTGGAGGTGAGAAGTACGACTGTGGTGGGTATGGGTGGGGTTGCTGAAATGGGGGTCTTGGATTCATGGAAGCCATGGCCGGGACAGGTGAAGCACTGAGCGGTAATGCTTCAGTTTTTGTGCTTTCCTGACCAGCTCCTTCATTGTCAGTATTATTGGGAGAAACAGGACCATTCTTCCCTTTGTTCTTCTTCTTATTCTTCTTCTTATTTTGGCCGCCAGCGTCCTCAGCTTTATCATTGTTGTCACTTCCTGGACCGTTCTGGTCATCTTCCTTAGCAGAGGGTGGTTCAATATTTTTCTGGTCTGATGGCTCTTTCTCTTTCTCTTTACCACCACCTTTGGATTTTGCAGACTTGTTTTCTTTCTTGTCGACCTTTTCTTGAGGCAAAAGCTCGGCCAGCTTGCCTGATCTTAAGAGCTTCTTTACGAGAGTCTCACCCTCCACGTTCCCTGTCACTCTCACCTTGTGCTGCTGAGAATCAATTTCCGTCGTATAAACCCCTGTAATTAAACAAATGTGACACGCACACACGTGTGTGTGTGTGTATCCACATTAATTGAGTTGTGAAGGAAACACAGAGACATTATATAGAATGAAGAGATATGTAGATAGATAAGTACCATCGATCCCCTGAAGAACTTTCTTGACCTTCTTCTTGCATCCTTCGCAGTGGATTAAGACTTTCAATACCCACGTCTGCATAAAGAGGCAAGAATAAGTTATCAACCAGCTATTAGAGAGAGATATTCATATGAATGTTATAAAGGTTTGAGAGTAATATGTGTGTGTGAGAGTACCTTATACTTCAACGTTTCTGCAGGAGGGTGAGCATCTTCAACTGGTTTGGCTGCCATATTGGGCGTTAGGTTGGTAGAACAGGAATGGGAAGTAGCGGATCAGAGGAAAATTTGAGCGTGTGTTGGTTGATGGCAAGGAAGATGAAGTGAAGGGGGAGACTTATAAGTAAAAGAGAAGCATTTGACTATTGAAGCATTTGACGTGGATACCACGTCATCATACGATCCTAGTATCTTACTAACAGACCAAAACAACCATCGTGCTTATGATGACACCACTGGAAGATTATTAGGGAGCTTCTTCAAATGTTTGATTGGCATTCCAACTCATATGCGACCCATGTGGGGTAAGAAACACCCTAAACGAGGGCTGCTTCCTGTTGTATTTCTTCAACCACAGACCATTCTGATTATTTTCCTGTTCTAAATTCCTAATTCCCACCAGAAAAAAAAAAACGACTTTTCTTTTCTTTTCTTTCTTTCTTCTTTCTTTTTTTTTTTTTTTTTTCCAGATAACTGCTCACTTTTCGATTTTTAGTGAAAGACAGAGGTGGGGTCAAGAAAGTCCTTTGCATAAACTTTTGTGGCATGTGGTGCAGCTTAATCTGTCAGATCAGACGGTTTTAAGAGCATCATCACTTTTGGTGCCACTCAATTTTGCCTCTGGTACATCGGTCCTCCCTGCCCTGGGGACCCCTGACCACCACCCGTGGACTGACCAGAAGCTTCATCTAATTAATCTGAATTTAAGATTACAATTCACCTAAACAAAGATCAAGAATATAACAATGGTAATTAGCCAAGAAGGATCAGATATAATTGATGATGCAATGTTATTTGTCAAATACATGACACCCATTAATCAGTGAAGGAGGAGGTGTGATACTCTATAACCGGAGGCAGTGGTGTATTCAAAAAGCCAATGATCAAAACTGTACCTATTGTTCATATGATGAGCAGAATTTAGCTTTACCGTGGTACTTGGCTGGTGAGTTAGGGTTGTTTGTATTGCAGAAGCATCTTAAGTGCCACTACTCAGTACTAATAAAAGCAGCTTTATACTGTCCAGAATTTTCAAATCTTATTGATGGCTCTTCCTAATGGCCTTGAAGACTCCCCCCCCCCCTTCCCAAGTCCCATTTTACCATCTTAACAGGTCCCTAACTGTTTAGTTTCAACTCAACGCAGAAACTCACTTAGTTTTTCCTAGTCCCCACCTAACTCCAGTGAAACTCATTCATTCCACACAAGTCTTCACAAAAGTGGTCACTGGTTGGTTCGTGCAACAATTGGCTTTAGTTATGTATATTTGGTTTGCATAAAATAATTACAATATTTAATGAAACAGATGTGCACATGGTACCAATCTAACATTTTATGCTTATCCGAGTATCATCAAACGGCACAAAGAGTTTAATTTTTTCAGCTTCTATAAGCTTGAATGGTAAGGTGTGTAGGTCCCAGAGTTGCATGTCTTTCTCATATAAAGGAAAATCAGGTCATGCTAGAGTCTCTTTTCCAAGGAAAGCCTAGAGTAAAGAATGAACAATTTAATCTGCTATCTAGATTCATGGCGAAATGATAAAGCAGTTCAATTTTAAAATACTTCCCACTGCAGACGAAACCATGATCCGAAGCAAACTGTTAGTGGTTGGTTTATGCATGCCAGTTGTATATCGCTTTGTAGAAAGAGGAGTGGAAGTTGAGATGCATGAAACGATAGACTAAAAGTGAAGATAACATTGAAACGTCACTAAAAGCGAAACTATCGATTGCTGGAGATGGAGTTTGATCCAAAATGCAGCCTTTTGGCAAATGGCATGTAAGTATGTAGTATCCAACATCAGCAAAAAGAATCGATGTGAATTTAGTATGGGACTATAACTGACACTCGTTGATTTCCCATTAATCGTTTCGACAACCTTAAATTAAGTAGGAAAGGGACTAGTGACAGCAATTACAGTTGTATTATTGGTTTCTATGTCTGATATTCTTTCCCATGGCAATAAAGCTAAAGATAATGGCTATCGCTATCAAAATCATTAAGTAGGCAAAAAGTCTGCCCTAGGATGATATGCGTGATGGCTAAACACAACCTTAATGCTTGACTTATTAGACCACAAAGCACCAGACTTTCAACAAGATCTGGAATTATGGATCAAATATCTGATAAAATATGCATTATAGAAATCACAACATAATAAAGCTGTCATGACATAAGCCTTCCATAATTTTCACCCCACTAGGCTAAGTGAGTTCTATCAGAGTCTGATGTCTGAGCAACCAGAGAGCAGCAAATTTTCAAGCACGTAAAGATTGAAAACGATACTTATTTTTACAGTACCTATATACAAAAATGACAAATGAATATGTGAAACAAGAAATTTTTGTCATATGTGGTAATGAATTGATCAAGAAGGCAAATGACAGATATGCATTATTACAGATAAACCTCCAAACTCTGTTTCAGTTTACAGCAGTACTGTAGCTCATGTTAGCCGAGTAATAATGGCATAACTACCCTACCAACAAATCTGAAATTGAGTATTAATACTGGCTTAGTTGTAAATCGGATCAGTACGAATGGAATCTGATATGTTAATTTGCAGGTACACTTGGTAGATACATAATCTCAGAAAGAACATTTATTGATATTGGTTACAGTTCAATCTGGGAAGTGAAAAGGGAAAAAGTAAGCACAGGTTTGAAGATTAACTGTAATGTGGGGTTGGTCCTTAATGAATTTAAAGAACTTAGACCAAGCTGGTATGGCTGCAATACATGTATTGTGGAAGAAACTCTCTCCAGTGGTATGGTCCGTGTAATTGGACGGAACTAAAAAGGATAGACGAGCCTCGCCTGTGAAACAAAATCTGACACTGTCTCTCTGTTTCTAATTGCATTACGATCGTTCTGTGTTATCCTTCCTTGCTCTGCCCTCTGCATTTCAAAAGGCTTGTTGCTTCCTAATTCTTACCACTACGTGACAAAAGTTAACAGTGATGTAATTATTTGGTGCTTGAATGATTGATTTCGTAAAAGACGAAACTTTAGTCTTCAAAAACTAATAAATGCTTCATACTTTTTGTCACGGATTAATCCGACTCATCTTATAAACTAGTTATTGCTTTTTGGTGACTACATTTTTCATGGTTAATATTTTAAGAAAAAAGATAATCAACCTTAGTTCGTTCTCGTTTATTCAAAATGATAATATATCATACTTTCTAGTTTCTTCGGTCCTGCATTTTGGGAAGCTATAATAATATTGCATAATAACTAGCTCCTACTCGCCTGTGCAACATAGAGGCAATAGTCCATTACAAGGTACTACCTCCGATCTTTAATATAAGATTCTGTTTGATTTTTATTTCTAATTATAAGACTTCGATCCACTTTGTTTTTCATATTTATGTTTTTTTTTTTAAGATAGTCCTTCTAATAATGATAGTTTTAGCTAATATACTTGATTAGTAAGGATATTTTAGGAAAGATAAGACCTATTTATTACAAATAATTATTTAATTTATTTCTTTAGTGCTCTCGAATTAATCAACTAGCTCTTATAATTAGGATCAGAGGTAGTATAATCCAATGAAAGCTAAACATGGTAGCAGATATATCTTGACCAACCACAACTAATATCTAGGTTTCTAAATATCTTTTTATAAACAACATTTGTTGTAGTTCTCTCTGACCAACTATCTTTATCATCATCAACAACATTCAGTCCATACTTTTTACTCAGGATAATGCAACACGCAGTTGTTCATGTATGAAATCAGGCTTAAATAAATATAATCTGACATAATGAGCCAGTAATGCATTCCTGTACAATTGCGTGAGCTAAATTATAACTTGACATAATATGTGATAAATAATTAAGCTAATAAATATGAGTAAATATCGAAATATATTCATCCCTTCCATGACTTGGCTTCTATTACTAATTTGATAATGGTCAGACTAACAAGAAATATTGTGTTTCTTAACATGCTACTACCCCTGGTTTTTAATAAAAGAATTGATTTGACATTTTTATTCTAAATTTAAGATCTTAATATATTTTTTTCTCTCATTTTTTTTAAAGTAATTCTTATAGTAACTGTACATATTAAGTGTTTCATCAAATAATAGTTCTAGCTAATACATATGATTAGTAAAAATATTTGAAGAAAGATAACACCTATTTATTATTAACAACTAACTTAATTAATTTTCTTAATATACTCAAATTAATTAATTCACTTTATTCGTTTATCTAATCAATTTCCTACCGTAGTCGTAGATATATTCATTGACGAACGAAAAAAAAAAATCCAACTGCGAAATACGGATCTCAAAACTTTCTCCTCAAGTTTAATTTATCACGTGGTGGAACACCCAAGACGCAGTTTGGGCCAGACTTCTAACGAATCGGGCGACGAAGAATTACGAAGTGGGCTGGGCCTAAGAACTCGAAAAAGGAGAGATTTCAAACTTCATATATAATATTGGGATTTCTACATTTGCTCATTAAATCACACCATCATAGACCCACCCGAAGCACCACAAAAGTTGAAGCAGAACATGTAAAATGAGCGATTCAAAGCTCATTTTTTTGGGGCAAAATAATTTCTGACAAGTTTTAAAACAAGAAGGAAATCTGTCTTAAAGTTGAATCTAGTAGTAATAACTAACAACGGAAGCCCTTTCAAGTAAATTCAGTTCATCATGGTCTCACTTCTGACCAAAAGTCAAACCATCCACAAGTTTCTGGAAAGAAGGCCTGGAAGAGATGTCCTCCCACCAGGCCTTCACATGTGGGCGATCATTAATCATGTAAGCACAGGGCGTCTTCATGAAATAGTGAGTGCTGGTCATTTGGTTTAGATCTGCGAGGCTGAAAAAATCCCCAGCAAGGTACTTGGTTTTGCTCAGCCTCTCCTCGTACACGTCAAGAACATTCTTCAACTTCTCCACGCTGGCGTCGATCACAGATTGGTTGGGTTCTTTGTCTTGAAAAGGAGACACTAGATATTCGAATATGATTGGTGAGATTGCTGGGTCGTAGGTTTGGGACTCTACCTCCGCCCACATCCTAACCAACGCTGCTTCTTTTGGGTCACTCTTCCTTATCAGATCAGGTCCTGTTTCTTTGTATTTCTCAGCCAGGTACGCTGTTATAGCTCTGGATTCTGCGTGTTGTACATAGAGCCATTATGCCAAAGACATTATAGTGACTTGATATCATCAATCTGAAACCATGCAGGCAGAAAAAGAAGGGAAGAAGAAACATACCAAAGAGAGTGAGGTCGTCGTCTTCAAGAGCTGGGATCAGACCGAAGGGCTGCCAGAAATTAAATAAAATGAGTATTCGAGTAAGGATATGCTAATATAATTAATAATAGATGACAAGTGATTGTGCATAGGGAGTGGTTGTTATATACACACACACACATATATACGTACATTCTTGGAGAGAAAAGGAGGGAGCTTGTGTTCTCCGGCGAAGACATCGACGGGAACAAGCTCAAACTCGACGTCTTTCTCATGGAGGCACACCATGACTCGGCTGGTATTAGTGGACATTGCCAGGCCGTGGAGCTTGATCCCCATTTTTTTTTTTCCGCGGGGAAAAGAAGAAACAGAGATCAGTGAGAGAGATGATATATTAGTATACTAGGGCTGAAGTGGGAGGGAAAGATAGAGGAAGGGGCTTTTTATAAAGGGTAAACCAATATGGGTTGTGTTACTGTTTTGAGTGGCTTTCGCGTTTGGGTTAACCAAAACTTGCAATTTTTACTCTGCTGCCTATGCTACGGAAGACCTAGAATTTGTCGTTTACGCATGAGATACCAAAATTGTATTTTAGCCCCTTGCCTGAAATCAAGGCAAGTCAGTCTGGAAAAAATTTGACACTATACTGTCAGAAGTGGGGCCCATTCCAAATTTGTTAATTACAATTAAATAAAAAATATACTATTATCCAAGTTCCCAAGTAAAATATTTTTTTTATAATTATTTTTTTAAAATTATTGTAATTCTCTCAATTTATTTTATTTACCCCTGCATTGCTAGCTCTTTCTAGTTTTTTTTTAAACTTTTTTCTGCCTTGCTAATTTTAATCTTTAATTTGAAGTGCGTCAAATTATTTTCTTTTCAGTCTTACTCATCCCATGAATGTTTTAAATTTCAATTTTATTATCCTAACCTGATTGCTTTTGCTTAATTTCTAACGGTCTTAAATAGAAGTCACAAAGATATCGGAGAAATTAATAAACGTAGCAATCTTATTCGTTTCAACAGTCAGCATAGTTAAAGTGGTCTGGTTATTGAATGACTAAATTATACATTAATTAATTAATTAATTAACACTAATCTGTTATTGAGTTTTCCCAGACTGGGAGGGAAATTAATGTGCGGTTTAGCCAGTGTTTGTGGTGTATGAGATAACAAGTGCTGCAGAAGGGATGGCCTGGTGTTAGTCAGATGTGCACACGTTAGAAAATGGGCAACTTGTTATAACCCCAGCAGAAGCTGAAGCTGATCAGATTATATGATATCATAATCCTGCACTAAAAACGTAACAGTGGTATTCTTTAATTATATCATTGGAAAAATAAATGATGGTTTTGAAGTTGAAGCTGATCGTATACATATGATATCACAGAATACCTAAAGAAACTAGATAACAAATAAATAATGATGCGATCCAGTCAAACACAGTTTTCAGAGCATAATTTAGAAATCAAATCACACGGCAGCATTATCAAGAGATTCCCCTCTTCACCTTTCAGAGAACAATTCAGCATTTTCCCCCCTTTTGGGGTATGGGATGACAACTAACGAGTAGTAATAAACACTGAACTAAAATTAAACACCCATGACTGATTCAGTTTGACCGCTTGATTTGGACCTTGACATAACCAAGACTTCAGCCACAGGAATATTAAGCAATAATAACGTGATCATCAATAGCCTGCTGCATTTCAATGATTTACATTTTCCACCTCCTAAAAAAGTGGTTCCTAAACTCAAAAAGACCATTGCCTTATCTTATCCACAGTATTGAATATCTACAGAATTAAATAACCAATCAAGCTGTAATTACAACGGAACAGGCCAGCCCTAATTTATACGCCAATCCTAAATGCGACTTCAAGTATTATATTGTAGCTATTTACATTTGTCGCAGAACTAACCCTAACTTTATAGGCTGAAATTTGAAAAATTAATATCCTCCAGGGTCCAGGCTGTCTCTGGTTTTATAAAGTCACGATATTTACAATGGAAGCTACAAGATCGAGGATTCAACCCTAACTTATAGGTATCCTTTGTTTAAATCTCCATGTACTTAAATGCGGCATCCAATAACATAATCAAGCAGAATTAACATTGAATTATCTTCCAGGCTTTTATCTCATCTAGTATCAGGAGGCTGTCTCTGGCTTTAAGAAGTTCTGATATTCCAGTTTATTCATCTCACCACCATGCACTGGGTCAAACTGACACCGGTAGAAGCTGCATAGAACCATTAACAGTACATAATTAACATCGATACAACATAAATTATGATATCTCAAGACTCAACGATTTCAAATATGGAGTAACCTAGGAAAACACTTCTGGATAAAAGAAGGAAATTTCTTTGGACGTGCTTAAGGTTCAGTGTAAATTAAAAGGAGAAAAATGATAACCATCTTCCAAATACATGTTACCAAAGTTCGAAACTCCAATTCACGAATGTAGAGTACATACTACATAACAACTTTAACCACAAAACCCATAGTATTTAAGATACTAGCAAGCTGGCCAACAGTCTACATAACATTCCATTCAAACATTTTTCTCAAACCATACCTCCCATCCATGCCAAGAATTATGACTGTATTCTTTTGCTGACCAAATGCGACAGTGTAACGAGTGCCCTCGCGTAAGCGAAACTGAGCAAGTGACCACTCCGAATTAAAATACTTGGGTAACACTCCTGAAAGGAGCAGATTAACAGAGTTTGTCAAGGAAAAAAGTAACAAACAATCATTTTCTTCACAACCACTCCAAATAACGTACATCAAGCAGTACAAGCGGATAGCACAATAATGGGAACCGTAATTCTCCCAGTGGTATTCAAACAACGCTCTGTCTGGAACAAACAAATGACCATTGACAAATAAAAGATATTTTTTTATAAAAAAAAAAGCGCCCAGGGTCTATATATGGCAGTCAAACTCAAAACGCAAAATAGCATGAAGTCACATGCAAAATGGTCATACATTCAATAAAATTAGCAAATCATGACAACTTAGCAACAATCCTAACAATAAATATTTAAATGGAACTTTGTTGTTGACGTCTCCACCCTCAACTGTAAACCAGGATCGAGTGCACATGCACAGGCTAAGGAAAAGACACAAGGCATTAGATTGAGGTTAGATAAGTTCTATCTGGAAAGCAACAGTAGATAATTTGTCACTTCATTCGATTTGAAATCTTCTGTTGCCAATATTGTAACCAGTCACCTTATTGATCATTCAAAAGTGACTGAAGAACACACCCTTGGGGTATATTTGGACCTTCATTGGAGACATCCAGAAATGCCTTCAGAGTGAGCATCCATTTTTAAGAATAATAATGGATTTTAATTGAAGGTATATAACATCAGAACTGCTTTCGCACACAAATCAGGGTCCCAAAAACCACTATTATTCAAGCACCAAAAGGTTGCTACCCCAATGTAATATCTCTGTCAACTATACAACTACAATGTCTTAGTAGCTATCCTCGTGCATTTTCATAAAGCTCGAGATGAGTCATATCGTTCATAGTTTGTAGACAGCTCAGCTTCCTATAACTACTATGATATATTGATGATTATTTCATTATTTGACAACAAAATGTTATTGCATCAAACAATACCCAGACAAAAACAATTTACTCACAGATTCACATAACAAAATAACATAAATCCGATTATTTCAAAAATCAATTCTTGAAAAGATGCTTCTCTATAAAATCTAAAATTTCACAGAATCTTCAACACAGCTCAATGACGATCAAAATTCTCAAATGGTGAATCAGGTGTCCTTTTTTTCTTTGAGTAATTTTTTAATTGGGAACCATATTGAACTCTTATATTTGCAAGTAGCCTGAGTATAGAAGAAGAAGAGACAAGCCTCGTATCTAAAATTCAGAATCTGGATGACTTCGCTTGCTTGCATGGCAAAAACGAATCAGTTTCAATCACACAGCAATCCAAATTGTAACTAGTAACATGAGAGCAACAACATTAATTCACAGGAACGACAAAGATTTTCTGCTTTCTTAGAATATATATGGATATATACAGGGTCAAATCAGGTTATGAAGGACCTGACACTGCTCAACTCACATGACTCTGACTATTCAGGTGTCCATCCATGATTCAACCACCGATTTGTATTGTGGCATCAACAAACTGAGTTATGTTATGCATTCCAAAATGTGTATCAGGCAATTTCCGTAACTATGTTATCCACGCAATTTATCAGTCCCCAAACATTCCAACGACACCACAGGCGCAGCAAACAGAAGTAATAGGTATAGTCATAATTTAACAAAATCGAACAATGCGCCTCAGTTATTAATAAAGTTACATGTCTATATACAATCACAGTAGACAAAAATAAATTGATGAGATATTTTACCTTTAAATTTAACTAATGCACGGGGTGAGCTAGATGGTGTGCTGGCAGCATGAGAATCAGTCGTCATCTGTGGATTTTCTTGCTGAGGAGAACTAGAGTTAGCCTTAAGGCTGAAAACATGGACAGTACCCTTATCACTCGAGACTGCCAGCCACTGAGCAGTAGAAGAGAACGCCAAACTATAGACCTCGGCCACATTTGCACCCCTTCTCACCTGATGTTAATATCCAATAAATTTGTTCAGTACTCAGTACCAAAAAGGTTGAAATGCTTATAGTAAAGTTGTATAACTACATGACATGGAAAAACCATTGATTCTATGATTAAATCTATGAGAATAATCTACGATTAAAAAAATTTCCAAATTTCAAAAGACAATGTTCAACAAATCAAAACTAGATTAAAGGGTAAAGGTCTGAGCATAAGGAAAAGAGTTGAAGGCTATAGTTTGGCGTTATAAATGCCATAAAAATGAAGGAAACCCAATAAATTCCAGATTAGACCTAGACTGCGCAAAAGATATACTATGTTGATTCAGTGGCTTCTTTTTTCGGGCCATGCTGATTCAGCTTGGTCTAATATAAACCGGATCAATCCAACCCAAACCAAAAATCAAAATGACCCAATCAATTTTCACATCACATCCTAAAGTCCGATTAAGACCTATAGTGTTTTATTATTATCGGTTTAAATCAGTTTAATTTGTTTTTGCTTGACTGGTTTGCGTCCTTTTAGGACACCCCTAATTGTCACCGTCTCAATTAACGGGTTTGACCTCCAACACTTTACCCGAATATAAACGCTTGCCCCTAAAAAAAAATTATATTGAAAAAAAAGAAGAAGGAACGTACTTCTTGAAGCAGCGTGCCACTGGCTGTATCAAAAATTCGAAGCAAAGTACCCTTAGTGCTGGCGGTGGCGAGTAACTGGCCATCAAGTGTAAGAGCGAAACAAGCTATTCTTGAGTCATGAGCCAGAATGAATTTGGTTTTCTTCTGTGCATAATGCTCAACTCGTACCTGACCCTTATGCAAACCAGGACACGCCAATACCATAGAATCAGGCAATTGCGAAACTTCGCAGAGCCCCTTTGGGTTGGCGACGGTCTCAATTTGATGAAGTAACTTAAAGTCAGCGAAACTGTACACAAAAATCTTCTGCTCCACAACTACAATTATTCGGTCTCGTCGGAGCCGGACACCACGAACCGCTGATCGGAACGAAAGCTCACCAATGCACCTGCCTTGATGATCATCCCAGATCATCACCTTGCTGGGGGGGTACTGAGGATAGGTGCCACCTCCAACCAGTGCCAGCATATTATAGCGAAAGAGCATTTCCACATGACCGATCCCCCCAGTACTGTCATCGCCTCCATCAAACTCTCTGCGGAAGAGCTCCCGGAATGGATCGCAATTGTAGATACGAAATCCGTTGTCAGTGGCGGCGGCAAAGCAAGCTTGGTCTTGGTTGAAAGAGAGTTGAAGGAGAGTAGGGGTCGTCGGAGCATGAAACTGAGGTGAACTATTAGGGGGACTTGGCTGAGAGGAGACTTGGTGAGGCAGGGTTGATTGGCGATGTCTTATGGAATCCAAGTCGAGGTTTTGTGACTGGTCTTCGTGAAATTCGGGGTTGAGATCAGAATTAGGGTTAGGGCTTGTCCATGGAGGTGAAGAGCTGGCAGAGACGGTAGCCATGTTTGATCCGGCTAAGGAATCAAAGATCAAGACGATGAATAAGCGAAATAATCAGCGTCGTTTGGTCTTTTCATTAGGCGTAATCCATGACAAACAAAAATATGAAGGCAATCAATGAGGGCCCGATATTGTACGTACCGTTTATTTTATACAACGCAGCAGGTGATCACCGAAAGACGAAGGTTGACGGGAATACTCGCCTCTGTACCGAGCCCATTTTGTACAATTACAACTACGGCATAGGACCCAAAATAATTGGATTTCTATACAAGCTTCAAGAAAAGTCCAAAGTTGGGACCGACCCAGATGTTATCTGTTTTTAATTCTTTAATAATAGGGATAATTAATCCATAACTCCTTATAGTTTCAATCATTTTTGAATCAGGTCCCTGTAGTTTTTTTTTTTTTATCGAGTTCTTATATTTTCACTTATTTTTAATTAGGTCATTGCATTTATTTTTTTTTTTATCAAGTCCTTATAAGTTTACGTTATTTTTAATTAAGTCCCTAAATTTTTATTCTTTATTTTATAAATTCTAATAGTAGTATTCTATAAACATAAAATAGTATATATTATTTAATATTAGTTTATAAACAATAATATTCTAAAAATAATGAATTATTATAATAAATTTATTTTTTCAGCAAAAAAAATTAATTGTTCTAAATTTTTTTTCTTGAATTAATTATATTACTTTTTTTTATTATATAATTATTAATATTTTGTGTTTCAGTATTAATCTATTTAATTAAGTTTATATTTAATTAATAAATAAAAATTAAAACTACATGCACTTGATTAAAAATCTAGTGAAATTATAAGGACTTAATTAAAAAAAAATAAATGTAAAGACTTAATTAAAAATAGGTGAAAGTATAAAGACCTGATAAAAAGAAAAAAAACTATAAGGATTTGATTCAAAATTAATTGAAACTATAAAGACTTACGGATTAATTATCCCTTAATAATAACAACAACAACAACATAACATAGGTTTGAACCAGAAATTTTAGTTATAAAACAAATTTTAATCAATTTTCAAATCCCACGAAGTAAACATATCCTCTTTCTTTTTCTTTTTTTTTTGGCCAAAACGAAGTAAACATATCCTTAATCATATAAAAACCTTAAAATAGGAATTGCTGGCACAACTGCAAATCTAAATCTATTTGCCAAATCATTCTTTCGGACGATGAATACCCCACAGAATATTAACAAAGACCAAAACAAAAAAATGAGAACAAAAATAGTGTGAAATGGCTGTTAGTTGTATTAATTAATTAATATGGACCAAAACACGTTAGCTCTCAAACGACGAGCTCATTGCAGAAAATACTGAACGACGTGCTGAATTTGTTGATATCTTGAGGGAATCAATCAGGGCACGGAATCTCAGAGAAATATGTGCACAGTATGACATCATCATTTCCCACTTGAACTTCTTTCCTGTCCCAGAAACAGAAGAGGAGAGTCAATTAAGAGAGACTTCATGAGGACTTAAGGCCTGCTTTGTCGTTCAAAAAAATGATCAAGCGACACAAAAGCAAATCCCATAGCCCCAGTGCAGAAAAATATGTATATTGACTAAGATATATAAAAATCCAACTGAATTTGATTCCTTAGAATCTTCCAAAAAATTACCATGGCGGGTGAATACGGATCATGTTTCCAACTTCGAGGTCAACATCACTAACTCTTGGATTAAAGATGATGGTCCTTTCCTGGCCGCCACACACCATTCTTTTAGAGTCGTCGAGCAACAAAAATTCCTGTAAGAGCAACCCATGCGACTTCAATCAATTTTCAAGCAAAAAGAGCGCATATGTAAAAACGGAGGTGTGGTCGTTAATCCAAAACAAAGTGACCATCTTATACAGCGCTAGTTAAATACAAAATTAACTCGAATAAATGCCAAAAGCATATTGCAGAAGGCCATCACGGACCTCCGAGTAGTGCAATATAACTTTGAGGGTAATATTCAAGTTCTGACGACATTTAATACTTGACCTCTGTGTATTTGCAAAATGAGCAACAGCATACAATCAGCTTTCCATCCAAGTATCTTGAAATGATTTTTACATCAACACCACCAAGCCCACCTGGAGAGATATGAGAGAGCCATAAGCCACGCTGGTAAGTGGTTTTTTTCCCGTTTGTCTAAAGTGCTATTTTGGTTCAACTGCAGTGAAAAAGATACAAAGTAATAGCAAAAGTTTTACTACGCGGGTTAGCTCCAGCTTGTGACTCTTCTAGAAAGTTAACATCCCTTTCTTTTTCTTTCTGCATGACCCGCAGCAAGTTTCCAAATATTCCAGATCTGCACAAATAGGCAGAACAACAGTAAACTCAATCCAAGAATAATTTAAAATCATTTTTTTTGAAATTTCAAGCAATTTCAAGGAAGTTACTAATTGTTAGATACCCAGATGATTTGAGTGCTGCAACATAAGTCCCTTCATCAGTCACAGACGAAGCCCCTAGAGCTTGCTGAAATCGATCAGCCATGGTCTGCAATTTCTTTTCCGGGGAAGCAATCTTCATATTTTGATCACTTACCTAGAGCCAAAAAAAAAAGGTAGATAGAGTTCCAATGTCCAACAAGATATTGATCAACGCAACAGAATCATAAGATTCATGAGGAAATACCTCATTATCACTTGATGATCCACTATCCACAGGCTCAGGGGAATCTTCACCATTACTACTGTCTTGCAAGAGGGATCTACTCCTAGTTGAAAAATGCTTTGCTTTCTTTCCTCTTGTTTTACGATAATGTGACAAATACTGGAACCATAGAGGAAAAAAGGGCCAGTGCAAGAATAAGTAAATAGATAGGTCAACAAATAACGGAAAACTTTCTAGAAGTTTCACTCACAGAACAAGCCTTATCTTGAAGGTTGTCAACAAGATCAGCCATTGAGTGCAGATTCAATCCACGTGCAACATATTCTTCTTCTTCAGCAGGCTTAGTCTCTAAATTATTTCCCACTTCATCATCATCTTCAAGATAACTCTCAATTGAACATGCAGAAATCCCAGGACTAACAGGTTCTATTGTTTGAGGTAACCCATGAATCTCGAATGGCATACTCCTATCACAATTGGAGATCAAAGTACCAGAGAGTTCATGCTTATGTGACAATGATTGTCGTGAAAATTTTGGCCTGGCTTTGCTCCAGATTCCTGCAATAGTCGTCAAGTTTGATATGACACTGAACATTTAAAGAATCGATAAAGTGTCAACTATCATTCTTACGGGGCACAGTTGAGGCCACATTATTTAACTCCACGAAAACTTAATGCTTGAGGGCACAACAACCATGACACCTTATTCTGACATCCATACTAAAGAAGAATTCCCTACAGATGTTGAAATTTTGAGAATATCTAATGATGGTGTCTAACCTGCATCCGATGAGTGCCAAATGCGCCGTTTTCTTTCCTAATAACTATCAAGTAGGCATAAACAAGAAATTCAAATACATGTAGACAATGTGTTACAGCATCCTTATCCACATATGCGCAACCCCAAGGCCAGTATTTATAAATACTACTTCTCTCACAGGGTGTTACTGCAATAACATATAAATAAGTGCTGCAGAAATTAAGATATTTATTTAGACCTTCCACAGTTATAACAAGGAATCACACAAAAGAAACATTCACCGTGGAAACCGAGGCTTCAAATCATTTCAGGAAAAACAAAATGTAAGAACAAGTTATGAATGGCGCTGCATAGCGTACTATCAGAGTATGGTGAATGGTGTTTCATGAGGGCACTACAAGTAAATTTAAGTTCTAAGCAAAAAAAATTTTGACAAATGGAAGGTACCATCACTGCATCTATTTGCTTTCGAGGAAGCATCATCGGATCCAGAACAAGGCACACTTTCTTTGAGATGTAGTAATGGTTCATATTCTTCATTGACATGCCCAGCTTGCTCACTCCTGATAGAACAAGCACCGTCCTTGTAAAGCTCTCTACCTTTGGTCCTAAAGCCAGTAACAATTCTCTGAAGGATAGTCTTTCCCTTGAGAGGAGACATAAAAGATGACACAGTTTCGCAAGAATCACATAATGTGAAGACAGAGATTTCCTATCTATGATCACATAAACAAACATACTTTAAAATTACCAGTAAGATTATTCCTTGAGTGATAAAACTACTACCTCATCTTCAGAAATTACTTCTTCGTCACTTGAGTTGGCAACTATCTCTCCTGAAAGGTGACTGAATTCAACCTCCTTGAAGTCAGGCAATTCAACCTCATCTTCGTGCAAGACACCTGTTGGTTTCTGATCATAGAATGTTAGTTGAGTGTAACAATCGATTAGAAAGGTAATAGGAAACTCTAAGTATGCATACCTCAAACGACTTGCTCCCATTCCCATCCAAGCTTCGTTTACTGGCACCTGTCTAGTACTAAGAGTTAATAATGTTATTCCAAATTCATAAAGAACTTTGAGAGGTAAAGCTTGACATGAAACAGTATGAAGGACTGTATGTAAGCACACGCTTCAATCGACAATATAAATTCCCAGCCACAATAAGTGTATGTAGACCAAATAATCAAGGATGATAGAGGAAAGAAATATGGCCATAAAAGCTTTTTAAAAGTCAGAAAGTATTTATTAACAAGAACAACCAACCATATCACAAGGGAATATCTGTTTGACTTAATTGGTACAAATAAATAGATAAGACTAAAAAAGTGAAAGAATAAAATTGTATTATCTTCTATGTTATTTGAATTCCCCTTTAAGCATGAATGTGTCTTGGTTATTTTCGTGAAAATTTATGATAATTCATTTTCTTTCAAGCATGCTTGCATATACTGGTTTTGTTATATATTCATGACATGCATAGGCGGTTGGACTTGGGAGCTTGTGATATTGATATATGTGACAAATTATGACCACATGGTCCGCCTCCACTTAGCGCAAAGTGGTTGGCCTTTTTAGGACCTTGTTCCTTAATACTTACAGGCCAGGTTTGTAGAAGGGGGTCAGGTTTGTAGAGGGGGAACGTGGGACAGTGACACCTCAAAAAAAACAAGAACAACCAACGAAAGAAATCAGAGGGAAGGATATTTAAGAATTCAGATACCTCTCAGAAAATCCAGCCGCACTGGAAGAGGCAATTCTTCCTATAAAAAAAATGAAAGGGCTATTAGAAGATTACTAATGATGATGGTTAGATCAAACATATGGCAAAATAAAAATAAGAATCTTTCAAAAAAAAAAAAAAAAGAAAGCAAAACCGCCTAATCAGATAGAATAGTGCAATTCAGCTTAAAAAAAAAAAAAGATAGAATAATGCAATTAAACATGAATAATTGGGTTGGCCCAAAAAGATTTTTAAAAAAACCATGAATAATTGGGTAGACACGTGCATAATGAACCTGGTTATTGGCAGAAGGATCCAAAGAAACGGCAGGCTCCAGGAAACCGTCGTTTGAATCTTCCTCCTCTTCCAAATTAAACAAGAAACAGGTGATTACCACAACGTTTGTTGTATAAAAGGAGAACCTTCTTTGAAAGGAATTACCGGAAATGCTTTGATCTGAATCTGGAAGTTCCTGCAAAATTACATGTTCATTGCGGTTGAGCATCATCTTAGAATTTCCAATCATTCATTACATGGCAAGGAAGACAGAAAAAGTAGAAGGAATGCATGTGAGGAAGTTTACGCTAATTGGATTTTGCCTCCGCATTATGGATGCACACTACCGCCGCCAATAGTTGAGGAAGGAAAGACGTTATCGATGCAATTTTTTCTTTTAGAGTGAGAGTGAAGAGCTGAAAAAAGACAACTCGAGCAGGGACCAGTGGCGTTACCCAGGAGCGAGCCTGGTAGAGCGAACTCGGCGGGAAGCGAAGTGAAAGAGGAGGCCGCAGTGACGAACCATTGTGGCGTTGTTTGGTTTACTGGGGTTTGGCGTAAAGATAAATAGAGCGTCAGTGGAGGCCCATTAACTGCATGTTTAGATGACGTTTTGTGCAAACCACGGTTTAGTCTTTCAAACCATGGTTTGTTATGTCATCCAAACAGGCCCATTAATTTGATTATCAGGATAGGATCCAGCTGGCTACAGGCCTGCTTTTCTTTTGCCAGCTGGCTTCAAATCAGGGCTTGTACCAAAATTAATTTAAGCATGAGGCACACCACTTGGATCCAGCTGGTTATAGTCCTACCTTTTTTCGGCCGAGCTGCTACAGTAATGGGTTTTGAGGGGAAATGCGAATATAGCGTCCACGGAGGCCCATTTGTTTAATAGTGAGGCGTAGCACTTGGATCCAGCTGGCTACAGTCCATTACTGTAGGTGGCTCGCCAGCTGGATCCACATGTAGTGACGTTTAAGACATCTTATAATTTTATGATAGGTTAAAATATTCACATAATCCTTTAACTTTATATAAGGTTTTATTTTAGTCTCTTAACTTTAAAAAATATACTTTTAATCCTTTAACCTCAAAATTTTTATTCTTAAATAATGATTTTTTATAACAATAATGATTGTTTTGAATATTAAACTTAACATGTTAATGTTTAGTAATATTTTATCAATATTCAAAAGCTTAATATCATCATTTTTTGTTAACAGTTATAAAGTAAGATGACTAAAAGTTTATTTTTTAAAGTTAAAGGACCAAAATAAAACCTTGTATAAAATTAAAAGATTAAAGATGTACTTTAGCCTTTATAATAAGGATAGAATACAATAAAAATTTAATCACAAGTTTTTAAATTAACAAAATGAAAATAAAAATTTGGTTCCAGCTTTGGGCTGTCTCAGACCTAATAGTAAGAATTGAGGACAACGATCAGCTTTGGATCTGCTTTAATTTCTGTGGTGTTCTTTGTCTCTTTTCTATTATCGTTTTTTTTTTATTGTTTTTTTAACTAACTTGTTTTACTTTTTCATTTCACTCATGTTAGGCAGACTCTTTTTTTCATTTCATTTGGGCTTTGCTCATATAATCTTTTTATTTGGTTTTGAATAAATTTCGCATTTTATTTAAAAAATATAAATTAACTTGTCCTGTTAAAATTTAATATAGATTTTTTTGGAACTACAATTGGAAAAGGAAGAAATGAAGAGAACTAACTCTGAAGTCTAAATCCTCACCCGCCATTCTTCTGATATTCTCCAAGCCTCGCTGTTTGGAACCACCATGCATTGAATTTACATTCGACTCGCTCGCGTCAAGACTCAAAATTTCATCAACAATTCATTTTGTTCAAAGGTTAACCCTTAACATGTGATCAACTACTAGGCAATAGGAAGAGATCAGTATTTTTTTTTTTATTTAATCGAGGATTTTTCTTTTGAGGCTTACAATACACAAGGTTTTGGTTTATTCTAACAAGTACGGTTTTTTATATTCAGACTCGTGTTTTATTCTTTATGAAAATAAAACCACTTACTATCTCAACTAACAACTTCTTAGTAGAAGAGATCAGTATTTTTTTTTTTTAGAGCAACAGAGACAAGCTAAGCTTGAAACACTAGGCGCCAAACTAGCAACTAAGGAAAAGACAAAAGAAGACCGTCAGCTAAATCCACAAGGCTTATCCTGAAGAATCAAATCAGCATATCTTTCTGGCACATCTGCGATCAACTTGACGCCGAACGCCTGTTCATGTCCTTCCTTCGCCAGGTAGTCAGCACACCTTATAGTATCACGGCTAGCATGATGCAGTTCTATTTCCTCCCGAGCAAATATCAGCTCCCTGATATCGGTGATAATAGTCCTCAAGGGATGGTCTGCCACACACTCTCTAGCAATCAAATTGAGGGCATCCATTGAGTCAGAATAGAGCACAACCATGGGATGATTATATAATTTCCCAACTTCAAGACCTGTCCGAATAGCCACCAGTTCTGCTTCTGTAACTGAGCAAGTGCCAATATTCTTTTGGAATCCGACCACCCAATCACCATCGCTGTTTCTGATGAGGCCTCCACAGGCTGCGTGTTGATCATTCCAGACTGAACCATCAACATCGATGCGGATAGCTCCCTGTGGTGGAGGTGTCCAGGATATTTCTTGGTTACCTGCAAACTGAAAGATCTGATGTTTGAGTTGGTCTCCCACTATCTGCTCCATGAGTAAATGTTGGACCCTGTACCCAAGTTCTCTTGGGGTATCCGTTTTGCCTTCAAAAACAAATTTACATCTGGAGGTCCAAAGAGTCCAACAACCGAGACTAAACACTTTAATCCAGTTATGTTTACGGTCGACTCCTCGTCCTGGGCAGTTTTTGCTATTCCACTTAAGCCAGTCCTGTAAAGTTCCAGAGAAAAAACGAGAATAAAGGTTAGGATTTAAAATAAAAGACCACAACTCTCGTGCTTTTTGACAATCTCTCAATATGTGAATTATACTCTCCTCTCTTTTGCACTGAAAAGGACACTCATTCGATGTTGATAGACCTCTCTTTGATCTGAGTGAGTTAGTGGTAAGTCGCTCATGAGACACTTGCCACATAAAATAGATCAGTATTTTTTTTAAACCAAATAACAGGAAGAGATTAGTATGACTGACAAGTCTTTTCCCCTTTTCAAACAAACCGCACACACCACCCACTTATTACTCCTTCAGTGTTACAGCCTCACAGGCGCAGAAGAACCCTGAACTTCAAGAAATTCTACTCAACATAATTCACGAATGTGCTGTTATGCCAGCAAAGCCAATCCAAAATAGCCACAAGCAAATGACTTCGAGTCAGAATATTCAGCAATCTTGATGATTTTCACTGACGAAATTCTCAACCCAAAAGAAAAAAAAAGAAAAAAGAAAACACCAACAACAACAACACAAGTACAGCTAGCATTTGATCACAAGTTCCAATTTCAGCCTTCCCCATCCTGCAGAAAAACACAACTAGTTCATATTCAAACAAATGAGACTTGCACAGTTTTCACTGCTCTGTGGTTGTGGATCACCACGGCTAGCTTTCTTCTCAAAATCCCTAACAATACATTAGTCCAGGTGCATCAGTTTGTGGAAGGAACTACCATCTTGAATAGCAATTGAAGCACCTCTTCAATAAAGTCCATATCATTATATTGTCAATAAAATAGGCGTTTTAGATCGATTTTCATGTCCACCAGAGCACATTTTTTCTAACTTTCTGATATTCCAACAGTTGCAGAACTGAGGTTCTTGAATCAGACCAAGAAAATGAATATGATTGAACAGAGGCCACTGGAGGAACTAATAAATCATACCATACCATCTCAACGGACCAGGGAAGCCATGATAGTCAAATTGGCTGTTAAGGTTACATAACACCGTTTACCTGGCACAGACACTGTCCTTGAGTCACAGAAATTATGCGTTGTTTCATTTTCATCTATAATTATTAATTATTAATTCATAACTATTATATCCTATTCTTAAGTATCTTAAATGATGCCAATGATTTCAAACCATTGGCCAGTTTAAGGCTCTGATCTTATATATGCGAAACGATTAATTGTGTTAACCACTACTCGAAATACACAGTCATCAAGAAAGAACTTATATTTTTAACTACACAGAATCACGTCATACAAACTTATAAGGACAGGGTAAAAATCAGCATTCAGCTCCAGAAGTTGCAGATATAACGCCACATAGACTCAAAAGCAAAATTAGAAGTTAATAACACGAACAAATATATAATATAAATTCATTTATACAAAGTGATTTTATTATCCTGCCAACAGCAAAAGGGAGGACAGTTCTACTAGAATCGTATGATTCATCAATTCATTCGCCACATCTAATAAGATTGATCAATCTCAATGATGAGAGCTGAAACCATTCATGCCCGATTCCACCACACTTGACTTCTGCAACGCTGAATTGTCTTCTTTAATCTCTCCGTCGCCATCATCGTCAGAATCCAAAGTGAAATGAGCGGAATTCTGAAAAGACTGCATTTCCGCTCCGATGGGCCTATATTGCGTAGAATTCACGGGAATTCCATTTTTCCAAGAGACTGTCGAGAAAAACCCAACAAACAATACCACCATGAGGGCAAGATGGCAATTGAATTGAAGCGTAGCGATTGCTCTACCTCTGTGAAATTCAGGGTGTCCCTTACACCATATAGTGTAATTCCCTCTGCTCACTTTGCGCAAGGAGCAGCCGTGAGCCATCCAACTAGTAAAAAACGACAAACCCATTTGGAGAAACCACGTTCCTTGTAAAATCAATCCAAACCCACGAGTCAGTCTTGGCAGATTCGATGTCGGGGAATGCAATTCAAAGGTTGTAGATAATACACAGACGGCGATAGGCACTAGCAACAGATCATAATACCGATTTTCTACTCCACTGGGGTCTTTCCTCTGAAGGTAAAACAACAAAAATTCTTCCACAAAAGCAAAAACCCCAACCAAGCCGAGCAACGAGGAAGGCAAATGAAAAGAATTCGAGGCATGAACCATAAGACCAAGGACGGAGTACAATAGGAAAATCAAAGCAACGGCTAACACTTGCAATTGAAGGGCTGATCCAACAGGGTCGCGGGAGATTTGAGCATCCATAAGTGATACCAAGGAATTTACAATAACGAAAAAGGAAAAGACGGAGACAAAGAGGAAAGACAGGGAGGAGGGAGCGGAGGTTTTCTTAATTTGAGAATTCGGTTTAGAAGAAGCTGTGGTTGAGTGAAGAGAATTGGGATGAGGAGGAGGAACATGGGCATGGAGGGAAGAAGCGTGAAAAGCTTCATGAGCCCCAATTAGGATGAATCCACCAGCCGCGACGGCGAAGGAGAGAAACTCCATTGTGAAGTGAAAAACACTCTACTTCAGTTTATGATTTTAACCGGAGAAATGGGGATCTCGACGTTCCAGCAAGAAGAAGAAGAATTTGGGTTGGCAAGAGAAAGGGTCCAAGACTGCTGCCTTGAAGGCAGGCCGTGGTGTTTGATTATCTGGGTAGTCGGGAAGCTGTATTGTTTTGTAACTTTGTTTCTTCTGGCATCCGGCAGGGTTGGGTCGGGAAGTTCTCGGTCCAATCCTCATATTCTGATGGACCTTCTTCTATGCGTTGTTTTCGACCCATGAGCCTTTACGGGTGATGATATTCACATAAAAACAGTATTAATATTAGGATTAATATTTTTATTGGTGGTTGCTCACGGATTGATTGAACTTTAATTTTAATTTTAAATCTTGTAATTTTACATCATGACTTGTGGTTCCTACAATTTCACAGTAATTTGGTTGGAGTTTATCAACATTAACTTTTAGCTAATTTTATTGGGTAATACTTCCTGTCTTAATTATAATTATAAGATCTTGTTTGTAGTTTATAAATAAGATTTTATAATTAGAATAGAAGGTAATATATAGATTAAAACTAAAATTCTTTAAAAATATAATGAAAATCAAAGTTTATTAGAAATATAAGGATTAGATAAGTTTTATTTTTTATTCTTGATTTTTTAATAAGTTTTTTTTTTACTAGCAGATTTTTTTAAGAGGTTGTGGTTTTAGTCTTTACACCTAACAATATAATTCAAATTAGCTTCTAGTAAAACTATAAAAACTAAAAGTTCTGATTAAAAACTATAGGCATCAAACCTAAATAATTAAAATGTAAGTGCGAATAATAATATAAATATAGTGATCAATATAATTATTTATGATGCATAAATATGATCATTCAGACATTCACTCATGTCGAATTCTTTATAAACATAGGTATTTTTTAAATGTTGTACCAGTAACTCAACAGAATGGTTTAAGATAAAAATAGGTATGATCCCGTAAAAGAATTTTGAAATTATTTAATCATAAATAAATAAATAAAATTTATAAAAATATGTTGTTATTTATAATTTTTAAAAAAATCTGGAATATCTGTTAAAAAATCTGTGGTGTTCGCATCGTATGGAACAACAGATGATCCTGGGGGATATATCGCGTACGCCCTGACAAGTTGCGAGATTTTCGCTCCTACAAGGATATCGTGGCCTCCTATCTTTCTCTTCGTCTGTCTTCATTTTGATACATAAATACGCACTGCCGGGTCTACCAACAAAGTCATCGTCTCCCGGGTTCTTCGACTTCCCCACTTGACTTCAACGCAGAATATGGGAATCTTTCTCAGGGTCCTGCCCCTCTTCTATGCCATCCAATTCGCCTCCTCTTTGATGGGCGTCCATGGGCGATCACTCTTGATCACAACGAAGCCCGACCCGGATGCTGCTGCTGCCACTGCTCGTTGGCTGGTCTCTCAGAATTCCTGGGGCGTCTTAAAGTAAGTTCCCGCGCATCCCCCAAAGTGCCTGATCCAATCTCATGACTTCGTGTTGCTCATTTCCCGTTTGTACAGCGGTTACCTTTTAGGATGATTGACTGTTTGTTAGGTGATGCTGATTGATTGTCATTTTGGTAGATTTAGGTTTATGAGCAAATTGTTATCATATTAACGGTGCATCGATTTCTTCAATGTTAAGTGCCGGAATTGAGTGTTTCAGCGTTATGGTTCTTCTCATCGATATTGAAGGGGGTGGAGAGGTTGATTAATTGTGAATTATCTCAACTTCGATTTTAACTCCCACATCTGACGTCGTTATAAAGCCAAAGTTGAATCCTCGAGGCACATTGCTTCTTTCACTTCCTTTATTATATGGATCATCTCCCTGATGGAAATATTGGTTAAGTTAATGGCGGCTTCTTGTTGTGAGATGTTCCTCCTGGAGGAGGTGTCCAAATATGGAATTTTAACTCAACTTTTTCAGTTAAAAAGTTCGTGGCTTATTATTTTACTGATTGATTATGTATGCATTTCCAATCATTATGGCGTTACTTATTGGGCTAAGTATGTAATTTTCTTTATTAACAATGAATACTAAATTCTAAACTCATGAAGCTCCGATTATGCTTCAGAATCGTTCAACAGTTTCATAGTTAAACCAAAGAAGTGGCATATCCTCTTGGTAACTCCTGCTATTGTAATCTGTACTGTGATGATCTGATCTCTTTCATGTATTTATCTTGTGAAACTCAAACATAGAAGCTACAGTCTTATATCCTTTGTTTCTCTGCAGTACCATCTCAAGCGAACTGGGTGGCGCGCCCTTTGGGTAAGGATGTGTTGCTTTTATTTTAATATTTCTCATTCTACATCACCAGCCTTTTGAATTAAAGAATTCTTGCGCTGAAGGTACACATTTACTAATATCACATGCTTTAAATTTCATTGATTAATATCAAATGCTGTGAAAAATTGTTTTCACTAATTTCAAGGACAAGAACTATTATAATGTACCATAGCAATAATCATTTTAACCTTATAGCTCATGCAATAGAAGTTAAAGCTCCAGCTATTTATCATTTACTCCATTGTAACAGTACTCTAAAATTTTCTCCCATAATCTATTTCAAAAAATAGTTGTAACATTGCATTAACTATTTGCAGGAATGTGGTATCGTTCAGTGATGGACTCCCTGAGAAAGGCAGTGGCATCCCGTACTTTTACTTGACAACTTTAGACCCAACAGCAAGAAACGCTCTGAAGGATGAAAGAGCTTCATTTACAGTCAGTGAGTACCCTCTTGGAACGTGTGGCAACATAGATCCAGAGAATCCTACTTGTGCCAAAATTACTCTAATCGGAAAGGTACTGGAGAAAATGAATACTATGGAGTCTGACTGTACAGCATGCGTAACCCTGCCATCAAAATCTTACCTTTTCTGGGTTTTTCTTTCTCACACTGTGGAGTTAAATTATACCATTTGGTCTTCATTCATATGCTTGCCCCGTTAGAACATCATATCTTTGCTGTAATTTATAGTTTTGTGTGTTTGTCAAGAGAGCTGACACGAAGAAGGTTCTCAACCCTATTGTTGTCCCTCTATAACCTGGTAACGAAGATTTGCCCATGATAGTGGATACTCTCCCCTTTTTACTTGTATACTATTTTGCTCTATTTCCATGACATTAATTGTGAGTGTTTGATGTTTCCCAGGACCATTTGAAATGTTATCATCAGAATAACAAGACAGCTATAATTTGAAACATCTTTCAAAACTTGATACAGCTCTTACCTCATTTCTTGCAAATAGCCGCAAGTATTCAATTCGTTAGGTTTACTGCCCGTTATCAAATCAGAAAAAGTCAAGACAATTTATTTACCGTGGAACCGGAAGTCGTTAATTTGATATTGTGTTGCCTTTTTTTTTTTTTTTAGGTGAATGATAATTTGTTGCTTTTATTTGTTAGGTTTCTCCATTGTCCAAAATAATTTTACCTCTACAGCAACTGCCTTAGAGAAAAGGAAAAACCATAAAGAATCCTATTTTTTGGAACGCCTTTTATATAAATAAAAGCCCGTGGAAGTTGGAATTTGACATCTCTGCATTTCCATTTCAGCTGAAGTTAGTTGACAAGAAATCCGAGGAAGCCAAATTTGCTAGAAGTGCCTTGTTTTCCAAGCACTCAGAGATGAAGGGTAAATCCTAACACAATCAGTGGATCCAAAGCATATCTTCATTCAGTGTTCATATGACTAGTTGTGAACTTGTGATTACCACCTTCTTACTTTCACAACATTGATTGCTTCTGATCGATTCCTTTAATGTTTAACAGGCTGGCCCAAGGATCACGACTTTGAAGCCTACAAATTAGAAATCGAAAGTATATTTCTAATCGATTGGTTTGGTGGTCCGAAACCTCTCACTGTGGCGGAATACTTGCATTCGAAATTGTGAGTATTGGAACAGAGATTCTATGTTTGTAGTGGCAATAACAGAGCACCGAAAATAGATTGTTGGGAAAAGAAATGCTCAAACCTGTGCAGCAAGTCTTGAAAATTAATCCAGTGTTGAGTCATTTCTCAGTTTTTGATGTTATGTTTACTGATTCATCGTTCCTTGCAATTTGGGACTGCTATCACAGGAATAGTATCTCCGTCAGTCGATGAGTGCTCTTCTCATGGCGGTTCCTGTCGTTGGCAATCGGTTATTGTGCATACGATGAATTTGGAGCATTTGTAAATAAGATCTATGCTCAGTGTAAATGATCACTATTACACCCGTATCTTAATGCATCGCAAGGGTAAAATGGGGACAAGTCATATTGACAATGTGTGCCCCGGCAACATCCCATATTCTTTGCTCATTAGTTATTAGTTAGTGGGGTCAAATGTTCAGTGTTTTTTCAATTGCAGCAATTGAAACGAATATTTCATAAGTCAGTGATTGGTTTTCGCTACCTGTCAAATACTGAAAATCTGGTCTGTAATAGTAATTCGTTCCAATATCTTGCACAGAGCGCCCCTCTCCTATGGCACATAAGAAAGCTTTTCGAGCCGGCGTACATTCGTAGAGAAACAATCTTTCTTCTTGGGGTGATAATGTGTCGGGTGAATGATTTACTTTTTAAATATAAAAATTTTGTAGTTTAATCTTTCAAAATTTCTCATGTAAATTGGTCTTATCTTTCTAATAGACGAGAACTCGTGTTTCATTTTCATATAAACTAGCATTGATTAGCATATTTACTTAAAAGTTTGAAAAATGTGTTACCCAATTCATGAATTTTGCATCATGTATAGATATATAAATTTGACCCCCCCGCCAAAAAAAACAGAGCTCAATTGCCCATGTAAGACGCTAAAGATAATACCACCTCCGGCCTTTAATATAAAACCTTAATTGACTTTTATTTTGGTTTTAAATATAAGACTCTAATCCACTTTATCTCTCATATTTACTCAATTTTTTTTAAAATAATCCTTCTAATAATTATAGTTCTAATTAATACACTTGATTAGTAAGGATATTTTGGGAAAGGCAACACCTATTTAAGATAAATAACTAACTCAACTTACTTTTTTAATCTCCTCAAATTAATCAACTGGTTCTTATAATTAGGACCGGAAGTAGTACATAAACAATGATATACAAATTAGCCTAAAATATAAATGAATCTACATAAGTAACGGTATTTAATGATAGGCCATGCCACACAACACAAGACTGAAACTTGTTTTCGCGATGAACATATATTATTGAGACTTCAAAACTCAGCCATGATTCCCATGCCACACAATCTGAGACCATCTATTCACATAGTCTATAATTCCCTCCTTGTACACTACTTTTTCGTCTGCAATATAATTACTACAATCAAAATTCGAACGCTGGCCCGAACAAGTTTCCTTTCGGGAACTTGCGGTTTTGACCCTCTCAAGTTGTTTAACCTACTGACCCCTCAAGTTTCAAGCTCATTAGCTGGTTCACCTCAGAACCAAATTCATCAGGAAGCTCATTAAATACGTCACGGCAAAACCCAGATATCATAGCAGCCATGGCTTTCTCGTAGTCTATTCCTCTCTGTTGAAAGTAAAATAATTGATCTTCACCGATTTTGGAGGTACTAGCTTCATGTTCAATCCTAGCGGTGGGGTTTTTAACCTGCAAAAGTAAAGCAGAATTAGAACATAATGCATGGTGCCTGTTTGACATGGCGAGAGAGAGTGGGGGAGGGAGGGATCAATCAGGAGAGGAAATTCAACATGGTGATTATAACTCGACACATGCCAGAGACATATTACTCATTGCCCTCTTATGGGAAAACTCTTGGTCAAAAGAGAAGACCCTTAATATACCTGACGACAACATTCCTATGCAAATATTTCATTCGGAAAAGCCTTTAGCTTCTCTGAAACAGAACAAAACCTCCGACCACTTTGACCACAGAAAATTCCTTTAATCCAAGGTGATTGGAAAACATGCAGATAAGAATCTAGATGCACACTAGTGTTGGATTACTAAAGGATGCTAATACTTTTAGTCTTCTTCAAACAAGATCGCCCTGAAAGTAACTACCTGATCAGTTGTATTAAAAGTAGCATGATTTTATGCTGTAAAATAACGTCCAAGATACCAATATTTTTACCATGAAGCAGAATAGTTATGAAAGGAATAACCATACGGACTCTTTTGAATTTAATTAATTTAGGGTCTTGTCAGATGACTTTCACCCCAGTCTAATTCTTCCTTTTTTTCTTTTTCTTTTTCTTTTTCTAGCCGACTCAACCTAGTCTAATTCCATTGCAATTGTTTGCCATCATTTTTTTCTCTCTCTTTATATTAGCTCACATCTGATTCCGGACTTACTGAAGTACTATTTTATCCAATTCATTTAGCAAATTTCTAACTTGACACAGTTATTAATTGAGGGAATCAACGTCCACTTGTTGCTTCCTTCTTTTGATCTCTATGCGAATAACCGACACCGTTTAAATAGTTTGAACCACAAGTATTACACTGATGGTTACATATGCAAGCATGTGCAGAAATAAGGCATTGATTAGAGACCAAAAAAAAATACAAGCGTTACCTGTATGTAAGGATAGGTATTGGCCGCTGCCTGATCACCGATGAGCATTGAGTCACATTGGGAGGAATTTCGAGCATTCTCTGCTTTTGATTGAACCTGAACAAGCCCTCTGTAACAGTTCCTTGAATTGCCAACTGATATACCCTTAGAAATAATCCTACTCTTTGTATTCTTCCCTTTGTGTATCATCTTCGTCCCTGTATCTGCTTGTTGATGATTATTTGTCAAAGCAACCGAATAAAATTCACCGACAGTGTCATCTCCCTCCAAAACAACACTAGGATATTTCCAAGTAATTGCCGATCCTGTTTCGACTTGTGTCCAGGATATCTTAGAGCGAGCCCCAGCACAAAGGCCTCGTTTTGTGACGAAATTGTATATTCCCCCCTTCCCTTCCTCATCCCCAGCATACCAATTTTGCACAGTGGAGTATTTAATTTCTGCATCTTCAGCACAATACAACTCTACAACAGCAGCATGAAGCTGGTTCCTATCGTAAGAAGGCGCGGTACAACCCTCCAAATACTCCACAAAACTCCTATCATCCGCAACTATCAAAGTCCTCTCAAACTGCCCCGTTTCCAACGCATTGATTCGGAAATACGTTGAAATCTGCATAGGACACTTGGTGTCTTTGGGTATATAACAAAATGACCCATCACTAAACACTGCTGAATTCAGAGCTGCATAGTAATTATCTTCGCTAGGAACAACTCTTCCTAAATACTTCCTCACCAAATCTGGATACTCCCTAATAGCCTCAGATATTGAACAAAAGATAACGCCGGCCTTCTCCAGTGTCTTCCTATGTGTAGTTGCGATCGATACGCTGTCTAGAACAGCATCGACAGCAACATTAGCCAACCGGTTCTGCTCATTCAAGGGGACGCCCAGTTTCTCAAAGTACTTGAGAAGTTCTGGGTCGGCTTCGTCAAGGCTTGTCAAAGTGGGTTTCTTCTTGGGCGCAGAATAATAGCACATGTCTTGGAAGTCAACGGGTGGGTATCTGTTATCCGACCACCTAGGCTCTCTCATTTTCAAGAATTTCTCGAAAGCATTCAACCTAAACTCGAGCATCCAGTCGGGTTCCTCTTTTAAGGTGGAAATCAATCGGATGGTCTCTTGCGAGAGCCCTTTCGGAATCGAAAACGAATCGATATCAAAAGTAAAACCGAACTTCTTATCGTAGTCGCGATTGCGGAGAATTTCCCGAATCTTCTCATCAGAGCTAACGGTTGGAGAAGAGGACTTATCCGGAGCGGAACTGAGATCGTAACCAACATCAGCTCGAACCTTCAGAAGCGCTCGGCTTTGGACTTTGACCTTTGAAATCGGAAATTTAGGACCTTCCAGCTTCGGATAGAGCCCTTTCAGAAGTTTCAATTCGCAACTAGGTTGCGGAGAGAAGCTTGAGACGCCGTTGGCAAGAAGAGACGCCATGGATGAGGCTCGAAGATGCTGGAAACTTGGAATTACTTTCTGTGTGGTGAGCTTCTCTAATTTTCCTGGGAGGCAGAAAAATTATAATTTGCCAATTTCTCTGGCCACAAACCTGCTATTTGTCCCGTGTGCCACACGCACCTGCTTGTGGAGATCGGACGCCCTATATTTTTTTCGGTAACAAAGAGGCCAAAGCCCAAAAGTAAAACAAACCAGACTATAATCTCATACTCTCTGCTTCCACATTTATTTACATTCACTCGCGCATCTTTTGGGTTGTTCTTTTTTTTTTTTGCCAGACTTTTTTGGGTTTACTATTATATCGTAAAAAAAGAAGAATAAAAACAAAAACTCAACACAAGACTCATAGCAGAAAGAAGGCACCAGTGAACATAAGGAAAAAGGCACGAACAGACAAATAATATGAAAAAAGCCAAGTTCTTTTTGAGTCAATATTCTTTTATTCTTATATAAAGTTAGTTTAATTTTTATTTAGTTTTCAATATAAGATTTTAATTCATTTTGTCTCTCATATTTATTAATTTTATCAAAATAATCATTGTAATAGTTATAGATGTTAAATATTCCATCAAATTATAGTTATAATTAATATACATGATTATTAATGATATTCTAAAAAAGATAACATCTATTTATTACAAATAACTAACTCAACAAGTTTTTTTTAATCTTCTCGAATTAATTAAGTAGTTTTTATATGAAGAACCAGAGGTAGTATCACTTGTTTATAAGTTTATTCATGCTCCTTTCTTAAACCTGAAACGCACAATTTAAATGAAACTTGCACGACATTGTTTTAACTTTAGAAAATCGTTTCCCATATCTATTATATTCTTTCATATTTACTTGTCAAAGTTAATATTTTTCCAGAAAAAAAGGAGCTAACAGATCAGAAAATCGTTCACTTATGAGTTAAATTTGAACTGTTACCCATATCTATTAGTATTCTTTGATTTTTTTTTTTTAACTAAAACATAGACATCCTCATATATTAGAGGTAATCGATTACTTGTCAAAATTAATATTTTTCCAGAAACAAAAGGAGCTAACAGATCAGTCGAGTAGCCCAACTGTTTGAGGGGGAACCCTATATATATCAAGACCACTATTATTCGGCTTCTACTGGGGCTGGTACGTGGGCACTCAACCCGAACAAACTCGGGCCAACCCCAACTTGAGATTTTTATTATTTGGGCCCCCCTGAGTCCTGACCCTTGACGGGGTAGAAAAAGGTTCACCGGCTGGTTCAGTGATCCAATAATCCGATCGTTATGCGAGTGTGTCGAGCTCGAGCTCCCGCTCCCGCCCTCGCTTTCTCCTTCTACCATCTCCTATCTCTAGCTCCCATGAACTACTGAAATGTTGCTTCCCGCAACTCACTTCCACACCTTCTCCATCCCACCAAAACTCCCGTCACATCAATCTTCTTCCTCCTCCTCATTCTTCTTCCCTATTCCAATCTCTAAAACACTCGTTCCGCGGTCACCCAAATCACCCAAGTTCTTCGTCCGTTGCTCCGCCGCTGACACGCATACCCTGCCCAAATCTGCAATCCAAAGAATTGCCGAGAAGCTCCGCAGCCTTGGTTACGCCGAGGATAGCCATTCTTCTAAACCTGAAGGTGATTCCGCTCCGAACAACTCGGCAGGAGAGATATTTGTTCCTTTGCCGCAGCAGTTGCCTAAGTACCGAATTGGGCACACAATTGACTCAAGTTGGAGCACACCTGAAAACCCAGTTCCTCAACCAGGCACAGGAACTGCGATAGTGAGATATAATGAACTCACAAGCGAGGTGGAGAAGCAGAAGAAATTGGAGAAGGAGCTAAGGAAGAATAAGAAAGAGGAGAAGGTGCCAACATTGGCGGAGTTGAGTTTATCGCGCGGGGAACTGAGAAGGCTGACGACTCTTGGGATACAAATGAAGCAGAAGTTAAAGATTGGGAAAGCTGGCATCACGGAAGGGATAGTGAATGGGATTCATGAGCGGTGGAGAAGGTCGGAAGTTGTGAAGATTTTTTGCGAGGACATTTCTAGATTAAACATGAAAAGAACTCATGAGTTACTGGAGGTGAGAGGCTTTTCTCGAATTAACTAGTGACTTTGTTCTATTAAATTGTATGACCTGAGTTGGCTTCTGTCAATGAATTGTCATAAAATGTGTGGCTTTCTTTTGGACTTGTGGTTCTGGTGCCTAACCAATAGTTATCTTATTTTAGTTTATTTACTATGTTATTCTCAGAGGAAAACTGGTGGTCTGGTTGTTTGGAGATCTGGAAGTAAGATAATATTGTACAGAGGGACCGATTATAAGTATCCTTACTTCCTAGCTGATAAAGTCTCAGGAGATGACAACCTTGGTGATGCTTCACAGCATTCAGATGGGGGCAAAACAGAGAACCAATCATCTGGTATAAATTCAAAGACACACGCTGAGAAAATACGTGACCTCGAAACAGAAAAGCCAAGTTTAATACAAGGTGTTGGTAGTGCCAATAAAGTGCGATTTCAACTGCCAGGTGAGGCAGAGCTTGCAGAAGAAGCTGACCGCTTGTTGATGGGGCTTGGTCCGCGATTTGCTGATTGGTGGGGATATGACCCTCTACCTGTTGATGCTGATCTTCTTCCTGCTATTGTTCCTGGATATAGGAAGCCTTTCCGCCTTCTTCCTTATGGTGTGAATCCTAAACTAACCAATGATGAAATGACCACATTAAGGAGACTGGGCAAACCATTACCATGCCATTTTGCATTAGGTGGGTTTGGTCTCTGGCACCATACGTTCATACTTTGATGTAAGGTGACCAACATTTTGTTGGATTTCTTTGACTTTTGTTTTTCTTTTGGGGGCTGACAGGTAGAAACAGGAACCTTCAAGGACTGGCTGCTGCAATTGTTAAGCTCTGGGAAAGATGTGAAATAGCTAAGATTGCTATAAAGAGAGGGGTGCAGAATACTAATAGTGAGATGATGGCTGAAGAATTGAAGGTCAGTTACTATTTTTGCAGTTAATTTCAACAATTCAAATAATGAAACTTAGGGTGCTTCAAGATTTTTATCACAAGAAAAACAGTGAATCGAGCTTTTATGGCATGTCAATGCCTATGCCTTCTTTTAGTATCATATGATGTGGGCGAAAATCATGGATGCAATTATCTATCAACAGCTTATAAATTGTTGGAGGACATGTACATGAGCAGTTCTTCCTAAACCGTCCTTTTATTGGACTGAAAAAATGAAAAGGAAGATTTTGCTGGTAGTTTAAATTGCACTAAACAACAATCATCTCAGCGAAGCACTAGTTTTGTGGCAACAGTAAAGCAATCTTATTAATTTATGCTATGATAATAGTTGAGTAGCCTGTGCGAGAACTTGAATCAGGCATAATCAGTTTAAAATGAAAACAATTTAGCTTATATTTTCGTCTGGATGTCAATTTGACATAAGATTCACTTCTCTGCAGCTTTTGACTGGAGCAACTCTTCTTGCCAGAGATAAGGAGTTCATTACTTTGTATAGAGGAAAGGATTTCTTGCCATCTGCAGTGTCTTCAGCAATTGAACAGCGGAGGAATAACGCAACCCACAAGGAAAAATTGAAGGCGGAAAACAGTTCATCACTGGTAACCACTCCAGAAGTGAAACATGGAATTGTAGAGTATGGTCCTGAAGGCGATGATATTCCCATTCAGAAAAAGACATCTATCTCTGAAGAAAGATGGTTGATTGAGACAGCAATTAAAAGGACCAGCATGAGATTGTCAAGGGTATGAATTCCTCGTTAAGCCCCAGTTTGCTGTTTTTCATTCAGTTTGTTTTTAGCTGTTAGATTTATAAATATTATTTCTTGCACATACAGGCATTAGAGAATAAAGAGAGGGCAGAAAAGCTTCTAGAAGAACTGGAGAAGGCTGAGAAACCCCAGGAATTGGAAGTAGATAAAGAGGGTATAACTGAAGAGGAGAGGTATATGCTACGAAAGATTGGCTTGAAGATGAAGCCTTTCCTGCTGATGGGTGGGTATAGAACAAGATGTTCAAATTCAATCGCAGATCTTTGATTGTTTTTGGCTAGGACTGTATTAGTAGAATCTCTAGAGCTACTAAAACATTTGAGTTAAGCCGATCTATATCTGATGGGTTTCTCCATCCTCAGGTAGACGAGGGGTTTTTGATGGAACTGTCGAAAATATGCACCTTCACTGGAAGTATAGGGAACTTGTGAAGATAATTTGTAAAGAAAGAAGTCTGAAAGATGTCCACCAAACAGCTCAGACCTTAGAAGCAGAGAGTGGTGGAATTTTAGTGGCAGTAGAAAAATTGAGCAAAGGTTATGCAATAATTGTGTATCGTGGAAAGAATTATAGTAGGCCCGCACGTTTGAGGCCTCAGACACTTTTAAACAAAAGAGAAGCAATGAAGCGATCTATAGAGAGTCAGCGCCATGAGGTAAAATTTGCATTGATTGTTTCTAGTATTGATGCAGGAGTGTTTGTTAATTTTGTTTTCTCCCCTTCATAAATGGAGAAAAAAATGGGAAACCGGAGATTTATATGTCTGAGTGTAGTTGATTGCGTTGCGTCTCAATCCACTAATAAAATGAAGACTATGTAGATTGACAAGTTTAAATGCCATGTTGCTAGTCTTGGATAATTACCGTCATGCTTGGGTTCATTTTTTAATTTTTGAAAAAGGAACTAACTGCTTGCTAATCCTATATGTATATCACCATATAATTCCTTTCTCCTCGCTTTTTCTTGCAGTCATTGAAGCTTCATGTTTTGAAGTTAAATAAGAACATAGAGGAATTGAAGCTTCAATTGGTAAGTAATAATTATTTAACTATTTTATTAATATCATTGTTTTCTTGAATGTGCTTTTTCCAATTCATTTAAGGTAAGTAAGTTATCAATTATTCCCTTCACCAGGTTAAAGATAAGGAGGCTAAAAGTAAGCAAATAACTGATGCATCAAGATTTGAATTGGTGAGCTATGTCATGCTTCTTTAACTCTAAACTTTGCTTTCCTAGTTATGAAAATGAGACATATGTTGCTTTTGTTCCATAAGGCCAAAGAGGAGATAAAGGGTGCGCAATCCAATGGACATTCAGGATCAACAACTGCACTCAAATTAAACGCTTCTTCTTCTGCAGTACCTGCTTTACAAGAAAAACAGACAAGGGTGAGGTGTCTGATCTCCTTATCTGATTATATTTTGAATTTATAGTATGTGAACACATCATACTTGCCAAGATTTTAAATTTTCCATCTGCAATTTAAGATTGTCATGGAAATTGTCTAGTTCGATTCATTAAGAGAGTCAAGCGACCACATCATGGATCGGATGAATAATGAAGATAGAACTATTCATTGCGATTTTCACCCTGCATGTTTTAGGGAGAACTACGTACAGGTCCCAAATAAGAAAATTAATTACCTACAGGCCTTAGCCAATTGTAAATACAAAAATTTGACATGTAAATATAGAAGTTTGACTTGTAAATGAGACTGAAAAAATAATTAATTTCCCTATTCGGGACTTGTCTGTAATTATCCCTATATTTTATGGTTTTGTCTGGTCTTTCCTGCCTCGAGTCTTTGTACCTGTTCTCTCTCTTTCCTGAATTCTGATGTTGCAAAATTAATGTGGATTTCAGTTGGATGAGGTGGATGGATCTGTCGTTAATACAAGGAATTGTGTTCCTCGCAACGAGTCAATGGAATCATCAATCAAATTATCCAAAAGCGGTCCCAAGTCATCAGCTTCAGCAACAGATGAAAAGAGTTCAATTGAGTTGCCTTCTAGACCTGTGAATCTTTCCAACAAAGAAAGACTTCTTCTGCGAAAGCAGGCCTTGAAAATGAAGAAACGGCCTGTCCTTGCAGTAGGTATTTTAATATCTTACGGTTTTCGGCTTTTCTGTTGAAACCTTATCCGAGCCTTTTGTTTATCATTTTCTTTTGGTGAATCTTCTATTGTAATATCCGCTGGATGGCATTAAGCAAAGCACTGACGGCCCCTCAATTGCCGCCCCATGCTTTACTTTCTTATGTATTTTTTTTTCAAAACAAATTCAAAATCAGAGGGATGACATTTTTATTTTTGTGTTGCATCTCCACTTATCAGGAAAAAGTAATGTTGTGACCGGGATCGCAAAAGCAATCAAGGCTCACTTCCAAAAGCACCCTCTTGCCATTGTGAATGTAAAAGGCAGGGCAAAAGGGACGTCAGTTCAAGAGGTGGTTTTCAAACTAGAGGTATGGAAGCAAGTTTCTTTACTTCTCTTCGTCGTTCAATTTATATTTGTTTTGTTGGGCGAGATCAATCAAAAGCCCTGAAAATTTTGTTCCATTAATCTTACAGCAAGCAACAGGTGCAGTTCTAGTGTCTCAGGAACCCAGCAAGGTCATACTTTACCGGGGTTGGGGGGCAGGCGAGAAATCCGAAACTGATGTTAACTGCGTGGATAAGGACAAGGGTAAGGGTAAAGAGGAGGGGGCAAAGCCCACTGTGTCACCCCAACTCCTGGAAGCCATTAGAATTGAATGCGGATTACAGTGAAGTAGTGAACAATCCTGAGCTCAAGCTTTCTCCTGACTTGTTGCTGCGAATATTTGTCCACAAGCTGTGTCAGGAAGGCGGTTTTGCGCCGGAGTTTGTCAGAGAAGGGTGAAATCATGTACAGATGAGAATTGGTATTTGTTGAGGCCTTGAGAATTTTTGAAATAATGCACCTATTTATAGGCCATGAGAAATAAGAAATATATGAAATGCAATATATTTTTGGATGTAATTAGATTCAAACGCGCACATGCTGATGTCGGGATCGGACTTTTTTTTTTTTTTGGTGCTGAAGAGATCGAGCCCTCAACTTACACGCAGCATTATCTTGTCATTAGCAAATACAACTAATTTTTAATATAAAAATTAGTTAACTGAATTGAGTGGATTAAAAATTTGTTAAATTAGTTATTTGTAATAAATAGATATTATACACTTCTACTAATTACGTGTATGGGCTAAAAATTTTCATTTAATACAATTTTTAACATGTATAATTGTTATAAGTATTATTTTTAAAAAATAGATAAATAGAAGAAATAAAATAAATTAGAATTTTATATTTAAAATTAAATTAAATACTAAACTAGTTTTTATATTAAAAAGTGAAATAATAATTCGCAATTGACTTGCGTGGTGGGAGTCCGCAATATTCATTCATTGACATGCTACTTGTCTTGCTAGATTCTCTCTACGCAGCACCCAGCCTACTCTAACCCTAGCAGCACATTGCTTGATCTGTAAAATTACTTGTGAAATTCTTTATCAGTGAAATTACAGAAAATCCTTTCAGCTAAAGCAAATACCGTAAACAAGTCAACGGAAATGGCGGGTCAATAGTAAACTTCTGACCGTCAAATCCTTTTTATTCAACGCCAAATACTGCATCTACGAGTCTTATGGTTAGAACACAAAATAGTAATTAAAATTAAAATCCATTATTAGAGGTAAGAATGAGTCATTACCTCGGAACATCACGACGCTGTACTATGCTTCGCTCTAATTTTTTTCTCCTCTTTTTTTGGGTCGTTGTACTCATTCCTTTTTCTTTTTTTTTCCGGTCAAGCCCGTACTATATGCACTGCGTTATATGCAAGCATTCATAGCCAAATTGATTGCGCCACTGCATCCGCCACGGTTATGAGGATTGGGAGTTTGAGCTCCGTTATTTACACTAGGATTAGAATGTGTTTGGATAATATTTTAAAAGATTTTTGGAAAAATTACAATAGAGCTCCAACCAAAAGAATTAAATACAAAAAAGTCTATTGAAATCATTAAATTAATTTGAAGTCTTAAAAGAACCTTATTGTAAGAGATTCCACTCATTTAATTACTAAATTTTTTTTTTTTAATATGCATAGACAACTGAAAGAGCAGTCATTAATAATTTAAGGTGTAACAATTAATAACTATCATAGTAAGTATTAACAACATATTTTCTTAATGCATTGCAAAAATATAATGCCTGAGTTATCAATACCTGTTGTAATAATTTTTAATTATTTCTCCTTAATTTGTTAACAACCAATCTTTCAGTTTTCAATACATACTTAAAAAGAAAAAGAAAAAGACAATTTAGTATTTTTTTTTGGTTCATAAAAAGCAATTTAATAATTAAACAAGTGGAATCTCTTGTAATAAGGTTCATTGTGACTTCAAATTAATTTGGTAATTTTAAGAGATTTTTTTATATTTAATTTTCTTTGGTGAGACCTTATTGCAATTTTTTTTCAAAATTTTTAGTAAAAACCGCTAATTTCTCTATTATAAAATCTGTCTCGACTTCTGTATTAAATATAAACGTGATATGCAAACATGCTGTTAGTAAATGAAAGGAAGTTTGGTTTTAATTTGGTTTACTTCTAATTTTACCGTTCATTAAAAAGTCACCAGAAAATTCTTGGAAAGAGTCGGAATTTAGGAGAATGATGTTTGGATGACCTCGGAAAAGAGGCTATTGACAATTTGGTCCCATTTGAAAAGAATCTTTGCCGATATACAGTAGTATAATATAGTTTGTAGATTTTAAAATAACAATTATAATACCGATATATCAATAACATTCCTGAAAAAATAGCAAATATCGTCCTCCCAGAGTTTTAGAAACATGGCAGGCTAACAAAAGAAAGTCATCTGTGCACCTTTTCACAGCCTCTTATTGCTTTTGAGTCGACACTATTGAAGAAAAATGAATTATATTAATATACTGTCTTGGAGAAACCCTAGGCTTCATGATGATCCTTTCTCTCCATCTTTCTTTCTAAAGAGCGTGGGTGCACAAAAAACCTTGAAATCTTTCCTTCTCTCTCTTTCTGCCATTTGATTCAACGCCAGTCATCATCATGTCTCTTTGCTTTGTGCTCTATCGCCATCATTGCTCCCACACCTTCCTCTTCTCTTTGGTCCCTCCATACTCATCATCAACCTCACCCCACAAACCTAAAGCCGCCATCATTACGACGTCAGGAGAAGAAAGAGAAGAAGGAGACTGGGACTTGCCGTCCATTTCATCACACAAGCATGGCCGAAAGAAAAAGCAGTTCTCACCAGACTACTCATCACTGTGGCCTTTCCTTTCGTCTCTGAGCTTTTTGCTTCGTTCTTCTCACGGAACAAGCCTTTTCTGATGATCTCTTCATCGTCTTTTCTTTCGGGGAATCAAGCGTCCTGGTCCGATTCTTAGTTTGCTTCGTCACAAGCAGATTAATTACATATACTCTCTATTACTATAGCTTTGTCCTGTTACTTTGCGCGAACTTTTCCTTCCTTTTGATCTCAGGTAAACTTGTCGGTTAATCTAGTTTTATAGGATATGTAAGTTCCGTGTGTTTTCTCAAGAGTTGGGTGGTTCACTGTTGTTGTTCTCTCTTAATTTTGTGCGACTTTGTTGTGTGTGTGTACAAGAGACAATATTCAGATATATGCCGGTTTGACTTGTTTCTTTGCTTTAGTTCTACTCTGTATGAATGAATCTTTCTGATCTCTCGAGGTTGAGGGAGCAGATATATTTATGTTTTTACAAGCAAACGAAAAATTGCCTGAATGGTATCCACCAACAGTGCAAGTAGATCCCTATTTCTGACGACTTTGATCCTCTTTCTATCTAGACTTTTTTTCCTTCTGGAAACTAGTTAGCTAAAATTAAGGAAAAAGAGAACACATTCACACATAATATTACAAAGAAACTTCCAGGATAAAACCCAGCCATCTGTATGTATTATTATTATTGATAACCAAATAAATATCAGATTTAGTTAATTCTTTGCTTAGCAGAAAACATATTGGAAACTGATCGAACTATATTGGGCGATGATCATTCGGATCTATTTCTGTTGTGATCATGCTATTTCTTGCTCGTCTTCCATGAGCACCTTCATTATCTTAGCTAAGCATGAATAATTCCTCATGTTCAGTGAATTTCACTACAGTATATAGTATATTGGCTCGCGTACGGATGATAATTATGCATATCCACGCACAGCTAATAATAAGGCAAAAAGAACGAACGAGCTAATCGTTTCATATTTGTTGGCATTTTGTGTTTTCAGTGTTTAAAGAATCAACAAGAACGGGAGGAGATTATAGAACACAGTCATATATAAGACCCCTTGTTATTATTAGGTGCCAAACCTTAAACTTAGGAGCATGTTTGTATATGTGACGCCTTAACTAGTGAGTAGCGAAAACACGTACACTTTATAGCAGGTGATGATTCTACGAGAAGTTTGACTTGTCGCGGGGTGAAATTCTCTTGGGGGATTCTCGTTCCTAATTTATCGCTAGTTATATAAACAAATAAGCTTGATTATCAGATTATTTTTACTGTAAATTGATGTGACTACTAATGCGTATTCTTCATGCTGTTAATTAAACTGATATAGCGCGCTAGCTACAATGTCAATTACTCCAACAATAGGACGGCTTGGCTGCGCGGAATTGATTAACTTCGATAATTAGTATTCAAACAGTTAATACATGGAGTTGACATTACATTTCTGATTTTTTTTTTTTGGAGCTGTGATGAATTTAGAGATGTGCATAATATGTACGTTGCGTGCTATACATACTCCTCTAATTTGGATATAACAACATGTTTAGTATATTGTGATATTTTTCTTGGAATATAATTAAGGTTCTATTATTCAAAACTCAATTAGTTGGAAGATTTCGGACGTTAGGCCAGTTCATTCAAAACTTCAACAACATGGCTGATCCTTGTTATTGTTCCTGAAGAGCTTTTTTCCCTTGCTATTTTGAAATTCAAAACATATGCACAATTTTATATGGTATTAAGCTTGCCAAGTAACAAACATGTCTTATATATATATATATATATCCACTGGAATCGTTTGGCGCAGTTTCAGATGACAGTACATGAAAGGGAGAAAGAAAGAGCGATGATGTGTAGAGAGAAATGAACGAAGGATTGGAACGGGACCATAGGTGGGTACGTGGACACAGTATATAATACTACTTTAAATTTAATTTCTGATGCGGTGGAGGTGGCTTTGGGAGAAATAATTATGACGCTGTGTGGGAACTGGGGAACCCAATAGGTTAAATATTAAAGAGGGAAATGTCAGTCATAAAAGAACATGACCTCAAAAGCATTTATTAACTAATGCCCCTTTTCGATACATGTGCCCTCCTCTTGCCTATTATATTATTCTACTATGATATGATTATCTTCTCCTCAACCAGCCACCACCACGCCAACAACGCCCTTTCATGCCTGCAGACTACAGTAGATATAATGGATTAATCCCGTGTATATATAAATCTTTCTGTACATATAAGTTAAGGTCCTTAGTGTTAATCCAGTTTTTTCTTGGTTATCATCAAAATATCTACTGTTCCAACGTACAGACCATGCCTCTGAAAATGGTCATTGATCAAAATTGGAAGAAAACAGTAGAGAAGCTTGCTTGCTCACAACAGGGCTCACAGTACAGATCTGTGAAGGAATAGAGACTTGTCTGATTCTGAAAACTGTACTTTGGGATGTGGAGAAGATGAGAAAGTCAAGCTCTCCGATGAGGACAAGGGCATCATTCTGGTTCTGAAATCTGCTTCTGGAGCAAAGTAATAATCATCTGGAAAGTCGAAAGGGTAGTCATTACAGATTGTGCTTAGTTGGCCAAAAAACAAGATTACAGGTTGTAGCAGAGACCACCCCAGTTGACAAAAAATGCTTAATATATGCAGGAGCACAATATACTATTCTCAAGGAATTATTGACTCTTGGCTTTTGTATATATCTTTTGAGCAACTTTCAGCTTCTATGAAAGAGGCAGTGGTTAATAAGAGGTTTAGGAGAAACAGTAGTATTATTGTGTATTTGTGATTTCATCCTGGATGTTGGTATTAAGGGAGAATTACAATAAAGTTTTTTTAAAAAATAACTATTAAAATGTCTAAATAACAATCTAAACAGTATGTAATGACAAGTTTTATATTAGAAAATGGTATTTTTAGGACTTCTTTTGTAATTTTTTTAATCTTATTTTAATTCTCCTTAATGTTAATCCTGTTTAAAAGAAAAAGAAGAAGAGGTTGCAAAGATGAGGTGGCTGTCTGCCATTCCAACATTAAGCCATGCCTTGCCGATGCTGCTTTTTGAGCTAAAAGTCATTTTTATGACTTCTAAAGCAGATATATTTACCTCACAGTTGAAGAAGAGAGAAAAATAAGAGAAACCATTGATAAACATAAAGAAAAGTACACACATTTTTTTAACTCTTTTCTTGCCAGAAAAACTAAATTATATTCCTCCGGTCCTAAATATAAGATCTTTTTTATAGTATTAAAAAGAGTCTTATATTTAAGACTGGAGGAGTATCGTTTCTATAAGCATGAGAGATGCCATTAGGGCACCCAAAAAAAAGAGAGAGCAGAAAATATCAAACTACTGGGCTCAGTTGGAGATATATGGGCTTGAAGTTGAAGTGGCCCTGAACAAAAAAAGGTGAGATACTATCAATGTGCGGAAACGATAGAAAGATATTTATGAGCCAAGTGGCCTCCGTAATTTCCAGGCCGATATCCTCACAACGAGTGGTGAGGATGACTTAACAAATAATCTTTCTAATCAGATAAAATACATAAGTAGATATTTTTAATTTGAGAGTCGGACCATAAAATATAAAATCACAGAGCATCGTTTACTTCTATCTGTCTCTCGTCGCCCACACCCATCAGTCTCAGAAATTCTTCTCTGTTGCCGAAATTCTCTGGCCATGACTTTACAAGCTTCATCCTTCGCCGTTGGCATTCCTTCCATCTCATCTCCCTTTCGACGCCACCGCAATTTTCCTGTCTTTCGAGCCCAAGGTAACCCCTGCTTCAATCTCAGTACTACAGAATTTGCCTATCTAAGCTCCGATTCGTCGTCTTCTTAGTTCGACCTCAGTGACGATATAGATTCAGATGACAATTCTTTCAGCACTCAATTGGATGTTGGTGTATTTCTAGATTTTCGTGGCTACTTCTTCGTATTGTTTTCTGTGTGTTGTGTTATGCTCTGAGTGAAGGAATTCTTCATTTCATTCAAGTATGCACAATAAATTTGTAACGTGCCAGTTCTGTGTCCATGTTAGCTCTGCATTAGTCATAGCTTAAGATTTGTTGTTCTTCCGGGGACTTTGGGCTGACTAAAAGTGGTAAACTGTCTATGCGTTTGCAGCTTATCTATGACGTATAAAAGAATGCATAGGTTGCCTTTTTTTTGTTTTTGACCTTGCTTGTTTCAAATTAAGTTTGCAAAATAGGAAACCATTTCATGGTTTCTATTTTCAGTTTATGCTTTCAGCTTTTTGCTTGCTTTTGTGACCAATTTTGTCAACATTACATATATGTAGAAGTAATTTGCTTATTCTTCCAGTGGAGCCATCAGAGAAATCTGTTGAAATAATGAGGAAGTTCTCGGAGCAATACGCCCGGAGGTCAGGAACTTACTTTTGTGTCGACAAAGGAGTCACTTCTGTTGTCATTAAGGTATATTCACTTTTTATCGAACATAAATTTTCGCATCGATATGACTTTCAAGTTAGGAAGCCTCTTGTGTAGCCGTTATGGATACTTGTATATTAGGATTTGACGATCTTAGCTTTGATTCATCAGCCAGGAGATGGTTAGGGATACTGTTTTCCTGCTTTTGTGACCAATGTGGTGAGGCTTTAAGAATCTTCTATGAGCATGTCAAATTATGGTCGCTCCTAATTTTAACACCTTTATGGATCATGATAAGCTACAGGCCTACATGGTTAATCACATGGATTGATAAGTTGATCTCATAGCTAAATCTTAGACCACTGAGGGTGACCAGTTGATTTTTAGGAGATCACTTTGGCATTCATTCTCACTGATGCTCTTACCTGTCTGTTTTAGTGCCAGCCTTTTATGGGTTCTCACTTCTTCTAGAAAACTGATTATCTTTTCTTGACCCAGAGCACCCTTTTAGGCAGTATTGTAGTTTTAAAGATCAACAAGGAACGTTTTGAACAATGCATGCGTGCTATGAAGAAATTTAGTCCAGTAACAACACATCAGTCTTTAACATGAGAGATGAATATGCTCATACAAAATATAATGTCTCCGCATCATTTATATTTATATATTTATCTTTTAATTTTACATCACAAGTTCACATAATAGAACTGATTTCAATAGTGGTTGCCTTTATTGGTAATGTTTCTTCCTTATGTTGTTTCTTCTGCTTTGAAATAGGGCTTGGCTGATCATAAAGATGCATTGGGTGCACCGCTGTGCCCTTGTCGGTAATTACTCACTCTTTTATCTTGTCTCCGGTCAGAAGTTTTGTCTTACTCCTATAGTTCTGTAGGTGCCTGCACAGATAATTTGACTAGTATTATTCATAACAAACTTATTGTGCTTCAGACATTATGATGATAAAGCTGCTGAGGCTGGGCAGGGCTTTTGGAATTGTCCGTGTGTTCCCATGAGAGAGAGGTAGGCTTATCTCCAAAACCACCAAGGAATATATGGCTTTCGTGTTTGTAAGGTGTCAAGCTGGAAACAATTGTTTTCAACAATATTTATTACTAGCTGTGTTATGTTTGCTGCATTTATATTTTATGCGCTGTTCTTATACATGTATCTACAAGACTTGCTCTGTGTTATAGAGCAAAACATATGAGTTTGACATTAAAACATCGCTATTACAAATTTGGTATCTAAGAGGAGCATGGATCAAGTTAGAGTAAATTGGCTATATAGCATTCTTGACAGATGCCAGATGGGGTAAATTGGTTGTACTCTAACAAGAAGCTAGAGACTTTTAGCCACTCTTTAGAAGTTATACATAAACCTGATGACAGTCACTAGACACTTGATTCTTAGAAAATGCATTATTGACTTAAACAGTGTAAAAGTGCTCTTTTTCCACATTTTATGTTGTTTGATTCTTCTCTTGGGGATTTAAAATTCACATTCATCCATTAAACAACTGTAAATCTTTTTGGCGTCGTTATAGCTTCATGACTTTTTATGTAAGAATTGTAAAATATTTTAAAAGACTTCTAAAGAAGTTTCTGGCAGTACTTTCAAGATTCTGAATGAAAATAAGATCACGCAACTTTAAAAAGAACATTGAAATAGCATTTGGTTCTTGTTCCGTGCAAACTGAAGAGCTATTCATCAATTAGGAGAGGATACGTAAAAGGGGCCAAATAGGCAGAGTTTAGAGCTTTGAAGGAAACGTTCTAGTTTGAAGGGGGCCAAATATATGGCTCTTCAGGACTATTATCAGTGGAACAAAAGGGTATATTTTTAAAATCTTGCAAACTTGGGCAGGCGTTGTAAGCTTTATTAGCTCTGTCCCTATGGTCAATTGTCAGAGGCCTGATATGACATTATTTAGGAATTGTTACTTGTTTTGTATAACTAACTTGTCCTTGATGTGGATCATATTTTATTTTGATAAATCATGATAATTGCTGGGGAGGATTTTAATGTTTTGCATTTGAAACCAGATTGCATGTATCATTCTAATCTCTTGCCGTCTGATTTGAAGAGCTCCATGAGTTCCGCTAAATTGTTATGACCTCCACTCTAGTGGAATTTCTTTATGCAATTGAAACTCCTTAAGTTATATATTTTGCACTCGGTATGTTTCAAAGTTGAACTAAGAAATTAGATGTGAAACTTCGAGTTAATACTTCCCGCGTCTCACCTTGTTTTTTATGCTCAAATTTTGCAGGAAGGAGTGCCACTGCATGCTCTTTCTTACTCCTGACAACGACTTTGCTGGCAGTGAACAGGTAATTCCTTAACTCAATCTCTTACGTGAACTCCTCAAAGTGGCCCTTCTAGAACTGTAAATCCTTGTTTGATATTTAGCGTCCAGTCTTTCTTTCAGTTGGGATGAAGGAATTACCATGGCAGCTTGTTGATTCCGCTGTCTTGGCTGCAAGCGTTTCTTTTCCTCGACATATCACGTCTATGCATGCTTTGATTAAATCTCATTTCCTTATCTGATGCAACGCGACATTTTCCTTTATTGCAGACGATCACCATGGAAGAGATTAAATCATCAACGGCAAATATGTAACACACAGACTGTTGTGTACTGAGTTGCTCATTAAAATCTGTATCTTACACTCATCTGATGATATATTTGTATTTACACAAAATAATATGTATTCTCTCCTATGAGTGGTTTCGCTAACGGGGCTTTTTTCCACAATTCTCATCGAATTCCCCCCTATAAATACAAGAAGGCTATGGCAAAACCATACGGGAATGAAAGGGAATGAAAGGAAAAGAAAGCAAGCATGTTCAAAGCATTATACTCCTCAGTCAGCTTCTACCGTTAATATGATTGGAATTAATTGATATTTTTTTATGTCAATCATTTTTATTTTAAAAACTAATTTTTTTAAAAAAAAAAATTATCCCTAACCTAGTCCTTTCAGATAGGGGAGAAGGATACACATCCATCGTATATTCATTTTGAGATTAGATCACACAAATGTATTGTCACTTAAGCTAAAGGTTCTTGACAAGAAAATAAATTTAACATGTCAATGTTAAGGATGTTTTGTTAATATTTCAAATTTTATGAGGACGCAAAATTTTAATTAATCTCACATATATATTATGTGAAAGTTTTTCAAACAACTTCATTCTAAAATTTCTTTTTATATAAAGCACTTATGCCATTTGAAAAAAAAAAAAAAAGATTTTAAAGTAATCCCAAAAGATTTCATAAAAATTACACCATTTCGAATCATCATTATTATACATTAGTATTAAATAGGTTTCAAAACAGGAGGACTATAAATATTTTTTAATCGAAATTATGGTCGACGTCAACGCTGTTTGCCGGTCACGAAACGAATAAAGACCCATGCTTGACTTAAAGGGGACTCTCCTCCTTCGAAACGCTACCTGCTTCAGAGTGTGCCGCTACTTTTCCTTCTGCAACTTGAAGTTTTCGTTTTCGGTTCACTTTCGGTTTGGAAGATAAACGATCGAATAATCGTGTTTCTCCTGGATTCGGATAGCTAACAAGCTTTCTCCTTTCATCGTCTTCGCTGCTCAATCAGTAATGTCACAGCCCCGAGTCTTCATCTCCTTGGGGCGGACGGGTCAGGTACATTCTGTACCCAGAAGTCCTCCATAACAAGATATAGAAGTATTGTTGTGTGTGCCTGTGAAACAACTTTGAGATTTCTCCTCTTTCTTTACTTTCATTGAGCTAACAAATGATCTACTCATGCTTTATTAGCTGGAGGATATTCCACTTATCCTTATATTCGATCTAAGTCTAACTGTAATCAAGTCAGAGCTGCATGTTTTATTTCATTTGGTGTATTAAATTTCTGGATAAGTAACTCTCGTTATAGGAACGAGTTGCGCTTGCGTCCCTGAATTGGAATGGATATATATAATCGCAATCTACAAATTTTTGCAGGTGGTGGAGAGAGGCCGAACAGCATCAAACTCTAGAGAAGCACGTTGTGATGGTGGGCCACGGTCTGGAAGCAAACGATCTAAAGGGGATGGATTAAGAGTTTATCCTCATGGCTCGTTTGTCTCGACCAAGAGGTAGTTCTCTCTACTATGTTTTTGCTTTAGCGTGTGCGCTTTCACTCTTTTATTTTCTTACTGGTAAGGAATAATACACATATATATAAGAGGACGTTCCATTGTACATCTGTGATTCAGCTGAAAGATAACTGAACTTGGTATGTTATGTACTGGAGTTTTTATTTTGCGGATATGCCACTCCACATTGCTCCTAGTTCAAACACTGGCACACTGATCTCCTGGCCTTGAAGTTCTTTTGTGAGACCATGCTATGGTGCTTACTAGCATTTCATTATGAGGTTAAGAATAGTAGAAAAGACTCGCGTATAGCATTTCTTTCCTTTTCCATCTTTGCAACGTTAGTACTTGGAAAATTGCAGCAAACTGAGAGGAATGAATGTTTAATTATTTTCATCGTGGCTGCCAGAACATGTATTTACAAAACCATGTAACGATTAAACATCAATTTTCAGGCCGCGAGGTTATGGCACATATCGGGGTGCTCATGACAACAGAGTTAATGGTAACATCTCATCTATATTAATATTATAATTCGAGTTTTTATCATTCTATATTTCTCTCATTTTCATTGGCTATATTTTCTTCAAATGAGCGAAGAAACGGGGCTGACTTCTGACGACCTCAGATTGAAACTACTGCGTCGAAGGTCAAAGCGAATTCAATGTAATTTAGAAGAGCGCCAAAAGATAGGCCACATGAATCAAAATCCAGTCAAATCTGGCCTACCGTCACCAAGTAATGGCAGGTTCCAGCCCAAGCCTGAGGCAAGAGAACGCTTCCATCCAAGGCAAATATCCTACACAAAAAATGGTCATCCCGTACATCAGGGGGATTCAATGCAGAAACTTGGCACTTCTAGGATTTTAGATGAAGCTGGAGCTCGATCTTCAGATATTCTGTTAGACTCTTCTAGAACTGTGGCAACTTTGGCAAATTTTGATGGCCGGCAACAGTTTTCATCCACAAGTACAACTGATGTTTTAACATCTAAATCTTTTCCCAGGAATGGTGTTTTCTATGCCTCAATGCCAATTGGCTTCACACCCACTACGTTCAAAGGCCCTGTTGAGAATGGCGAAGCAGCTAGACAGCCTGCACCAAGGAGTGGCATTGGAGAGAAAAACTCACGAGTGGTATCATATTTTTTGCAACCCCCCCCCCCCCCCAACCCAAAAAAGAAAAAAATGTGTGGCCCCCTCCCCCTCCCTCTCACTCACTCCCTCACATTATGCTGTCGCAGGGTGAAGTGCCTCTTACTGTTTCTGGTCTCTTGCGTTCACTTGGATTGGAAAAATATGAGATTGCTTTTCGTGCTGAAGAAGTAAGGGTCTTGCTCCTATTGTAGATATTACTGCCCCTTCATTATTCTATTTAAATTAGCATATGTAATTTTTGCTTCATTTCTTGTTCAATTGTTGGATTACCTGGTTTACAGGTAGATATGACAGTATTGAAGCAAATGGGAGACAAGGACCTCAAAGACCTGGGGATACCAATGGTACGGCTAGCTCACTATCATTTCACAACTGCCTATACATATAAATATATACACGGCTTGCTGTTCTTAAACTTGGTTAATGGAGATTCATCTAAATTGTTTTGGTTTCTAGTATGTTGTTTTTACTGGATTATACAACAAGCCGTGCTGTCTGTTGTGGTCTTGTGCAAGAATGAGAAACTTCATTTCTTTTTTTAATCAGAGAATGGATACGAGAGCCTAGATTGAATTAGGTTTCTGATTGTACACGAAAGAAAATTGAACCCCTTTTGGGGATAACACAAGAGGACAGAGATCCAGGCACAGAAGTAACTTAATTTAATTTAACTACAAGCGCGATCTAAATATCAAGAGGTAATAGGTTGAACGCGAAAGAATGCCTAGAACTTTGAACCATCGCAAAGAAAAAACAATGTTTTGTCACTTGGCAACCTTAAGGCGCTGTTATTATACAAGTACACATCCGTATTAGATTCCTTCTCAGTTCTCACATGAAGCGCTTGAATTTTCAGGGACCGAGGAAGAAGATTCTTCTGTCTCTGTGGCCCCATTCAAAACAGCAACCTCCAAGAGTTCGCAACTTGAAGTAGCTGCGAGATAGAAGAGACTGCAGAGCATCATCCTATATAGAGAACTGCCTAAAGCATTGTTTGCCTACATTGAGTGTAAATAATTTTAAAGTATTGCCATAATGTGTTGTGAGAAAACGTATTTCTCTTTAAAACTTACTATATGTAATCATTATGTTTAGAATCAGAGTTTATTACGGAGCATTACATGTGTGTTCTGATATTCTGCGGCCGCAAACGGGGCTTCAGCTGCAGAATTTAGCATCACAGCAATAAATTGAATGACATAAATTTAAAAAAATATAATTAGGCCTATGAAGATTCAATTACAGAATATAAAATCAAATTAAAACTTGAGCAACTAGCATCTCAAATTAACATTTATTCATATTGGCATGAAAGCGTAGTGTCAGCAGGCTTCGACAGATTGAGTAGCGGGAGGACGAGGAGAACTGGGGCTTTTAGCACAGTCCTTTCCATTCCTCAACGACAGGGCAGTTAGGAACCGATCATTCCATCGTTCGTTGACAGGATTAACGGCCGAGGTGGAAGGCGAAGCAGCTCTGTTACAAGCATGGTCGGCCGGAAAACGGTGCTTGAGGCACACCTTCACGTGGCACGTTTTGCACGTGCTTGTGCTAGAGAACGTCAAGATCTCCTTGCATCTCTTAACAGGGCAAGTGGGTTTCTTCTTCTTCTTAGGGTCACAATCTCCCAACTTCTCATGCCTCTCTAAGATCGCCTTCTCGTCTTCTCCGACGTGACCGGTGGTTTCGATGGACATGGAACACACTTCGCAGACGACAACCTTCCGGCCGATATGATCAGCTTTAGGGCAGTTGTGGGATTTATAAGATTGATGCTCGAGACAGAATACCTGGTGACAACCGTCGCAGGTGAAAGGGAGGAAATCGAGAAGGTTGCAATCGTCGTGTTGGCAGTGTCTTCCTAAATCAGGGAAAGCTTCAGTTCCGCCCGCCATTGATGGGTTTGTCAAGCTATTGCTGTTGAGGCTGATTTCTTAAGAATTGAGGAGAGAATGAATGTGGAACACGCAAGACGCGGGCGAAAGGCGCTTGTTCTTGTTGATATATAGGCTTTGAGACTGGGGATAACATTGCTTGGAGGGGAAGCCAAGACTTTCAAACCGTGTGGGTTCGGGTTTCTTTTGGGCTCTCGTATCTCGTATCCTGTAGAGGATTCTAGGCTCACGCGCAAGCGCCGTTGTAATTTGAAAGCGACTCCGTGGTCGGCTTGACCCGCATCGACCCGCAGAAGTCCAAATCAAACTTTTTTGGCCCAATTAATCGAATTCTGAAATGTCCAGAAAAGGCCCATCCAAGAGAGAATGAAGCTCGCCTCATTCTTTCGGCCCAATGAGACTCACCTCTGAATTCTTATTCTTTCCCATTTTATTTTATTCCTATCTCATAAATCAGAATCAAAACCTTTACGTCTCACCGTTATTTTATAAACTCGGTTCAGATTTCAGAAACTCTGATCAGACGTATAAATTATAAAATTAGACGCGTTTGAGATTGATTTTATATTTTATTTACTCGAAGCATTGGTGAATTGTGATTGCTTCCCGTTTCCGAAAAACATCAAATCAAAGGGGATTTGGACTTTTGGAATCATGTGCAGTAACGCTAAGGAGAGTGATGTCAAGATAAATCAGCCATTGGACATTTTACCCCCCAAAAAATAAAAAAAATCAGCCATTGGACATCAACTTTCAACGGCAAAAACAAATAAAAAGGATGACCGTGTTGACTATTAGTAACCGAAATTGTGCGTTAACAAACTGTAAAGTTAAAAAGGCAGACGTTTATTTTTTATTCATGAAAAGCTTCACATGATGAACAGACAAATGTAAGAACAAAGACAAATTTATTAAATGCCCCTAACTGCAAAGATTGATTGCCGCTAATGATACCCCACCACATCCTAAACCTCGACACTTTGATGAAAGAGTGTAATACAATGCAAACTACTACTAATTAATGCTAATACTAGTAATGCATAAACGTGTCGAGACAACGTGCTGTTCATTCAGTTTTTTTTTTTTTTTGGGTTTGGTTGGGATTCGAAACATTTGCACCATAGGATTTTGTTGGTCTCAACTCTGGTCAAATTGTATATGAAAAATATAAGAGATGGAGAATGAATTAATGAGGGAAGACCATTAGCCTGGGACACTCTTGCGTGAGTACTGCCTGGGAGAGGAAATGAATTTATTTGGAAAGCATTAATGGAAAAAATACATTTACGTAGTCCCAAAAGAAGAGAAGGAAGACGAGAAGAGATGGGAGCGCGACAGGGGAGGAAGATAAAGGGAAGCAATCACTTTTAGAAAAGGAAGAGAGATGTGTCCAGCCAGCCTAGGACACTCCTTAAACTAAAAGCTTCAATTAAGCAAGTGATGAACAGAAACTTGGGCATTAAGGATGCAATAATAATAATAAACAATAATGCAATTTGTGGGTTCGGTGCGTTGGAAAAACTTCATTCCCCTCCTGGCCATCCTTGTCAGTCAGATACCATTTACCTTTTCCCTCGCCAAAAGCGAAAATGCTAAAGCGAAGAGCTGGCCCACCCAAGACGGAGAAAAACACCCCCTCCTTGTCGGATTTGGATTCTCTCCTCTCATTGTCTCTTTAACTTCAACCACTGAAATCACAGAGATATATGTTGTTGTTGTTTTTTTTTTCTTGGGGTAATTTTCAACTCTCAACGTCGTTTTCAACCCCCAGAATGAAGCTTGTCGTCCCCGTGTGTGTGTGTTTCTCTGTTTTTTTTTTACCCTCAAATAATCTGCGAAGCAGTCCAACGCTGCCTCTGGCTTCAGTTTTCAGCTACCTTCTAAAATAAAGCCTCTTTTAGCCAAAATATTTATCTATGCCCGCGGATTGGGAGAATAGAATTTAATAAGAATGGCGTTTCATCAACAATTTCGTGCGTCTTCTAGTTCTGTGTTTAGTGCAGTGGAGATCCCAGCACAGAGAATTATGGAAACAAGGCTGGTGGGCTGAAATGAAGGTGGGGTGAGATCTGTGGGGGAACAACAAGCCGAGAAGCTTTGTGCAGAACAAAAAAGGGGTAAAAGGCCGGAGTTGTTGTAACATGATAAAGCTGGTCAGATGCCTTGGTGTCATGCCCTGGATGGACTGAGCAAATCACATGCCAGCTTCTCTGGTAACCAACAGAGGCTGGCTCACGTAATCATGTGTTTTGAACAAATAAGGTTTTCTAATGTGATCATGTCCATTCATAATCAGCCTCCCAGCCCGACCAACAAAAAAAAAACTTTATGTCAATCCGATGCTCCATCACCAAATGGACGTTTAATTGTAATTCCTCGAAATAATAATTTAATCTCAGAAAAAATGATAAAAAGAGTTAAAAATTATTAAATTTTAAATTAGGTTTGATAAACACTTTATTTGGTGTTGATAATACTGAATTTACTAATCATAACAAATTTTGGTTGACATTTCTTATTTAATATTTAGTAATTTTCAGTTTTTTTTAATTATTTTTCTTTAATCTTATCCTTGACTCATATTGCTTGTGTGTGGGTATATTTAGTAATATAGAAAAAAAAGGGATAAAAATGTATCAAATACTCTAATTTTATTTTTTTGGTGTGTTCCTAATATTATTTTTTTAATTGCATCTAGCACCCTAATCTAGATGTATTGAGAGTGCTAGATAAAAAAAAAAATCAAAGTAACGGATGCACCATAAACAAAGAAGTATCAAATACACATACATTAAAAAAAAAAAGAAGATAGACTTTACATTTACCCCAAAAAAAAAAAAGTATTTGCCTTTGATCAACCACTATTCCTCTTATGTTATGTAAATGACGAGTTTCGATCTCACCCCAACATAGGTTAATATAATATATATCCCTTTTTTACATGAGGAGATGCAATAATTTAAATTATTTTGATTTCTTGATGCATCTTTGTTCCTGGAAAGAATGCATCAGAAATTATTATTATTATTATATCAATATCAATATTTTTATATAAAAAATATAATAGTATAAATATTTTTTGTGAAGTATTCGGAGCAACAACTGCGGCACTGCCGGATGCTCTCACACTCACTCTCCTCTCGGGCTCCCTCCACATGCTCCCATCTTATGCCTGTGGCTCTTTGAAAGCCAATCTCACAGAACGATTTCCCATCCGATGATGTTAATGTTCTGAACTTCCGATAACGCCGCTCTGATTTCTCCGCCACGAGCCTTTGAACGTCTCAACGATGGGCAAAAACATGGAGTTTCAGGACGCTGTGAGTTTCGTTGTCCACCGATCCATACAGAAAAATCGGGTTTCTCACAAAGCAACGGAAGCAGAGAAATTTAACGACACCGCCACTCCAGGCCGAAAATGGAAGATATTCTACCGGGCATCGTCGGCCGTCCCTTCAAAACAATCAAAACCTGGAAAGAAACAGCCCCCGGAAGAGTTTCTCTGTCCCATATCAGGGTCTCTCATGGCAGACCCCGTCATCGTCTCCTCAGGCCACACCTTCGAGCGAGTCTCTGTTCAAGCTTGTAAAAATTTAAACTTCACACCACGGCTCTCCGATGGCTCCACGCCCGATTTTTCTACCGTAATTCCCAACCTTGCCCTTAAATCTGCCATTGCTAAATGGTGCCAGAACTCCGCCAACCTACTCCCCGAGCCGCCTGATGTAGCTTCTTCTGAGAAGTTCGTGCATAGACTAATGACGAAGACCGAGAAGACAGATTCAAGTGTCCCGAACAAAATAGAGTCGCAGAAGGTTTTGATCACCGAGGAAGAGCTGATTCAAGGAATGAAGGAGAACCCACCTGTGAATTTCAATCACGCAGCGACCGAGGTCACTCGACGGCCTGCTCAACCTTACTGGAACTCAGAGGAATCGGCGGGTTCCTCTCCGGCATCTCCGCCTATGCAACTTTCGACTCGACCAAGCTGCTATTCTTCTTCTTCATCCTCAGAAATCGAAGTCATTATTCCTAGCTCGCCTGAAGAAGAGAATATCTTTGCGAAGTTAAAAAGCTCACTAGTGTCCGAGATCGAAGAAGCCGTTATTTCACTAAGAAAGCTCACGAAAACTAGAGAGGATACAAGGGTCCATCTCTGCAGTCCTCGGTTACTCTCCGTCCTTCGATCGCTGATCGTGTCCAAGTACACTAATATTCAGGTGAACGCGGTCGCAGCTCTGGTGAACCTCTCGTTGGAGAAAGTGAACAAAGTAAAGATACTGCGGTCCGGAATCGTTCCCCCGTTGATTGACGTATTGAAGGGGGGATCCCCTGAGGTGCAGGAACACGCTTCCGGCGCACTCTTCAGCTTGGCCATTCATGACGATAACAAGACTGCAATCGGAGTGCTGGGTGCTCTGCCGCCGCTGCTCAACTTGCTTCAATCCGATAATGAGCGAACTCGAAATGACTCGGCGCTTACACTGTACCACCTCTCCCTCGTACAGAGCAACCGGACCAAGATGATAAAACTCGGGTCGGTTCCGATCCTAATGAACATGTTAAAGTCGGGCACAATGAGGGGTTACGTGCTACTCATACTAGGCCACTTGGCATCTTGTGGGGATGGCCGGGCGGCGATGTTGGATGCGCGGGCGGTGGAGTGCTTGGTGGGGCTACTAAGCGGTAGCGACTTGGGTTACGGATCGACCCGGGAGAGCTGCGTGGCCGCGTTGTATGAACTGAGTCACGGCGGTTTGAGGTTTAAAGCGGTGGCAAGGGCGGCGGGGGTGGTGGAGGCATTGAAGAAGGAGGAGAAGGTGGGAAGCGAGAGGGCGAGGGAGAAGGTGAAGCGGATATTGGAGATGATGAGGGTGAAGGAGGAATCCGATGAGGACGACGTCGACTGGGAGGGGCTTCTTGACTCGGGTTTGAGTAGTCTGAGTCGGGTTTGTGTCTCGAGCGAGTCTACTGTTAACGTGCCCGGGTTATGAGTACAGTGTTTGTTTGTTTGTTTTTTTTTTCCTTTTCGTTTTTCACTGTAAATTGTTTTGCTTTCTCTCTCTTTTTTGGGGTCTTTCCTCTTCCCAAATATCGCATGGCCTTCTTTCTGCATTTTCTGCTTCTCCTCATTATTACATACGGGAGAAAAATAATTTGATTTTGGTATCAAATATAAGACTAAGGGTCTGTTTGGGTATCCTAAAACCGTGGTTTCAGAAGCACTTTTTCGCAAAACGAGATAATCTCCTCCCCATATTTACTTCGTAATCCGTAAAAACACTTCTGAAACCATGGTTTGGTTTCTATCCAAACACACCCTAATACATGTTTAGTTTCTGCAAAATCATGCTTCTGAAATCTGAATCTTCAACAAAAAGGCTATATTCTTGGGGTTTCTTCTGATATGGGTCTTAATAAAAACAAGCCGCTTGGGCTGCTGAGATTGAGAAACTACAGTATAATCACAGTTGTAGAGTTTTCAAGAGTCCAAAGAGTCTTCCCCCTTCTTTCTCCTGCTGCATCTGGTCATAGGCCTCTTTCTCGAACATGGAGAATGATTCCAAAAGCTAAAAGCAGGAACAGTGTTCGTGATTCATAAATTGTAAAGCCGAGGTTTTTCAGCGATCACCGAAACGCAACCACGTCTCGTTGAACCGTTGTGTCTCCCGCCAGGTGCGTGGGGTGACGTGGCACGATCTTTTCCATCCTAACAATCCAACGGCCGAAACAAGAGACCAGATTGATTTGCTTTTTATCTATCCTTTTGGTTTTAATGTTGAATGGGAACACGCTTAATATGATGAGGACTTGAAGTGAGTAGATTGGAAGGAGCTGTGAAGAATGAGCGTGAAGGTGTGTGGAGGGAATAAAGGGTGTGGCTGATGGCGATTTGGTTTGGGAAGAGAACAGAGAGTGGTTTAGTGTAAGAGATATTTGTGGGGCGGTATATGCTTTGTCGCTTTATTCCTGTGTTTCAAACCCACTGCACTTTGCTTTTTGCCTTTATTTCTTCTTCCCTTTTAGACTTCGTTTACAAAACTGACAATTAAACTACTCAATCAGGATTATCCCTTCCACTGTTTCTCAGGGGAAAGCCTGTTTTTTTAATCCCAAAGTTCCTATTCCAGTTCAATTAATTACTTTGCTTAGTAACTAATATCATGTCACTCACTAAAGGAGGCCCACATTTTGGTTCAATAATCACCCCCACGTGGACCTCTTTCTGGTTAACGCTGTTTCAAAAAGATAAAAACAGTGTAAATGGAAGCATTTTTAAAATTAAACATTTAGTATTGATACTCCTCCGGTCCTAAATGTAAGATCCTTATACTAGTGTGTATAAGGGTCTTACATTTAGGACCGGAGGAGTAGTTTATATTTGAACAATTGAAGATAACTCGCATCATATGATTTCTTCCAATCTACAAGGTTCTAATTCTTGTGCTTAAAAGAAATCTAGTTCCTTACAATGAGGCTTACCATGACTGGCATAAACATGTTTTAAAATCATATAAAATTTGAACAACGAACTAGGTTGTTTATAATTACAAATCTAGATTTTATTTTATGTCTATAAACACACATTGTCATATGATTTTATTAAGTTTTAAAAATAAGTCATGTAACCCAACCCCATACCAATAATGCGAGCTATAATATGGACATGGGCATAACGGCATAACCATTCAGAGTGAGGGAGGGCTCAAACAGCCCGAAATAAGGAAAAGCTGAGGTTGTCTGCGCTTATTTGCCAGCCAATCCTTCATTTCTGAGCAGTCCTTTGTTTGACAAAATCAATTTCTTTAGGAAAGCAAGAATCAGAATCCCAATGTTACTTTTAAAAGTCAGTTCCTTTAAGACATCCGTTTTCACATTTGGCCCTCCCTTCGTTTCTCTTGAACTTCAACTTTTTAAATAAAATATCAACATGAATCCTGGAAACTGGGTAGCATGAGCATGGGGAACGGAAAACACGAGAGACAAATTGAATCTCGTTCTTCCAACAATCTCATGTACCTGTCTCGTTGATCAACCAGAAAGAAGCATATTAATTTTCAGATTGCCTGAGTAAATAATTAGATATAATTGTAACCAGCAAACCCAAAAAAGAAGAAGAAGAAGAAGAAGAAAAGTTTGGGCGGATTGGGCCGAATTATGAAGGCCCATTAAAGGCAGTTTTGGGTCAGACTTGCTTATGTGGGCTGACGAGCTTTGAAAGAATCCAACCCAATTGAGTGGGCAGAAGCGAGAGCGTGTTTTGAAAGAGGGAATGCGAACTATGTGACAAGTGCCCACTAGGTATACAGTGAATTCAACAAATCCAGCCTGGTTATCACCTAGTCACTTTGACTCTGACCTCCATGAACCTAAGCTATTATACTGATTCTTCTTTACTAAAAATTCGGGGTGAGATAATTGGCAACAAAATTAATCATTAACCAGGGACAATTAAATATCAAAACAGGATTAATAGATGATAATGAATAGTCCTCCGCTCCTTAATATAAGACCCATTTAACTAATTTGATTAGATTAAGGAAGTTAGATAAGTCAGTTAATTACAAAAAACGTGACATTTTTCCTAAAACACTATAATTATCTTTCTTAATATCCCATCTCCCTCTTCTACTTCTATTTAATTATGATTGAGGAAGTATCTATAAGGGTAATTTAGAAAAAATTAATAAATATGAGAAATTTGTTTTATATTTAGGACCAAAACCAACTTAAGAATTAAGTCCTATATTAAAGACCGGAAGAGTATAATATATGAAAACAAAATCATTCATCAAGATAAATTATCCTTTTTAAATAGGTCGAGTCTAAACAATCAGTTGCGTGCCTTATAACGTATGAATATGGAGAGAATTGTAATGCCCAGAAATTGTGATGAGTCTTAACTCGTAAGCTAATTGCTTACGCTGTTATCAAGAAACTATGGATGATTAAATATGGGGGAAGGCAGACACATGCATTGCCCACCAAGCCAGCTCTTCTGGGATAGTGAGCACCCATGAGATTCGAGCTTCCTGTCTGTTGCCCGCCATTATTCTCTATTTATCTTTTCAAATCTGGCCCCAGAAGGGCGGGGGAAAATATAAATAAAAAGAAAAGGAAAACATTAACATATCATTTTAGGTAGTATTTCACTTCGACAAGTGAGGCGTGATTTTACGATCTAATTTTTTTTAATTATAAAGTCACTTTTAATTTTCTGGGCATAAAAAGGCACTTTTGAATTTCAACTCACTCATAAAAGAATACGATGCTTTATTCATTACAAATGATCCACCTCTCCAAAGTTGTCCTTCGTAGGCCTCTTTTTCTCACGCATATACAGCCCCAACTTGATTACATGCACTTTTAGTCTTTTACCACTCTAAAGTAAATCCATTAATCCTATTTCAAAAGCCCAAAAAATGCGCTCTTCCCACACAAATCAACACTAATCATCTTTATAAATAAACTATAAAATCAACAAAAACGCCAGCTTACAAATAACACGCAAAAAAAAAAAAGAAAACAAGAAAAAATCAAGGGCATTATTGAATTCCATAACTCATCTGTTCTTGACGTGAACAAAAACGACAGAGAGGCCATAAGCTCATCGGTTATATGAGAGCTTACACAAAAGCAACCCACGTATGCATGGTTCCGCTTAAAATACCATATATTCTCCCTTCAATCATACACCGAGACGAATCAGTATTTCCACCTGATTCTCGCAAATCACCAAATCAAGAATTAACTTTGAATCAAATCAATTTAATTTATCTGGTCACACCTGCGCCTGATCTCTCCTTTTCTTCCGGTCTGTACTCCAACTAGACCCAGCTTCTGCATTGCCTGGGCAAATGCCTGAAAGAACTTGTTCTCGTCCGCTGCGAATTCTTCCACAAACGGTCTCGTTCTCGGGTCGCTGAACAACCCGCGATCCGATTTCAAAACCCCTAAGCCCTTCGGCAGGTTCTGGAAGTACATGTTATCGAACTTGTTGGGGGTCATGATGTCGTTGAACACCGACAATGTAGGATTCTTCTTGTAATCGCCACACGCTCTCTGCAACCCCGCAGCGAATCGAGGATTGTATTGAGGATCGTATTGCGAGAACTTGCTGTTATTGTAGATGTCGTTGCTAATCTGAGAGCAATGCGAGAACCCAATAGTGTGAGCCCCGCTCAGAGCTACCATTTCTCTGACGGAAAACCCTTTAGCGGCGAAGATCTCGATGATTTGCGACATCGTCATTGTCGGTTTTGGAAGATGGCCTTCGATAGCAGAGGCCTTGGAGACGCGACTGTCCCTCCGACCTAGGAAGACATTGTAGTGGGGACCGCCGACCATGGTGACGAGGTCGCGAGTGGCGACGGCGAGGATGTCGGCACAGGAGACGGTGTTGGGGCAGGCGAGCTCTAGAGCAGTCTTGGCGCGAACTATGGCATCGAAGCCGTCGCCGGGGAGGGAGAGGTTGATGTCGGCGTCGCGCTCTGCTTTGTTGAAGAAAGTGGATGAGATGAGGACAGAGCCATCGCAGCCGTTGGCGAGGCAGTCATGGAGGAAGAGGCGGAGTGTGGCGCCGGCGGCGGTGGGGCTGGTGATCTGCTTGTTAGTAATAGTGTCCTGAATGATTTTGCTGAACTCGGGGCAGGAATGTTGGTAGTAGTCGAGGCTGAGTCTGGACTCAGAGGGTCTGACAAGTACAACGGATACGACTGCGAGGAAAAGCGCGAGAATAGTTGCTCCTTCCATTGAAAGCTCTCAGTACAGTCACAGAGCAATCTCCGGATGTGGGACGGTGGAGGCAGAGAAAGAGGGCAATGCGGAAGAAAATGGCAGTGCAATTAAGAACGGCGGAGAGAGAGAAAGAGAGGGAAGGGAACACGGCCCACGCTCTGGACCATCATCCACGGGATGCGTGCTTCTAGCTGTCCGGAAGGCCCTGCGGTGGGGCCTACTTTGCGCCAGGGTGTTCACGCGAAGTCGAGTTCTCAATAACTCCATCGTTAAGAACCACTAGGATGATGACACGTGCCACAGGTGAAATCACCACTGGATGGTGATAACACGGTAGCTGGGTGGAGAGATTGCAGTAAAAAGGGAATGCTAAATAATAACATCATAAGCTTTCTCAAATGCTGAAGTCTTGAATTTGACTCTCCCTACAGTAATCTAAATATAGATTTTCAATTTGGGGTTATTTCGTTCGCTCTCATGAATTTGGGGAACCCGAACTTAAGCCCATCGTCCGGAAATAAAATATTCCATTTGCCATTTGGCTGTTTGGAGTGCAATACGAGACATGACTGTTAGCCATTGAAAGCAAAAATAGTTATTAAAAGGCAACTACAAACGCTACTATAAATTCCATGTCGGATCTACAGAAGTGAGGCTACTTACAGATTCAGATAAGTCCATATGACACTAAATTGAACAGTATTGGGCATAGGGTGTAATATATATAATACATGGAGATAAATGATATACTGGGAGCAGGCACATGTGATGATCGACTCTGTAATTAGATGCATGTGCTGCCCGGTCCCACTTCCATGCATGTCTTCTTCTGTCTGCAATAGAAACCTGTATATTAGCGTGCACACGCTCTTTTGCAGACACGTGTAACTTGATAAACACAATTTTTTTTTTTTTAAAAAAAAAACCTCGGGATTATAGTGGGTTATAGTTTTACTTTATATCCCATTTGGTCTGTGGTCCATGCCGACAGCAGCTCATATTAACTCTTCAGGCCTTTTCTTGACACAGTCAAGAATCCCAATGCTAGACGGGGCTGGGTTTGAAGGCCAGTTAGGAGCATGAAGGTGACGGCTTTGGCAGCATCTTTTGATTTGTTACATTATGTATTATATCTTCACTGTACGCATTCCCTAATGTCGCATTTATCTTCTCTCTCTTTGTGATTGCAGTTTCTTCTTTTAGGGGAGGGGAGGGTGTCGTATAGGGTATTTTATAAAAATAGGGAGGAAGACGACAACAAAACAAATCCTTCCATTACTAATAGAGACTAAGGAGAATAATAAGCTAAACACACAATTTTTCCAAACTGATACCAAAGGAATTACAAACCTACCATATCAAACTATTTATTATATATTACTTCATCATTATGATCACGCTTTTTCAAGTCTTCAGCAGTCAAACTTCATTGGAAATCAAATACCCCCATAGAATAGAGCTTGTAATTGTCAGGGTTACGCATGAAGCTAGCTAGTTTTGAATCACTGGATGCTTCCCTGAGCATTTGATACTCATTCCACCAACGGATGTAGGTACTGTACTTCAGGAAAATCTCAGGCGAAACTGCATAATTCTTGAGCAACCCATAAACATATTCCTCAAACTCAATTAATTTCTGCCTACTGCTAGAGTCTTCTCCCCCCTTCATGTCACTGCAGGCAATGAGAGCCTCTTCCACGCGTGCCCAGAAACAAGAATCCAGCGTCAGAATTGATTCCACGTTTTGCTTGTTCGTAATGCACAACAATCCCGCCGATGAAGGCGTTGTGTCTTCTTTGAGCCATTCCTCTAGCTGCCGATAATGTCTGGACCTTCCTTGAGTCTCATAGTCTTTTCCGCCACTTTCGTAGTAGTCAGCAATGTCAAGTGGCTCGATCATTCTTCGGTAATTTGTGCCAGCAAAGAGCCAGCGGGTCCGAAAAGCAGCCCCTTCCTTCTGAGGCTTCATCTCTGCCTCTTCAACCATTTCTCTCCAGTAAAGTGTGAGCTCTTTCTTCCACCAAACAATATCTTGGTCTCTTTCATTCCTATGCTTCTTGTACATGTCGTACATTCCTGTCTCCTGAGCCTTAGAGTCCTTTTTGTACCATTCGAGGTTGGCCATATACATCTTCACGTCATTCAATCTCTTGGATAGATCCAAGTCTTTCTTCTTCGGCTGCAGTGTAATTTCTCGCAGCTTCAGCTTTTCCACCATATCCTGTCAGAAGAAGAAAATATCAAGCAACAGCGACTACCACTACCACAAGAAACTGGGGTGAATACCTGCTGGATTTGTGAAAGGTCAAGTGCTGCAAGCTGGATGATTATAGTTGCTTCTAGGGAATCACAAAGAGCCATATTCTGTGGCTGTGGACTAAAAGCCTTGCAAATGGCCTTGCGGTGAAGATTTTGCACAATGTCTAAATATTGATGAATGTCAAATTCTTGAACATATGGATCCCTCACGGTGGACCCCGTTTCTGCTAAAAGTTCCAGAATAGAATCAGGGTCATTGAAACAAGCAGAGCCTACTTCCGAGCACAAGAGAAATGTTCCGAAGGGCTTGCGCACATTGATTGGAATCAAGGTCCTGGGAAGAGGGTCCCGGAGAGAGGCCACGTGGAGAAAGCATGAATTCCAGAGAGGGCTTCGTGAAATGGCTTTTTGAAAGTCGGAATCACCTAGAAGGGGTGAACCAAAGGTGACGCAGAGTGGTGAGTGTTTCCTTCCTGAGCCAATGGTGAGGTTATCTAGTAGCCACAGAGTGAAAAGAGAAGCAATGGATCCCCCAAGAGCATGTCCAGTTACCATCAATGGCTTGGAGCTATCAATCTGCATTATGATGAATTTCCCAAGTATCATTTGGAAAATGGGACTGTATAAGATAAGCTGTCACATAACTTGGAATTCATTCCAAGCAGGTCAATATCTTTCAGTTGACACAGTTCAAACACCGGGAGAAGTATACTTTCTCACCATTTAAATCATTGTTCCTCAGCATTGTGCATTTTTCAAAAATAATTTCCTTTTTTTTTTTATATATTGATGAATGATATGTATGAATAGTTCATTGTTGATAGAAATTAATCACACTATGGTACGTGTAGCCAATGGGTTGGAAGAGTTTCCAAAGAATTTGGAGGGTATAAACTTTGATACACAGGGAAAATGAGTATAAGGAATGGTATTGGTATCATCGTTGATGGAGCATGGAAGAAGAATGTGGTGAAGGTTAAAAAGTTTGAGGACAGAATAATATCTTTAAAATTAATTGTTAGAAAGGATGCTATCAATATTATTAGTGCCTATACACCTCAGGTTGGGGGAGAGACACATTTTAAAGATAAGTTTTGGGAAGATATAGAGGGGTTGGTTCAAAGCATACCACTTGAAGAAAAAAATTTTATTGGTGGGAGCTTTAATGGACATGTTAGTAAGGAAGTAAGACAATTTGCTAGGACTCATGATGGTTTTGGTTTTGGGGAGCTTAACAATAGAAGACAATCTATTCTTTACTTTTTTCTTACATACAATCTCAAGATTGTCAACACTTGTTTTAAGAAACGAGAAGAGCATTTAATCACGTACAAGACTGGAACCTTAAGATCAAATATTGATTTTTTTTTTTGGTCAAGAGTCTAGATAGAAGACTTTGTACTAATTGTAAAGTGATTCCTAGGGGTAGAATGACTACCCAACATAGGATACTTATCCTTGATATATGTTTTAAAAGTATCATCAAGTGGTTAATCCCAAGGTTAGGCAGTGGCAGTTAAAGAGTGAGAAGCACGAGTTTTTAAAAAGGCCCTTTTGGAGGAAGAGATCTGGGAGTAGCAAGGAAATACTAACATTATGTGGGAAGAGATGGCTACGAGGGTTTGTATGATTGCCAAAGTAATTTTGAGAGAACCCAAAAATCATGGTTAGAAAGATAAGAAGACTTGGTACTGGGATACAAGTGCACAAGAGAAGGTCAAACAGAAAAAGATTATTTTAAAGCTATACATTTATGCAATAATACGAAAAACTAAAAAAAATATCGTTTGACTAAAAAAGAGACAAAGAGAGCAGTGATCAAAACACGTCCTAAAGCATATGAAGAGTTTTATAAAGAGTTAAGAACAAAAACGAAGCAAAGAAATATTTATAAGATTGCGAAGCAACAAGAGAGAAAAAAGAGAGACTTTGACCAAGTAACCTATATAAAGGACAAAGAAGGTAAAATTTTAGTTACTGATGGATATATTAAGGATAGATAGGCTGTTTAATAAACTTGGAGGACTTGCTAATTTGTGAAGAGGATCATTTGGCTTTTTCCTGTAGGATCCGCATCAGAGAAATTAAGGTAACTCTTAAAAAAATAGACAATGATAAAGCCACTGGACCTTACAATATTCCTATTAAAATTTGAAAATACTTAGGAGAGGAGGGTAAATTGTCACTAATCAAGCTTTTTAATAAAATTTTATACTCTAAGAATATGCCGGATGAATGGAGGAAAAGCACTTTAATTTTTATTTACAAGAATAAAGAAGATATTCAAAACTGTGCAAGTTATAAAAGGATAAAACTTATAAGCTATACGATGAAGTTATGGAAAAAAGTGATTGAACACAGACTTTTATTTCTAAGAACTAATTTGGATTTATGCCAAGAAGATTCACAATAGAAGTGATTTATTTACTATGAGGGTTAATGAAAAGATATAAGAGTAAAGAAAGAGATTTACATATGGTTTTTATTGATTTGAAAATAACTCATAATCGTGTGCCAAGAGAAGTACTTTGGAAGGTTTTGGAAAAGAAAAGTATAAGGGTTGTATATAACAAAGCCATATATGATATGTATGAGGGGATAATTATTAATGTAAGAACGCTTGAAGGTGAGACAAAGGGCTTTCCCATTAAAATTGACCTACATTAGGAATCTTCTTTGAGTCTTTACTTGTTTAATATTGTTTTAGACGTTTTAACTGAATTTATCCAAGTAAAAATCCTTGAGTGCATGATTTTCACGGATGACATAGTCCTCATGGCTGAATTAAGAAAAGAGATTAACTCTACATTAGAGTTATGGAAAAAGACCTTCGAGTCAAAAGGCTTTCACTTGAACAGGAGCAAAATAGAATACATGCATTATAGTTTTGGGGGAAGGCAAGGCAATTGTGATTTGGAGGTGAAGATATGAGATAAATCATCCCTTAAGTGTCAAAGTTCAAATATCTAGGATTCATTATACATGAGGATGGTGAAATTGATGGAGACGTTTTTCATAGAATACAATTGGTTGGTTAAAATGGAGGAAGGTTATTAGTGTTATTTGCGATAAGAAAGTATCTGAAAAGCTAAAGGAAAAATTCTATCGGACTGCTATAAAATCAGCTGTGTTGTACGATAGTGAATGTTGGACGATAAATAATAAATAAGAGCATAAAGTTGAAGTAGTAGAAATGATGATGTTGAGATAGATGTGTGGTCATTCAAGGTTCGAAATGAAAATATCAAAACAATAGTAAGTGTGATACTTATCGAAGAGAAAATAGTTGAATATCACTTTAGGTGGTTTAGGCATGTGTAGAGAAAGTCATTAGAGGCATCGGTGAGATGAGTAAATTAGATAGTTTAGAGTCTTATTAAAAAAAGTGAAGACCAGGAGAACGCTCAATAAAGTCATTAAATGAACCTCCTGATCAATAATATATTTAAAGACTTGGATGCTGGTAGAACACACTGGTATCATGCAATTCATGTAATTGACTCTATCTAATGGAATAAGATTTGTTGTTGTTGTTATTGTATGGTACGTGTAACCAGCTTCAATCCGCTGGAACAAAATTTGTTGCTGTTTCTACTGTATTTCCTTTGTTTTTATCTCTTCCCCGTTCCCCTCCTCGAAGAAGCCCCTCCCTTCCAATCAATCACAGAAAATGATGTGGGGAAAATTAATTTAAAAAAATTCAGTCTAACTAAAAAATTGAGATCAGAGAAACAAAGCTTAGCAGAAGCAGCCAAGCAAGCATTCAATGAAAATTGCGTTAGTGAAATTGGGGTTGGGCCTCCAAACACATCCAAGTCTATTTATATATTTAAATTCGACCGCTTCATTATGAGGTAATTTACTCTTTCATTGTAGCAAAAGGGGTGTACCAGAGATTTGAGTTGATGGAGCTGCTCACGATGATCATAGAAGAGAGAAATTGCAGCCTTATGAAGGGAGAAACATGGGAATTTGTCGTTACAAAGGAACTCAAAAAGAGGGAAATCTTTGTCCTTGAGGGCCGAAGATGAAACCAAACCTGATTGCTCAGGCGCTTGGAGATTAATTTGAGTGGCCACAAATGCTATTACCGTAAAATCCAACTCCTGCCCCACTTTGAAGCACAACCCCTCCTGCTTCGAACTGATTTCTGCATAAAGCTCCAAGATTGTCTCCACCGGACGCCTCAGAAGATTGGAGCTCGCAATAAAACTAGCAGACTCGACTCCACTGCTAAACCTGATGTGGCAACATAACAAATATTAAGAACCAAAGATTCAAGTGTTGATTTGTTGTTAACCCAAAACAAAACCATGAAAAAGTAAGAATGAGATGGTGCACATGGAAGGGTTAAGTACCCCAGTAAATACATCTCACAGATGGGTTGTAACAAACACTTTCGAGACACTGTCATCAATATTATTGAAATAGCCGCGATATATCGTGGTACTCTTAGTAACACGATTAAAGATGGCTACTAACGATAACATGCATTCAATTCTTTACGAGAGAAATATACATACGTCGTGTTGTAGTCATTTGTGCTAAATTGGCTCATCCCGCTGTTCCTGCCCAGACTCAAAGGATGAAATATGCGAAATAACGAGCTTGGTAAACAGCTAGATCTGATGAACAAGGAAAGGAAATCAGACTGACTTTATATGCAGGGGATAGTTGATTTTTATTCAAAGGCAGCCATTGAAGTTTCATCAGAAATTCTCCGGAAACGAAACTGTTGGCCTAAAAAGGAGAGAGGGGGAAAAATGAAGAAGAAGAAGAGCACGCCTTTTTTTTTTTTAAAATCTTCTTTGGGGAAACATAAGACCGCTCCGCAAGCCCATTTGTTAAGGTTCTGTTTCGTTGGAAGGTTTTTGAGAGGAAGGGAGGAGACAAGTGTGTTTGGTTGGAAAAAATAGGAGGGAGAAAATAAATTTGTCTTTTAGTGTTCCCCTCCCCTCCCCATACTCCTCTAAAAATTTGAAATTTTTTAGAGGAGAGAGAAATATTATATCTAATATTGACCAAACTACTCATACTAACTTTTTAATATTTTAATTTTGTCCATCTTATTAAAAATCTTTTTTTCACTTCTCTCTTTTTAACCACTAATAATATTTGATAATTATAATATTATAATATATACACATATCATATATATTCATATATATATATATATCATAACATATGTGTATTATAATTATATATCATAGTGTGTGTATTATAATCTCAGATAACATGCATATATATACATATATACATATCATAACGTGCCTGTTATAATTATATAATATATATGCATATCATATATATTAATACATCTATTTATAAAATTAATGAGAGAGAATATTAAATTTTTTTATCATATTTTCTAATTTTTTTTAAGTTTTATCATTTTTTTAATCACATGTAAGTGAAGTAATTGATTTTTTTTGAAATTGATAAATTAAGAAATAATAATTTTGACATAAATATTGTAATAAAAAATAAATCAGTCTAAATATAATTACCTCCCCTTCCTTCCTCTTATGAACCGAACAAAAAATCTCCCCTCCCCTCCCCTCTAACTAAACAAAACCATGGCCTTCCTTTTTCTTCTCTCCCTTTCCTTTTATTAACCTTCCCTCCCCTCCCTTTCGTTGAACCAAATAAAGCCTAAGGCAAAACGTAGCCAGCACGCTCAGTGATATAAGAAACAAAAAGACAGTCAGGCCCCCAACTTTTTCTTTTTAGGTAAATTATTGAATATGCCAAGAAAAGTTGTGTAAGTTTACGATATAGTTTTATAATATACCATGAAAGAAATTAAAGATGATGTTTCCAACTTTTAACGTCAGTTCTTGGAAAGCAATCAATGCAGGGGCTGAATCTTTTGGTCCGCGTTGAGATGAGAAGGCGGGAAAGAGCTAAGCAAGTGATCAGCCCTTGAAATATTGAAACTTCTGGAAACAATAAAAATTTTACTTATGTTTCCTTTTTAGCGGGTATCTGACGTATATTTCATACTATTGGACTCACTAATCACTACCTTGCTTTATTTCTTCCTAAGAAATCAAATTATTTGATTTTTTTTATGAAATCATTCATAACATTTTAATGAATCGAGAGAACCCAAAATTCTATCCTTGGTTCATAACAATCAATGATTAATTTCCTTGCTTCTTAGAGGTTTCTTAGTTCAATTTAATTAATAGTGCATTTTAGAAAATTGACTTTAATAGACCTATACCTTATAGGAGGTCAACTTTTAAAAAATTTTATAATTGATTGCTTGATTCAAGTTGTATATAAAAATATTTTAGTTTTGATGCGAAATTTAAGAGAAAGAAATAGTTTTCTTGGTATTACCAAACATCTTCAGGAAAAAAAGTAATTTTCTTTCCATCTGATCCAAAAAAGAAATTTCAGGGAAATCAATTCCTCAAACGTTGTGAAATTACCGTTGAACAACAATTTTTCTTGAATCTCCACCTTTTTCTCACAAGCATGTTCGCAGAACAAACCAGCTGAATGATCCTCTAAAATCGTATGATAACACCTGTCAATGAAAGGAAGATGTTCGAAAAGGATGGATAACTTTCTTTTCCATCAGAATTCTTTTTTTTGGGTTCACGCATAGAAATTTGTTTGGTCAGCTCAATACAATTCAAACAAGAGGTTAAAGTCATGAAATGCATGTTGTTGATTCCAAAACTATGCTTAGGCTCAATGTTCGGATGGCCTTCATATTGTCCCCAAATCTAAATGATGGTGTGGTCGTAACTCGTAACCTAAACCTATAGGTGAACAGTAACTTAGAAACCCCAAAAAGGAAAAATCTGTTAGACATACAGGTTGGCGAGAAGCTGGGTATGCAATCAGCAAAACTGTCGTATTGATGCAAAGAGGTGAAGAATCATCTTACTGCAAATTAAATAGCCTTCCGAGCAGATGGGACTGCTGAATCACAACGAATGTCCTTTGTGAACATATTTGTGAGGGCAAATAGTAGAAGAACAAAAACAACTTGTGCACTCACGATCCCAAAATGGCTGATGCTATTACCAATCTCCATCCAACTTCCTGTATTCTTCACCTGTAAAAGATTCATTACGGATCACTAATCATGAAAAAGAGATTAGTGGACAACGTAAATCATCAGCTGATTCCACAATGAAAATTTCTAGTCCTCAAAATATCTTTGTAATTAGTGATAGGAAAAAGAACCCTAACCAAAACACACGCACAAAAACAGAAAAAACAATAACAACATCTGCCAGCAGCCAATAATAAAAGAAAGCAGGATGTGTACTTGCAGCCTTTAAGACATTTCTAAATTCTAACCATTAGATAGATCCATGGGAGTTGATATAATGAAATAATGAAAGGAGGATCTGGAAGAGAATGAAATTATCCAGAATAGGATGTTATACCAGGAAGAAGAAGTGAATGGTCATCACGTCTGAGAATAAGATAACAAGAAAGTAACATCCCATCCTTGGAACTTGGTTCAATTTGGTCACCGCACTGAATACACATCTGCATTTCACTCCATCATAATTAATATAGTATTTGACAATTGTTAAAATAATTGTGAAGCTACTATTCTTTCTCTCTACAATTCATTGCAAGCATCATATACATTTAAGATTGGCAATGAAATACAATTTAGTGATTTTTCTTCTTAACATGAAAAAAAAAAAAAAGATCAGGTGACTGGTCTGATCATAGGCAACCAGTCCTTTTTCAGTGATGAGTTAGCCAACCTCAAAGCCAACTCATTGCCTTGATTTTCATTGAAGACGATGGCGATAATCATAGTAAAACCCCGAGCTTTGAAAATAGTAAATAAAATAACATTTCTTTATTTAGTCGGGGCGCATCATCAAAAGTACCAGTTTAAGATAACTGAGTCTCGATTAAATATTGTAGAATATTTGCAAATAGCTCCGCTGGAGGAAGTTGTAGGTCTACTTACATGACAAGCATGAACGGAATAAATAACTTGAAGATAAGAAGGGCTGCCATCAGGAATGGCTGCAATTGCAAGCAATCCATATCAGTTTTCAGGAAGACTAAAGACAGGTAACTAAAGATTTCTTCAAAAGCTCACCAATCACTTACACTAAAGACAGTAATGAATCGATAGACAGATGAAATCTCAAAACTAGCAATACTAGCGAAATTTCCAGTTCCAAAGAAGGCAACATTGAATAAAACCATCTGCAGAAAACAACAGTTTGCATACATGTCAAATTCAAAACTAAATAACTTGTCAGTCTTTATCTGACATACATTGTTAACAAGAAGAACAGCTACGCATAATTCTAAAAGCTTGGTTGACATGAACTCTACTGATCAGGAACATCTCAATAGCATCTATTTTACCATTAATCCTTTAAAGATCTAATTCTCCATTACACCACTCGTGAAGACAGCTCCAGGTTCATCTTAGACAATTTATACAAGTCAATTCATCCACTAATGCTGCACGAGAGCATTTGTATCTGATTACTATCCAGGCCAAATCGTCCTATTGGGTTCCCTCATCTCATCCTTTCTAGCGCTACCCTTGGTCTTATGGTTTGAAAATCTTGACTTCAACTAAAACAAAATCATTCGTGCTTGGAGAACCATGAGAAACCTAAATGCAACAGTTCCCAAAATAACAACCTCACCAAGTTAGCCTGTCATTGTAACCAATTGATCTCTATAAGATATTCCTTCTACACAGGCAAATTATAATTAAATAATCATAAATCTAATAAGATAAGAAACCCTAATTAAACCTCTCAAATTGCTAAGAAAAAATTCAAAGTCATACATCGTAATAGAATAGTTGTAAAGTTTAAAAGATTATGGTGTCTCATCTCAGTTCCTGAACAGTGCTAGCAGCAAACGCGTCTATTTAAAAAGATCATTCCAAATGAGGTCATAGGGAAATATACAAAGAAAGGAATAGGACTTACAAAGACCATTGGAATTCGCACATCAGATAATCGCAAAGACCTATTATCAGATCCAAGAATGAGATGATTCTCAATGTTTTCAGTGGAAGCTGAGGACCTACTCAAGATATTTAAATTGAGAATCGTGTTTTCAAATAGTATCCATGCCATAAGTACAAGAGCAAGAGCAGCATAAAATACCGCTTCATATCTGCACAGGTTTTACAAAGAAAGAGATTACAAAATTGTATGCTCGCAATACAAAAGTTAAAGGGAAGCCAAAACCAAAGAAGCTGCTGAATAAGATGTACCCAATGGAGAGAAGAAGAAATGAGGGCGCAAAGCCAAGGAATATCGAAGTGAGACGGGATAAGAGGCTATTTGCTGAAAATAGTGGTAGCACCATTGACAAACCTAAGGAAAGGAGGTCAACACAACTTAAGATTGATGCTAGTTTCCATAATTAATGCAAGATAATTTATGATTAAGGTGAAAAAGAATCAATAGTATACCGGCAATGGACCAATTAATCAACTGGTGTAATCCATGCAGTTCTTGCTTCTCAGTTCTGTGAGACGTTGATATATACACCATCATAGAAGAAAAACCGACTAAAATAGTCTGGTCAGGACAAAAAATAGAAATCAATTAATATTTTTGAAATTATACATGATTGAGCTTCCAACTTAATTTGAAGGAAAAAGCACCTGTAAGTAAAACAGAGCCGAATGCTTGGGACTCTTGAACTCATGATTACATATGCTAAGCCAATACTTATTCCCTCCAGCATTTAAATCTAACCATCTTGCAGCTATTCCTATAACAATTATCACTGCTCCACTAGCAACTCTGCAAACATAATAATTGAAAATTTTATGTTCTAAGCACTGTTGTTTAAATTCAGTGTGTGTGACTGACAAACCACTCCAAAAAGAAGAAGATAAATAAATCCAAAAGAAATAGAAGACAGGTTCAGTAAAGACGTATGGAATGATTTTTTCAACACGGATGACTGAGGAAATTATCCAACCTTTGATAGAACAAAAAGTAAATAACACATTTTGATAATGCTGAAGTATGGGTAAATGTGCATATCCATGTTAACAATAAAAAGAATACCAATCGGTCTTTATTTTTATTTATGTTCATGCTTGTTCAATTTGAGGGTGATTGGCTTAGTGGCCTACATCTACAACAAATTGCAACCACTGTGTTTGAAGCAAAAGAAAAAAAATTCCAAGTAAAATTCCTCATCTAGTCATCTACATAGCTATACAAAGTGGAAGTAAATATTAGCTTACATTTCTTGTATCGCTCTGGAATCCTATAAATATGAGTCCTAATAATAATTCCCCGTTAATAAACTAGTTTCATTTGCTTAGCATTATTTATACATGTCCCAAACCATAAGCATCATAGGAGTAAAAATAAATATACGATGAAGTAAAATTCACCAGCAAAACTTGATTATGGACTTACACTAACTGATTGTTGTCGGGAATTTCTGCAGGCATCAACGTGAAAAGAGACAAGAACCAACATGCAAGGCAAACAAATATTGGAATCCCTGGTCTCCAGGACATTGACTTGAAAAGATAAAAAAAAGCAGAGGCCCCTGTAATCAGGAAGCACCAAGTATAGAGCTTCCTTTCAGTGAAGCTGTGTACCTGCAGAGGGAACCAAATAGCTTTGTTAAGATGGAGTATCACTTTACAACACTTCAAAAGACTAAAGAAATGTGTTTAACATTCTTACCAGGAACTCAAGAATGAAAACTGAGAAAGCAGTAATAGCTAGAAGCTTAATGATATGATTCACTCTTCTTTCAGATAAATGCTTCCACAGTGCTTTTAAAAACCGATATTCACTAACTATTTGCATCCACAAAAATGATGTCATTATCACGTATGCATGATAAAGAGGAGGAGAGTGCTCCATAAATAATAGAAAAGACATTATCCCCATTACCAAGCATCCAGTGAGGTGTACCTACAAAACAAGATGCAGGATATAATCAATTGGCAGCCACAAAGTAAGGAAAAAAGAAACGAGATCAGAAGGAAATTGGTTGAAGCCAATCATTTCCAGCTAAAAAATATGATCAACTAAGTCTTGATGCCATTCACACATTCTCATGGATAGGATGGCATATGTGTCTCAATGACATCTTTTATTTTTCTTCCACTTGACATGATAATTACAGCTTTGAAGAAATTGAGATAGCCAATACTAATATTATGGAAATGCCAAGATTACAAAAACATTACTTTTCCAATTTTACTTTTCTGAACTGCTCGCTCCATTCCAAAATTAATTCCTGGCAATGAAGTATAAGACTGCAGCACATGAAGAACAAGATAAATCATCCAGCCACAGTACCCAAGGGTAATTACAGTCATAAGCATCAGCCAATCATAAGTTTGAAAATATTGAAGTCCTTGCAATGCCAAACTTCTTAGGTTTTGGGACAGCTCCATTGCAGCTTCATAATCTCTAGCCGTTATCAGGCCCTCAACATTGTCCAATAGAGAGGAATGGTGAGTGAGTGGCTTGAAGGGCTTAAAGTAAAAAGAATGTGACTGCTTAATATCTGGAATATGTCAATGAATACAACATAAATAAGTAATTCTTAATCACATTCTCCTTCTTTGTTGTCATCAAGAGATATAGAAAAACCAAACTTATTGGTACTTCTAAATGGAAAAGATAGGACAACTTACTCCTAAATTCGCTCTTAGCTAATCTTTATTGTATTGTCCTCGTGAATAATGGGTGCGCCCCATGACATATTCATATTTAAAAATAAAACAAATTTATTTCAAATTTTGAAAAACTTGAAAGCACCAAGAATCAAGCCAGTGGAGCCAAAGTGAGTAATCCAATTCCAAGGCATTCAAGGATACGAGATTTCCGAAGAAACTGGTTGAGAATCTCTTTTGTATTGGCCAGCACAGCTTCAACTTCTTCTGCCTAGAGCATAAGACAAGATTGGAGTCTTTGTTAGATCATCTATCCATTAGTGCGTACTGCTCACTCAAAATTGCTCTTTTTTTGTTTTTGGGTGGGGGGGTTACAACTGGCAAGCAAAGCTTGGAAAAAAGAGAAAGAGAAAACTAAACTAATTCCTACTATCTAACGTCAAAAATGCATATTTAATCTCTAGAAATCAATGTAATTCTTTGCACTTATTCATGTAAGGCTTGCTAGCATATCCTGTTCCCACAAGATTTTTCAGATTAATAAAAAAAATAGTAATTACCAGGTATTCCACTGAATGAATTAAGCAACACTACATCTTTGTGGCATTCATGAAAATCAACAAAAAACTCTCTATCAATTAGAGCTAAAAGGATGATACCTTGGTCATATTGATATAATCTAATGGCAGACTTCCAACAGAATTAACAGGACATGGCTGGCCAAGAAGTGTTGACTGCAAGAAAATGAATTAGCATCATCAGATCAATGAAACATATGGGTGATTGGAGAATTTTACCTTTAAAATTGGAAAAGAAATCTTCAATAAACAAAATGCTCGACCATTAGGGGTGCAATATCAGCTTGATTGACATCAACCCTCTCTAATCCATGCAGGCCCCATTCAGTTGGTGTCGGTGTGTCATGTACATGGTCGTCAACAAACCGAAAACCACAGTCACTATGGTTGCTGCTGGAAATTGGCTTTGGATATTTAACACCAGCTCCCCAAGCAACAAGGGGAGTATCAGTATTTGACGGATGCCCATCTCCATGGCTTCCTTTTAAAGAAAAAAAAAAAAAAAAAGAGACCGTAACTATACCAGCTTCTCTATTTCAGTACAGCAACAAAAGTCCCCCCAGGGTCTGGTTTATGTGTCTCATTTGGATTTAGGTTTAAGGAGATTTATTTTATAATAAAGGATGCTCTCCATTTCTATCCTGAAGTTCATAGGATAACCTATTACATAAAGCTTATTTCCACCCTACATTTGAACTTTTGAATCTTAAAGAACAAGGAAGGATAGCAAAGGAATTACTCTTTATTTGCAAAGTAAGACATATTTGTTTCGCCAATGCCAAAATGGTAAGTGAGATTCTTAGAGTGTAATAGAGAGGGTAGCTGTGATACAGCTGGGAAAACAATCTAAGAACTTGGAAATGAGATAACATCATATCCAAGGCGCGGACCAAGTACGAGTTCAACTGAGAATATAAAGAAGTCCCAGGCCATGAAAGAAAAGAAAGCTGCCAAAAGTCCAAATAGTGGGAAATGGAACGTCATATTTTCCCAAAATCGAATCAATGGCTTCCTTCTGTAGGGTGAATCCAGTATTATTTGTGAATTAATAGGCTGATAGCCAGGAAAAGGAAGAGAGGAGAGGTAAAGATAAAGGTAAATTCGACGTGTCAGCCCTTTGAAAGCATAAGCAGTTCTGACACCAATTGTTAACCAGAGTACGCAGCCTAGACACTAAAAGCACTTCATCACTATGGTTTTCCAAGCAGGTATACTGGCAGTGCACGTGTCAGAAAGAGGTAAGATTTTGGTGTTTTACAAAAATACTGTCCTTTAACTACGAGGAAACAAGGCCAAATGCAAATAACCCTACTCAAATAAAGGGGTTGTCCGTTTACCTCTCAACTTTAAAAGTAGACCAAAGACTCCATATACCTTTCATTTGTGCAACATAACTCTGTTAAAGTTTGTCATACAAAAGGCCAATGCTACTGATGCATACGGGCCTTATCAGCAAAGAAGTATACCCTCATCCCAAATGGGAAAATAGGGCTTTTTGTGCTGAAAAACAAGGAAGGAAATGACAACAGAAAGTCCACATTTGCCACGGGGTATGCAAGTTGGGCTTATTTTTCTGATGTCTTAGCATCTATATATAAATCAAGGGGGCTTATTCTGCATTTTGACCGAGAAATAAGCGTAGTATAGCACATCAATGTTACTTAAATCTAGATATTGCGATAATGATATGTCAAAGTCCATCCCCAGCATGTTTCAAGAACCCATACTGAAATTATTAAAGATGAAACCATAAGAAAATCCAGAGATGAAGCTGGTACAAAATATATTCCAACCTTTGTCACTCATCCCATGATCTGCTGTAAAGATGTAAGCTGTACGGTTGTCCATAAAATAATCTTGAACAAGATTATAAACGCTTTCGGCTACATGGTCAACAACTTTAACATTGTTGAGATAGATGGAGGAATAAGGCCTATGTGCATGGCCGTTAGAGTCACAACCAAGTAGGTGCAGGAATATAACAAGATTATCCTGTAGAAGTAACTCCTTCAACTTTGAGTCTTCCCTTGACCTATTCAAAAGGCTTCGAAACTGATCAAGAGACCACATGTCCAAAAAGGATGCGTCTGTGTTAAGAAATTTGAGAATGTTGAATCATTAATTAAGCCACTGAAACTGAGCATTAGAAGAGTCGATATAAAAGACATATGGCAGATAGAATATTAAAATAAATAATCAATGATTTTGAAAAATAGTAGTAAGGGAGGAAAATACTAATATATGGCAAGTAAAATATAAAATAGATAGAGAATTTAATTGAGTTTCCTGATTCTACTCTACTCATCAAAGTTAAGAAAACGTAGAAAACGTTTCTATCATTTAAAAAAATTTGACTTCAGAAGCAGCTGGCAGACCAGTTGCAAAATCTTCAAAATCATGGGGATAGGAATTCCAAGTGCTGTGTCGCAAGCCGCCACAAAATATGGGAACTATATCAGGACTTCCATAAGAAATTGTATGCCGACTTCTGTTAAAGACTGAATCAAATTCAACAGGATTGGCCTTCCATCCTGCATAAGACGTGAGGCGTCTTTTAGTGGACGTGAAGCCATTGAGTTCATCAAAAGGCTGGAAGGCAATAGAAGACTCACCTTTTGTCACTGCGCTAGGATCTTCATAAAAGCCAGCAATTATGGAAACATGACCAGGTCTTGACTCTGTTGGAGGGCGAGCATGAGACACTCCCCAGCGACCTTGTGTTTTGATAATGCTTCTTAAAAATGGTGCTCTGTAATTTCCTTGGGCATCCGGCTCATAGAACTTGTCAGCACGCAAGCCATCAGCTGCATTATAATTTGAGTTTCCCACGTTAAACAAAACTATACTGACATGTTAAGAAAATGTTGGCTCCCAGCAGGAGGTTTATATCAATCAATTAGGAAAGTTCAGAGCAAAGGGTGGCACTTAGGGACTACTTCACCAGATATACCCAGACAATGGTAGAAATTCAACCTCGCTGGCTGAGACTTTAGAGTATTTTATCGTCAAAGAAAGCGCAAAGTTCAAAGCTAAAAGGCTGCATGAACTGTCTATTGAATCGAGACGAGTACACACCACAAATATCCCCTTTGCAAAGAACGCCCTTTAGCGAATAGCTCAGTCCATAAAAATCACCAACCAAATCCCAAGAACACAAAAGGAGACATTTCATACAGACAATTCCACAAACAGAGATGGCACAATAGATCGTACCAACTAGAAGAACGAGACGCTTGGCAGGGGCAGTGAAGCGAGGAGTGACGGGATCTATGCCATGAACAATGGGGGTCTTGAAATAAATATCGAATATGCTGAGCATGTAAACTGCATGAAGAATCACCCCCAGTACTACCAGCCATCTCTCCCGCCTCTTCAACCACTTCGTTCTACTAGTTGCCGCCACTTTCTTTCCCTGGGCATCTCTGCTGCCCAAGATCCCATCGCTGCGCATTTTCTATCTCTCCTGCTTCGATCAAGCTTGTTACTCACTCTGTCCTGTTTTTGTTTTCCTTCGGCTTGAGAAACAGGATTTGAAATTTTTGGCCCCCAAAAAAAAAAAAAACCTTGTTTCGGCTCGCCAACTAATTCCTCAACCCAGAATGTAGGAAATTGAAATGACAGAATTTCGCCCAAGGTTCTAATTTTTGACTTATTCCACTCTTCTTTGGTAAAATAGTATACGCGTTGATAAACGCTTCGTTTACGTTCCACCAACAGCTATACTCATCGTAATTCAATTCACTGAGATGATTTAAAAACATCTGAAAAATTAAATCGGAATTATCTATCGTCCCTCCCTTTCTCCCGTTTGTGTCCAATTGATAACTTCAGTGTGAATTCTAAAGCGAAGGAAACTACATATACGGTGGGAAAGAGCCCACAGTGGGTAGAGTACTGAAAGTTTGAACTGCAAACCAATTAATTTCAAGAGCTAAGACGAGATTGTGCATGCAACGAAATTCTACACATATTTCTGTTCTGGTCGATGCCCGAATGGCTGTATTGTATCCATTTAGATGGGCTCTCATCGTATATTCGTATCGGTAATTCGGTATTCTGTCACCAAAGACGAATTTAACAAATTTCCAAGAGTTGAGTTCAATAAATAAAATGCAAATAATATCTTATTTTACCTTGATTTTTTTTGCCAACAATTTTACCTTGAATAATAACTCATCTTGTTATTACATCGAAAACAAATCAGAAGAAAAAAAATCTTAATTACGCTCGCCCAATCTAAAACAGCATGTCTGATCTTACAAAAGGAAAATAAAAAAAAATTTCAGGATCCAAGCACAATAGTAACACTCAGGAATCTTATATCAGAGCCGACTAATTACAGCAATCTAAACATTAGAAACACCACGACAAACACTAATCCAAACCATGAATTCAACTGTCATTAACAAGCCAAGCTTTAAATCGAGTAAAATTCTTGATCCAAGTGTAAACTTTGACTTTTGGGTTTAATTCAAGCATCATTTTTTTCATTAAAAGGCACGCATTAATGGCCTGTTACAAGCAAAATCAAACGGCAACCTCCCACCTATTTACATGAAAATTTTCGTGCCAGTAAGGCTGATAATTCAAGCATCACTGGAGAAGCTGACAAGACGCAGAGAATATTATCATCTCCACGTAATGTGGGCCGTGTATGTGAACATTGGCTGTTGCTTGAGCAAGGCGTAGAAGTAAACCAGAGCGCCAAAATATTTTTTAAGTTGCGCAGAATCCAATCTAATTGGGCCGTGCCATGAACGGACAAAACACAACAAAACAAACGCGTACGTACATGTCCCTCACAGTTCTTAAATCAACCAAAAGCGAAAAAACACATGTCGTTGCAAGGTCATCATTACCAAACGAAATGAACTAAAATTACGATGTTGGAACAAATCTGGTAGTAGGAAACACAACGCAAAGCAACACAGTGTGCTTTCGTTGAAGACGAGGCACTTGGACAATAGTCTAGTATATAAACACACATGTGAGTCCTCACTCAGTAATTATGAATGAAGACTCACTAGTTTAGTACGTAGCTAGGAACAGGAAAGTAGGTAAATATATTAAACGCAGTAACGTGAAGATCAAGGCTAGGGGCACTTGTAGCGGTTGCCGTGAGTGACCATGTCGGTGTAACATTTGCCGCAGACTTCACGGTTGCCGTAAGTGCCCGGAGGAACACACTTGCACCGTTCACAGCAGGTACTGCATGCTCTTATGCACACTCTCTTCCTTGAGTGCAATTGGCACCGATTCTCACACAGTGGCACGCAATCTGAAATTACATTCATATATTACGATTTCAATCATCGTTCATGAGTATATTAAACATAATGTTGATTAGTACCTTTGTTTGATCTAACTATGGGAGCTGCTGGAGCCGGGGCTGGAGTTACAGGAGCATTTACTGGGGGCTGTGGTGCCGGAGCCACTGGGTGCCCCGTCGTCGGTGGAGGGGTCGGTGCCTTTCCGACTGGGGCAGTTGGAGGAGTTGACGGCTTCGGTGCTGGCGATGGCGTAGGGGCTACCACAGGAGCCACCGCTGAAACCGGAGCTTTTGTATACTTATCCTGTTTCAGATACCATTATGTAGAAAAAGCCAGACTTTATGTAGAAAAAGAAATCATGAAAGAACCAACAAAAAACACAACCGTTAATTCAGGGAGCATTCAACTTTCTAGTATGTGGGGATTTTCTAGTCATTAAGACGGAATCAGAGAATGAGAGTAACGGATCAGGGTTTTGTGTAACGATTGGCGAAGCTATACCTGATTGACGAGATCTTCGTCATAAGAAGAAACCTGCATATGACATAAAGAAAAGAAGGCAGTATTTTCATGTCAGGACACAGAAACTCTATTCACATTTAGTTGTTTAAGCTGAGAGGGTGGAGAGAGTTAAGCATACCTTTGTAATAAACAGAACCAAAATGCCCAGCAGTAAAAGAGGAGATTTGGAGTTGGAAGCCATTCTTCTTCTTCGGAAGCAGAAGCAGGACAAGAACAAATTACAGATCAGTAATGTTATTGCCGAAGCAAAAGCAGGGTGCGGTATAAATAGAGGCACTTCAAGTAGAGAGAGAAACTTCAAACCCAAGTTTTGATTGCTGCATAGAGTGATACAGTACAAATAAATTTTGAAGATGCAAAGGTGAGTAATAAATGATGCATTGCTGTCCCTTTGCAGACTGAAAGATCTTAGAAACCCACGTGGTCCCTAACACTCTTGTTAATAAATTAGCATATCTATTTCACACAAGAGTGGGTAATGCTATAACCATCCTATGCTTCTGGCATGATACCTGTCTTTAAGAAGTCGATTGAAGAGCCATTCTCTAGTTCATGACAGCTTGACTTATCTTCTGCGTCATGACCCCACAACTCGGTTTGACAAATTTAGCAGTCAAAATAAATGATACCCACTTCAGATTCAATTAAGTTTAGGGTCACTTGCTTGATCACAGCTAATAAGCACCCTAACCCACATAACCAACAGAGGAGCAAGAGTGGGCCAAAATAATGGCTGTCACTGGACGGGTAATTGTGGCTTTTCCTTCTCTTCTCTGCTTTTAAGCCAACTTTATGAGGATGGAACAGGACTATGATACATATCACACAGCTCATGATGACAGAGAGCGTGTTTTTTTATCCTCTGGCCAAATACGGTAACTGTGAATCAAGATGGTAAAGTTTCACGGGAGTTTTGAGAGTTTCGTAAGGTTGTGGGAGCTAACATGATATGATTGAAGACCAGCATGGGCAGGAGTATTTGTACGCTCTGGTTAAATTATTGCCTTGGCCTTTCAAATATTTCTGATGACGGAACAAGAGGGAACAAAGGTCACTCAAAATAAGACACGAAAACATAGAACCACTATCAGGTCAAAAAAGAAAAAAGAAAACATAGAGCAACTAGGGTGGTCATCAGCCTACTATACTTGAAGTAAATGATCTTACGCAATGAATAATGTTACTCTTGTATATACAGTGTTCTTTGCAGCAACTAAGCACGAAAGTTTTGATTTTTAATACATGATGATAATAATAATTATAGTGTAGTAGTTGGACAACGGTGGGGTGAAGATTCAGGCAAAATAATAAATTGGAGTAATGATACACTGAACCTAAGTGATCAGTGTCATTAATAATAATAGTCCTAAACCGGTAATAATATAGATAGGCGCCTGGACTGGATTGATTCATCAACATCTGAACCGAGGAGCCCCATCCCCTGGGATATTTTTAAGGGCACTTTAGTTAGGTTAAAAATCATATTGATGTCCGCGAAGAGAAAAATGGTACTGGCCCGGGCAGGGTCCTGGCAAAGATATTTATGGGAGACAGCCAGTTTTTGGGTCCCAAATGCAGCATTCAGCTGAAGGATCGCGAAGGACGAGAATCAATGCAGGGTGCTGTTGGAGGGTAAAGAGGGATCAAACTATAATTTTAAAAATAATTTTATAATATATAAAAAGTATATAAAATAAATTTTATCTTGATTTATATAAAATTATTTTAAAAAAATATTTTTAGGGTTTCCAAAGACTCCATAAATTTTGATTGAGCTTCTATTGCGTCCCTTCCCAATACATGGGTCCTCTCATATTACCAAATTTTGATTTTTATATTCGCAATATCCAATTAACACCTCGTTTGGTGGCCCCTTGGAAAGCATTATTACTGCATTGTTTGTTTGCTTGGCCCAAATGCTCTGCAGTTTACCGAGAGTAAAAGGAAGATGAGCTGGGTGCCGTGTGATAAATCTTCATATTGTTTGTCTGCGCTTTGCCAATTATAAATTATTATATTTGTTTTCTTCTCCCACTTTCTTTATTTCCTTATCATTACATTCCCTTTACCAAGCGGATAAAACGCGACTCGATTTTTACCCATTTATCACACGGCTGACGAGGCAAGGGAAACAAGTGCAGAATCACCCCATTCCTTGTATTTAATATCCACGCTAAGTGTCCACATTTTAGCCAACAAAAAATATTCAAGCCAAGCAAAAAATTACACTTCTTAATAGTACCAACATTGCTTCAAACTCAAATCATATACTACGTCCGGTTCTATATAGCTTATAAACGAAGTCTTATAATTAAAACCAGAAATAGTAATTCGATTTGGCTGAACTGAATTAATTTAAGTTCGGCATTACAGCTTGATTCAACCTACCACGCTTAGGGTATGACTATGTTGACACAAGAAAAGAAATTTTCTGACTGATATTTTCTCTCCAGTAGTTTAACCTAATCGTCAAACATCTTTATAAAAAGAAATTAATCAACACCGCTAATTTGGTTTAACCATGCTGGAATGAACGTAGTAGGCTACAATCTGGAAAAATTGAACTGTTTTTGTCCTCTAAACATGGCATATCAAACCTAAGCAGCTGCATCCTCTTCATCCTCAAAACTCAAATTTAATGTCTGTAACTTAAAGCCTGAACCCTGTATGGTTTCTACCAGACCCGAAGCCACACCTGTAGCTTGCACTGTGGTCTGTTTTTTCAACTGCATCGGAGCACAAATGGTTAGTAATGTCAGTGAAGTACAGCAAGGCCATATAATGCTTACGTTTAAAAAAAGAAAAAAAGAAGAAGGGCATACAGACAAGTAAAGACAAGCATCTTGTTTCATACTAAGTTGTCTGTCATGAGCCCATGTTGAAAGGTATTAAGTTTGACGCAGCATTTATAGTTGAAGGCACACTGTTTTTTGACCCACAATCGCCATTGAATATTGAGGCATTTGAGGATTGCATACCAAGCAGATAAGTTTATATGGTATTGTAATTTAAATCCTGTTGGCCGCTAATTCTGATAACGCATAATAGGATAACAAGTATAGTTGATTATTAAAAGGAAAGAGCAATCATCTTAATAATACTTGAGTACATTAAACAAACCTCAACACTTGCGATTCCCTCAATAGTCTGAACCTTCAAATCTCTTACACCCTCCATCCCCTACAAAAGTAGGAAAGAACATTAATGAGCGAGTTTTGAGGTCAACATACTGTTAGAAAAACGTAGCTAAAAAATGAACAAATTATTTCACAGAATAAAATTAAGTGAAAGCACATGCTAGATTAAGCTACAGTAGTTGCAACAAACAAGAAACATATTGGCCCCACTTCGTTCCCATGGTGAAAGCAGCATATACCATTTAACAATGAAGACATGTCAAATTTACATGTGTAAATTTCAAATATCGTAACAGATTACAGGTTCAAGTACAGGTATGATTAAATTATCTTGTTCTTTCACATAATATTCCAGTGTGATCCTTCATTTTTCTACTCTCCACCTCCAATTCAAAAACAGGGTTGACTATGGTTCCCCAATTCCCTCATAAATTATCAATCATCCATATACATACAAAATCTTATTGCGATCCCAGGTTGACTAGAAAGTATTGAAATACCAAGGACTGAATATTGTAGCCTTATGACATAAACACAGACAGACTTAACAGGCTATTTTTAATTGGAAATTGATGCAGAATATGTCATAGCTTGATTAAGATTCCAAATCATGGCATGTTGTCAAAATGGGCAACTCATTAATATTTATACCAGCACCAACCAACCAATGAAACTGTGCTCGTGTCTTTAAGAGTCAAAAGCTATGGATAATCATTTCACAAACTAGATTCCAATAACAAGCAAGCAACACCATCAGCACTGCTAAGTTCATCAGGAAACTCAGAGAGAAGTATTATTAGCATCAAAACTATGTTGAAAGAAAAAGTGGGAAAAAAAAACATTTAACAATGTCAAATTAGTTTACCTCTAAGGCCTTAGTGACTGCTGGAATGGCTGATTCACTCAGTGTTCCCTCAGCCTCCAAATTTCAAACAGGTAAAATGTAAGTGACACATAAAACAATACAAACCATGAAGTTTATAAATGAAGGCCTAATTGCGACTGCATATACAAACCATTCAACCGACAGAATTGGACTATTGGAGCATCAAAGAGTTTTCTGGTCAATTTCAAGGCCATGATAGCCAACAGAAACTGTTACTTGGATAAGTGGAAGTGAAGTTTTTCTTTTTGGAGCAAAATCAACGATAACGGGAATAGAATTAGCCCAATAATTGAATTGTCAATAATCAAATGAGTTTTCACACGGGCATTATAACAAACAGCTGTTGGTCGAAGTAAAAACTAGAGGTACCTGAAAGAACATGGTGAGAGTATCCGATGGGGAAACGGGAACTACAACGGGTTGCTGTTCGGAAGACGATGGTTCTTCTTGTGGGTCGTCTTGTTGCTGCGGAACCTGTGTTTCTTCTTCTACCGCCTTCACCAACCTGAGTCTAGGATTCTTGCTTCTCAGCTGTTTCAGAGCCCCGTGGGTGAAAGTTGAAGTGGGGATAACACAAGACTGGGAATGGACATTTTGAAAAGCCAAGGATGGAGAAGGACCGGGAATTCTGCGAGTGGTGCAAAATGGCAGGAGAGACGAAAATGCCGATATTGCGACCATCATGAACCACTCTGCGTTGCCGGAGAAGTGGATGGAACTCACAGTTCAATTTGTGTGCCTCTAAGGTGGTCTTGCAACGATGTCTCCCTATCCCTTGAGCTTTTCTACACTTTCTCCAATTAAAAAAGGCCACGTAGCTCGTACGTGTCACGCATCTAAATACCAAACGGTAAACGGTTCTAGCCCGAACTAAAAAAGTGTTTGACAATCCTCTAAATGCTTGTTTACATGATTTTTGGAGTGGAACTTCTTATCATAATCCGTCATTAGAGACCCGTTATGCAACGAACTCTTTGGCGCGTTATTGATGCTACTACTCATCACCCGCTTTTACGCGCGTTGAGATATTTTTCCCTGAAGAAATCATCATTAGAAAGGGCCTTTTAGAGACTGAGCCTTGATTTTATTTACAATTCTAATTTTTTAATTGTTTCTTTTTGCAAAACAGTTATTAAAAGCTCTTCTTTCTGAGAGCGAGCGAAACAAAAACAAAAGCTTATTTTCAGATCGAAACTGACCTTAAAATCATTCATTAACAATTAACAAGTTAACGTATAATTACAATTTCTCTATCAACAAGAACCCAAAAAGAGCGTAGTTTTCAGTCTTCAATGTTTCCCAAAAAAATATAGGAACACCACCAAATCGTTTCCATTTTTCTTCCATCTGAAAACAAAAAATGACAAAAACCGATTGCAAAATAATCAACCAAACAACTTTTTCCGTTTTTCGTTTTCGAAAACAATGAACACCTTTTAGGATGGAAATCAATAGAGGCCCAAAAGAGGGCGTTAGAAGTCCATTCCACGAAAAAAGTTGTTTGCGATGTTCCTCCTTGGACTGGCCGAAAAATCTCGCATCCCAGAACGAGCCATCCTTTCAAATTCAACACAGAATGATTTGGAAGATAATGCATCATCAAAAGGCTGATACAAAAGCTGTAATGTAGGTAACAGTTTTGGATAATGCATATACATGTCACTTGACCAAGAGCCGAGTGTCTGATAGCCAGGGACTGCACATAGATAGAGCCATAGCGGGACTAACTATAATAACGGCATTTGTGAGAGAGAACCACATCTATTAGGGGCCAAAATAGGGTTTATCTATATATTCATAAATATTTAACATGTTCCTTCACCTACTTAGTTTTCCTCTGGCATAAAGCCAAGGTATTAGCACTGACAATCTTCATCGACCTGGCCAGCTGCAAAAACATAGAAATCAATCAGCTTTTTCTTCGTCCTAACAAATGCAAACATATGAACATGCCCCGGTTGATAAAATGTTCAGTTGCTCAAAATGAGATGGATGGATATCTTAAGGAGCAGCATTATATTGTCCAATTATATCATGATGGAAAATCAGGTGAGTATTATGAGCTGCTTTGGCACACATTTTTATTTTGCATGCAGTGTAAAGATTCTCAGTAATTAAAAATGCAAAAGAAAAGGAAAGAAAAATAAAGAATTCATGGTTTGAACTTAAGAAAATAAGACAATGAAATACAAGACTTGTGGGGATAAGGCTTTACCTCTGAGATTTACGGCCAAGTTTGCTTGGACATCAGCTTCAGAATTATATTCCTTAAACGTGAATAAGAGTATGTTATTCACAGACAGATTACCAGTGAGGTGGACACAAACTTAAAAAAGAAAACGATAGTTGCCAGCAAATCAAACTACAGAGAACAATGGTCATGTTTCACGTAGTAGCCTAATGCTATTTGCCAGCCAAGACTTTGTGAAGACCGGAACCATCCATTTCATTAGCAATAATTCAGATATTAAGCCTATGCATCAAACACTCGTGGGAAGAAGCATAGTTCTTAAAACTTCTCAGAAAAGATAACCACTAAAAGCTTGCTTCCTCAATGGCTTTAGCCAGTGAAGCAGACTCGTGCCCTTTTTGGAGATTGCAGCCTACGTAGGTTTTAAAGTGTTTCCTGGTGGAGGCAAGCTATGGCTAGCAGAAGTGTTGCCTGTGTCCTCGCCTTTGAAGCTGAGGAACAAATGGTGATTGTTAACTGTTCAAGGAGGAGGAGGAGGAGGGAAGAGGCGGAAGGAGAAGCAGTAAAGAATGACCAGTACTCCATAAACTTGAGCGCATGAGGTATGAAATTCGAAACAAGTAGATATAAAAAGAGGGAGGCATGAAGAGGAAATTTCTTGTATAGCATTTATGGATTCTTGAGCACTGATGTATGAGGAGGAGGAGCAGAAAATAGAAGATGGCCAGGATTATACAGCCATTTGAACCATCCATTTACGGCCTGGTTTTCTCGCTACTCTTGGTATACAGGGAAGTTAATAAGCATTAAACAAAAGTAATTGCACGGCAAATGCATAATAAGAAGAGAGTACCAATCCTGTCTAAGTACATTCCAAACAAGGTGAAATTCTCGATCATGCTAGTAAAATGGGGCATTCAAATTGGAATCTGCACAACTTTATAGGTAAACAAGGAAAGGGGGCATTCTTCTAAAATTGTCTGAATTTTAAAAATGGTAGAGAGCTTAAAATTACCCTTAGAACATGGTTAATTTGGAATGATAAAAAATTATTCGTCAGCTCCTTGGCCTCATTACATAAGAAAGCCATATTTGCATTTTTGGTTTTCCACGAACCCTTCATCTGTCACAAAAGCGATGAACAAAAATTAACCAGCAGAAAATGTGCAATAAATACAAGGTAAATGGTAGTTTGATTTCAATGCAGTATTATATCTAACATTTTAGAAGGATTTGAATTAAAGGAATCCAAATTTTTTCATTTGATTAGGGCGCTAATAAGGTATAACGTGATAGCTAACTTCAAATAGTCCTACAAATGTCCATGTAAACACGTCACGCTTTCCCTCTTTCCTTGATTTTAATTTCATTACAATCAAATAATGCAACATCCAAAAATCAGTGAGCAGGGGATGGAGAGCAATATGCATAAATTGAACATATGAAGAATGATGCACACTCGACAAGGGAAATGACAAACCTGATTGCAGACAAGCAGGGAGTCTCCTTGGACACGGATGTGTTTATATCCTCTCTTAATGGCATGTTTCAATCCCAAAATTAGACCACGATATTCAGCAGCATTATTTGTTGCTAAGCCCACTCCCTCGCGCAAATGACAGACCTATGCAGGCAACTCAGTGAGCCATATTCTGCAAAGAATATTTCAAAACAAATCTTGCGTAGAATATATACCTTGCTTCCATCTTCAGAACGCAGCACAGCTCCTGCACCAGCTGGTCCAGGATTTCCTTTTGCAGCGCCATCAAACTCAATAATACAAGAAAGCTGAGGATATGATACGTCTAAGATTCATTGTTGCAATAATTTTTTAGAAAAGGTACGTCATTATTACATTAAGGAATAGATATAAATTGAAGGGGGAAAAAACAAGAAAAGAAAAGAAACACCGCCATAGATGACAAAACCCGTATTGAGCAATAATATTTTTGAAAAGGTATGTCACTATAACCTTAAGGAATAGATATAAACTGGGGGGGGGGGGCCATTATAGATGACAAAACCCATATTGAAAAAAGAGGAAAGTTCCACCGTCTAAAGGCAAAATGCCTAAGATTCAAAGGGAAACAAACTTTTAAAACATTAACGAAAAATTAAAGACCTACGGACTGATGCGTGCGCTACCACCAGGTCTTACAACTACAATGTATAAGAAAGCTTTATTGTCATTCAACGGGACATTATTTTTTTTTACTTTTGAACATATTCTGACCCTGGTACAAATCCCAGCCAAGCCAACCAGGCAAGCAAAGACAACTCATCATTACATGAGTTCTCAGCCAAACTAATTGCTTTATTAAATTAAATCGAAAGTACACAAGCATAAATTATACATTTTTGATGTACCAAAAACGTGAGCATGCACTGAAATTAAAGCAGCTACCCTGGGATGTAAACCATCTGGAGAATGCCCATAACACACACAAAAATACTACCAGAATTTGATGAAGAAAACGTACTGATATTAACAAACCAACTTACACAAGCCAACATATCTGATTGAGCTGCATTAAAAATTTGATGCTTCTCAGAATTTGATGAAGATAACGATGATCCGACAACCTTTAGCTAGACAAGAAGGGGAAAGAAGACATATAGTCAGCACACTAAAACTAGGAAAATGATAGTAAATCATAATTTAGCGTCCAAATTATAGGATTATAGATTTTACGTCATAATTTAAATCCTAACATATCTAAAGGTAGTTAGACGACACAATAGACCTGGGAAATGCTTTGATCTTCATATGAATAGTGGCCGCTGAACGATCCAAAAGCGTGCCATGCTATAAATAACCTTGAAGTGCACAATGTTTGTTTTTCATTAACATTGACCACTTACATTATTATCAGGTTGATCAGCCCCTCGCAACACCTTCGATGGTAAATTTATCCCAAATGATTTTCCTCCAGAATGGTATGGTTGCTGAAAGAAAATTACAATTCGTTTAAGTTACCTTTTTTTTCAATCTCAAGATAGCAGGAGACACAAATTTCACAAGGTCTGGAGTAGCAAAAGGCAAAGAAAATTAAGACTTTCACAACAGTAAACCGACATTATCGTCGCATCAGACGAAAAGGAAAAGCGCCTATAGCACTCGAACCTGGTAAGGACAAGCAACAATTCTTCCAAAAAGTCCTTCGCTCACATCAGCGGCGCTGATAGAGTAGGCAGCCCCCCTAACCCCGTGTGAGGCAAGGTGCTCCTCAGCTTTCTTTGATAAAGAATATCCTTTATAAATCTCCAAGGAGCCAACCTGTTGGAAACTTAGAGCATGCCAAATGTGAGTACTCAAATGGGAGAACATAACCAAAAAAAAAAAAATGCCAAGAACCTAAAAACAATCCTACTAGTTCAGTATAGTAGTGATAACGAAAACAAAACATCCCATAAACTTGATGAAGATAAAAGCCTTCCGTACTCTAACGGGCAACCCAAGACCAAGATTATGCGTCAAACAAGTAGGCTTAACAGTACTTACAGAAGATGCGAGAAGAACTTGGATGTCACTCAAACTCTTGTAAATGCCAACAACGTCACCCTTCCTGACGAGGTAGAAAGCATCCTTCTCTTCCGACATTGGAAATCTGCAAGCAAGAGACCAGCATCTTAGTTTTACAAAAGGAAGAGAAAAACACACTCAATTAATGCCAAAAGAAGTTGTTCATTGCATGATCCACCAACCCAGTTCCAGAGTCACTGATGATCACCGCAAGACGTAACGCCCAAAATCGACCGACGGGGAGAAAACGTTAAGGAGCGACGGCGATGGTGATACAAATTTCAAAGTTTCAAACTTTTGAAAGAGAGTGAGAGTGTTCAGCCCAAAAAAGAAAAAAGAAAGAAATAGAGTGAAAGTGAAAAGCTGAAAAGACAAGTCGAGCAACGAAAAGTAGCCTCGGGGAAGGAGCCTGGCACTGTGAGATCGGCGGGAAGTGACGGGAGAGCGGAGACTCAGTAACGTGTTTTTGTTGTATATAGCGTCTGTGGAAGCCCACTAAGGCCCATTAAATTAATTAGGCTCGCTACTTGGATCCAGCTGGCTACAGTCGGACTTTTTGTTTTTGCCAGCAACTACAGTACTGGGCTTTCGATTAAAACAATTCAATCATGAGGCGCAGGGCTTGGATCCAGCTGGATCCAAGCAGTACTTCTCATGATTACATTATGGGCCTTCACGGACTATTCATTGACCTTACCTACAAAAGCCCGTTACTGTAGTCAGCTGGATCCAACTCTTGGGCCTCGTCAGCAAATTAATGATTACTTTTCCTTGCTAAAGCCCAATAAACCTAACCTCGTTCCTATGATTCGCCACGCTTTTATCCAGATGACAAAAAAATGAAAAGACACTTTTATCCCCACGGATTTTCAAGTTATTTTATTCTTTTAGTAAGAAGAGATAATTGTATGTTCGAAAATGAATTTGAAATCTTCACCAAAAAAGAAAAATATACTCCTCCGGTCCTTAATATAAGACCCATTCAACTAATTTGATTAGATTAAGGAAGTTAGGTAAGTTAGTTAATTATAAAAAATATGACACGTTTTTTCTAAAATATCATAATCATATTTCTTAATACCTCATATTTCTCTTCTACTTGATTATGGTTAAAAGGGTATCCATAGGGGTAATTTAGAGATAATTGATAAATATGATAAATGGGTCTTATATTTAGGACCAAAACCAACTTACCAATTGGGTCCTATATTAAGGACCGGAGGAGTATATATGAACCAATATATAATAAAAAAATAAGTACCTGGTAAAACTATTCATGAACAGTACAATATATTTTTATGAATTTTAAGAAAAATTTGTCTAGTTGAAAAAGGAGAATTTGATGGGGGGTGTGTGTAAACAATTAAAAACAATTTTATATAAAATAGGGGGAAAGCCTAAAATTATTTTTTTCCAAATCAAAAATTAATTGTTGCACCACAGTATATTCTAAATATATTTGAAATAAACCATTAAATTAATATAATATTAGAATAAAACTATTTCATTAATATTTATACCCAAGTTATCCAGCACGCATTGCGCTAGAGAAACTGTTTGAGCTTGTGCAAATATATATTCTCAGAAGAAATTACGGGGTTGTGGTTCCTTTTGTTGGCCAAAGTTACTGGTTGTGGTTAAAATTCAGTTTTATCCATAATTAATTAAATTCGTAAATTATATCAATTGGATCCCCCCCCCCTTTTTGTGGGGCAGGTGGGTATCCGCTTGCATGAAGTAATTGGATTGGATGGTTTTAACGGGAATCATTTCTTCCTTCTGGCCGAAGACCACCACTGTTCTATTGAGAGGTAGCTGCGCAAAGAGGAAGTTGTGGTTTCTGTGTTTGAGAAGTAACATGGGGATGTGCCCCACAAGGAATTAATATCAAAGATGGGGCTCAAACTGTTATTAATTGAATTGCCCAATCAAAAGAACAAGACAAATTCGTTAGCGCCGACACATTTAGTACCTGTGTGCATGTGTCTATACAAAGATACAGCTATGAAGTCTGCAGAATGGAATCCTGAATGATTATTCCTTCACTGTGGGATAAACTCGTTGAAGTGGTAATGACAGCTTGACTTGGGATTTTGTATTTGTGTGTAAAATTGGAATGTGCCGCAAGAAATTAAAATTAATGATAACTTTTGGTCAAATTGTTATGTGTGGAATTACTGGCGCATATGAAATTGGCTGGACTGTACTCTCTTCCTTAACAGGGAGACTTTCTTTATTATGAGGGCAAGTTATACCCATTTCACAAGCCAATGATGCCTGAGACAATACATACAATTATGCTCCAACATTATATTCTTAGGTCTAAAAAGCTTTACATCAGTAAAATCCACAGAAGCCAATGAATCACCAATTTATGATAATTAAAATCTCAAAAAAAAAAAAAATCAAAAAATGAGCAGAGATTCTTTTCCTATGGATCCTCAACGCTTATTATTTATACCTTCTGATTATATCATCATCTCTACTTTTACCTCTCATGTTTTTTTGCCTGCTGATCGTATAAGATATGAACTTCAACAATCCTAGAACATTTTACTTGCCTTAATATTTCAGTCCACCTGCTCACCAATTAAATCCAAACCCATTATCAGAAATGAAAGTCCTTGGAAAAGCAGGAAATAGAAATGAACCCCATGTGCTGATAGAAGACTTCTAGCAGATGCTGTGAGTAAAAGAAAAGCAAGTGCAAGCTCCTTCCTGTAGATTCTGTTTCTCTTCTTCTTAGGGGCTACTTCCACTTGCTTGAGTTTTGTTAGTAACTCCAAGCCAGACTCAGAATGCCTCCTCAGGATTTTATCTTCACTTGAGGACTTTGATTCTCTCTCAGCCAGGGATAACAAATCTGACTCAGATGATCTGCCTGTCTTCTTTGTCACCACCCACTCATATGCACTTCCTAGCTGAAACAGCCCAGAAATCATGGCATTGAATTTGGTCACTGACATGGTGTTCTCGAAAAGCAGGTAAGGTACTAAAAATGGGACAGATTTTGGAGCAGGGAGTATGTTCAAGAAAGACATGAAAATTGGGACATAGCAGATCACCCAAAGGGGTAATTCAGCTTCAGGTATGAACATGGTCAAGGGCAGGATGATACAGAACAATGTGAATGAATAGAAGGGAAGGATAAGTTTCCTCAGTAAGAAGAAAAGAAAGATCAAGTTTGCCTTCTTCCACGCTGTTATCTGCATAAAACCATATCAGACTTTAGAAGATCGTAACCATGTATCCCAGTGCAACGGCAGTACAACACTAAGATCAAATTCTATCATCAAATTCACTGATTAAAAAAACTCAACGTGAGGAAAAACTACTTTGAAAGGACTATTTATGTGTTGTAGGATTGAGAAAAAAATTTCACATGCTATATTACCGTTAAAAATGATCTTCTTAAATTAAAAGAAGTGGGAATTCATTAAGACCTTGGAAGTTATTATAGCAGGGAGACATAGACGGAAAAGCTGCATTGGACCAGAGTGCCAGCGGTGTTGCTGTTTCTTGTAAGCCTCGTAAGACTCTGGTAATTCACAAAGCACTTTAACATCGTTAAGGAAGATGAACTTCCATCCTTTCAAGTGTGCTCGGACAGCTATATCCATGTCTTCCACTGTCGTTCTCTCCAGCCATCCACCAGATTCCTCCAAGGCCTTTATCCTCCACACACCTGCTGTTCCATTGAATCCGAAGAAATTAAGGAAATGGCCATTCACTTGTTGCTCCACCTCAAAGTGAAAGCACAGGTTAATGTTCTGAAGCCTTGTGAGTAAGTTCTCATCTTTGTTCACAAAGGCCCATCTAGCCTGAACCAGACCCACATCTGGCTTTCCCTGTAAAAGAAAATGTCACGACATTTTTTAAAGAGATTTGTCCAGATTCTTTAGTCCAGACTAGAGAAAGCAATTTTCAGACTTGTCCTTATTTGAGTTTTCGTGATAGTATAGTACCTTGAAATGGGGGATGGTTTGTTTCAGGAAATCAGGGTTTGGCTGGAAATCTGCATCGAAAATTGCGACAAACTCATAGTCTTTAACATAGTCACATGACATAGCTGACTTAAGATTCCCAGCTTTGTACCCAGTTCTGATCAGTCTATGCCTGTACACAATGTTCACCCCTTTCCCTTTCCACGAGGAAACCTCTTCTTTGATCAGAAGCTGCACATGTCCATCGTTTGAATCGTCCAACACTTGAATTAATATTCGGTCCTTTGGCCAATCCAGTTCACAAGCAGCACCGATTGATTGAGCATAAACCTACATAAAATTAAACTCAATGCTTCAGGTGACGAAATTGTAAGGATGTTAACACCAACAACTCAATCGAATTTTACTGGGTCAATTTCTGCTCTCTTACCTCTCTCTCGTTGCACATGGGAATCTGAACGAGGACCATTGGGAAGTTTGAAGGGTCCTCAACGTCACAAGCATCTGCTTCGAGGGTGGGCTTCAGTTTCTTATATTTGATCCAGAAACACCCAATACAGAGTACGAGCCGATCCAGAGATTGGATTAAGAACAGCACAATGCAGAACTTGGAGACCGAGACTACGACAGGTGCAATGTAATCTTCTCTGAAAGAGAGCCAGGCCACGTAAGACCACTGAAGAAGGCTTGTAACTTCCCATGGCTGAATCATACTATGCAAATTCCACTTGTTGAAATGAGCAATGAGTTCCATGGCCAAACCCGCAACTGAGAGAGCAAGAAAAATCTTGATGAACCTGTAGAGCCTTCCTCTGTACTTGGAATCTTCATCACTTACGTCGGACAAGGAAATGCGTTTCTTGACCAACGCAAACGTGGCTTTTAACGCCATGGTCAGCCACGAGAAGCAGGTGAAAACTCTATGGAGTTTGAGTAGAAGAACCCATGTGAACTGCTTGGGACTTGTGCCCTTTTGCTTCTCGGGAAACAGGGGAGACTGCGAATCGTCAACAATTAACGACGAAAAGTCCTTGGTCGTCTCGATCGTCACTGGAACTGAATTTGGAGCCATCACTCCTCCTTGGATTTCAAGTTGGAAGAAGAAATCAATGAAGACAGTTAGATCCCAGACGAAGATTTTGGGAACAGAAGCAAGGTTCACCTATGGGAGCTTATCTGGGCATCATGAATGCGCCAAAGAGCAGAAAAGAACAGTCAGGAGAGCCATTTGATCGGAAATTCTCCACTAAATTCTGAATCTAACCAGAACCCAGAAGTTCAAACTGACTTTTGCATATCAGCCGAGCTCAAAGTTTGAGCCTTGTTAAGAATAAGAGACCAAGAGAGAGAGGGAGGGAGGGAGAGAAAGCCACTTTGACGGGCTTAAGCAAGGTATTAATAAAGCAGAGAGCTCCAAGTGAAGAACCAGTTTAAGAATTTACGATTTTACGTGAAGCAAAAACAATGATCAGATGCAATCAAACCTCTTTTACTCGCAGCATATCTCCAACTCTGATTGGTTGATTGACCTATAAGACGGACAGCCTGGCCTCATTCACCAATGTCTAAAGGCCACGTAAGCAGCCCACGCGCTATGAATTTGATCTTATTTTTTTCTCAATAAATCTGTCGGAGTGACAACTAGATACAGCCAAACTGCATATTATCACCACGCGGCAAAATTCTTCTTGTCTGTTGCACTGCATGCTGTGAATCACCACATAAATTTCCTCGCAACCTCTGTTTCCCACTCACTAATGGTAATAACTGAATAGTCAAAGATGGAATACTTCCCTGAAATCTGAATAACTTCTTACTCCATGATTTCCCTTCGGCATTAAATGAGAACGCTCGCTGTCCTGTTGATTTATTGAATGCCCGTTGTATAAATCGTTATCGAGCAGTGACATCAAGAGAAGCACATTGACGTTACACGTGAAAAAAAAGGGCCAAATCAGGCTGTTATTTTTGGCTTGGTTTTGGGAGTTTTTGGATAGAAACTAAACCATGGTTTCAAAAGTGTTTTTATGGTTTACAAAGTAAACATGTGGAAGAATTTACCTTATTTTATAGAAAAGTGCTTTTTAAAAATACTTTTGAGGATTGCCAAACATCCCAGTTTCAGAGTTGAAACTAAGTTTGTTGGATTTCGAGCTGCGAAAGTCAACCAGAATAGTTAGTGGGATGGAACATGAATGGGAAATTGAAGACAACGTTTGTGCCTCCATTGATGCCGCGTTTGAGGGTTGGAGTCAAACTATGAGCATGTTGCTTCGATCTATCGGGTGTGCATATTCAATTCCTTATTAAGCAGGTGAATGTTGATGGACAATCTAGTAACTTTCCAGATTGGATCCTCATTTAGCTCGTTCATGGCATGGATGATTATTCAGATATTACTTTACTGCCAAAAAAAAAAAATCACTGCATCATGCAAACAGAGGACTAAATGGTTAGTACTACAATTTTTTAAGTGGCACGCTGGGAAACCATTTTTGACCATTTTGCCGAAAATGTAAACGCCATGATTGCATAGTGAGAAAGCAAGCCTCCTCCGGTATCTTCGTGGAGGGATCGTGGGGGTAGGTCAGATTTTTCTTTTCCTATTAATTAAAAAAGAAAAAAATAGAACCAGAACCCTTTTTAGCCCGACTATTATTATTGTTGTTGTATCAGTCGATTTTTTTAGTAGATGGTGTTAGGCCCACAAAATAAAGAAAGCTTCTTGGTGTGGTTTGGGATCGGAGAGAGCTTGTCGGTGGGATCTCAAAATGAGATGATATTATATTTGAGGTCCTTAATCAGGCCTTTTAAATTAGAGCAGTGGGGCCTTGCTTTGCTTTTAAAATGGCTTACCCATTATTGGCTACTTGCACAGAGAAAAATGAGACGTTATTGTTCTGTAAACCTTCAATGAACGTTGATTGATTCTGAACCAACTTTAGTGGATGATACCGATCATTTTGCTCTTTTGCTTTAGATGCGTGTTTTCAATGTGCATGTGAATCACGGTTCTGAAAAATCTGTTTCCAAATCCATTTTATTGTTTATACAGTAAGACTGGACACTCCAGTACACTACCACTGGATCTGTCCTTTCGGTCCCACAACCACCAAGAACATTGAAGCTTCCATAACAGCTAGCTCATTCATAAAAAATTTCTGCTCTGATTCATCTCAGAGGAATAACTTGTAACTGCGTAAGCTTTGCAAGCAGTTGTATTAAATGAAAAAACACACACATTCTTAAAGTTCATGCAATATATATATTTCTTCTTTTTTGTTATCAAACGGGTGTTACTGTTAAGACAGATATGAGATAACAATGGGAATAAATTATTATGTTTCAATCTCAAAAACTTAATTTAACCATTCAGTAACTTTTTTTTCTTAACTGATTTCATCTTTTGATGTACTAAAGTCGTAGCTTTTATTTCTGAAGTTAGTCTTAAATAAGAAAGGTAATCATTACAGAATTTTATTGATTGGATAATTAAATAAAAGAGAATAAACTTTAAAGAATCAATTTTTTTTCAAAAAAGAAAACAGCCATTTTCACAGAACTATAACTATGATTATAAAGGAAGTTCTCTCTACCTGTCCCTCTCATCTTCATACTGAAGTCTGCTGTTGTGTATGTTTTGAACATTGCTCTACAAAATCATCATCTTTTTGTGAATGAGGATAAGGAAAAGACAGTGTTTGATGGGGTTTGTAGCAGAAGGAAGAAGAAAGAAAAAGGCAATGAAATGAGACTTGTGTGAGTGTTGGGTGTTGAGCAGACTTACATGTGATCTCAGAACACCATCAGATGAGTCCCCATGTGATCAGCTACTCTGGCCATACCTGTCTTCTGTCCCCATCCATCTTTCTCACACACAGTTGTGAAATCTATCAATTAATTATACTTTTTCCCTTCCTTTTCCCGTATTATTCTCTCCCAGAAAATGATATAGAAATACGCCAATTAATCACTTTCTTTTGTATCAAAATGATACAGCCTTTAATCATTCGTCACTGTCAATCTCATAAATCCAACCTCGATTCTGATGGGAGATCACTATTTCCCCAAGATCCACCTATTCTGGCATGATTCCCCAGGTATCGTCTGCTGATCTTGAGTTTCCAGCAATTTTTTTTTTCCTTCTGTTTGTTTTTAATATGTTAGCTCGAGAATATTTACACAATATTATTATCAGGAAGTCACATGATTATGCAAAACTGTATAATATAGACGACTATTTGAATGCTGATTTCGATTTAATATCTTTAAGGAGCAAAGCAATCGGTAGCTTCAAGACATGACATGACCAGCTTAATTCACGGATTATATATGATTCTGGGCTTCCAATAAAGTTTGATAAGATTTCTCTTTCTTTTTCTTTAATCACCCACAGACTTTAACACCATGGCCTTCTAGTTCATCCATGTCTTAAGGATCCCACATAGCGAACCCCATTATGAGTCCCGATTTGGAACCGGTGCACATGGGGTTAACCACAGGTAATGCCCAATACACCATACTTTGTATTATATATGAAGCCGACCAGAGTAACATGCTGCGTACACAAAACAATTCAAAATACCATATTAGCGAGGCTTATTAAATATGCATGAAATATGCACCCTAACAAGAGGACAATGGTCCACAGTATTGTGAGCCACTAGCGAGCTACTTCAGTATATCACCAGCTATATCGTCTACCGGGTTCTTTAGCCAAGACAAACAAGCACTAAGGCAGCTAAGCCAAATTGAAGATAGTTTTTTTGATGCTACTTATTCAATATCAATTCAAGTTAAATAATTACAGCACGATCAGGTTAGCAATCAACTGTACAGGAGAGGGTTTTAGCGCATTCATTAGCTAGAAAGCCAACAAACAAGTCAACTTCAAAAGCTTACTCTTCTCCTTTTACTGTACCGATAGGTGCAGGAGCTGGCCTCTGATGGACTCAAACTCAAGGCGAAGGTGCATGAGGAACTGAAATAGACGTTGCGGATCTCGGGCCTTCTGCTGCTTCTTGGCACAGCCACAGGCGGAATATGTAGAACATAACTCCTCCATGGAGGAGGGCTGGTGCCAAGAAGGGATAATAGGATAAGCCAATGTGCTGATATGCCTAAGTTCAACTGCTTTCTACGCCTAATATATTACGAACATTGTAAATATTGTATGTAGGTGCATCAAAGAAAGAAATCTTTTTGCCTGTTTCTCCCTTCTTGTGAACAGACACCTTATTAAGGACATATCTCATGTCCTATCGTAGTCTATAAAAAATGTAGCTATCAAAGAACAGATAACCGTTCTGGAAATATTCAAGCGCTCTTTGTTCTAAGAAAAAACTTGTTGGCTCCTGTTGAGTTCTTTTATCTTTTGTTGTTTTGTCACCCCATAGTTATATAGGAAGGGTTCGTTTAATCCTAAAAAATGCCAATATACCGGTATGCCTAGGTTTAGTTGCTTTCCACTAGCCTTCTATATTGAGGCCATTACCATATCTTGTTCCTCGTTGTCCGTAATATGATTGGCAACTATTCACAACTTGTAAATCTTGACATGGTTGTCCCTTCTCCTCTTCATGTGGGAAGATAGATCTTTTGTCATGAAACATTACCTTGGTCTCTTAGCTTTTTTGCAGGCGAAGATGCTTCTAGCCGAAGTGATTGGCAGTTAGAACAACTCAATTCTGAAAATACTGAGGACATGTCTGTGAAAATAGTCTCGCAGTTTTCTCTTCGGGTCTTGTTATGTTAGCAGATTACTCAAACGAGAATATTCAAATCTTTTTGTTGTCATTAGTCTGTCGAGCGTCATAAGCAACTCAAACTTACTATAGGGGAACAAATAATTCGCAAAAGATTCTAGGATGATTAAGTCTTTGATCATAAGGACATTTAATGTTGTGCCTTCGAGCAATCTAATGTTATTCTGATTCATCTTACTGCAGCTCTAACTAACACTCATTTTCCCCGCAGAGAGACCCCACCAATAAAGATGAGACTGTCAACTGTCAAACTGCCACCGTGCACGGTTTCCTGATAGACTTTGATTGAGTAAAGATAAGCCATGTCCTACAACTCTCACGGAGGAACTGTGTTTTACTATTATTATTATTTTCTATGCCAGCATCGTTACATTGATGGGTTCAAAGTTTCTATTCTACTTTGATTCTAACTGTTAGGAGAAGAATGGAGAACAACAAATGGATTCCTGAACAGTATACAACTCCTGGACAGATAAATGAATATTGAGAGATATTGATCAGCGTAATAGGTAGGGACAAAAATTGAAGAATGAGTTATTTTCAATCAAGGCCCAAGAACACAAGCTCATAACAGAATGCATCATTTCAGTACCTCCATGTTCAGCCTATCAGCCCACCAGCGGAATTCAAAGAAAACCAGACACCCTGCATTCTCTAAGTGCACGGGTTTTTTCGGATATCATATAAACTTCCCATTTGAGTCAAAGAGATAAATCAGCGATGTAGCAATCAAGTACTAGCCGGGCTCAGTTTGGCATTTCCAGTAAGTGCTATTTCCGTTGTATTATAACCTTTTTCATGAAAATAACAAAATTGCATGAACCTTCATTCGTCGCTCGGCCGCCCAAATTACTATCAAAAGTCAAAATTGGGAAGCCTCAAAGCCTTTATGTCTCAATCTCAACAATGAAGCAGTTACTTGAAATCCTTCTCTAGTGATTCTGACCAGATAATGCTTCAGGCCGGAAAAAAAAATTGAAAAAAAAATCCAGGTACTGTTGAAATGCCAAATGCAATGCATGCCGATCAGTCTGCTTTGATTCCTATGCTGCAAATCTTCTTTATCTACAAAAACCCAGCCTCAATCACTATATGTCTTCAATTGAGCAAGCATTGCTTAGGAATTAACAATTTGCCTTGTGCTTTTTCAGCGCTCAAGCTATGCGTATTCCCGCTTTCTGGGTAGTTCTGACAGGCTATTCTTCTTGCTTTCTGCAGCTTAGGAGGAGCCTGGGAGGTTTAACACATTTTGATTGTCACGACCGACTAAATGTTATGCTTATTCAGTAGCATGAAAAACACTTGAGTTCTGTTTTTTGCCCGGCGAGTCCTGAAAGACATTTAACATGGTGAAATAACCTGAAGCTAAGCGCTAATCAAGTGATGAGTTTGCTCAGCATATCAAACAGAGAACTGAAGCACGACGTTGAAGCAGTAAAAAGTGGCTCTCAAGACTCGAGGTACCAGGAGCCAGCATAGGATACAAGTGGCGTGTAAAACTAACCAAACTAGGACCTTTTTCTCAGGGAGAAACAAGCATCCCGTGATGAAGTACTGAAGGCTAAATCTCCCACCACTTTTCTGCCCCCGTATCACAGGGCCCCGAAACGAGGGCATAACTTCAAACACCTGATATGCGCCCTGTAAAAGTGGGCATCTCGTGGTCATAGTTAAACCAGCCTGCTCAACCCACTTTTGGAATCAGCATCCGGTTAGCAATAAATAAAAAATACAAAAGGACACCACATATAGAAATAAAACCATACATTATCAAGCAATAAAGTAAAAGGTGAGTGAGAAATGAGAATGGCAAGAGTAAGACAAAAGAAAAGGAAAAGGACGAAGATGGGGGGAAATAGTGAGGAGTGGGCTTGAATAAAGAGAGACAAGTGGCGAGACAGCCATCAGTGCTGGTCCACCCATGAGGCCCAAAGCCATCATACGCCAAACAGGCAAAGAACTGACTTTAAGACATCCAAAACGAAAGCCAGAGTCGCTGAAAGCGACCTGCATCATGTAATGTGGAAAAGAGCTTAAAGGCTAAAGCAGTTTCCGTGTGTACAATTATTATTTGTCGTTGTTAGAAGCTGTCAAAATCTTTCACTTTCATACCCCACCTCACCCCCTTCCTATATACTTTGTCATCTCAAACACGCACACCTCCCACCCCTCTTTTTACATATCATCAAAGCTGAGGCTGATCTCATCTCATCCCCCACTTTCGCTTTACTTTCATCCCCCATGCTCTGCACAATATCAACCACTCAATTCAGTTGATGTTTCCCCGTAAAACTTGCTCTTTCTATTTTTGGTCCCAAGCGTCCCTTCTGGCCCTAAACCTTGTCAGCGCTACGGATTTCACAATCTCAATCTCTCAATTTTCCCAGTTTGGTCTCTTGCTGGTAAGCGGCAGCCGTGCAAAAAGGATCATTGAATTTATTTTATTCAAAAACTTTTTAAGAATCCACCGCCTCTACGGATATCAATTTTGGTTCCTTTAAGTTTCATTCCAAGCGGTAATATTTGTGTTTGTAAAGTCTTTCTTTTTTGTCTGTTTCTTGGTAAAGGGAATACTAGATTGTCGTAAGAATTTATCTGATTTTGCCTACATACGTCATCATCTTATCAGGGTGAGCAACATTAACGTGTATTAGTTGGACGAATCTTCTCGGCACGTCGTTTTCTACTGTAATCTTTTGACTTCTTATTCCTTAAGAAAGCAAAGGTATAATAACTGGCACCAAGAATTCGTTTAAATCTCCCTGGGTCAAGGCCTTCCATGTGCTTAAACAATTGGTAGTGCGTGATTACCTGACCAGGTAGCCTCATCTACTATTTTTAATTACAATTCCAATGACCTGTTCCATGTTGTTTATGTTCTTCTTTTTCCTTTTTCTGGCCCTTGAAATGACAACATCAAAGACTTTGAAAGAGCAGTACGTATTTGGAATGCACAATACTCCCAAAGAGAAACGCAAAGAATGCTGTGTTTTTAAATGAACCTGGAATCTCTCTTTGTTCGTCTTGTCTTTTCTGGGGAGTTAATGAGATTCGAGCTTTGAAAATGCTGGCCTTGATGCCTGCATCAAAATCACTTGCGGATGATGGCAAGGCCAAAGAAAATGACTCCTGAAAATGACGATTGATGCGCCTTAAACCATCTTCCACCATTAAATCAGTATAAGGAAAAAAAGAATTTCGTCTTTCTCGCTTCATCTTTTTCCCCACACACACATAAATATATCTTTGATCTTGATAAATTCTGATAGAATATTCCCATTTTTGATTTTGATAGCCGTTGGAATGTTTTTACATCTTTATAAAATAGTACATGGCTAACTCCAATCTGTTAGAACTGCGTCACAAATATTTGCGTTCACGACGACATATAATCACTTCAATTTAACGGAATGACGAATATGGACATCGTTACAAATTTATTGTCATCCTTCCTTCTTCTTCTTCCTCCCCCTCCTTTTTAAATCAAACCTCAAAACGACTTTTTGTTTTTGGGACCAAACCTCGACCAGTTATTAGACCGCACGGCATTAAAAATCGTATGAGACCAACCGTTTTTTTAGGCGAACCCCGGCTTTCTTTCTTTCTTCCCCCCCCCCCCCCCGCTTTGTAAATTTGTTCTGCAAAGATGACCAATACGTATTAGTGAAACATGATGCAATGCCGCAGAATTCAGACATAATGTGCAAAACAAAAAAAATCAAGTAAAGGGATTTTTATATTTTTGAAATTTACACAAAGCTGATTCGAAAATAAATAAATAAATAATGAAACACGCAAAACGCCTACGTGTTTTGATTGAAATTGCGTAATAACCAGCTAAAATTGATGTATTTCGGGAAAAAAAATACAGTTTAATAGAATTTGAGGGAAAACGAGTGTTCATACAAATTTGCTAAATTTTATAAGTGGTAATTCGGATATAATACTATATATTATATAACATAGTCTTGTTGAAAATTGTAAAAAATTCATGTTGGTTGAACAAATTATACAGCCTAAATCACAAGTTCAGTACATTTCCCGAAACTTGAGAAGTGCTCCATATTGCTCGGAATAAATATTATATATCAACTAACTAAAAAAGGACTTGAATATTAAACATTATATAGAAATAATTATTTTACATATAAATACACAAATATGCTGGAATATAAAGATTTGTTTGAAAATTTAACTGGTTAAAAAAATTTTAAATTTGATTGAGTGTAAGCATAACCTGTGAATGTAATTTTTTTTTTCTGCTGTGTATAATATATTATTAATTATTTATAAAAATTATTAATATAAAAATCATTTGTACACAATAAAAGAAGTTGTATTTACAAATTATAATTGCGTGCATTCAAATTTAGTTTCAAACTGGGACCAAATTTCCCAGCATTAAATTACGTTATATGTGCTGATCAATGGATTAGCCGGACTGAGACAAGTCACAATCAAAACAGATAGCCAGCGCAGCAGTGGCCAAGAAGAACCGGTAATGCTTGCCCAATCCTCCTCCCTAACTACCGTTCCTTAGACTATTCACTCTCTCTCTCTCTCTCTTAATTTTTTTCAAAAATTTTGGGGGTAGGGTTTAATAATAAAAACAAACAATTAGGTCATAATCAGACCCGGAATAAAAAAATCGGATACGTTACCCAATGTTGCTTTCATTTCAAAGTTTGCTTTCTTTATTAAAAAAAGAAAAACATAATGAAACAGGTCCAGGGAAAAAACAACAACATAATCAATCACTGTCTCACGTCAACATCACAGACCCGTGGGATTTGGACGCTTCTCTTTTCAAAACCTCTGATTCTTTTCTTTTTTTAATTAAATAGTCGGGCATGCACTAATTAATAATATAATTATAAAAGAGTTTATATAAGTATATATTAAAACCCCTAATTCTAGCACAATTGCTTAGCCATAAACTCGCCGCTCTCATTTATTCCGTTAACCTCACTTTTGGTAAAGACAAACCATGTGAGGTCCTCCTCTCTATGTTGTCTATTATTTTCTATGGCAATTCTAACAAGTAAATTATCTCTACTCGCGGATCTCGCACGTTGCTTGCTTGCTTGGATTTTAGAATTATATTCCTCCAGCGTAACATGCCCTCCAATCTGAGCCACTCTTTAAAACATTTTTTTGCCCCAGAAAATCACAATCCGTGTCATTCAATAAATTTTATAATAATATTTTCAAAAGCATTAAAACAAGTATGTTAAAAAAATTTAAAACAAGTTATTATAGAAGTCAATGCAAGGTGCAGGTTGGTAATAGATAAATGTAAATATCAGTTTTTTTTAATCAAGAAATGTATATGAGTTTAAATACCTACATTTATGTCGGTAAGAGCGTTCGTGAGTTTTTTTTTTTTTTAAGCGACGGACAATTTTGTTCGTTCTATGCTTCCGAGGCCTTGCGCCTCTTTTATGATGCAAATGTACTTTTATTGACTATTAATATTAATTAACATAAAAAAGAAAGCAAACGGGTTGATTCGTATCATTAATCACTCTTTGCTTAATTCCAATAGGAATTCACAGTTCGGATCTCTGTTTTCGAGAGAAGAAACATGACTCATTGTCATACCTCCGATCCTAATTATAAAAATCGGTTAACTAATTTAAAGAGATTAATAAAAAAATTAAGATAATTATTTGTTATAAATAGGTATTAATTTTTTTAAAATATCTTTGCTAATTAAGTGAATTGGTTAGAACTATCATTATTAGAAAGACCATCTTAAAAAAAATACATAAATATTAGAAATAAAGTGGATTGAAATTTTATATTTAGAATCAAAATAAAAATTAAACAAGATCTTATATTAAATACCAGAAATAGTAATTAATAATAGTAGTAGCATGGTAATATAATTATATGATTTAATTTGGCGTTGGGTCCCCCCAAAACAAAAAAAACACATAAACACGTACATGCTAATTTAGTTTGGTTAAATATCATATCATCTCTCAATTTTAACATAAGAGCTGGTTGTATATTTAATTAGGTCATAAATATAAGATATTTATTTACTTTGCTCTTCATTTTTTTAGTTTAATTTTTAAATAATTTATATGATTATTGTACATATTAAAGGATTTGTATCAAATATAACTTCAACACACACAATTAATAATGATTGTATATAACTAATTCAATTAATTTTTTTAATATTTACAAATTAATTATATAGCTGTTATATTAAACACCGGAGGTAGTACTCAATTTCTAGAATCGAAGTTACATGCAAATAATTTATCTGATTTTTAAAACTCTGCAGTAGACCTAAATTTTAACACTCGCGCAAACAATTCCCATGCCATTAATTTACCCATTATTATTTTACTAAGATAATATCTGTGACATGCGGTCTATTTTCATGTGATTGAAAGTTTTAAAAATTATCCTCATTTAACTTAAATTATGAGAAGATTATTCTTCCATGTAAAAAAATGTACGATGGGGATTTTTTACATTGAGGGGTTAATTATACAAAGTCATGGACATAAATTTGAAATAATAGTTGTTACTACAAGAGAAGATATGTGGATTGAGACTGGAGAGGCGTGGGTTCAAATTTGAAAGGCAAAAATCCAAGCTTTCAAACGGTGAGGAAGTATAGAACCTTTTACATGTGGCTCAACTTAAAAAAAGAAGAAAAGAAAACATATACAGACTTTTCTCATTTTTGAATTTTAAGAACAGATTATTATTTTTTACAAAATAATTCACTGAAAATTAATTACTGAATAAGTTTTTTGTTCCTGAAGACAAAGAATTGTTTTGAATGTAAGAAATCAAACAAAACATGCATTGTTTTTTTTTTTGCCCCTGGGGTTCTTCTGGTGGAAAGCAATGGCGCGTAATTACGACCATCGTCTGAGACTATAAAATGGGCAGAGTTCATACAGCCGAGCTCGGAGTTCCGCCTAAAGCATCGTATCATGAAAACTTGTTAATTTTAAGGATCTTCTGTTAAAAACCTCATCCTTATTTCTCATCTCAAGAATCAGAGACTAGCCCTGCTATTTAACTTTTGAATTAGACACGCCTTTCAAGTCCTAGTACTGATAAACAACCTATTACTAGACTTTTTTGTATCATAATTATGATTCGTGACAAACGTGCTCCTACGTCTTCCATTTTCTTTTTCTCTATTTTTGACCAAGACATGTCTTCCATTTTCATTCCCCCGCGAAAATATTTCCTACTAATATTCTACACGAGCAGACTCAAATTTTTCTGTTTGGAAAAAAAAAAAAGGGATTTTGTTTGAATAACACAAATTGCCTGTTCTTCCGGGTTGGCAATGTTTTTGAGATTAAACGGAGGCTATTACAGGGCGTTTGGGTTAACCGTTTGAGATTAGGGAAGATGCAAACGATGTCGTATAGGCGGTGATAAAAACGACGCCGTGGGCATTGTCCGCATCACGCATTACCTTGGTAGAACTGGCAAATTTCTTGGCCCCAAAACCATTTTTTCTCTCTAATTCGCCGATTCGCGGAGCGCATCGACCTCTCAACCTCTTTCGTCCTTCCCCCATCGCGACTTGTTCGCACAAAATCTCTGGATTTCGCTACTATCAGTTACTTTTTATCGATCTCAATGAGACGAAATCCTCCCTTTTTCTCTTTGGCACCTCGCTGCTAACGGTGGCCACCTAAGCCCTACTTCCCGCTATACGGGTGCAGCTTCCTCGATCGTGGACTTTGGTTTTGCTCTACCCAATTGAAGATCTACATCCGATCTAGGGTTTTCTTGTAGCCCCTATTCTACGAATCTAGGGTTTCTAATCGGGTCAAGAAGGTGGAATTCGATTTGAATTGATGTTTCTTTTCAAGGATGAAGTTGGGATCGATTCAGTATTCAAGGGACATGGAGGGTTATGCATGTGTTGGGAGGTGAGGAGTGGAAACAGAGGCGGCACATGTGGCCAGTCCCTGTCACCGCGACGACTGTAGCTCCCGCTGCCGATTCTTCATCATCCGAATTCATATGCAAAGTATAATAGCGTTCCCCTTGTTACGTTTTTGGGGATTGTTAATCTATCCCGTTCCTGTTATCCCTATGGGAGCTTCAGCTTTATTCCCCTAATGTTTCCCTGAACGATTTTTATCCTCACGATATTATCTCCGTGTGTTTGCTTGGGTCAATTCTTGATGTTTTAGTCTTATCTCTTAGGGTATGAATTATCATTAAATTTCCTAAAATTTTCGATTGTCAAATCTTCCTAATGTTCGTACTTCCAATTTCACCTTTTTTGTTTTAAAGAAGAATCCTGTTAAAGGTTCTTATCTTAATCAATTCTGGGTTTATTCATTTCATGGGCATACCTTTGACTGGGGGAAATATGTTCTTTATGCTAAGCTAAACGAGACGAGACTTTTCTTACCGGCATTTTTTTGGCCTTGAACGGATAGACTTTACCGTTTTAATTCGAGCCTCGACAATATACATTTCTCCCTCACTTTATTGTCTATTTGTTTTGTGACGAACTCATGTTTTAACGTTTTTTCAATTGACAATCCATCTTGTATGAGTGTAATTGCATTTCTTTTTTTCACATTATAAATGTTGTTGCCCGTTAAGGCATAGCAGTTTTTAACGATGATTTAATTTGTTCAGGGCTCACAACTCCTTTCTAATTTTGGTATGCGCTGGTCATTTGTTTGCTAAATCGTTCAGTGAATCAATGGCGTTACTTCAAATTTTGTTTTGGGAGAAATAGGCTTTGGGGTAATTTCTGGGCATGGCATTATTATTGCGACTTAAGGAGAGGAGGAGGATGGTTGGGCAATGGAGTTGGAAAGTCGTGTTTATTGCTTAATGCTTAACGGGATTTTCCCATTTAATTCATACAGTTGTTCATGGAACTCTTATTTTGCTCGGGATAATTTATTATGTATGCCTTTAATTCTTTAGTTTTCTGTTCCTTTCTTTTTTTAAATATTTAATTGAGATTTTGCAGAGGACAAATACAGCCCCCCTTCCCCCAACAAAAAAAATGTAATTCTGGTTTTGAAAAGGCTGTTCACGAAAAAATAGTCTGGTTTTAAGAAGAATGTTACAAAAAATGGATTTCAATAAACTAGGGAGAACATATTTTCGAGCCTTTTATTCATATTCAAAATATTGTTTGTTTCCATTTTTTATTTTTTGCAAAGTTTTAAAGATTTATGTGATTTTCATGTTACAGGATGGACGTGAGATCCGTGTTGGTGATTGTGCACTTTTCAAGCCACCCCAAGATTCCCCACCTTTTATAGGAATAATTCGCAAATTAACATTGAAGAAAGAAGAAAGTCCGAGTTTAGAAGTGAATTGGCTTTACCGACCTGCTGATCTGAAGCTTGCAAAAGGGGTCCAGTTGGAAGCTGCGCCAAACGAGGTCTTTTACTCCTTTCACAAGGATGAAACACCTGCTGCATCATTACTCCATCCGTGTAAAGTTGCATTCCTTCGTAAAGGTGTTGAACTTCCTTCAGGGATATCCGCATTTGTCTGTAGACGAGTGTATGACATTAAGAGTGAGCGTTTATGGTGGCTAACTGATAAAAACTACATTAATGTAAGTCTTCTGATATTTCTCCATATCATAATTTTGTGTATAATAGCTTCATTGATAAGCTTGTGAACTTTAAATGGATGCAGGAACGACAAGAAGAAGTTGACCAGCTATTAGATAAGACAAGACTAGAAATGCATGGGGCAGTGCAGTCAGGAGGCCGTTCTCCAAAACCCTTGAATGGTCCAACATCAACACCTCCACTGAAATCTGGTTCTGATAGTGTTCAAAATAGTTCGTCCTTTGGTTCACAGGGTAAAGGAAAGAAGAGAGAACGGGGTGATCAGGGATCTGATTCATCAAAAAGAGAACGATTAATCAAAACAGAGGATGGTGATACTGGTCAACATAGGCCAGAAAATATGCTAAAATCTGAGATTGCTAAAATTACTGACAACGGTGGTCTTGTGGACTTTGAGGGAGTTGAAAGACTGGTACAGCTCATGCAACCCGACAGTGCTGATAAAAAAATAGATTTGGCTGGGCGAATAATGCTTGCTGATGTAATAGCAGTCACAGATCGGTTTGACTGTCTTGGATGGTTTGTACAACTCAGGGGTCTGCCTGTATTGGATGAATGGCTGCAGGAGGTTCATAAGGGGAAAATTGGTGATGGTAATACGCCCAAAGAAAGCGACAAGTCTGTTGAAGAATTGCTGTTAGCTCTACTTCGTGCGTTGGATAAGCTTCCAGTGAACCTTCATGCTTTAAAGACATGTAATGTTGGAAAGTCTGTGAATCATTTGCGTACTCACAAGAATTCTGAAATTCAAAAGAAAGCTAGGAGCTTAGTTGACACTTGGAAGAAACGTGTTGAGGCTGAAATGAATATTAGTGACTCAAAATCTGGATCTAGCCGGGGTGTCTCTTGGCCAGCAAAGCCTGCATCTTCTGAGGTGTCTCATGTTGGAAGTAGGAAAACAGGTGGATCTGCTGAGGTAGCTGCAAAGAGCTCTGGTATGCTGCTATCTGCATCCAAAAACTCCCAGGCTAAGATTAGCTCAGGTGAATCACTGTCCAAGCTCTCGCATCTGCCACTTCTGCCACTACTAAAGCTACTACCGCCTCAGTAGCCTGTAATTTGAAGGAGCAAAACGTTAAACCTGGAGCTGGAACATCAGATTTACCCTTGACACCTATCAAGGAGGAAAGGAGCAGCAGTTCTAGTCAGTCTCAAAACAACAGCTTATCTTGTTCTAGTGAACAAGCAAAAACTATCGGTTCTTGTAGGGAAGATGCAAGGAGCTCCACTGCTGTGTCAATGAGTGTGAGCAAAATTCCTGGCAGTGCCTCTCGCCCCCGGAAATCAAGCAATGGTCTGCATGGTTCTGCTTTAACTGCAGTCCAGAAGGAGCCCCATCCTGGAAAAAGCTTGAGTAGAAACTCGGCCTCAGAGAAGGTTTCACCGAATCAACCCGCCCGTGAAAAATCACCTGACGTGCCTCTTCCTGATCATGGAAGTAATCAGAGACTGATCGTTAGGTTGCCAAACACTGGCCGAAGTCCTGCCAGGGGAGCTGGTGGGGGATGTGAAGATCCTGCAATTATGTCTGGCAAATCATCACCTCCTGGAGATAAGCATGAGAATGTGGATAGAAGAGTGAAATCCAAAACTGATGGTTCTCAGAATAATAATGTCACAAATATGGCCGCTGATGTTTGTGATGCTAACGATGCTGTGACTGACTATGAGGAAGGTAATGGCTCACCTACTGGTGAAGAATGCAGGGCCAGTGAAGATGGTGATAAACTCACGGAAACATCAAAGCCAACTAGTTCATCCGGATTTCTTTCCAGATCAGGGCAGACTTATGATGCATCCTTGAGCTCCATAAATGCATTAATTGAAAGTTGTGTGAAATTCTCTGAAGCAAGTCCCTCTGTGTCCCCTGTAGATGATGCTGGCATGAACCTACTTGCCACTGTAGCTGCTGGAGAAATATCTCGGTCAGAAAATGTGACGCCGGCAGTTTCTCCGGGGAGGAAGTCTCCTGCAGTAGATGAATCATGCTCAGGCAACGATAATAAGTTGCAACATTCAGGTGAAGCAGTTGGTTGCACTCCTGAACATTTGAAGGCTACCGAAGATCATGTAAACACCGTTGATCCATTGCAGCTCAAGAATGATGCAAGGCACACTGTAGGATCAAGATCATGTGATCTGTCTGAAGATGGCGAAACTACACAATCTGCTTGCAAAGAGAAAACTGGTGATGGTAAAAGTCAAACGAATTTGTCCCCTGCAGAGTTGTCGCGTAATGTGGAAGGTCCATTCTTAGGGCCTGAAACCAAAGAGGAAGCATCTGAAGCAGTATTGCCTGCTAAAAAGGAGAATGTTGCAGGGCCCGAGGGAGCTAGTTTGCTTCATGAGGAGAGGAAAATGGGAACTCATTGGGCTAAGAGCAGCAATAATTCAGACTCTAAAATAAAAACAAGGAGTTCTATTGATGAAGACCGGAAGGTTGATCATGTTAATGAGAGGAAGATGGAGAATGAAGCATCAGTTTCTGAAGGGCCTTCTGCAAGTCTAGAAATAGAGAAGGAAGTGTGTGAAAAATCACCTGAATCATCTACAGGTTTGGTTAATGAGAACCAGATTAGTGGGGAAAAAGTGGCAGGTAGTATCATCTCAATGCAAAAGCCCACTCCTCTGGCGGAAAAACAGCACGAGTTTATTGAGGGCAGAAATGAGAATGTTGTGGTACCACCTTCTGCTCCTAGTTATCCTTTGATGGAATCTAATGTTGTGAGTGCGGCTGACGTGAAACCATGTGAGATGGAACATAGTAAGGAGAGACAAAGGGATCTGGACTCATCAGGGCCTGCTTTCGACAACCAATGTACTGCAGATAATTTGGATAGAAAAGAAGTTCTTGGTTTCGGCACTGATTCATCAGTACAGTCTGAGTCTCCAAAACGTTCTGTACAAGAGAATGAAGTGCTAAAAAAGCCTTCTGGTTTTAATTTGGACAGAGTTATGTCTGATGGTGCGGCTGAACAACATGCCTCTGGTGTTAGTGATTCACCTGCTGCCAGAGAGCCGGATGTAGCAGTGAAGCTAGACTTTGATTTAAATGAGGGATTTCCTGTTGATGACGTGAATCAAGGGGATGTTGTGAGACAGGAAGAACCCATCACATCATCTGCAGTCCATGTTCCATGCCCATTGCCTTTTCCTGTTTCTTCGATGTCTGGGGGTTTCCATGCTTCGATTACTGTGGCTTCTGCTGCCAAGGGGCCTGTTATTCCACCTGAGAACCCATTGCGGAGTAAGGGGGAACTTAGGTGGAAAGGGTCAGCTGCTACCAGTGCATTCCGACCGGCAGAGCCCAGGAAAAACACAGAGCAGCCATTAAATACTAGTGATAATAGTGCTACCAAGCAAGGTCGTGCTCCTTTAGATTTTGATTTGAATGTGCCTGATCAAAGAAGTTTTGAGGATGTTGCTTCCCATGGCTCTTCAGAGACTTGTTTAGAATCCTTGCCTCGTGACCGTGGGACTGGAGGTCTTGATCTTGATTTAAATAGAGTTGATGAGACTCCTGATGCTGGTTGTTTTTCTGTGAGCAAACTGGATATTCCTTCTTTACCAACTAAACCTTCGTTATCTGGTGGTTTATCCAGCGGTGGAAATGTATCAAGAGACTTTGATTTAAATAATGGGCCAGGCCTTGATGAAGTTGGCACTGAAGCCCCAGCACGTAGCCAGCAGATAAAAAGTACCCTACCAATGCCTTCGACTGTTCATGGTGTTAGAACAAATCATGCTGATTTTGGGAATTATTCATCATGGTTTCCTTCAGGCACGTCCTATCCTGCAATCAATGTCCCACCACTTCTGCCTGGTAGAGGAGAGCAGAGCTTTGTTGCTGGTACTGGAGCACAGCGAATCTTGGGTCCTCCAGGTAGCACTTCTTTCGGTCCTGAAATCTATAGGGGGGCAGTTCTTCCATCATCTCCAGCTGTTGCTTATCCTCCCAGTACACCATTTCAGTACCCAGGATTTCCTTTTGAAACAAATTTTCCTTTGTCTTCAACTTCCTTTTCTGGCTGTTCAACACCCTTCATGGATTCCTCAACGGCAGGTGGACTTTGCTTTCCTGCCATGCCGTCACAGCTAGTTGGGCCTGGTGGTGTTGTCTCATCCAATTTTCCCCGTCCTTATGTTATGAGTCTTCCAGGTGGTACAAGTAATGTGATGCCTGAGAGTAGAAAATGGGGAGGTCACAGTCTGGATCTTAATTCAGGCCCTGGTGGTGCGGATACAGAACGGAGAGATGATAGAGTGCCTTCAGGGTTGAGGCAACCTCCTGTCTCAAGTTCCCAAGCTTTGATGGAGGAACAGATGAAGATGTTTCAGGTGGCAGGAGGTGTTTTGAAGAGAAAGGAACCTGACGGTGGTTGGGATGGAGCTGATAGATACAACAGCTATAAACAACCCTCTTGGCAATAGGATCACAATTGTTTGAGGCAAATTTTCAGGAGGTTGTGAGCCCCCTTGTAAGCTCTCTTAATCCTTCTATTGTTTATGAACTCATGGTATTTCATTGTTTCTTGGGGTTTTGCGAAATTTTTTTTTGGGTGGTTTTTCTAAATATTCGAGGTAATAAACATTATTGAGTGATTATCTTATGCGAACTGCTAAGTTCGATGCAAAGTTTCTTGTTGCTTTATTGGTTTGGCTTATGTTCTAGCCTTCCAATGGCCATTTTCATATGTATGTTAGGAGCATCCCTTGACATTGTCTACTCTGCAATCTGAATTGTCGGTTGAAATATCTGTCTCTGTGGTTCATATATTCTGATTTCTGAAATTAAAAAGTGCCTCTACCTGGCTTTTCTTTTTACTGTTAATGCTTGAGATATGGTCTAATTTGAACTGTTATGGCATCATGCAGCTTTTGTTCATTAGGTCAGAAATATTGAAGACGATACAAGTGTCAAGCCAGCCTCGAATGAGACTGCAGCTGTGCCTTATCATTTCTGACAGACAGGGATCTGGGCCTCTGATGCAGCTGTTTTGAATGACTGTGCATGGAATTGTGATATGCTTCTTGCAGATGAAGTTTTTCCTGTGTAGATATCTAACTTAAACAGCAGATGTGATAATGCCGCCTAGATTCAGATTCAGAGAAGTTGGCATTGAGTGTATGACCGCACTGCAAAAGTACCGGACTCCAATCCGTTCTCCGAGCATTTGGATGGAGAGGATTGGATGTATGAACTGGCTTAGGCTTGGGGCCAGTTTGGGCCTTCTTTCAATTATTTTTTTCAACTTCTTGTTTCATATATAGTTATTGCTGTAGTCTTGACTGCCGAATTTTGTCACTTTATCACATTCTGGGGTATTGATAATGCACAGGTTTAGCCACCATGGTCCATGTGTTACTTTGTATCTTTTGCTTCCTCCTCTCTCCCCTTATCTTCCTCGTAAAAAACTCGAATTACAGCCATAATTGGATCGATGAGTCCAATCCGTTCGAGAATTTAATAAAATAATATTTGCATTTGCAATGTCTACTCTGTACATAAGCCATTTACATAAAAGTGGGAACAGTGCTTCATAAGACTGAGGAGGTAGTTGTGGGAACAGGGGAAGAATTATTTACCACGCTCCTTGAGGCGCAATTCGGCTTTCTTTGCGAATTGAGGCGGAAATGCCATCCTCGATTCTCCCAAAACAAAGTAATGAGAAAGATGACATCTGAATGCTACTGGCCGAGATTATCTGGATTCACCCTGTCAATCTCGTAGGCCCACAATAACCGGGGGGGCCCGAAATACGCGTCTATACCTCTTCATGTCCGGTTTACTTCGCTCTCATGTTTTCTTTCAAGTTCGATGTGTTATTTTTGTCGCACTTTGTTGCTGAATTAAATTAAATTAAAAAGAACAAACACGCGCGCGCGCGCGAAAAATAAAGGTGGAAAGTCAGGACGAGAATGCACTTTGCGTGGCCTGCACGAACTGTTTCAACATGCAGGGATGATGTTTGATTCCCTAACCTTGAAGTTTAAAAATATCAGGTCCATTTTTTTTAAAAAGAAAATAATTCCTGTATAAGAAATTCGGGTGTGCATGACCTGAAACTAACATGACAAAAACAAATTGAGGACTCCAGACTCCAGACAGATGTGATCCTCATGCTAAAAGACCGTTTGACTTGTTTATTTTTATAAAAACCGCTTTTAAAAAGCTAACTTTTTTACTTTTTTTTTTTATTTGTTTGCTGTGGCAATTAACGAACATTTTAATGGCTGACTGTTTATAATTTGCATAATATAATTACCTTTTATTATAGTTACAAAAAATGACTCGTATTTTTCTTGAATAAATTAATCCACGTGTAAACTTTTTAATTGGTTATAAGCTAAGCTGAACGCGTTTTATTGAGACTTTTCCAGTTCCATGAGAGCTGAGCATAATGTGAATGCTTCTTCAAAGCTGAAATATGGTTTAGAAGTTTAGATTGCGCCGATAATTGAGGCCTTCTCTTCTATATCCGTCAAATGAATTTAATTTCTTTCAAATACTACTATAATTCTATTCTATTACATTCTCAAAAATTAGACTATCAACATGCATAATCCACTCTGTCCTTTAGCCTTCCTCGCAGTTCACACTTATATTATAATTATTCTGTATAAATCCAGTCCCTCCAATTACAGCAAAAGGTATAATAGCTGGTAATTTACTAATTATTAGTTAGTTAATTAAAAAGTCAAATTCTCGCTTTGTTCTCTCTATAATTAATACGGCGGTTTCACAAAACAGAACGCTCTCAATTCTCCCCTCCCTCCTTCCCAGCCATTCTTCTTCTTCTTCCGCCTCCGTGTCTGTCACGAATGCCATGAAATCTTCAGGTGCGATATTTCTGGACAGATTTCTGAGCAACACCAAAAGAGAACGATGCTTCAACATAGGCAGTGCCGTTCCTTTCCTTCTCACTTGTTTCTTCGTCGCCTTCATTTTCAGCTTCTTCCTTCTCTACTCCCCCAATCCCCTCTCTCTCGTCCCTGACCAACCCTTGCACCAACCTCACAAGCAACATCAACGTGCCTCAACTCAACTCGCTTCACCCAAACCACACAAGCGTAACTTCCAAACCAGCCCTCACATTCTCATGCTCCTTCATCATTTTCGTTTTCTCAATTGACGTTGATCAATTTGGTTCCTTTCCCTGTTTTTTGCAGAGCAGAAAACCTGTGACTTGTTTAAGGGAAAGTGGGTTCGAGCTCCCAGAGAGTCATCGTATTACACCAACTGGAGTTGCACCACAATTCCCGATTCCAAGAACTGTTTCAAGCAGGGCAGAGAGGATCGTGATTTTCTGAACTGGAAATGGAAGCCTGATGAGTGTGACTTGCAGAGTTTCAACCCCAAAACCTTCCTCCACATCGTTCGAGGGAAGAAGTTGGCATTCATAGGTGACTCTGTGGCAAGGAACCACATGGATTCCCTCGTTTGTCTCCTCTCACAGGTCAGTCCAATCACTGCCCCAACTAAATTCTCCTATTCTTACGCTGAAAAAGTCATATGTCCAGTCCATACTTTATTTTCACGCGTTGAGATGAATTCGGAATTCCTTCCTTGTTCTCCGAGGGAATTTGATTCTCGCAACCGAAATATGTGGCGGAAAAGTTGAAACTTGAAAGAGAGAGAGGATTTTTTTTTTTTTGGGTTGAAAAAAAGGTTCCGGCTTGAATGTGATTCCCGTGTGCATGCTTATTCCATGATTGATATGGAAAGAACTCAACCAGCTGGCACATCCATTTGGAATTTTGCTCGTCGTTGATTAATTTGCGTAATGTTCAAGGAATGAAACGGAACCGAACAGATTGGAATAGTCGGCCAATCTTGGGGTTTTTTTTTTTTTCATAATCAGATTTTGAGCAAATTCCCTTTTATTGGTTTTAGACTTCGGAAAACTCTAATCTAATCGCCAGACCTGGAGATTGGAATTATCAATCGCGTGTTCCGCAGAGGGCTACGTTGGCACATGTAATCACAGATTTGAAAATAAATGCAGACAAATATCCGCGAGACACCTAGCCTGATGAAATCCCACATTTAATATTCATCATTGGGCAAGTCAAGCGGTATTAAAAACTATTCACTAGGGCTTAACTACTTACAAACTCGACATCAAATCATTAATTACATTAACCTTGATAAAAAAAAATAACTGCAGGAGGAAACTCCGGAGGAGATTTACAAGGACTCAGAAGATAGGTTCCGGAAATGGCATTTTCCGAAGAGCGACTTCACGGTGATGAGCCTATGGAGCAGATTCCTAATAGTGGGAGAGGAAAGAATGGTGAACGGAACAGGGACAAACATATTCGACATGCACATAGACAAGGTTGACCCAGATTGGGCCAACGTTGTTCCAGACTTGGACTACGCGATAATATCAGCAGGCCACTGGTTCTTCAGAGCAATGTACCTGCATGAAGCCGACAAAGTCGTAGGCTGCGTTTTCTGCAGGCAACCAAATGTCACAGACTACGACATCGACTTCGCCTTACGAATGGCCTTTCGAGCAACCTTCAACTTCATCAACAACTGCAAGGACTGCAACAAGACATTGATATTTGCCAGAACATTCGCGCCGGCTCACTTTGAGAACGGGGTTTGGAACAACGGGGGCCACTGCAACAGGACAAGCCCAATGGGTGAATCGGAGGTTGATTGGACGCGGTTCGAGCTGAAGCTTAGGGATGTGCAGATGGAGGAGTTTGACAGAGGAACAAGACAAGGAGACGGGAGGTACGAGGTTGTGGATGTGACGAGGGCGATGATGATGAGGCCAGATGGGCATCCCGGGGAGCACTGGGGCAACAAATGGATGAAGGGTTATAATGACTGTACACATTGGTGCATGCCTGGTCCTGTCGATTTCTGGAGCGAGCTTTTGCTTGCTCTTCTTCTCCAGAGACACCCTTCTTCTAACTCTTAAAATTACACATGCATAGATTTATATATTCCATCAAATTTGTACCCCATTTTCTTAATAATAATTTAGATCCTCGTATCGTTATTTGAGCTCTGTAGCTGTTTCTAAATTCCCATGTCATGTCGTTGCATGTAATAACGCCTGCAAGCCCATATATATAGCCCGTTATCTATCGCGAAAGCTCAAGCCGAGCACAGAATCGGATGCAATCTCATTTTTCATTTTGCTGGTGAATAACATTCAAATTCATCGTTATATTCAATTCATGCGTGTACGGATTCATCATATGAAAATCGACCACCTGCTTATTTGTTTGCATTTCATATAATATGCATAGTGATAAATTCAATATTTATAAGGCAAAATTAATAATATTTAAAACTTAGATGCAAGTTTGAATAACCCCAAAAATCTGATTCTATGCTTCTTGTCATCGTCATCATTCTGACTATTTCCCTTGCCGTGGCATTACCGTCCCTTTGGCTTAGTATATGAATGGAGCAAAATGCAGAAGCACAATCATAGGCACGACCGCAACTGTGCAGTGAGGCCGCTAGTGGATCTAGTTTAGCTCCTTTGAGTGGTGCGACTGGTTTTCTGATGAACACGAGCACCATAATTCATGAACGATGCTAGTAGAGAGAAATGAATTCAACTATTCAACGAATGCATATGCGCAACACAGCAAACAAAGATTACGCAGATCACGAACAGACAGCCTAAACGCAGCAATCTTTTGGAGGGATTAAATTACCATTTGCGAATGGTTAGGGAATTTAGAAGGTCCCAAATAAAACAGAATTGAAGCCTTGGTCAGAGATTACTCAAGCTCTTATTGTAATGTTCTTTTCTCTGTTTCCCCAATTCCTAGTGTCTGGTAATTTTAAAACAGCAATCAAATCAATAACAAGACATTTAAAGAATTAGCACTCAGATTCAGAATAGCAGCAGTTGTCATGTTGTATAGTAACTCCACCTACCTCACTCCCATTGGTCCAGTCTTCAGTGACATAATTCACAAACATCCACTACAATGGTTTCGCTAATAGAAGAAATATCATTGCCCTGAAGAGTATCTACGCAGAGGACAAGGTATCCTCACTGACCATAACAGAACGAAAACAAAGAAATGAACCATCCAATAACTCTGCATAGCTAGCACGGAGACACTGACCTTGATCCACATCCCGATCATCAGGCCCTGAGAAAGCCTGTGTGCTACAAACCAAGGAAAGGCCACCAAATGTATTCCCGCCAAATGGGCCAAACAGAAACATAAAAAGCAAATCTCCTTAAAATTTTGCCTCTCACCCCTCCCCAATCCTCAGAAGTTTGTAACCAAATATAGAACAAACCAAAACTTCAAAAATGCCTATTACAGATAAGAATGACAGAAGAGCAAAAATGTAGAAGAAGCACAAGTTTCTGGTTTTTTTTTTTTTGGGTCACTTAATGACCATGTCCGAAAAAAGGAGGAAAAAAAAAACACACAAGTAGACTTGCTTTGTCGCGTAATCACTTAAAGGAGCATAGTTGTATGAACTAATTGCCAGTTATCATGCATTGTGACCAGCAAGTTGGAGGCAGCCAGTCTCACATTCATTACACCAACACATTATAGGAAGAATTAAGATTTCCAACACAATCAAGATGAAAAGATGACATAGTAATAACTTTATGAAAACAATAAGCTAAAAAGTAAAAAATAAAAGTTGTAGAATGCAACTCTCCACTTGTAATGTTTAATAATTGCAACACTGACTTCATTCAAATTCCATTTCAAGATGTAACCCATTAACACAAGTAGGATACAAGACTAAATTAGAATAATCTACAACCTCATGTTTCTACTGAATTACCAAGCGCAAATGAGAAGAGCTCGCGAGTGGGAGATAACTCCACCAGCCCAATATCCATGGCATACCCAGAAACAGGCAATTTCAAGTCCCGCAAGACACAAACCGCCTCGGCCATCCTAATTTTCGGCACTTCCTGAGCTACCGCGCAATAAGGAATCCAAGAATCTGGGCGATAATCCTCTCCTATCTCGAAACCTTCTTTCTTCATTGCATCGCACAGCTGCGATTGGAACTGAAGCAGCCAGATTGAAGGGGTCGGTGAAAGAAAGAGTACATTATTGTCGTTTGGTAGGCACCCGATTGTAGAGAAAGATAGAGGCAAGGGTTCCTGCTTGGCGGCGAAACTCTTGACAACTGATTCAAGTTTGGCGGAATCAGCAAAAGGGCTGGAAAAGAGAGTGATGTGCGGGCGAGACTCGATTTCGATGAGATGGGTGCTGATTTGTCGCCGAGCCAGCGCATTCCAGGCCTTCAACACCTGGTTTTCTAGCGCAGGATCGAAGTAGAGCTCGATAGCGTAACCTTGTGACATTGAAGGAGCCACAGTAACAATAGAATTTAAGAAGCAAACTCAAAGATTCAAATCAAAGATCTTGGAATACCAGAAGATGGAAATTGAGGGAAATAAATGATGATATCAGAGCAGCTCATAGAAGTAAACGAAGACAAAAAGAAGCCGGATTTCGACCACAGTTCAGATATAATAAAAGAGGGTCACAAGAAAACGGAGTGAAGGAATCTGAAAGTGAGGTGACCAATAATTACGGTGGGAAAGGCGCATATAAAGTAGGGAAGGGTGCGAAGATATGAACGAGAAATCGAAAGAAAATGAAGAATCCCGTGGGCAAAACTCGGTTAGGGTTTCAATCAGTGAGACACAGAAGAAATACCGAGGAGATCACGGAGGCTTGGCAATCAAAACTGGACAGCGAGGAGATCTTGCCGGTCGGAACAGCCGTCCAACGTTGGCGAGTACGACGCAAATTGGATTGGCGCAGCGAGATCTTACCAGCTCCAACTCAAAAGCAATTTCGTTTTCCTTTAACCCGAATCGCGATTCTAGACGCCTCTGGCAGTGTTTCGTTCGAGCGAGGACTGAGGCAGTGTTTGTTTAAGGGTTTTTGGATGAATTTCTCACGTGTCCTTCCTCTGGGTCATCTCAGCTGCTCCCTCCGCCTCGCTTCACAAGTCTCTCGCCCTTCCTTTCGTTAAACCAAAACACCCTTGGATCGGATTCATTTCTTCTCTCCGTTCAACCAAACACAGCCCTACCCTTTTTTTTTTTTTTTGGGTACCAAGAGGGGCCAAACACCCAAAACAATTAAAGTATTCCTCAAAACAAAACGTGGGCACCCAAGCCCCCCCCCCCAAAGTACATCTCCATCCAGCCAACTGTGCAGACCCATAGGAGGATCCACCAATCACTGTAAGCCAGAGCCCTAGATAAGTTCCACTTGGCTAACCAATCTGCACAAAAGTTGCCCTCCGTGAGTGCTTTCTATGCGCATCTCCCACTCCTCACTGATCTATGTCTGAATCTGTTTTATGAACCTATTCTTTACAGTATTATGAGTGAAAAAATCAGAAAGAATAGACACAGCAAAACTGGAATCAGACTCAATAATAACTCTTCTGAATCCTGTTTGTTGCGGAAGCCAAAAAGCCGACCAAACACCCCACATTTCTGCAGTAACCGCGGTATAGATACCAGTATTATTGACAAAATCTGCAAGCCAATCACACTTTCCATTCCTAATTAAGCCCCCACGTCCAGCCATAGCCGGTAGCCCTATGTTAGGTTTTTTATTGCTATATTGTTATTATTAAAACCTGGAATTCATGGCACAGTAAGTGATACAAAGAGAAGAGACTCTAGCAATTTAACCCTTGTTTCATCAACTTTCATCTGTGCCTGCCGCCTAGGAAGAGATGGAGGGTGATTAAAGATGTAAAAATTAAACATCAAGACCACAAGACATCTTATTCAGCTTCAATTGAGTTCTCCTCTCTAAACCTGTGGTCCAATAAGATTTGCCGGTTCCCACTAATAAGAAATCTAACTTCATCCCTTATGTAAGTATGTGTTTTCTTGCTTCATACAATTTTTTCGGGGGCCATGGTCATATATATTGATATCAGAACAACTGTATTCAAATTAAAACAAAACGATACATATAAAACTGGGCTCTACTGTAAAACATAAGAATTTGTGCAATCAAGTAAAGCCCAGTTTACCAGTGAGAGTTGATCTGATGACATAGATCAGCATTTTTCAACAGGACAAACTAATATTTGAGTTCTTATTAAAAAAAAAATTAATATCTGTGCCTAATAATATCTCGAATGGAGTTGTATTAAATAAGAGGATACCTGTATCTACTGTCTAGCATTAATAAAAAAAACAGAGAGAGAGAGAGCCCAATTTGTGAGCAAACAAGCAAATTAACCCAACATAAATATACAACTAGTTTATCAGAGAGGATTTACTTAGAATTAAATAAACAGACCCGACATAGAGATTTAAGCAGACCACTGTATATATATTCACTGTATTGAATATTGATCACGATTTTAATATCACGCATCAATTTCGGGGAAGTTTGGTCCAGGCTCCAATTTTATTTTATTTTCAAAGAAAGGCTTTTTCTTTAAAAAAAAAATTCTGTTGAATGCCCCTACGTGGGTCACAAATCACAATTTTCAGACAAAGTACTCCCTTAAGCACGGTCTCTAAAATAATCTCAAAGGCATCTTTTGCAAATGTTCCCAGAAGCCTCCCCTCCGATCACAACCAGGGATGGGTTGGATTTCTTGCGTCATGAATAAGCTTCCCGACAATGTCTGATTTGCTTCCCTCCTTCCTCCCATCTAAAACATATTTTCCCCATTTCCCATGTAAATGTCAACAAGCTCTTGAACGCGGGATTTTCCTTTTTATTTTTTACACTGGACTTTTGGGATAAAGTTCACTATGAAACACGTGGCCTACATGATACGAAAGCCCCGGGAGGATTCTTGCCGTCTTCGACAAGTTATTCCAAACTTTTCTCTGCGTAAATTGTCGTCACAGGGATGCCATGCGATTCATATAATTTCTATTCAGATTTGCTTTTATTTGCTCTGTTCAAATCATTCATATACCACCTAACCAATAAGATATTTTTCACACTGGTCATTATATTTTAAGCAGGACAAGATATTTACAATTTAAAAGCTGACCCCTTAAAATTCATTGAAAATAGCAGGATGTAGTCGCGCGGAACCTGAGTTATATATTATGTTATTCTTATTTTAATGATCATCTGCGTTTCTTAGTGGCCCCAAAGCATGTCCAACCAGTCGGTAATCTCCTCACCAGCCTTGACTTCTACCGTGTGACTCCTCCTGGCATAGCTTGTGATCCGGGTTAAGTCAGAAAATGGAGACATACATCCTCGAATCTGATATTTTTTATGTTGACGATGATCGACAACCTTAACATAAAAAGCAGCGCGGAGACCTTCGTAAAACCAGCACACACCTCTCTGAGGGTCATCGCCTGTTATCCTCTCTTCACGAAATGGGTGGAAATAGGAAAAAACGGGGACAAAAACCGAAAACCCAAGCCGGCGGAACCACCGCCGAAGACAGACACCTTAACAGCGTTACCCCAACAACAAACGATCTCGTTTCAGCTCCCTCGGCCGTGAATTCTTCCCGCCGTCGCCCGAAGTCGCAACCGCCCGTGACAGGTTCACCGGAGGCGACAAATTCGAGACATGCCGAGCAGAACGGAGGTTGTGCTTCTACGGAATTGGTGGCCGAAGCCTCATTGATGCCTGAGCGGGACGGCGAGGTGAATGCGTGCCTTCAAGGGACGCTGTCGTGAAGGTTTTTTGTGTGCATACGGAACCGAATTTCTCGTTGCCGTGGCAGAGAAAAAGGCAGTACAGCTCTAGCAGCAGTGGATTCATTATTGCAGGGAGGAGGGTGCTGACCAATGCGCACTCCGTGGAGCATCATACCCAAGTCAAGCTCAAGAAACGGGGGTCCGACACCAAATACTTAGCAACAGTACTGGCCATTGGAACCGAGTGCGATATAGGTAAGTGAACCTTGCTCTTGATTATTATATAATATAATACTCCTTCTGTCCTTAATATAAGACCCATTTAACTAATTTGATTAGATTAAGGAAGTTAGGTAAGTTAGTTAATTATAAGAAAAGTGACACATTTTTCCTAAAACACCATAATCATTTTTCTTAATACCCCATCTCCCTCTTTTACTTGATTATGGTTGAGGGAGTATTCATAGGGATAATTTAGAGAAAATTGATAAATATAAGAAAGGGGTCTTATATTTAGGACCAAAACGAACTTGAGAATTGGGTCCTATATTAAGGACCGGAGGAGTAACTAATTATTGAATTGATTTTAATTCTAAATATAAGAACTATTTTTTATATTTATTAAGTTTTTTCTAAATTATTCTTATGATACTCCCTCAAGTAGAAGAGGGAGAGGAGATATTGAGAAAGATGGTTATATTATTTTAGAAAAAAAATATCATATTTATTATAATTAATTAACTTACTTAATTTTTTTAATCTAATTAAATTAGTTAAATAGGTCTTATATTAATGACTAGAAGAATAGAAAGACAGTCCAACTATTTTATTTACATTTATTTTTATAACTGTAACTATTTATATATATAAATTAATGATAATGATTAAATAAATAATATTCCCATTATGAATATTATATTCATTGAGACTCAAGAAGGTGGTGGTGTTTTTTCCTTGGGGAAAAAAAATCCTTGAAAGTGACCTGGGGGTTGTGGGAGGGCCGGATGGTTTGGTACTATATGTGGAGCGTGCATAATATAAAACTTAAGTTAATTGATTTGGAAAGATTTAAAAAATCAATTAAATTAGTTATTTGTAATAAATATATGTTTTTTTTTAGAATATTTTTGTTCATCATGTATGTTAGCTAAAACTACAATTTGATGGAACTATATGTACAACTACTATAAAGACTATTTAAAAAAAATAGATAAATATAAAAAATAAAATGAATTAGAATATTATATTCAGTATGAAATTAAAAATCAAATTAGCTTTTATATGGGGTCTTTTTCTTCCATTTTCTAGAAAGCCAATCCTATAAATCACCATCTATTTTTGCATCAAAATTCCAAACATGAAGTGGCGACCATCTCTTCCCATTTCGCTTCATCCACTTCTCTACATTATCTTTGGCATCTGCAAGATGTTAAGTTCGTTTAGATAAATGCAACAGCGAAAAACAATAATCGTCAAGACTCAAGAAGATATGATATATGAGAGTATCAACAAAATACTTATATGTTGTCTATGAATGAGTATATTGGGTCGTAATCCTCCTGTGTATATGTGTTTTGTAAGATGTAAGAAATCGCTTATCATAATAATTTTATGTTCAGCACTGTTGACGGTGAGTGATGATGAGTTCTGGGATGGGGTTTCACCTGTTGAGTTTGGTGATTTGCCTGCACTGCAAGATGCTGTTACTGTTGTGGGCTATCCAATCGGAGGTGACACTATCTCTGTAACCAGCGGTGTTGTCTCACGCATTGAGATCCTCTCTTATGTTCATGGTTCAACTGAACTCCTGGGACTGCAGGTTAGAGTCTGAAAATATATGTTGCCTGATCTCCTGGTTGATAGCTCGTGATTCAGTTCATATACTTGTTCAGATAGATGCTGCAATAAATTCAGGAAATTCCGGCGGACCTGCTTTCGGTGATAAGGGAAAATGCGTGGGGATTGCATTTCAGTCTCTTAGGCATGGAGATGCAGAGAACATAGGATATGTGATACCTACTCCGGTTATCTTACATTTCATCCGAGATTATGAAAAGAATGGAGAATACACAGGTGTGTAAGGGAGATACTATGCAACTGGCTGTCGTCAGTTTGGTAATATGATTCCAGTTTTATCTTTGGGTATTATCCTTCACAGGATTTCCAGTTCTTGGAGTTGAGTGGCAGAAGATGGAAAATCCTGATTTGCGAATGTCAATGGGCATGGGACCGCAGCAAAAAGGTGTGCGTATCAGAAGAATTGAACCCATAGCTCCCGAATCTCAAGTTCTGAAGCCATCTGATGTCATTCTTAGCTTTGATGGGATTAATATTGCCAATGATGGAACAGGTAACTACCGTTCCATGTCTTGAATGGGTTGGCTATCCCATCATGATGAATTATACTAAAATTTTGCGCTTTTCCTGACATGTATATGGGGTTGTACTTTTGTT